GAGGCTGAAGTCGAAACTGCTCAGCCTTAACGCAGATAAAATCGTCAAAGTCAAAGTCTACACCCCAGCAAATTGCGATGAAGTTCGCATTCCTTTCAAAAAAGACAAGATTGCCAAAGTCGTCGGCAGGCTCGCAGAGCTTGCGCCTCCATCGGAGAATGATGATCCCCAGCTAATGGCTGGAGTCCTAGTTCAAAATGGGTTCAACCTGTCGTTGATGGCCCCTGACGACCTACAGGAGTACGCGGGCTTGACAACCACGACTATTACTTGCAAACAGCATATCACTCTCAGCTCTGCGAGCATGGATTTGATCCGATGGGCCCTCGAGGGAACTTTTGGGGCCATTGAGGAAATTGGAAACAGCAAGAAGACCGAGGCTAACGGCAAGAACGACATGGATAGCGACGGCACTGCAAAGCAAGAAGATGCCGACGAGGAGATCCCATCGGACGAGACACAGACATTCCTTGTCATGGGATGTGTGTATCTTCGCCATCACTCCCGCACCCGCGAAGTTGAGTTGGAATGGGAGGGTAATATGATGAACGACGGAGTGGCAGATGCAGTTATGGCTGTTTTGCTCACAGTCGAAAGCAGTCCGGCCTCCGTAAAGCGTATGAATTTCTGTCCTTTTCCACCTCTTTACTTGTGCTAACTACGGTTATAGAATCGGCTAAAGACAAGCACCACCATCATCACGATGATGATGATATGGAAATACCCTCACTTCCCAACCCTCATTCTCAGTCTGGACCTCAAGAGCGGCTTGCTCGTATGCTGATGATGCTCGAGGCCCAATTCGGCGGCGATAACATTGGCCCCATTGAGCGCCCACGAATCCCGGCGGATCTCGCACTCGGTCCACAAGAAGATGGAGAGATGAACGAAGAACGAATTGCCGATATTGAGGCTGCCGAGCTGGATCGTCTTATCACAATGGGTGTTCCCGTCCCTGGTATTGAAATTAGGGTGGACAAGCATATTGCCCGTGTGTGGCTTGAGGACCTGGAAGTTGAATGTGCGAATGCTGTCCTGCGAGACCGCATTCGTGTAGTCGTCGAGCGGGCCATTGAGACTGTCGCTGGTCTGTGGGCAGAGAGTTCGATTCACCAGGACGCGGTGCTTAATGGTTCTGTCAACGGGACAAAGGGGATTGAACTGGCTGATAGGAAGAAAGCGGCTGCCATTGAGGCTCATGCTTGATCTCTCTCATACTTGTATAATAATGAAATATCCCATCATCCATGATTTGACTTGACTTTTCTACATCTGCTTCGTCATTTAGTGTTTCTTTCGGTAGTTGATTTTTTCTTTAAAAGAGAATGAGATTGATTAAAACATTGCACGTTCCGAGGATATAAAAGTAGACTCTTAGAGTAGATAGATATAAGTGCTTTATAGCGAGGCAAAGACCTCCTGCAGAACTTTCTCCAGGGTGTCAACAATAATATCAATCTCCTCTTTCGACACAATATAAGGTGGCGCGAGTATAAGATGATCTCCCTTAATTCCATCCACGGTACCAGAGCAGCCATATAGCGAGACACTGTACTCCGGCTGTAGACCCTTCTCCTGGATCCGGTAAGACAGACGATCCTTGGGGTCAAATGGCTCTTTCGTAGCCTTGTCTTTGACAAATTCAATCTGGAAAGAGTTAGGACATTTTTTTGTCGTGCAATATCTACTACAGAAACCTGCAACTTACACCCCAGAACAACCCCTTCCCACGAATATCTCCAACATGAGGGTGACTCTCGAATCGCTGCTTCAATTGTGTCTCAAGGTAAGCACCCATGGTCCGGACATTATCCACCAGAGACTGCTCCTGAATAGTCATTTGCACAGCAAGCGCAGCAGCACATGAGACCGGATGGCCTTGATATGTCTGTCCGTGGCGGAACTGCCCGGTGCCTTTGTCCATCGTCTGCACAATAGAGTCACCAATCAAGACGGCCGACACCGGCGCATAGCCACCACCCAGACCCTTTGCAATGGTCTGGATATCGGGAACAACATCTTCTTGCTCCCAGACATGCAAAGTGCCGCAACGACCCATGCCGCTCATAATCTCGTCAAGGATCAAGAGGGCGCCGTGCTTCTCGCAGACGGCTTTCATGGCACGGAAGTACCCCGGTACCGCGGGGACACAGCCGAGAGCCTAACTAGTATAAGTTGGATGATCTGATAGCTTAGAGTTCAATATAGGAAGTCATACCGCGCCGACGACCGGCTCTGCAATGAATGCGCACACAGTCTCGGGCCCGACACGTTGGAACTCAGCCTCTAGCTCGGCTGCTAGACGTGCCACATAGTCAGCATCAGACTCACCGTCCAGTTTCCCACGGTATGCATAGCATGGTGAAACATGGGATACATTCTTCGAGAGAAGTGGTTCAAACGGCTGTCGACGCTGAACATGGCCACCAACGGAAAGCGCCCCGAGCGTGGTGCCGTGGTAGGATGGAAGACGCGCAATAAACTTGGTACGCTCGGGTTGGGGAGTTGGAAGCTCTAAGAAATATTGGCGTGCCAGTTTGAGTGCAGCCTCGACAGCCTCAGACCCTAGATATCCTCAGCACTGTATGTGTGAACAGAATTTCGGGTTCTTGGAAGGGCTGCCTCGACTCACCCGAACTGGTTATAAAGACCTTGGATAGTTTTCCTCCAGTAGAGTCCACTAGGAGTTTGGCAAGGTCCTCGGCCACTTGGGTGCCGAAGAAGGCAGAATGGCAGTAAGATATCTGGTCCATCTGGTCCTTGATCATCTGGGTGACCTGTTCGTTACCGTGTCCTAGACAAGATACAGCCGCGCCACCTGTGGCATCGAGGAATTTGGTCCCATCTTCTAGAAAGACGTAGCACCCCTTGCCACCAATGGCTTTCTTTGGAACGAAGCGTGTGTCCCGGTGGAGAATAGCACTAGCCTTGGTTTCTGGGAAATAATGTCAGAAATATGCCAAGATATTGCATGTGTTGACATACCGTCGGTCATGATTGAAGTTTATAGAAATGTATTCCAAAGAAAGAACGCCCGAGGAGATCAAAAGCCTTATATATACCTGTGGATCTCTCTCCGATGGTCTCACCCGAGGCAAAGCCCCTGTTCTGCGGGGCTAAGTGGGTTCGGCATACCGAAGGGAAGAAGCCGAGCCCTCAATTGGACCGGGAACGGACTTTACTGTTTCCTATCTTGTGTATCTGGTCTATCGTGTTTGAAGAGAAACTTTAGTTGTAGATTGGCGTCTGGAAATGACTCATTCTTATGAATGCCTGGGTGTACTCGGGAAAGATATATCTGACGTTGAGTTATACTTCGTGGTTCGGTTTGGATAAATAGGACACTGCATAGAGCATGGGGCTCATATATTTCATAGCAAAATATTGATAAAATAGAATTGACCAACAGATCCCTAATTATTTCCCAAACACTATCCCAAAAGACATAACTAGGGTCATTATTAACTATTATCAATCATATTGACGTGCACTTGGTCGAACGTTGAACAGACATCCCCACGTCCCACCGCCCGCACACTGCATTCTGCCCCTCTTACTTGGCCACAATTCCCGCGGCCTTCCCCAGACATTTCCCCATCTAACACATCCAACCCTCCACAATGTCGCGTCGCGCCCAAATCGAGGAAGTTTCCGACTCCGACCCAGAAGAGATCGCCCCTTCTTACGACTCTGACGAGGACCTTCCCAGAAATGCCATCATCGCACCCGTAAATATCCCGAGGGCTGCACCTCAACCTCAACAACAACAGATGCCCATGCCCCAGCCCATGCCATCGATGCCGGCGCCTGAGCCTCAGCGCGAGATTCCCCGACACTTCTCATGCTTGTACCCCGTGTACTTCGATAAAACCCGATCGCGCGCCGAGGGCCGCAAAGTCGGTGCGGAGCTCGCAGTGGAAAACCCTCTTGCTCGAGATATCGTCGATGCCGTCCAGATGCTTGGCTTGAATGCCGGCTTGGAGCCAGAGAAGCTGCATCCTAAGGATTGGGCGAATCCCGGTCGTGTGCGTGCGCAGGTTAGGACCCAAGATGGTCAATTAGCCAACCCGAAGATCAAGAACAGTACGTGGCTGATGCCTTTGATGGAGTGAATGCTTCTTTCTGTTGGACATGAACTGACATTGTTGCTTAGAGCACCACCTCTATATTCTCGTCGCACAGTACTTGAAGGCTAACCCTACCACCGAAAAATCACCCTACCGGCTACGAATCCGTGGCCTGCCCATGCCTGAGAAGCTTCCAGCAGCTCCTGCTGCCCCGCGGGGTTGGAAGATCGGGACGATCCTACCTATCCACTCGCCTGCCTACAGCGGTGGTGGTGTCAGTGACAACCCCCTCAAGGACGCAATGGCCGAGATGCAGGGCATGGAGGGAATGCCGAACATGTCTGAAATGATGAGTCAAATGGGCGGAATGGGTGGACTGAGCAGTATGTTGGGTGGACTAGGCGGGCTAGGCGGAATGGGTGGAATGGGCGGCGAGCCCTCAGGGGCAGGCGCGGAAAAGAAAAAGAAGGAAAAGAGGAAGGTGATCAGGGCATGATTTAGCATGCCCTTTATTCCGTGTTCCAATTGCATTGTATGGCGATGGGCGTTGCTTTTTCCCCCTAATTTTTGATGCACTCGAGAAAGGGATACTTCTTGATACCACGGATCTGCATCTGAATTGATCTTATTGTACATCCACCTCAAATCATGTCCAACACCTACCTGATAGTTGTCTGTCCTGTATGAATCGAACATTTCATGGACTAGCAAGTGCCGATAAACCATAAGAGAGCTACCAAGAAAGAAGGTGGAGTATCAGTTCTAAACTTGCATATAACTATGCTATGCAAATGCTTTAGTAGTGCTGAGTTTGGTCCGAGGGTTGATCTAGCGGGATTCATTCAAGAAGCAGTGAACGATAAGTCAAGTTCTCATGCAAGGGCCGGCAAATCTATGTACTAGCTAAAACGGACATGTTCATGGGTATCATTATCATGCGGTGTGTGTTTCTGTGCCGTCCGGGCATCCTCCATTTCTATACTGCCAGAGCCGACTAAAGTCCTTGACGCGCAGTACTCGATCCAACTCATTCGGCGGTGACCGTCGCACGGTCAATGCGACAGGGAGAAACGCCTCGTCTCGGGCTATCGTGGACCCAACTCGACGCGGAGGACCATCATATCCATTTATACCGGCGGTTGCCCATGGCTCGACTTCCATATCCATGAATGAATTGGAGTCGAGGACGTTCATATCAGGACCTAGGGTAAACATGTTGCCGAGGTAATGCATGTTGAACAGGTGGCCTGAATGCGGGCGCACGAACAGCCGGCCCATGTATCGATTCGGGATTTCCACGAAGTGAAGCACTCCTCCCTGAGCCACGATGTCACCTTCATTGGCGTAGTGCTCGATGTGGCCGATGGACTGACCAAATTCAGGCGTTAGATCAGGTGCTGTGTTTCCTTGTGGCCTTGCGAGCTTTGTCCATCGCGGGTTGTTGAAGTGATTCGCGGCATTTCCGAAGGTGTATACCTCCAAGTGATGAAGGAGATTGTGTGGTAGCTCATCCAGAAGCCAGTCCATGACAAGGCCCCCTTCAATACCGCCTTGACTGTGAAGAAGCAGAACCACTTTATCACATTCTGGGTCTAAGATAGCTTCCTTGACCAAGGAATACGCTCGTCGTATATCGCCAGTAGCGTAGGCAAAATCTCGCTGAATCAGACATTCAATGAGATCAAATATGATGCCAGCGCTAGATTCCATTAGTATTTGCAAGTCTGAAACCCAACACGTTACTTACGTGCGATTGTGCACGGCCGTCACTTTCCGACCAAAGATGTATGACAGTTGATCGATGTTCATCTGTACCCAGTGGTGTCTACAGGTAATTTGAGTTAGCAACTGAAGACAGAGAACTACGGAGATATATCTCCTACCCCGCTGCAATTCCATTTATATACACCCAACGCTCCCGCTCATGACTTGGTCGCTCGACCACAGACACTTGAGATACCAGGACCCGCTGGAAGCTGTTCAACATCAACATGACAATCGAATAATTCACAGTGAAAGCAATAGCCGAATAAACAATGATCCACAGGCCAGGAACCATGCAGATAACCATGATCGGCAGCGAGAGCAGGAAAGCAACTTGATAAACCAAGAGAAACACATGGGTCAACACCGTAGATGCATTGCGTAACGACGGATAGAGCTCGTCCAGCTCACGGGTGTGACCTAGATTGAGGGGCCGTAGAATACCTGGAAGCGCCCATAGCTTCGAGATAAACAGGGACAAGTCGCTCGAGAGTAACTTGGTGGGCGAGGCAGTGTAGGGCAACGGGGTATCCTCCTTGCCCGGACATGTCATTGTGGAACGTTGACAAGAGAAGAAGTGTAACGTTGAGATGAAAGTGGACATGAAAAAGGCGCTTTGTTGTCTTGTCATGTGATATAGCGCCTGCCTATAACCTCGTGTTCGTGAGATCTATACGAGCTTGTGACTTACATCGGCTGATTGACCTACGGGACTTTTTTGGAATGTGGCTTTTTGGTTTCTTTCATATTAAGTAATTACAGTGATATTATTGTTCTCATTCTTTGATTCCTTCCTTCGATGAAACTTGAATCTCCGTCATTTCGCGAAGCAAACCTGGGAGAGGCGCTTGCAATCAGCGTGGTCGATGTTCTGTTATAGTCAACACACAGTTAGCTATAGATCAGATAATGGGAGAATATGAAAGGGAGGATATTAACGAACACCATGACGCATTTTTCGACGATTGTTGCGGCGGAACAGATATCTTCGGTTGATCTGCATACCGGCATGGCGAATCTCACTTCGATACCATTTTGCAATGTCTTTGGCGGTACTGGCAATTTCAATGTCGCTCAAATTCCAGTATCCTGGGACACGCAGGGACAGGCACCATTTGACGTCGTGATGGACGGGCTCAGATGAAATGATACCGTCTCGGGCGACGATGCGAGCCACCACAAGGTCCATCAAATCTTCGTCGTCAAGTTGGTGATCAGCCCAGTTGAAGAAGACAGTCACCCACTGGTTTCTTCCAGCGGGATAGTGTTTTTCTCGAATGTTTCGTCCATCTGGATAGTTGAACATTCCTTGGAGCTTGGTGCGCTTCTTTGCTTCCTTTGTGACTGGAGAGGAGTCAACAGACGAGATTGGTGTTTCCATGGTGGAAATGTCTGAGATAGAGAAGAAGATATTGGTAAGATAGAACAGGAAGAAAGAAGTGAGTCGAGAATGAGACAGGGTGAGTTTAATATCTACATACTATATTGAATGGAACGAAAAGAACAAAGACCATTGATCGTTTTTAATAGTACAATTCATTGTGATTCAGCTGTAGAGCGATTAATAGGAGCCTTTGATGATCGCGGAAGTTAACCCCAATAGTGCATTACAATAAAGCTTTGTCCTTTGAGGACTGAAAACACATTGTTTAGCTGAGCTCACATTATGATGAAAGCACATCGACAACAAGCTACTTCATTAGGAGTATATAAACGTCCGCAAGACAAAATTCTCCTCCCCAAACAGGATATCAAAACCAACCCCAAGCCCCTGATCCAGCCCAGCAGGACGCTGTGTACACAACCTGCGATAGGAGTGAACAAAGACAGTCTAGTGACTACATCCCATTCCAAAAAATATAACTTGGAAACTGACCTCCTCATATTGTTTATTATTTAGGACAGACATATCGTCTGAAATCTACCACAGGGCTACCACGACCCAGCCCTCCTTTAAAACTGTGATAACCAAAAGCAATGGGAAAAGATGGAGGGTGGTTCGAAAACAGACGAGACACAAGCGGTAGACGTAGAGCCCCTTTCTCAGGACAAAGAGACACCCGGTTTGTCACTGACCTGAGAAGGGACGAAATTAAAAAGCTAACAGAGATCCTGCACATAGACAACACAAGAGCGAGACACACTGGTGAGATCGTCAGGCGTATGATACGCGAGTTGCCGAAGGATATGCGCCGTGATCGCTGGTCAAGAACGAACAAGCATCTGTGCGATGCCCACCAGGGTCTGAATGCAAATCTTATGGCCGATGTGTTCAATCTTGTTCAGAGGGAGGTCGGTCACCACCTCCGCAAGTTTGACGCGTACCCGGACCTGCTGAAGCCCCTCGATGTATTGATCCTGCAGAAGCTGCAGGCTATACGGGGCATGTGGGAGAAACCTGACCCGAAAAACAAGGCTGTCTCACAAGCATGGCACTATGAGATCAGCTGCTGTCAGGGGTGTATGGTGGCTCGGATTGCGAGTGACAAGCATGCGCTGCGCAATCTTCGAATCGCTTTGCTCTCTCGCACGCAGACCCGTCTGAACCATGCCCCACGAAGACTTATGAAATTTGTCGATACCTGCATTGACCTATTCCCTGATGACGTTGATGAGCTGTATGGCACATCTAGCCAGTTTGCATTCATCTTGAAAGATACCCGCAAGGCCTGCAGCAAGGCCTGGGCCAAAGACCCAGCACATGCGGATTCGAGGACCCCACAGCGAAGGCACACCGACCATGACAAGATCGACAAGGGTGACAGAAACGAAAAGATCGGAAAGGATGCACATAGCCATCAACCAGCTAGTGAGTATGATCCGAGGAAGAAGTATCCCCAGCCACCACCACCAATCACATTATCACACCCTACGGAAAGGTATGCCCCCGAATCATCCCGGTCAACTTAATGTACTGACACTGACACTGGAGGGCGCAGAATATATCGCCTGACGTCGGGCCATTCCAGATGGCCGTAAGATCATCGTACCATACGGAGCTAGATCGACGCTCAGACCCGAACCCGGAACGCATCACTAGATTTTTGGATTTCGCCGATGACAATTACCAAGGCTTAGGAATAAGCACGGAAAGGCAAAGTGCGAGCACTTTTTATGGACACCCTGGAAACCCCCCGTCACCGAGCACCGCAAGCACACTCTTGGGAACCATGGAGGAAATCGACAAACTTCTTGAGATGTACAAGGGTATGGGAGCAAACCCCTACTCGCACAGCACGCAATATTGTTCATTGCATGGGGGTAGCGGTGCCTCATCACAGTGTCGTTCCCCGTCGATCTATTCCACTGGCAGTGAATGGAGTGACGAAGACGAAGACTGGAGGATGCCAGAAAGTGGCCCAGCAGCGAGGACCACTTGAAATTTGTTGTGTGAACAGTCGAATATGATCTGATCGCTTCTTTTTGTCTTCGCATCTCGCATGGGCGCTTTGTTCCTCGTGCTCTTGTGCCCCGTCATTTCCTTTTGATGCCATTTGGTTTTTCTTTTTGATTGTATGTCAAATCTGGTCCGAGTCAGGTGTTCTGAGAATATGATATTTGCAAATGTATCCGAGTTAACGAATACCCAAAGGAAAGAAGTAAATGGCAAATAATAAACATTATTGACAGTAGGTCATAGAGCAAACCATGTACAAAGCATTGACAGGCGCATTCTGAAGTATTAATACATTGGGCCATTGATCCCATATACAAAAAATAACGGAAAGCCCCACAGTCTGGCGGAGTCCGCCAGCAGCTCCAGGGACGGGGTTAGGGGGTGCGTAGAAAAATCAACACGTTCTCGGGCTTCATTTCATCATGGCTTCAGTTGTGGAGAACACTTCCAGGAACCCCGTGACTCGGGCCCTTGAGACTATCAACAGTCTTTCGGCGCAGCCGAGTGCGGGCCGCAGGTCCCTCAGTTGATACCACCACCCGCTCACGCTCACGTTCACGTTCTCCGGTCAAAGTCACAGCTGGGGTGTTATTAAGCGCCTGGGCAGCATCCAGATCCACCTGCTTCTGAGCGTTCTCCCGAGCTCGCTCGTAGCGCAGCTTGACCTCACCAGTCCACCGAGTGCCAAGAAGGCGGTCCCAGAAGATGAAGAACGGCTGGGAGAAGTTGGTCTTGATACCCCAGCTTTGGTGATGAATGTCGTGGTAGGCGGCATTGTTGGAGGTAAAATGCTGCAGTGGATCCCACGGGAAGGCGTAGCCACAGTGATCGTCGACAGTCTTGATAGTCGACATTGTAAAAAACCACATGGCCTGGCGGGTGGTCATGCCAGAGACCAAGAACCCAATACCAGTGCCAGCTGTGTCCAGGAGGAATCCCTCAACCGGATGGTTGTAGAGGGCGCCGAAAGCATAAGGAACGTAAAGACGGTGATGGCGGGAGTGGAAAGTCACTAACAGCTGGTTAGTATGGAATCATCATTCAACTTTGAAACGTCAAGACATACCATAGAGCCACCGGTTCAGATGCATAGCGCGGTGGAGGAAGTACTGCCAGGTATCCACAATGGAAATCGCTAGCATGAACTGGAGGGTCGGTATAAAGTACCAATATATGAAACTGGCAACTGCAAGTTCCCAGCTCGTGAACGCGGGCGCCACAGCCTCGGCTCCGTTGTCGAGGATTATGGACTGGGTTACATCGGGGTATGATCCACCAGCCAGAGCTCCGGCCAACATAGTATAACCGCTTTGGGACACGGATTTTCCAAGACTGATAGCGTCAACTCCAACAAGAGCTAACAATGACGGGAAGGCCTTTTGTGCGATCCGCAATCGCTGCGCCCACACGGCGACATCATATTCCTCTCTGCCAACAGTTTCCTCGGCATCAAAGTATAGGAACGCAAGACCGGCCACGGTCTGAATAACCTGTTGTAAGACAACATCCCGCACAACTTCCCAGCGAGTCACTTTGTTTCGTTTCAGAACTTCTGCGGGGGTGTGGAGGCGGTATTCGACGAAGTAATCATTAACATCGAGGTAATGATAGATCATAGACAGGACCCAGTATGCGATGACGGGCAATACAAGCGAAAGGATGTTGTCAGGAAGAAAAGCAAGCAGATGTCCTTGTGGTGTCAAAGTGTAGGTTGGTAGGGGAGGAAGGTCAAACGCGACGGATGCGTTCATAGCCATGACGAAAGGATGGCGATGTGTTGAAGTGTAGCACAAATATCCAAGAATGCCGATCAAAAGATCTCGGAATCAATATCTTGGATATTGAAATGGCCCCGAGGTCAGAAATCAAACGAAGAGTGAACGTCTGCAACTGCCCACCACGTCGAAGTCCGGATGCTGACGGGTAGGCGCGACGCAAGAATGATTTCCGATCAGTCAGAGACCTCTCGGAGCTGGCGGTTACATACAAAAGGAAGTATGTAAAAAGACGAAGAGAATCAGATAATGATAATGAAGGAAAGAATAGGAACGGCCGAAGAAGATAAAAGATAAACGTTCAGATCAGGAGACGCCCGGATTCGGGTGGCGCGAGCCGGAGCCAAGACAAACCAGGATGATACACGTATTATTGGTATTTGTACAGATTGGCTGATAGAAATAGGCAAAATACAGTATGGTATGGTATGGCATAGACTTATGCTGACTCAGCTTTATACTTCGACCTGGACAGCCCTGAAAGAAAGTAAATTGGTTGCTACAGTGAAAAAGAATCTCAATTGATTTAAATTAATTGCTTCAGACGGCTTTTTTGGATGAATTGACCACATACCTAAATTTGCCGGTATTTATATAAGCCATTGTTGCCCTAAGAATGACATTGTGCCTGGGAAGTACCTTGAAGTACCCAATACTGCGCTAACACCGAGCCAGTGGCGGTGGCCCAGACTCTCCGATACCGATTTGGTACAAACCGAACAAACACAAAGTCCCCCGCTCTATTTTTTTTTTTTTTAAAGAAAAACCTCGTCCCCCCACCTTGAAATTGTTTTTCTTCCTTCCCGTGCTACCCTTACTTTCTTACCTCTTCCGTCTTCTTAACATATAATTCCGCCAAAATGATTATCTACACTGTATGTTTGTCAATATCAGATCCTTGGATCTCTTCGTTCGCAGGTGAATCTCAACTGACAATATCCACTAGGACATCGTTTCCGGTGACGAGATCGTCGCCGATACCTTTGACCTTGTCCCCAACAAGGAATTCGATATCCTTTGGGAGTGTGACTGCCGCAAGTACCTAAAGCGTGCCAACGAAGACTTCCAGCTCGAGGGTGCCAACCCCTCCGCTGAGGACGCTGATGAGGATGGTGGCGAGGGTGAGGCCACTATGGTCCACGATATCGAGGACCAGTTCCGTCTGGTCTGGCTCAAGGTCGAGGACGGCGCGAAGCCCTCCAAGGAAAGCTACAAGACCCACATCAAGTGTATGCTCACCATTTGGTCTTGACTTGGTCCACGCAAATTACTAACTTTCGTTCTTTAATTCAGCTTACCTCAAGAAGCTCCACAAGAATGCCGCGCCCAAGTTCGCTGAGGCTGGCACTCCTGAAGCCGCTGAAGCCGCCGAGAAGGCCTGGAAGACCAAGGCCGCCGGCGCTATGAAGAAGATCCTTGCCAACTGGGACAACTACGATGTTCTCATGGGCCAGTCTATGGACGGCGATGCCATGTATGTCCCCATATTATGACCTTTTTCTTGAAATCTTAAGCTGACCGTTCCCAGGCACGTCCTGATTGACTTCCGCGAGGATGGTGTTACCCCCTACGCTACTGTCTGGGCTGACGGTCTCAAGGCCGTCAAGGTCTAAGCCACTCTTGTCATTCCAAAGAAGGCGATAGTTAAAACATACGCACCCTACACGAACAAATACGTCTTGTTGGAAGAATTGCGAGTTACAGTTCAGACGCAGCGGCTACTTATTCCCCTTTTCTGGGCCTGTCCGTTCTAATAACCCCCTCGCATTTTTGTATCCCCGAGTTAGTGATCCATTGGGTCCTCAAGAGTTACGCTTCATGAAATCATCTGTCATGTCTTTTCTTTCTAGCTTGTACTATGTAGTTGGCTAGACCCCCGTAAAACCCTTCTCTTATGAAAAAATGCAAAGCGACACCAATAATTACAGGGATATATAACTATACTTGCAGATCTTTTGATTATTCATCACTCATAATAATTGATCCTAAGGATATCCCGGCCAACCACTCTCATTTTTCCCATTCCAGGGCGGAAAACCCCCTTCTGGAGGGCAGCCTGGAAGTGGAAGACCATTGGCATCTAAATCAGGCATGTTGATGGGGCTAGTACCATGAAATGTTGAGGTAGTTAAATCAAGACCCGAAACGGGATCCAGCTCCATCAGGTCATCTGCGACAGGAAGATGTTGTCCGAACACAGCATCCCACTGGTCCCAATCGAAGTTGAGGTTTGGGTCAACCATCGATGGAGGCGTAGGAATTCTAGGTATTCCATTAGGACACGCAGGATCCACGAAGGACATGCCACCACCAGCAGTAATGTCAGCATCTGAAGGCTGAATGTGTGGGGCGGGAGGGGTGGATGCAGAACATTGTGTCGGTGGAGGTGCACCAAACAAGGAGTCCGTATTGGGCGAGGAGGTGCCAATGCGGGGAGGTATGGGATTATCGGCGGGGGGAGGGTTGAATTGGGAATGTGAAATTGGGGATAAGGCTTTACCCTGTGGTTGGTATTGGTATCGTAGAAGGGTTTTAGTAGCATCCGGGTTAACAGGATCCGAGGTGTGAGAGCGGGTGAGGTTGTAGAATGTTTTGACGAAATCGCTAGGTTTGGATTTGTGTGTTGAGGGATGGCCGGCCGATGCTGAACCCGGAGACTCGGCCTGAGAGTGATCTGAGCTAGGAGAGTGACAATCCCCGCGAGTGTCAACTGGCGAAGCGACCCCAGCCTGGATCTGGTCTTGTTCGGTCCAGAGCATTCGCGGATTGAGGCCTGCCTTTTGCCAAGCCTTCTGACGAAGGCGGCGGATCATATCCCAGGCTTCACGGCCACCGTCCTTCAGTGGCCGTTGTGTTGAAACACCGTCTTCACCACCTACGACACCTCCATCCGGACCAGAAAGTGCGAGTATGCTGTCGATGAACGCGCGGGACTTAGGTGCTTCAGGGCTGTAAGGTCGCTCATATAGGTCAATAAGCATGATCCTGTATCTTATTAGCGTTATCACCAACACCTAATAATGGAGTCATACATAGTAGCATGCATTGGTTGATGATTACTAAGAATGAATATCAGTTGCCCATGATTCCTGGCCACCACACTAGTGGAAAAACTTACCCAGGCCAGCTCCAATGAAAGGGCTGGAAATCAGGATCCGTTGCGAGTTGGATGAATTTTTCCATGAAACCATGGCAATGACGAAGTGCACTATCCATATTAGCACATAGACTCATTTCCCGATGGTGTGTGCAAACCTTTGGCGTGCCGCTGGCCAAATCCGGCTGCGAGCGTTCTTCAGGAAAGGCTGATAGGCTACGCAGAAGGCCTAGAGGAAGGTTAGTTGAGTACGAAACTAGCAAAGAGTGAGAAAGCGCACCTTGTCAATATATAAAGAAAGAATGATCTTCGCCCATTTATGGAAGCAAATAAGAACCGGTGAATGATATTGTTCAGAGCATCCGGTGGGACCTTCGCCTGGAAGCTCTGTGTCGGAAGAGGGGCCATCGGGGGATTTGGATATAGAAAACGCTCGACCTGGCGTTGACAGGTTATCAACATCCTTCCCCTCTGGAATCCTGTTGATGATGGAATTCAGTCTCAGCTGCAAGTCAAGGAGTATTGACCGGAGCTCCTCCATGTCCTGCCTGGTGAGAGGCTTTATTCCAAGCTGGATTTTCAATATTCGGCGGATAGCGCCTGGTAAAGATTAGTGGGTGGGTTTTTAGGGGTTTGAAATGAAAAAGGGTACACACGAGCCATGGTATATTTCCCTCTGGCGGTCAGATAGTAGACGTTGACCATTGATGGTCCGCCGCAAATAGTGGGGTCATCTGGATTATCAGGCAGCCGCTCTCGCGAAGCAACCTGTTTCATATAGGACTCTGCAGCGGGGCTACCTAGCATCGTATCTTTCATCTCACTAGTCTCGCACACATCCCAATAATTCTCGTCGTTGACAAGTGGAGGCAGACCGCTTGACATCGCAACGACACAGTCCATGTGGATGATGTGCCACCATAAACGGCGCCGGTACTCAGCTTCGCATGGCTCTATGCCAAACTTAGCGGGATCCCGATGCAAGCCCATGGTTTGCGCAACCCTCATCGCAAGACTAACAAAGAGACTAGTCGTCAAAGGCTCCTCCTCCTTCGTGACAATTGTCTGTACGAGAAGATAAGCAGCAAGGCCTTGAAGTGAAGGGCTGCGCGGGAATTTGATCTTCGTGAGCCATTTAGTAACTTCTTCAGTATAGATTGTCGAAAGGGCCGACCGCGAGGACACATTAAATTCAGCTTCAATTGCTCGGATCGAAATAGTCACTGAGCCGCCATACCATATCGCGTATAACAGTGGGATGAATGACGGATTTGGGCACGACTCTCCCGAATAGCTGCTGTAGTCGTACCAATCCCAGAAAGAATTGTAGAGCTTGAGGATAGTTGGGGGGTGAATGATAGGACTGATAGCGTGTACACCGGAAATAAATCCCTTGTAAAGAATATGGCTTTGCCGTCTCGTTGGCATGTGATCAAGCATTTCTGGCTCCACCACCTTTTCATTGATCGAGGGGGAGTCACCTGAAGGGAAGATTATAGATTGTTGGAAGGAACGAGACCTAGGCGCCATCGAAGGTGCCGAGCTGCCTATTGATTCTCTCCATGACTGTTGGCCATCGGCATGCGAATCTGTTATGTCTTCATTATTTTTTTCAGGGGTAGACTGATCATGTGAGCTATTTTGGTCTCTCAGTAATTGATTGAGCTCATTGATCTAGATGCGAGTTAGTCAACCTGTCTGCCAGTTGGAGAGTCGAGTGAGCAGCATACTTCGCCAGAGATATAAGCCCAATACGTGGTGCCAACATATCTAGTTATTTAGGGTTAGAAAAAAGATTTGTATTCTCAAATGAAGCAATTTTGACCAACCTTGACCTTCCACCGTCCTCTAGGCTCAAATGGCCTAAGTTCAAACTGCCAACCGGGTCTACCAGATCGGTGGCCTGACCGGATGGAATTGGAAATTCGTCGCTGCTCGATTCTGCAGCAATGCGACGTGGACTGGTAGATCTTGGCGGTGTTTTATTTCCGTCCAGACTATTGCTCGGCCGTGAGTCATCCAACTGTGTGGGTTCCACGGCCGTTGCCTGTATCTCTACATCCTCGAGTGTTTGACCGTTCCTTCCGAGGCGCTCAATCATTGACATAAGCTTATCGAGTCGTGATTCAATGGCGCTTGGGTCGGGCTTTTCGCCTGTCGACTCTGCCCGCTTCAAGTGTCCGTAAAGTGATTGGAGCTCGTCGACATCTTCCTCCAATGTCCGGGGCATCTCTCTTCTTCGTTTAATGCCGTGTATATTTTGGGGAGACCCATCGCGCCTATCGTCATCTTTTTGGGATGACACATCATATATACACTCGGTGTTGTTCTTCACACAATTTCCACATATGGGGTGTATCTAGAAGAATTATGTTAGCTTAGAACAGGGGCTTCAGTATTGATGGCAATCAGATCAATCTACCTTGTCGCATTTGACCTTCCGACGCCGACACGTGTGACAGCTGTAGCTCGCGCGATTTCGGGTGATCTGGCGGCCTCCAGCCAAAGGTCCCCTCAATGATGACGGAGCAGACGAGTTGCCAGGGATGGAAGGACCCGATACGGGCTGAGCATTGGGTGGGCTCTGGTTCATAGTCCCTGGCAAGACATGAAAATAGATCAAATTGTTAGCATGAAAACGAGACGCGCAAAAAAAGAAAAAACGGCGCTTCGCCGACTGCGGGGGTTCCCTGACGTTATCGGAGACCGAAGCCCAATGATATCACTCCATGCCGAGGTCAGCATTGATGCCTGAATTTGCCGAGTTTGCCTGAATTTGCGGGCAAGAATATGATTTGTTGCCTTGCTGTCACTAGTACTAGGGCTTTTTTTTTTTTTTGCCAAATATGCCAGTAAATTTGTCTAGTTTTTGATGTATAATCTTCCATCTGTGCGCAGGAGAAGCCTTTAGACTACTAACACGTTTATGGCAAGATATCGGGGTAAGATCTTTTCGATGCCTTTCCTGCGCTGTTCAATGCTGTGTGTGGGTTTGTCAAGAAAGCTCAGACCAGAAGAAGAGACAAATATTCAATAAAATCGTATTACATGTCCAGCTTTACCTAGGAACTATTATGACAGGAACTAAAACTGTATGTCTAAGCCACTGTCAGAAGTCGGACAGGGATTCTAGTGTGCAATCTGTGATGATCTATAGATTGAAAGGAATCTTACAAGACATGAATGATTCAAAAGCAGATGTTCCATAGAGATCTGCATAGTGGCAATTTTCGGGCTGTCTGCAGTGTTCTCTCGTAGTTCTACCTGAAACCCGACGGTATACTGCAGTATTGGGCTCCCTGTTTCTCACCACACACGCTAATGCAAGAGCGCCTCAGATGATGTCTCGTAGCCAACCAATCCAAAAACCTGAACGCTAGCCAGCTGTACATTCCCCCCTCCCCCCCTCCCAAAAGAAAAAAGCACCAAGTGGCCTAGAACTTGGGATTCGCTGTAAAAAGAATAACAAGCCTAACATTTAAATCCTGACGATTTCCCACGTATTTTCCTAGACAATATTGCATCGGAAGCTAAATAATATTCACAATGAGTTTTGGAGTGAGCATCGGGGACTTCATTTCGGTTCTTACTTTGGCTAATAAGCTCCGAAGAGACTTTGTTGGCGCTCCGAGCCAGTTCAACAGTATCTCCAGAGAGTGCGTCGATATTGTACACCTAGGTTGTCGGCCAGTAACTGATAATTTTGGTCTTACAGGGTCAGGGGGCTGGCAATTATTCTCCAGGATGTCGATGTTCAACTACTGGGCCATGATACCAATGATCAACAACAAAACCAACTAGGGCAAATCAGTCACAGCTGTGTGATCCTGCTGAACGAGCTTCAAAATGCTCTGGAGAAATATAAACTCGTTGAATACAGTGGCACATCAATTCACAAAAAAGCTAGAGGTATTTGGAAGAGGATTGTCTGGGAGCCGGAGGACATAAGTGAGCTCCGAGGTCGCCTAATGTCTAATGTGATATTGCTCCAGTCATTTTTGAGTGCTATATCAAGGTATCATATATACTTCTCCCCTTCTGCCCCACCTGCCGCACCTAAGCATGACCAACATCTGAAATCCATAGTCAAACGATGGCTGCGACAAAGCAAACACTGGAACAGCTCAACTACAGACAAGAAGGCAATGAAAAGTCTTGCATTCTCGACTGGCTGTCTGCCGTGGATTACACGTTACAGCAGAGTGATCTTCTCGGTCGACGACAAGGGGGAACTGGGAAATGGCTTCTCGATTCGCAAGAATATAAACATTGGCTTCGAACACGCCGAGGCACCTTGTTTTGTCCCGGAATGCCGGGTGCGGGAAAGACCATCTGTTCTGCTATCCTTGTCGATGATTTGACTACGCGCTTTGAGGATACCCCAGATGTCGGAATAGCTTACATTTATTGCAACTTCAATCGACAAGATGAACAGACAGCTCAAGAGTTGCTTTCAAGTCTGTTGAAGCAATTAAGTCAGAAGAAGACATCTGTTCCGGATGCAGTCAAGGACCTATACAAGCGCTACAAAACTGCATCGACGCGTCCCCGATTCGATGAAATATCGAAAACTCTGCATTCACTCGTTTCCACGTATTCCGATGTGTTTATTGTCATCGATGCCCTCGATGAGTGCGAATCCACTTGCCGTACCAGGGTTTTGGACGAGCTCAATAAACTTCGTGCCGGGCCTGGAGCAAATGTCTTCGCCACATCAAGACCTACAGAAATTAATGATTTGTTTGAAGGGGGTTCCGTTCTGGAGATCCAGGCACAAGAAGACGACGTTAGACGGTACCTTGCTGGGAATATGTTCCGACTCCCGGGGTTTGTAAGCCGAAATACTGCATTGCAAGAGGAGATTATGACTGCAATCTCACGCCATGTACAGGGAATGTGAGTGCTCTTTATGAGATTGAATCTCCACAAAACACCTAGATTGCTCATTTACTTTCAGGTTTCTCCTTGCACAGCTTTATTTTGAGTCACTGATCGGTAGAAGGTCACCTAAATCTACTCGAACCGCTCTGAAAGAGTTTTCGAAGGGGTTTAATGACTATGCATACGACAAGGCCTATGACGACGCGATGAGCCGCATTCAAGGGCAACTGAGAGAGCAAACTGATTTGGCGATACAAACTCTATCTTGGCTCACATGCGCGAGAAGGCCACTCACTTCATTGGAACTGCAGCATGCTCTTGCAATAGAAGAAGGAGAATCTAGTCTTGACGAGGAGAACATTCCGGAGATTGAAGACATCCTTACTGTGTGCGCTGGTCTTGTTACCGTTGAAAATGAAAGCGGGATAATTCGACTGGTCCATTATACAACGCAAGAATACCTCGAGCGGAAGAAAGATATGCTCTTTCCCAGCGCCGAAACTGAAATCAGCATGTTATGTGTCACTTACATCTCGTTCGACACGTTTGGGTCTGGGATTTGTGAAAGTGATGAAGCGTTTGAGGAGCGTCTAGAATCACATCCATTCTACCGTTATGCGGTACGCCATTGGGGCGACCATGTGAGAACAACCAAAGATCTGCATCCTGACGTGATAGAGTTTCTGAAAAACCAGTCGAAAGTTGAAGCTTCAGAACAAGCACTCCATGTCAGGAGGCACTCAATCCCAAAAGATTGGAGCCAGAATTTTCCAAGGGAAAAGACGGGACTGCATCTCGCTGCAGACCGTGGAATTGAGGCAGCAGTATCCTACTTTCTTCAACACCAGCACTCCGTGGACGTACGTCATAACGGTGGCTGGACAGCATTGCAATATGCCATTTCAAGAGACCACCTGAATGTCGTCAAGTTACTTCTTTCCTGTGGAGCTGATGCAAACGGAACAGGTCAGGATAATTTCACCAGCCCACTTTCACTTGCTGCCCAGTACGGACAAGAGGACATTGTCAGACTTCTTCTTGAGCGCGAAGTTGACGTTGATGGCCAGACTGGATGGTACCAAACCGCACTCATCGCAGCGTGTGACAAGGGCTATCTAAATATCGTTGAAACTCTCCTTAACAACAATGCAAATATCAATGCCGAAAGTGAGATACATGGTACACCCCTCGCTGCTGCGTCAGAGGCGGGTCACTGGAAAATTGTGACCTTCTTACTTGAGAAGGGGGCTACACCCAGTTCTCAAGGGAACGAGGGTGAAACCGCTTTGGCATCAGCAGCATTACAGGGCCAGGAAGATATCGTACAAATCTTGCTCGATCATCATGCGGATGTCAACCAACGAGAAGGAACTGCCCTCATAGCGGCTTGTCGCAGCGGGCATGAGCAAGTGGTACGAATACTCCTGGCTAATGGTGCCGACCCGAATGCGGGAAACGGAGGACATAGCAGCGCACTGGTAGCAGCTTCGATGAACGGAAATCAGCAAATAGTGCACATGCTCCTCGAGAGCGGTGCCAACATCAACGCGGAAAGTTATCTCGGACCAGCACTAGTTGCTGCTGCAAAAACGGGGAACGACCACATAGTCAAGGTGCTACTCGAAAATGGTGCTGAGATTCACGGCCGTGGCAAAGTCCAGGGATGCGCATTACATGCAGCTGCTTCCCGCGGAGATAGCCAGATAGTGCAAATGCTCCTCGACAGAGGTGCCGACAGCACCATTCGTGCTGGTGTTTACAAAACGCCCCTGCGAGCAGCCTTGATGGGAGGTCATCAGGAGGTTGCCGCGCTTCTCAAAAGACAGGGGCAGCAGTTGAGGGTCTGAAATGCGTTTGCGTGGAATAAATTATATTATGTGTTGGTATCAGATATAGCAGAATTCATGGTACATGGTGTCATTTTTCTCTTGTTTCTTGTTCGGTAATTTCCATAGTTGTGATTCTCCTCTTCTGATGGCAAAGCAAGGTGTGTAGAGAGTTAAGGGCCGACTGGACTTTAAACTCTGCGATCTCCTGAAGAGAGATCTGATCGCTAGCTATATGGTATAAGTCGAGGTAATGAAAAGATCACGATCCCATCTCCAGGTTATGAAACAAGGGAAGTCAAGCATTCACTATGAAATCATTCTATGAGCATAACTCCAATATAAGCTTGTCACTCATTGTTTATTTCACGTCCTTCTTTCAAGTGTCAACATGGCACCTCGGCGCCACATAGCCAGTACTACGGGTGTCAATCCACCGCTAATATGTCTTCTATGTGGAATGGAGCTCCCATACACGGGTAATTCTGGGATTGCAAATACAGGCGAACGTGATCAAATACTCAAACAGCAGTGGAAAATTATTTGGAGAGCATACCATGTGATGGTACCATCTCGCGAGGTAGAGGAGTCAGACTTTCCAAGTCTGTCGGAAACATTGGCGCAAGAACACAATGTGGAGGTTATATGACAACAACGTGCGTTTTGTACAACCGCTCCAGGACCTATTGCAGTATGAATACGGCTGCGATATCTATCAAAATCCACTAGTGCCCAAAGTTCAACAAGCCTTGGATTGCGCAGATGTCGAAAGCCTACGGCAATCAAAAGGTCGAATATCTTCCCGGTCCAGCAATATTCTATTGGAAGTTGCCATTCTGATTGCCGAGTGGGTCTGTCCTATTAAGCATACCTTGAGTGATATAAAAAAACACGGGGAATATGCTTTTGGTGTTTGGGTGGAATTTGCCTGGTTGGTTTTGGCAAAGACGATTGGATGAAGGATTGTTCATTGAATTGGATAAACTTAAGAAGGTGATGTCTCCAGTCGGTTGGCAATTGCGGCTGAATTTGATGTGTCTTGTTGTGGGTAGAACTGAGTTCAGGTCCAGTAGTGGTCTAGCAAGTCGTGAACGGGTGTTGAAGAGTATTCTTGCTCTTGAAAAACCCTACTTAACTCTAGAATCAGCCAAGGAGAAAGCGCTGATCGAGAAGGGGAAGAAGAATGAAAGTCAATGATTGCTTTGCTTGCTAAGTTATTCCTAGTCGTCAATTAAAGATTTCCAAGTGAACAATTTGCCCTTTTCCCCATCGCTCGAGGGAGATAGAAGTAGAAAAAAAGCAAAGGCACATCCTATAGCACCTTAATTTACATGTAAGACGAGGGAGGTGGGTAAACCATGAGACTGCAAAACTTGTGAACAGGATATGATACAAGATTATGACCGCTATGACCAACACGTAATCACTCATAAAATACAATAAATCGAAAGCACACATCACACTAAACTAGCCACGCTTGACCTCTTGCTCGAGCTTGTCCAAAGCCTTGGCGTATTTGGGCTTGAGTGAGTCCAGTGCGTCGGCCTTGATCTGGACACGATCGATGTTCGAGGTACGCGTGATCCGGCCGTCCACACTGGCTGCGATCTCGTTGGCAAACCAGCGGCCCTCGCGGTGAGCAACCAGGGTCCACGCAGATCCTGGCCGGCCAGCGCGGGCAGTACGTCCAACTCGGTGGACGTATGTAGTGATGCTGGTCGGGATATCGTAATTGATGACATGAGTCAAAGATTCCAGGTCAAGACCACGAGAGGCACGATCAGTAGCCACAATCACCGAGATGCGGCCTTGTCGGTAAGCCGTCAATGTCTTGCGAGATGCAGAGGATTTGTTAGATTTAATGATAGTTCCCACACGCTTGGCCAATGCGGGATGCAGAAGCGAAATGAGACGTGCAAGTCGGGAGGCAGACTCAGATGATTTGGTGAAAATCAGAACAGTCTTACGTGCGGGTGAGGGAACGAGTTCCATAGCATCGGATTCCGAGTCAGATGAGTCCGAAGAATCCGAAGAATCAGACTCCGAGTCCGAGTCTGACCCAGAAGATGAAGTATCGTCATCAGATGATCTGTCAGAGCTAGTATCATCATCGGAGCTGGTATCATCATCTGAACTAGAGCTGTCAGAGTCGGATGAATCAGACACGCTTGGAGCTCGGCCCCCACCAATCTCGATGTGAGAAAGAAGAAGACGTAACAGATAAAGAGGTTTGAGAGATCCATCGCCAACTTGAACAATGTACTCAGACAAAGTTGGGGGTAGGGCGAAGTGAGAATCTGCATGAATAGCAGACGGGTCATGTTCGTCTGCAGCATTCTCGGACCCGATGATAATCATCTTGGGGTTAGCGAGACGCAGCGAGTTGAGTTTAGAAATATCTCGGGTCATTGTTGCACTCAGAATCACCTTTCGAGGAGGCTTGGCGTCAATTGAAAGCCCAAGTTCAGACAAAAGCTTCCCACCAGGCCCAAAGGTCTCGGGGTACTCTCGACTATTCAGCGAGTTCATGACAACATCAACCCACTCTTGGAAGCTCTCATTCAGGAGACGATCTGCTTCATCAATCACCAGCCATTCGAGATGCTTGAGGGTGAATCCTTTGGTATAGCGAATGTGGTCAACCAGACGACCCGGGGTACAGATAAGGATGTCGACATTCGGCTCGGACTGCTGGATGTAACCCGGAAGAGACGCATCAGAGTCAATCGCCTCACTGACACAATCTTCCAGGCTCAAGTTCATCCAGTCGTTTCCTTTCAATCCGTCACGCTGTTGCTGTTGGAGAGCCGGGTTGTAAACCTGGTCCACGCGCATCAAGAGTTTCTGTTCCTCTTTGATGGCTACATTACCGACTGCGCTTCCGATATGAAGTCTAGATCCAGAAGCACATAGTTCGCAGGATTCGCGAGCTTGTTTCACCAACTCCCGTGTAGGGACTACAATCAATCCTCGAAGTCTGGAGGCAGGTCTCGGCGACAGAGCGGTAACAAGGGGGAGAACATAGGAGAGTGTTTTTCCAGATCCAGTCGCCGCAGAGATGCAAAGATCTCCCGGGTAGTTTTGCTCTCCTTGTAGAAGAAGGGGAATGACGGTAGATTGCACAGCAAAGGCTTGTTTGTAGTTCTGTTGTTCGAGGATTTTGAGAAGGTCTGGTTTTATTCCGAGCTCGGAAAATTTCTTTGTATCCTGAGCTGATTTGCGCAACGGATTTGCCAGCCAAGCGGGTAGAGATGAATATGTTGGGATCTGCTCGGGCTCGGGCGGGTTTTCAGGTTGAGGTAGTTGTTCAAGACCCTGTGCGTAAACAGCTTCGACAGTAGGTGCCTCATCTACAACGGCTTCGGGTTCAAATTTTTTGGCTTTAGCGCTGGAAACACTTTTGGTGCGCTCGAACTTTGACATAATCCCCGAGTGCTTGTTCTTCGATTTAGGTTGTTCGGCTTCCGGTGCTTCAACTTCATCTTCATTTCCTGTAGTCACAGACGCAGCTGCATCCTTCAATGTGTCGTCCATTCCAGAGCTTTTCCGCTTGCTCTTTTTCGATTTCTCTGCCGTTTCGCTGGTGCCGTTGCGCGGGTTTCCAACAGTCGCTTTTGTGCGGTCTGAGAGAGTAGTATCTTTCCGGGGCGTTTCCGGGGAGTTCGATCCTTGAAGCGCATCCTTGAGATGCTTGCGCTTCTTGATACTGCCATCATCTGTGACCTCTGCGATCGGCAAGCCTTCGCGTTTCTTGTGTTTCTTCGTTGGCGTGGGAGTGGTTGCAGGCTGAGAGCCATGGGCATCTCTCTTGCGCTTGTGAGACTGAGTAGATTTAGGAGTCGCATCAGAATTATTAGAGGACTCGAGTCCCGAATTTTTGCCGGCCATTCTCTCGTAATTCTGCCAATGTCGGGGTTGCGCTGGATACCTCGTGGGGATCAAATTCCTTTTCTGAATCTTTTATGCCGGCAGAAGACATAATAATATCACCGCCCTAGCTACCGCCCTTCTTATCGGGACAGCTTCCAGATGTCTCCAGATGTCTCCAGGTCTCCTGTACTTATTGGCTTTCATGGACTGGTGTTTTGAGCAGCAGATCTGTTAGCCATGGAAAGGAATTTGAAAAGAAGAGCAAATTCGATACCTCGGAGTTCTCGTTCTCACCCTGAGAAGCACAGCCACGATGCCGTATAACATCGCGTGAGTATTTGTTCTATCTACTAGTCGCAATCACTTGCTAACATTGATATGGTTATAGAATGGTCAGTGACTTCTTTTTTCCCCAGTCAGGTAAGCCTCTTCTTTTACGTGTAGTTTATACAATCGTTGACTTTTCTAGGTGGAATTGAGAGTCACATATACCAATTGTCATCTGTAAGCACGCTACCTTGCCGCTCTACCTGCGCTCTCTAATTGCTCCTCAGAAACTCATTGATCGAGGACACAAAGTCATCGTTATTACCCATGCATACAAAGGACGCACCGGAGTTCGCTACCTCACCAATGGACTGAAGATTTACCACGTCCCATTCTTCGTCATCTATCGCGAAACGACATTCCCAACAGTCTTCTCCTTCTTCCCCATATTCCGCAATATCGTCATCCGAGAGGAGATTGACATAGTTCACGGCCATGCCAGTTTGAGTAGCTTTTGTGGAGAAGCTATTCTCCATGCGCGTACTATGGGACTGCGGACTGTCTTCACAGACCATTCTCTCTTCGGATTTGCTGACGCAGCATCCATCCTCACCAACAAATTACTCAAGTTTACATTGAGTGATGTTGATCATGCGATTTGCGTTAGTCATACTTGGTAAGTCTCCCGCCAACGCCCTGGATGACTCAACTGACAAGTTTCAGCAAGGAAAACACAGTCCTTCGGGCTTCGTTGGATCCATTAATGGTGTCAGTCATTCCAAACGCGGTTGTGGCGGAGAATTTCTGTCCTCTATCTCATACTACTCGTGCACCTGATCAGGGCCTGAGCTCCCCCGCCGATGCTCCAATGTCCCCGAGACAAATCGGGCCCGATGATCCGATTACAATCGTGGTCATCTCCCGACTTTTTTACAATAAGGGCACTGATCTTCTCATCGCATCTATTCCGCGGATTCTTGCCTCCAATCCCAACACTCGCTTCATTATCGCAGGATCAGGACCTAAAGCGATCGACCTAGAGCAGATGCTGGAACGCAATGTGCTTCAGGATAAAGTCGAACTTTTAGGTTCGGTCCGACACGAGGAGGTCCGAGACGTGATGGTGCGAGGTGATATTTATCTCCATCCTAGTCTGACAGAGGCATTCGGGACAGTCATTGTTGAAGCTGCTAGTTGTGGTCTTTACGTGGTCTGTACCCGTGTTGGAGGCATTCCAGAAGTTTTACCCCAGCATATGACAACGTTCGCCAAACCGGAGGAGGATGATATTGTGCTTGCAACCAGCAAGGCAATTGCGGCTTTGCGTTCGAACAAAGTGCGGACGGACCGATTTCATGATCAAGTGAAGATGATGTATTCATGGCGAGACGTAGCCGCCCGGACTGAGCGCGTGTACGAGGGCATTACTGGCGATATTAGTCCAGAAGAATTCTATGGTTACTATCCAGGTCAGGGCTGGGAAGCGAGCGGAGATCGCGTCCGCAGCTTTGCGCTAATTGACCGGCTGAAACGTTACTACGGCTGTGGCGTTTGGGCAGGCAAGCTCTTCTGCCTGTGTGTCGTGATTGACTTCTTGATCTATGTCTTCCTTGAGATGTGGTTTCCCCGAGCCAACATTGATATCGCACGAAGCTGGCCAAAGAAGCAGCCAGCGAGCAAAACTGAGAGCACCAGAAGTGGTCGCTGAGAATTCGCACTCCACCCAATCCTTAGCGCAGAAAGGACCGGCCTGTCAATATCTTTTTGGTCGACTCTCGGTTCTCCGCCTGTCCTGTTTGTCTCGGACAGCTCATAACCTCATTTAATCACCCCTCTTCACGTCCTCTCGTGTTGCACGACCCATTTTACACATTCTCATCCATAATACCTCATACATAATGTCTACTTGGCAAATGCCTGAAATCGTTCCTGCGGTGGTGCCACCTGCCTAGATGGCTGGTGGCTGATAGTTGACCAAACTTCACATCGAATAGACTCCATTGGTATATTAGCAAGAAAATGTAATAATCAAGAACCAACGCCATTATGCACCTGCGTTTGACATCATGTACGAGAATGATCGGCAGCCCCAACTTTGAATCAACGCATCACCGGAGGCCTGCCCTCTTTATTCCACTTGACGCGGCTTTGTACCCACTCCACAGCCGCCTGGACACCAGATCCAAGTAGCGCGCTGACCGGCAGCACACGACTGTCACGGACGCCACTTCCTGTTTCTCCCTCAAACACCTTCCGGACAAGCCCTTCTTTAATGCGAACCACCTCCACGCAGTCCTCACGGTCCTGCTTATTTGCCAACACCAAGATAGGAACACCAGCCACATCCGCATTTTGTAAGACTGACTCGAGGACTTGGCGACATTCGTCTAATCGCCCGAACTCACTGCTGGCCGCGTTGATTCCGACATTTTGCTCCGAGAAGGCCTCGGCACTTGCGCTCCCTCGTGTGCCATTGCGTGCAGGACCTGCCACGGAGCTTGCGCGCCGAGTAAGTCGCGCGATATCGGGATCTTGACCAACGTCGGAACTATCGACCACGAAGATGATCGCGTGGCAGCTAGTATAGTAGCTCTGCCACAGACCGCGCATAGAGATCTGACCTCCAACATCCCAAATCTTTAAATTCATGTCCGGTAACGCTATCGTTGCGACATTCTGCCCGACAGTCGGGACGGTTTTTCCGGGGTTGGGTACTGGGGCGCCATCGGAGCGGGGTTGGTACAGTGCTTTGATCTGGGAGAGGAGTGTTGTTTTGCCGGCATTATCCAGTCCAAGCAGAATGACAGAATACTCTAAGTAGGTTAGGATAATCAGCGTAGAAGGTCATGCGATAGGAGAGAGCAGTTACCTTCTTTGCTCGTGGCGGCTAAGTACAGCGACTTGGCCAGGTGATACATGATCGCGTTCCCTATGGGGAGCTCAAGGCCAAGCGCAATTGCAATTATAGAAAAACGGGACCGGAAACAGAAATCATGACATCGCAGTCAGTTTTCTGACGTTGAAGCGCTCTTCCCCCGGAGGGGCCCGCGTTGCAGCCTCATCCATTTCGGGGAGTTAGGGCTTAGGGCTGAATGTGATCTGGGGATGTTCCAGTCCGAACTACATCGGGCATTTCAATGTACCTCACAGCGGTAAAACAGCGTGCATTCAACACTTTCAACATTTCCAACGTTCAAATATGTTCAATTCCATAACTTCAAGAAATATGACGCTATAATGATGGACGCCACACTTCCCCGGCATACTCCTCGGGTCCAGGTTCCCAACTCAGTCTGTCTTCCAAGGTGGCAAATGGAAAACCGTCGACTTTCCCGAGTCTCCTCTTCTCCCCACTTGCAAACACTCCGCTTTCCAGGGTTTGTCAGCTTTTAATTGATCGGCGGACCTGACGATAGGAAGCCAATTTGTCAGGGACGTTGACCTTTCCCTCCTGAATTCCCTGGGATACAAATGTCACATTCCTCTATGGCCTTGCTGTCGATCCCTGGTGAGAAGGCAGTGTGACGAGGATCTCACCCTGCTTTGATTGGATGATCTACCCTTTTTTTTTACCCTATCGCATGTCTATATCAGTATGCCACACGCTCCATCATTTTCTTGATATACATCGCTGTCAATGGAGATTGACACTATCATCGTCGGTATGTCTATCGTAGTTGATGAATCATTTTGAGGCCATTCGAGACTTTTCCTCTGCTTGAGCCCCACACCCCACCCCGCGCTGCTAGGAGTCCTTGCGAAATGGTAACTGATTGAACCGATTTTACCAGGCAATGGGCCGTCGGCCATGATCCTTTCATACATCCTCCATGGACATATCCCTTTCTACTCATCCGATCCTCCACATCCCGATCATTTGTTGGACGCCAAGTTGAAAGCTGCGCCAGATATTTTGAATGCCGATGTGAATGCTCTTACAGCACATTTTGGCGCCTCGCGCCTATCGTACTCGACCCAGGCGCTTCCCGTGAATGTTTTGCTAGACACACTTGTACGGCCAAGTGTTGATGTAGATGAGCCCGGCTGCATCTCAAATATTGATTGGCGCTCACAGCCTGAGAAGGCTGTCTCACATCTTGTTTTTGGAAAGTCCTTGAAGCCTGGAGGCCAATGGACCGAAGATCCATGGGGCGCGAGTTGGGATATCCAGACGTTGAGTTATGCGGCAATGCTGTCCTTGCCCGGGTACTCCTTTGCCGCCCATCACAAAAAGACCACAGGCAAAGATTTACCATCATATACAAGGCCCACGCGCCGCGAGATTGCGGATTATTTTGCCGCTTATCCGGAGGCTGCGCATATCGATGATGCTTTTCGGTGTGGCGAAGAATTGAAAGGCATTTCCCGCACCGCTACTGGATTTTATGTTCATTCTCATAACATCCACTGCAAGCGTCTGGTCCTGGCAAGTGGGATCTTTTCCGAAATCCTCTCACCAGAGCCGGTCTTACGTCCATTACTTGAGACCAAGTCCTCGCCTAATGTCCCGCTAGTCGTTGTTGGATCTGGCTTCTCCGCTGCGGATTCTATCATCTCCGCCTCCCCTGACCAAAAGATTCTGCACATATACAAATGGTCGCCCAATGACCGCCCATCTCCTCTCCGGGCCTGCCATCAGCAAGCATATCCAGAGTATGCTGGTGTTTACCGTCTTATGAAACGAGCTGCCCTCACAGCCGAAGCTGCTGGTAAAGGCCAGCGGCCAAAGTACCGACGCGCGACTTCAACGCCATTCCTTGAAAGCCGGAATTGGGAAGACCTCTATGAAGGTCTCCCTAATGTTGAAGTGACGAACGTGAAAGTCCACGGCGACCTGGCGACGGTCACATTCCGCCAGCAAGATGGAACTGTCTTCTCTCGGACCGTGGCCGGCCTCGTGTATGCTGCAGGCCGGCGGGGCACGCTAGATTACCTTGACCCCGAGCTCCGCTGTGAAGTGTTAGGGCAGGGCAATCAAGAGAATCCAGTAGTCACCGGTCAGACCCTCCGTGCGAAAGCAATCGAGGACCTCGAGGTCGCACCGGGAGTTTACATCATCGGCAGCCTGACTGGAGATTCTCTGGTCAGATTCTCATACGGCGGGTGCGTGTACACTGCTGGGCATTTGATAGACGGCGAGCGGGACAGTCGCAGTGTCTGTAGTAGTCTCACGCTATCTGCTAAACTACATGGTTCTTCGCTTTCCGTGATGAACGGCATGGACGGACACCATGTCTACCCGAATGACAACACATTGGACCTGGCTCGCGAAGATACCTTCAGCAAAATGTCAACCGTCACGAACCAGTCTGTTGTACGTGGTTGGTGGAAGACACTCTCCCGCATGTGGAGTCATCTCACACGATGAGGATTTCGAAATACGTTGCATGTACACCACGATCCCCAAATGTAAAATTCTAGACACGCCAAGAAAGGCATATATATTGTTTATCTATCTTGTTTCTAAAGGATTTTGTTCCCTGCGTGCTCCTCCAAACTACAATGAAACCTACAAAATCCCAAATCCAAGATGCAGTAGAACATCAAATGAAACTACCGAAGTGATATTGACATTCCTGGTTAGACAAGAGAGGTAAGCAGTACTAGCGATCACCTAAATTTCGGTCCATCCTCCTTGATCATATCAGCCGCTTTCTCCGCAATAGCATACACAGTAGAAATGATGTTCCCACTGATCTGCGACGGAAAAACGCTCGCATCGACCACCCGCAGTCCTTCCACCGATTTCACCCGCAGTCTATTATCAACCACAGGACCCATTGCGCACGTCCCCAAAATATGATTGAAGGGCATAATCCGCTCACGGGCAAACTGCTGAGCCTCAGCAGGGACCTGCAAGTTCACAGCCGGCGGCGGATCAACACGTCCCAGCACACTGCCAGCCACATCCTTGGACGAGAACACCTTGTCCACGAAAGCCAAGCCAGCTGCCAAGACATCAACATCGGCCTGGTGCGTGAGTATGCCTAGATCGATATCAGGGGGTCCTTGGAGGGATCCCCTTGGTGATATATGCGTACTGCCGCGCGAAGCGGGATACATGGCACTGATCAACATGGTGTAGCATGCATTGCGACCTTTCGGTGCTCCCGGCAGCAGCAGGCCTTGGTTAGAATGGCCGCTGGCGAGATTGAAATGGCCGGGAATGCCGTAGTATTGGATCGTTGCGAAGTCGGCATCTCGTAGGCTGGATACGATGTGCTTGCGATAGCTTTCTCGGAATTTGTCCCCCTCCTCTGGGGCTTCCACGGCGGCGACTGTGGCCTCGATTGCCGTCTTTGGGACTTGGGATGCGTAGGGAAGGAACCCTGTCAGGCCCATGCAGCCTGCGAGGAGTCCGTTTTGGGTGTCTGCCAACAGCTTGGTTTGTTGCTGAAGAAGATTATGGTCTAGAAACAAGGAATCCATGGTCACAATATCCGGCACGAGTTCGTATACGGCGGATGTCATGGGGTGTTCTTGTAGGTTTTCCCCCACGGCGGGCAGGTCGACGATTGGATCGATGCCGGCAGATTGAAGAATGGCTCGGTTTCCAATTCCAGAGAGCTCAAGGATTCGAGGACTTTGGATAGTGCTCGCTGACAGGATGATCTCTTGGCTTGCTTTGACCTTGTGCTGCTCGCCTCCGTGCCAAAATTCCACTGCGCTTGCCCTTGTTGCCTCACCAATGTGGTCGAAAATAATCCGACTGACAGATGCTTCGGTCAGGATTTTCAAGTTTGGACGTTCGAGGGCAGGGATCAGATACGCAGAAGCAGAATAGCTGCGGCGCACTTGCCCGCCGCTGCGGTCAATGTTTGACAGGCTTTCAAAAGCGCCTATATGTTGGCCACCGTAAGGATCGTCGGATCTTGGAATCCCTGAAGTGTTTTCGAGGCCTGTGAAAATAGATTGCTCGAATGGAATTGGCGAGGGTGGCATAGAGAGTCGAATAGGACCCTCTTGCCCATGAGAAGCTGAAGACAGGTGTACTAAATTTTTTGTACTATTCAGTGGGTGTTGGAGGTCTTCGTGCTTCAGGTAGTAGGGCTCTAAGTCGTTCCATGACCATCCGGCATTCTCTTCACCCCACGAATCGATATCAGAGGCCGATGGACGAACGTAGGCCATGAAGTTGACGGCGCTTGAGCTTCCAAGCAACTTGCCACGGGGGAGATGATGAATTTCGTCCTTGTTCCCCGCCTGGTTTGGTTCAAGGGATATGTCAGCTCATGTACTTATTTCAAATTGATTAGGCTTCCCGGGCATGGAAGGGTTATCGTAACAACGCCAACATACTTGCGGTATTGTCTTGAACTTCCAATCATACTCTTCGTTATGCAACATGGCCGATATGCCAGTCGGGGAGAGTACATTGTTGTCGTCCAGCTTGGCTTTTCCAGCCTCAATCACCCCGACAACGACATTCGGATTCTCGCTCAACCGATTAGCAAGGACAAGTCCAGCAGTACCACCGCCAATAATGAGATAATCGAATTCCGTGGCTAAGAATTCGCTACAAGTGGGAAATGAGTAATCAGCCTTCATGATGAGCAGCAGAATGTATGTTGTCGTTGAAAGTATATACACAATGAGATCTGCAGAGGAAATGGCAAGCTATTTATGCTGATACTAAGTCAGAGTCGTGTCGTCATATCTACAAGGCCAGAGCTGTCAGATTATAAACCCCGTACTCCGTACTCCGTACATGCCTCTTATACTCCGTGGACGCCTGAATGCGGAATTAGTATCCGGGCTGTCAGAAGTGGAGCTTAGGGTTTCGACCACGACGATGGTCCGGTAACATACACCGCCTTACAGGGTCTTACAGACAGTGTATTTTTGAAACTTGTATCCGTACCTGCAGAGTCCTGCAGGGTCCCGACCGAGAAAGCTTAGCCAATCATCGTACAAGCACGTGGTTGTCATCAGAAATACGAAAACGAAAGTTAATGATCGGGATTTGTAAGAGAGTGGGGATCTGACGGGGTCTGACTTGTTCTAAGACCATCAGATAAAAAAAGGACTCCACTTCCCTGCATGTCCGACTTTTCTTTCCGTAGACCTATTAAGGACATTTGTTTCACCGAGCAAATTTGGCATAACTGCTATATCTTTGGTTTTTTATATATTCTCGGGGAATAAGGAGGTCGAAGCACAAAGCACTTCTATGATTCCGGCTTCCTGGGAGGTACCGAGGTACAATGGACTAAATCTCACCGCGGCCATCCAGTAGCTATTCCGGCCTTAAAAGTGGAGAAAATTGCTTGATTGGCTGATTCTTGGCATTATGGACAGTGACATCGATCTTATCTCACCCCTCAACATCAGTTCGCACCGATCTTTGCTTAATTAAGTAAAAGGACAGTCCATTACGGCCGAAACCTTTCATTAGGTCTAGTTCATAGATGATTATGCCAGATGCACAGATATCTACTTTCATCCTGCTAAATCCGAACATCGTGGCCACCGGACAACCTTGGAAAGCATCAGCGTTTCTAATTAAATTGCCTATCCTAGCTTACGGCGGTGTGACAGTCTGATAAAAATAGTAGTTAGTTATATAGTCCGAAAAATGTGTGACTAAGTAAGACTAAGAAATTTACTGTGGGGAACAAAGCCACATGTAAATGAGGGTGCTTTTTGCAAAATAGACAAGTTACTTGGTTATCCATCTAACCCACCCCAACGAGGTACGGAGTTAGAGCCGAATATAGATTAATCAGACCATTCGGTAAAGTCGGGACTTCAGCCTATCTCGTCCTTCTCAACTTATATAAAGCCAGGTACAAGCCCGCATTGGCATGAATCTTAAAAACAAGCCACTGTTCAACTATCCAACCATCCAACCACCCAACCATCCATCATGCGTCTCACCGTCCTTCTCTACGCTGCTCTTGCCGGCCTGTCGCTGGCCGCTCCAGCCGAACCCGCCGAAGCCGCCGATGCTGCTGCCTTGGACAAGCGTCAGGCGAGCTGCGTGACCATCAGGAACCAACTCGCTTCCTGTGAGGCTGAAGGCAACTGTGGCACTGTCATGGCCCAGTGCATCGCTCTTCACTGCCAGGTGAGTTTGAATTTAAACGTTACGAATTGTGCCCACATGGATAACTAACTCGAAAATAGCACTGCGCCAACTTCTAGTTGGGGTCAATTCCTACTTCCTTTCCAACCGAGGTCGATGTTGATAAGGTATAAGCCCGTCTAGAAGAGGTAGTCCCTCGCATTCGCTGATGATTCGTCTGGCAGCTCCTACGGGTGTAATGCCCTTCTCGGAAAGCTGGACATATAGAGAAAATGGGGGATAAAGGCCGAGGCCGATTTAGGCTTGTCTAGGTCTCTGCAAATGTTTGATTTTTGGTCCATAGGGCTTTCCGATATCTTCATTCAAATGCAGTGACTTTTTACCTCCGCTAATTATACGCGCTGTTTCCAAGTATCAGAATCAAGCTTGTAGAGATTCATATATAGTTTGTCCCACTGATAATAAATAGGAGTGCGCCATTGGGATATCCCTAGATCGAGAACGATGGAGTAGCCTCAAGTAGAACTGTTTAGCTGAATACATGTCGTAGTATTTGCACTGATTAACTTTGCACTAGGGTGGTATGTATAAATTGTTACGTGCGGGGGTCTTCAGGAAAAATAGTGCATTCTAACTAGAATATTGAACATGAGGGGGGAAGGAAAGAAAAAGAACAGGGATCGGGGCCATTGTAGGCTTTTGTGCCCTTGCCCTGCAACTGGCTTATGGATCAGGAAGGAACGACTCCCACAGGAAAGGAAGGAACCAACGAGCCTTGATCGAAATATATATCAACCCTCCGAACCTCCAGTTTTATTGTAATCAGCCTCGAAGCGTTCGCAAGTCTGAACAAATGACGTATCCTGCTTTCTCCATATGACCCAAAGCCTTCCAGGAAGACAACATTATTTAAGGAAGTGGATTTCTTGAATCACGACTCATGGTGGCATTAGTTTACTCATTTTTGCGGCAAGGGTAGGGCTTTCGATGGCCCACATATATATATAGTGCTAGTCTCAAGTAGGAAAGGCGGGTGATGTTCCGCATGGAACCCGGGAAGCTTAGATATGCTTATTCGTATTTGCTGTTGGTCATTGCTCCTTTCTCTTATTGGGGCATTGGGTATTGTGGCTTGGCTCTGATTTGAAAATGATGTTCAGCAGGGCTGTTTTATCAGGTTAGAATTACTGATCTCGTGAAATCAATGGACCGGAGCGTAATCCATGTATCTGAATCAACAACCAGAACCATCTTCACGTGATAAGACTAGCTACACTTCCTACGATAGTAGCCAATGACACCGAGTGTGGTACAATCTGTTGGATCATATTAAGTTCTCTTGTTGCAACAACTGCCAGCATTGCATTCACGAAATCAGGTAGAAATGTTCTGCCAGTATCGGCACAAATCCTTAGTGATTCGCACGAATGTAGTCTAGGATTTGTTGGATCAAAACATCGTCGTCCACCAAGTGATAGATATTGCCACTAGGATAGCCAGGTAGTCCCCAATTGAGAACACATTCGTTCTCATCGTCGTACTTGAACACTCTCATCAATTTTCCGATGGCGACAAAGCCGTAAACTGGGCGGCGGAGCCAGATTGGACGTTTGCCGTGTGTGTCGCTCAGGTATTGAGTCAATTGGTTCACCCCTTCCTCCCAACCCGATGGCCGGGCCTGTAGGCTCTGTCTCTTGCATTGGACAACAAGAAAATTGGTGGGAATTGTTTTAAAATCCATATAATGATACGTACGGAATAAGAGTTCATTTTCGCCATGGAAGCGGGTCACGTAGCCGGCAGAGCAGGGAAATTGGAGGGCAAGAATAAAGTTCCAAACTCCATAGATTGTTGCGTCGGGGTCGTTTCGTTTGGTACGATCGATCTCTTCGTAGATGGCACGGTTGGTTAAGTGCTAATACTAGTTAGCAGCTTGCGAGTAACCATGTTGATAATACTTGACTTACCGTTTCTGCCATGGGAGGCAACAACCTAGCAAACAACCTTGTAACAAAGGAAAGAAGCAAGCATATGTCAGCGATCATAAAGTCATATGATAGACAATCATGCAGATGGTTACAATAGTAACTAATTTGTTTGAGAGAAAGCGAGGATTTTCGATTAGAGGGATATTCGCTGGCTTGTTAATAGAATCCCTAGCCTATTGTGTCGTCTCATTTAGACCAGTCGTCATAGACATGCTACCTAATCAGCACTGAAAAGACCATAGAGACTTAACATAGTTAGCGCCTACATCGCCTTTCATGCCTGACTCATTGAGACTCCGCCCGTCTTTTGCCCGCCGTTAGACGCGGGCCTAAACTAGGCCGCTACAATCATTTTACTCTCCTTGTTCTTCTTGTTTCCCAGCTGCTTGCTATCTAGAGTCCTTTCGCATTTACTAGTCGATGCCAATCGCCCTCTCGTGGATAATTGCTTCTTCCTCTTTTCCGTCATCGCCAATGTCGGCCCCCTGGCGCCAGTCACTCCCTAGCCGTAGCTTACCGCCAGGACAGCGACAGCGACATGTCACCGTGACCTCTAGCACGCGGAGAGCATGTCGTGGCAGATACTCTCGCGCTGATCGAAATCTCCTCGGACCTCGCGAACTGCGCACCGCTTGGGCGGAGACGGGGCTCTCGGAGGGCTGGTATCGTCGGTCTCAGCGGGCAACGAGGTAGAGAGTAGTGAGCGGCCAAGCTTCCCAATTGACTAAATTTTGCGCAGCCCTTAATGATTAGAGCCCGGAGATTATCCCCCGTGCTCTAATCCTTGACATGGACCTCATATCAATGCCACTTACTGCACCTCCCTCGTGGGGGTATAAAACAGTCAAGGTTCGAGAGCCTATCATCCGCACCGTGTGGCGATAGTTATGATGTGAATCGCAGTCTTTCTGTAAGTGTTGTTTGGATCAATGCTCGCTCTGCGCGACACCTAATGCATGAAGTGCATCCCGAAGTTATGAAGCCACTTGAAAATTCCTCATTGTGGGGCACCGGCCTCCATCAACAGCGAATTATTGCCGATGGTCTTTTCGTCAAGGTGAAGTTCGGCGGGATCCTGTATAAGTATAAGCAGATTATCGATGTTGTCCATGTGCGCAGTTCGTGGTGCCTGTGTGACGGGGTCAAGCGCGAGGCTGTTGTGGTCGAGGCATCGGGTGGTAAGTGGTAAGCATCCAATTTGTGCAGATTTGTGAACAAACCCAAACCCTCTGGTCAAGTCAATTGTTCCGAGCCTCGATGTTCAATCATGTTTTGGCACCGTCCATTTGCTTAGCCCATCGGTCTGTAAAAGAGTGATCGCTGCATGTTATTACCTTTAGAGAACCCCTATTAGTCAAGCGGGATCAACTCGGCGCCTCCAAACATACTCGTATCATCTGTCCTGGGGCGAATAGGGTTTCTGAGTGCATAATTGGTCTGAGATAGTGCGTTCGTATACTTTTTCCTAGCTCGGAGCTCCATTTGTGGAGAAAAACGTATGTTCAACACGGCCGCTAATCCCACTGCGGCCAGCGCGGTGATCAAGGGGGAATTCCGAGTGTTCATCCAAGGCAGCGGATAGGGCATGGGGCCCCGTAGGGATCACCGGACATGGAGTTCACGAAGATATGACCCTTTGCTAATTTCTGGACTGGGTAAACCAGACTGTTTATTGGCGGGGTGACGTTTTGAGCGTTGTTAGTGGGGGGTGCTAGTGTTGCTAGTGGCGACTATGCGCGTTTTGCGTGGCTGCTGAAACTTGTTTGATCCTGCAAAAATTAGTACAATGGCATTATGGATCTCGATACCCTGGACAATCCACTTGAGCCCGCATACATTGGATACGATGGTGATCCTTCATCGCACTGGTGGGGCAATTTAGTGAATGGTTTCTTTTCTGGCGTGGGCATTCATTCTTTCAAGCGACGTTGCGACAGCGGGATAGTTGGCTTTCCACATTAAGCCATCTATTTAACTAGTGGTGATCTTGATTGCGTAGTTGCTAAAAGAAGAAGTCGATACGTTCACACGTTGAGATTGGGATGAAACAGAAAACCAATGTTGAGCACCTCGTCAGGATCCAGGCTGTCAGGGCTTATTATTATCCTCCAATAGAAACCACAATAATACGCCAACCGTTTAAGCCTTGGAGAAAGGTAAAGGCTCGAATATGAGGACTAGTCACCCCTTATCCAATGCGATCAGCAGCTAACCCTGTTATCTATTAGGGCTGCATATACAATCCCTGTCTCTATATGCTAGGCCAACTACTATATACTTCAAATTAACTATGATCTACGACGTACTGTCCCATGGCTTACTTTATCCTAGTTATACTCAAATTAAAAATGAAACGGTTTTCTCATTTCCCCCCTTTTCCCCACTGTTATTAGCCCACTCGTTTAATGTGAAATATGGCCCCATACATACTAACGGAAACCGGTTGGTCCCAACGGTCTTCCCCCTTCAGTTGCCGGTCGAAATGCCTTAGACGCCATTTCGTACTCATTTCCCAGTGTAGATCTCTATTCCGAATGTCTTCCGACATAATTACTCCCGATAATCGGGTAGAGGACCGTTTCTTCCTTATATAACATCTCTCCTCGTCCTACGAATCTCTGATCCATACTTTCCTACACCTCATTTCTAACTAATAATCCCTCACTTCATTCTATTCCCTGAAACATGGCTGAATCCACCACCCTTATCTTCGTTCCCGGCGCGTGGCACGGCCCTGACTACTACGACCCCGTTGTGGAACGCCTGGAAGCAGTCAACTACAAAACCGACAAAGTTCACTTGCCCTCCGTTGGCCCATCCGAGTATCTCTTGAACTTCGATGCGGACGTTGCGCAAATTCGCTCCCGGATCGAACGAGCAGTGGATGCCGGCCAAAAGGTCGTCTTGATAGTTCACTCTTACGGTGGCTTGCCCGGAAGCGAGGCAATCAAAGGCCTAGACATCAAGACACGCGAGAAGAACGGTCTTCCCGGAGGCGTCACGCATCTCTTCTACTGTTCCTCTTTCATCATCAAGGAAGGAGATTCGCTGATTGGTGCCTTTGGTGGAAGTGACCTCCCGTGGTTTGTTGTCAGCGACGACAAGTTGCAAGTCAATCCTGCCGATCCCGTGGGAACATTCTACAACGACCTTACTCCCGCCCAGATTGAGACTTGTCTTGCCGACATCAAGCCTCACAGTTATCAGACCATGCACAGCCCTTGCACCTATGCCGCGTGGAGAGATGTGCCAAGTACTTACATGTACTGTCTTCAGGATGCTGCTATTCCCATTGAGATTCAAAAGGGAATGGTCGAAGGAACAGCCGGTGGATATGACATTAAGACAGAGACAGTGGACGCATCTCACAGCCCATTCCTCAGCAAGCCTGATGAAGTTACTGCGGCGATTCGTCGGGCTGCTGGGGAGGTTGTTTGATTTTTTGGATGAGTTTACAATGTGTTGTGATTCAATGTTTTGATATGAGTGAATAGCATTAGATATCAGTGATGAATTTACTTGGATGATCGAATTAACATAAGAATATTTGGTATAAACATGAATATCGTGGAACTACCCCGTAAAATATATAAGGATGCCCATGAAAATCATATACCTCACACTATCTAAAAAAATAGATAGCTGAATAATTGATGGATGTTCTTCTTGAGCTCCAAAGTTGTACCCCGGGCAGCAATTCGGTGGCATTGACTAGAGCTATCCTTCTCATCTCGACTTTCTTTCCAACTATCAAAAGATGTGGCCAGCCGATGACCCAATCTCAGCCTATGGCTTTACAGCCGTTTTATCATCAGCTACTACTCTTCTCGCAACAGATCCTCCAGTAACACCAGCCCCATCGATTGCAGTGACCGAAGTCCCGATTCCAGCAACGTCCCTCGCCCAGCGAATCAATGAATATGCAAAATCTCATCTTCCTGAGCCGACATACAACCATTCCCTTCGCGTTTATCACTTTGGGCTTGCGATTAAGCGGTACAGATTCCCCAAATGGACATTTACTGATGAAACATACTTCCTTGCCTGCCTGCTTCACGATATCGGAACAACCGGACCTAACTTAGAGGCCACTAAATTGAGCTTTGAGACCTTCGGGGGCCTGAAAGCACTGGAAGTTCTGCAGAACCTACAGCCTTCCTTTGCAGGAAGCCCGGTCGCAGTCGCCCCGAAAGATCAGGCAGAGAGCGTGGTGGAAGCAATCATCCGGCATCAAGACTTGTGCGAGAAAGGTAAAATCACAGCTCTCGGTCAACTGCTTCAGCTGGCAACAATCTTCGGTATGTTGACCCTCTATCAGAATTGATTGTTTTGGCATAACATATTATTCCTTGAACAGCGACCAAAATGGCGTAGCACTATTTACTGGCCCCAACAAGTGTACAAATGTTGGCTCTAACTAGCTGGAAAACAGACAACACTGGCTCTTATGCCAATCTCATTCATCCCTCGACTATCCGAGATGTTTCCACCCATTTCCCTCGTCTGAAATGGAGTGGGTGCTTCGCTAGTACCGTTCATGAAGAGAATCGGCTTAAGCCCTGGGCACACACAACTACACTTGGCGAAGACGAATTCCCCAGTAAGGTGCTAGGAAATACTCTGATGGCACCCTATGAATGATGGCATCTCGAGGATTTCCAAAGAATATCTGGCATGGAGCTCATATAGCTCCTAGACGCTAACAATAAAAGTTGACAACCGAGCTTGCATTCTTCCGATGACCTATATTTTTACAAAGATATATTAGGCTTCAAGAAATATAAGTATATCTTAAATCCATACATCAGGAATCGTATTATTGCGGAGCGAAGCGGAGCAATAATAAATCACAAGGTCTTAGGTGTATGTCATGTGACCAAGATACGTCTGAATATCCCATCATGTGACCAGGTAAATGAGCTAGTGCTGGCTAGCTCGTTCTTTATGCACCAATCAAAATGCATTTATTCTATCATTATGGCTTTCAAAACATGCACTAGACGCGGTCACTCGCGTCCTTTGGAGCTATTTCGCTCGCGCGCTAGCAATCGAGAGACCGATCAGTATCAATCTTGTCGAGATGCCAAAAAGAGAGAGCGTTCTAAACGCCGTGCGGCTACCGAGCAGGCGTTGGCCTATTACATCGTCCCCGGATCCCTACATGGCCTTGGAAATTTGAATCAGTCACTTCGCTCCGCAATGACTATCTGGAAGCTTAAGGCCACCGAGATCCCAGGGGCTTATACATTGGTTATTGCGATGGACCCAAAAATCTGCCGTAAGCTGGTCACTGAATGGTCTCATTTACTCCTCTCACTCCCAGACTGCCAGTTCACTCCTAGTTCATTCCCACTTCACTCCCACTTCTGCTCACCCCAACTCACCTCCTCAGCTGACTCTCAATAAGCGACACTCGCATTCAATCTCACCACGATCAACTATGGAGTCATCTCATAGGAAGGGAGAGTGCAGGCGTCCAGGGGTCCACAACGGAGAAGAGCCCAGATTGTTGCTGGAAGCCTGCAAGTCGCCCGCCTGGAAGAGGCCTAAAATGGCCAACAGTGGTCCTGAAAGCAGAATGGTCTGAACCATTGACTAAATTGAAACAAGATGTTTTATTCTGCCTGAACGAGTCAAACCAAGAGGCCAAATTCTCATTGACTAAGAGTCGCTCGGAGGGGAGGAAGACTATCACCATTGAAAAGTGGACAGCTGACAGGGATTCTGTCAAGCCCATCCAAGCCATATGTATCACCCCAATTCGAGGTCCCAATTCGAGCGGCCATCAGATCTCAGGGTCATTGAAAATTCCATTTCTGGACTGTTTTCTTCGCGCAAAGAGGAACGCTGAGATGCATTTTACTCTATCACACGATACATGCTGGACATTGGAGAAGCATTCTAACCCTACAACATCTTCCAGGAAGATAAAAGATCGTGCTGAAATTGTCAAGATCTGTACCAGTTGGATCGATAAGCGGGGATACCATGGATGCTGATCCCACTGGTGGCGGGGGTCAGACTTCGGTCCGTCAGACACCAACCCAACAAAAGCACAGATGGAGAGGTTACGAAAGCTCTCCTACCAGGTGTAGGGGCCTCACCCCTGCCTACTGCTACTCACAATTTCCTCTTACCATTCCTTCTTCGTCTCCTGTCCCATAATAATAATAGTAAACGAGGCGTAGTCCAGGGAGATGAATTGATCTGCCCGCTTGCATTCATCTCTAGGAACTGAAAAGCACAATAAAATGAGCAAGTTACTATACTTCAATCCCAAAGTAGCGAAATTGTCCAGTTGGTGTAGAGATAGATATCTCCCCGAACTCGGACAACACACCTTCATGAATCCTCCACAGAAGCCAAACATGCTTCGAGCCATCCTCGCCACGTTATTCCTCCTCGTGCCATTTTATTACATATACAAACCTCCAAGTCTACTCATTCGTTACTGTCAACGGCGCTGGCCGGATGTACTTTTCCGCGTAGACACAGACAAAAAAGTGGTTGCGTTAACGATTGACGATGCGCCCTCCATACACACACCTGCAATCCTCCGTCTATTGGAATCGTACAATGCAGCTGCGACTTTCTTCGTGATAGGATCTCAGATCCCAGGACACGAATCTGTCTTGGCTGACCTCGTCCGGGCTGGCAACGAACTCGCCAACCATGCCATGTATGATGAGCCATCGCGTGCACTCAGCGATGACGTCTTGGCAGATCAGATGCGGACAGTCCATGCTGGAATCCAGGAAGCCTATGTCGCGGCTGGAAAGACAGAACCTGAGAATTGGCTCTTTCGGCCTGGCTCGGGGGTTTTCAGCTCCCGGATGCGAACGCTTGTAAAGGAGCTGGGATATCGGCTGGTGCTTGGCGATGTGTATCCGCATGATCCGCAGGTGCCATTTTGGAAACTGAACGCGAGCCATATTTTGAGTATGGTTAAGCCAGGCAGTATTATTGTCTGCCACGATCGCAGGGAGTGGACGGTGCCTATGTTACAGAAGGTGTTGCCGGAGCTGGACCGCAGAGGGTACCGCGTTGTCACAGTCTCTGGGTTATTGAAAGAGATTGGCGTAAATTGATGTTCAAGTTGATGGCGAATAAATATTGCGGGCTATCAATTTACATATTTCTTCTCGAAACACTATGGGTATATTCGGACACTATTCTCAACAGGCTAGCCCATCATCTGCAATTGATCCTCCGGGGGCCAGCGGACTTGCGCAAAGCTCAAGCAGCGCTTGATACTCTGTAGATATTTGCGAGTAATCTCGTCACTCAGAATGTGTGCCTGCTGGTCACTTTGATGCAGCTTCTCTCGTGCAGATCGCTCGTGAATACCAACCATGGTCACACCGATAGGCCATGCTCTATACACATGTTAGTGCCGGTTTTAAATTTAACAGGGTGTGGGTCAACATACGCTTTACCGATGCTCACTCGTAGGTAAGCATCATTTGCATCGACATATCGCCGCTGCTGCGCCTTGTGAACGATTTCAACGATCGGCTCCAACAGCCCGTCCTCTAGCTCAGCCTTCTCGAAGAGGCGAAACAACGGTGTCATATTCTCGCGTGATTGAGTCATGGCATTGAACGCTTGTTTTCCCTGGAAGCTTTCCCGCACAGAAACATCACGCTTCGCAAGTGCCAGTTCCCATTCTGACAAAACCATGTTGAAGTAAGATCCCAACTGCCGGAAAAGGAACAGACGGCCCTCTTGGTCTTTCGGGATCTTGGCCGGGATGATCATCTGTCCACCAGGCACAGGCTCCAGAGTGGTAGGGATAGGTCCATCGGTCACCTTCTTCTTGGGAATAGCGGCACGTTGAACCAGACGACGATATCGTCGAAGACGGGCTCGGTAGTCCTCTCCAAACAATATTATTGGCGCATTCAACTCTCGTAATTTTGCAATAAGCTCCTCCTCCTCGATATCTTCCTCTTCGTCGCCGTCGGCTGGGGTGTTCTCAGGCAGCTCGGGCAGACCGAGTCTCCGCCGCCGTTCACGTTCTTTGGCTGATTCTTCTTGTTCTCTTCTCGTCTTGGACTCCTCGGCTAGTCTTCGCTTCTTCTCCTCGCGTTCTCGGTTTCGATCCGCTTCTTCGTCTTCGAGCTTGCGCTTGTTCGCCATGCGCTCTTCACGTTCGCGTGCAAGTCTCTCTTGCTCTTCTTTGTAGGCTTGAATGCGGGCAGCTTCGACATCGCCTCGTCGCATATATTTCTTTGCTGGTACTGGGGAGCTTTTTGCGGTGTCTTTGGCGGATGGTTTGGAGGAATCACTACCCTTAGCCTTAGAGATCTCCTTGGACATCAACGCGGCGAAATCCATGTTGGGTGATGCAGCGAGCTGCTGAATAATTCGACTGTAGCTCAGTTAAAAGAATCGAGACAATAAAGTAGAGTTGCGTCAAGAGAAGAAGATGGAGTGTGGAGGCAGGAAAAGAATGTTCGGCTTTGCACGTCACCCGCAGCTTTCGACGCCGCATTTGTTTCCTCCAGTCAACTCCCCTCAACCAAAATACACCGAACATTTACCTTCAAGGACATTTATCCAAGCTTTAATCTACATTCAACTGATCGGATATCTCATTATCTTCTGTTTCTTGCCGTCCTCGGGACTGCCCTACCATCATCATGGCTGCTCCGTCGCGAGAGGGCTCAAAACCCTCAATCAACCGCCAGACCACCGCACCTTTCCATTTGAAGCTCTTCTACCGAGTGAATAACTACAACCCCCTATCCGACTACAGCATCCCCGCACCATCTCGTCGCGGAGGACCAGTCAGCGGCCCAAACTCCATCCGCCCAACATCACCCGTCGCATCTCCAGCGCCGCTCCCACCACACCTGGAGATCTACACATGGCAATCATGCACACTCCGCGAGCTCTCCCAGCTCCTCACTTCCGCCCTCCCATCATTACTCCCCGACCCGCCTGTCGGCACCCGTCTCTGCTTCCGATTGATCTACCCCGACGCGCGCCGCGCCGCAATGGGCGGCCCCGATGCGCGAGGCCGATACCTGAGCCGGGATTTAGGCAGTGCGATCGTTGGGCCGAGGGATAGTCCATTGCGCGCAGACGACGACGAAGATAAGCAGGATGCACGACCTCGCCCTGGCCCGCTCCGGTTCCAGGGCTCCGAGGCCGACAGGCCCCTGCAGGAGGCTCGTTTCATCGTTGGGGACTACATTGAATGCGCGATTCTCGCGCCGCTTGAGGATGGGTCTGTTGCGCCGGCGCTTAATGGTGCATCTGGTCCGATTATGGGACCTAGAGGGGGTGGTGGAGGTGGCATGCGCGCGTTCCGGGATAATGGCTTTACGAGAGGGCCTGGTCGTGGTGGTCCTCGTGGGGGAGGAGGTGGTGGTGGTGGTGGACCTCCGAATTTGCCTCGAGGTGATTGGCATCGTGGTGAGCGATTGCCTGAAGGTGGACGTGGAGGCCGTCGTGGATGGGCGCCATATTGAGAAGCGAAAGAAAGCTGGCTCAAAGGCAGTTTTGTGAAAAGGGCGATAAATACCCATATTATGTATGACTATTTAGTTTAAGACCAATGGAATCAGTACCATCTACTACATGCACTACCGTTAACAGAAACAAGAACCATGTGCCTCCTGGCTAAAGAGGCGACTAGAGCTTTATATTGCAGTATTTCAACAAAATAAGTGTACTTGATTAAACTTTTGAAGATTTCAGCCTCTTCAATCGTCGTGAGTAGCTAAGGGTGACAGGCATTCATCCTCTAGTCATATGACATCCAGGTTAGTGACGAGTAGACGCCTATCAGAAGTCCGGACACTGAACGAGTGAAAACCGTCTACTACGTAGAATATTCCGGGTCGTACATCTAACCTCAGAAGTAAACCCCAGTTTCACAGCCATGCACCAAATCAACAAAAAAGAAATCCATGCGGTATATGCTTGTAATAAAGTACACGGCCCCACGACAGACACCGGCACAAAAAGAGTTGAATTCATCGGGCAAACAAAACCCCCTTCCACACTCGGAGTATCCGCAACCTCTCTCACTCAGTGTGTAGTTCTCCATATGGCGCCATGTCACATTCGCAGCTCGGTACGGCTTCGATAACAAAACAGGAATTGAATTATCGCTAGATGTCTACCATTCGGCGATGGAATCTCCTCTGCGCTTGCCACGGAACTCGAACTTGCCCTGCGATATCGTTAGCGCGTGTTTCTCTCTCCGCAAGATCAGACCACAATGTGCAATTGCAATCCAATTCAACAATGCGGGATTCCATACATCGGTCTTGTAGGCGAAGTATCCTAGGATGCCGGGGATCAGGCCGGCGTAGACGAATGAGATCCAGGCCTGACGCGGGGTCCAGCGCCAGTACTTGTAGCGGTTGATATTGAGTTCTGCGGGTCCGTTAGTCAATCTTCAATTGTAGATATATCGTGTCGCGGCATGCTGGTTTTGAGAGAGATGCTCCAGTAGCTCGGGTATGGTTAAGCTAGCGTGATTCGCGAGGCTCGTCCGGGGTCCTGGATCGTAGGAGATGGGGTTGGGGGTATGTACCATAGTATCTCTGGAGGGCCGGGTCAAGGATCACGGCTGGGACAATTATTAGCAAATCAGGTCGCAGGATTCGTCAATTTCTGAAAGCTCACACTTGTTATGGCCAGCCATTGTTGCGGATAGCGTTGGAGCGTAGACACAGAATCGTCAATTGCAAGCGTCTCTAGGATTGAAGTTGAAGGTCACATGATGATGAATCAGCTGAATGATGTAATCAGCTTTCGTCCTCCCAGCTCGTCTATAGTTACGATGTTGTGCATTTCGAGATGAAAAGATGCATATTATTGTGTCTCTATACCTAATTGTTCTTCCCAACCTTTTTGAATGTTCTCATTATCGATTTCTGTCGTGCAGAGGTGTGGAGGATATCCGAGATGATCCGCCAACCAAATGTCCTCCATATGCACTGACACAGCGTATAAACAATTAACTAGTTAACTATGTAAGACTCGAGACATTAATAGTTTCCAAAACCCATTGCGCCCTTTCATAACCCGAATTACATGGAAGCCGAGAATTTCCCCTCGATCGCCTCGATCTTCTTCACAGCACGCTGGTACCCCTCATTGTTCTCGAGGCGCTTGGCATACTGGATTATAAGAGGGTATTTATCCTTGTTCTTCTGCTCCTTCAGCGCTCTCCCGGTGACAGCAATGACCGGGAAACTCAGCAGGATATCAGCAGCCGTCAACTCCTTACCGCAGATGTACTCGCCACCCTCAGGAGACGTGCGGAGCTGGTCCTCAAGGAAAGCGAGATTACCATCAATGTTGCGGTTGAGGAAGTGATTATCCACTTGGGCGGCAACCATGCCGGTGATAGGCCGAATGAAGAATGGAGGGGCGTTCCGAATAGCTGTTGAAAATAAATGTCAGCTGCTTCAAATAATAGTTACAACATACACATCGGGGGCCATGATCCATCAACGCCATGCCATGCATGCATGCATGCATATGCGAGAACGAACGAAAATGTACATTGTACACGTTGACCGCTCTTAAAAAAAAGAAAAGAAAAGAAAAGAACACTTACTGTCATTCACAAGACTCATGACCAAGAACGGCATCAGGCTGCCCTCCACGTAGTGCATGAAGTAGCGGTAGCGCATCCACTCCTCGGTCTCTCCACCCACTTGGCCCTCGCTGCCCGTTGTGTAGCGTTGTGGTACTAGCGTCGGGCGCGCGTTACCAAAGTGGTCACAGAGGTATTCCATGATCGCCCCCGACTCCGCCAGCACTAGCGGTTTTGCGGCGCCCGGTGCTTGGATGGTCACTATAGGTGACTTGCCCAGTGGGTGGACCTCTTTCAACTCGGCCGGAGCGAGCTTGTCGGCGCGGCGTTTGAAGGTCTTGAGTTCATATTCCAGTTTCAGTTCTTCTAAGAGCCAGAGGATGCGGTGGCTTCGGGATTGCTCGAGCCTGGATTTATGTTAGTTAGTATGATTCTGAGCAATTTGTGATGGGGCGTACCAATAGAGTGTGATCTTGCAGCCTTGATTGTTGGCCATGATTTGTTAATATTATGAATATTGTATAGTTGAAATAAAAAATGTCGAGTCATGAAAAAAGAAAACAGGACTTTCAAGTTTAAGTGCCCACACGTGGATGATGTCAAGATGGGACCGAGGCAGGTTTATCTCCCAGAAGGGATAAACGGCCGAGACTAGCTGATCTTGTGTTCATATTTCGATCTTGTTGCAATATTGATTATTATATCAATCGGATTCAGATCTTACTGTGTTGTGCAGTGATTATTTTATCATGTGAAGATGTCTGCTTGGTGCGGCGACTATCCGTCGTCAATTATGTATTTGCTGCGTGGCTTATCGACCTGTTCGTGTTGATCTTCCCCGCACTATCAGGCCTCACCAGCTATACATAGATTATATAGATTATTCAGCTCTGCAGCTAAGGGAGCATTGATGTGAGAAGGACCTGGATCGAGGCTGAGCATCTCGTATTTTCATGACAGATCACATGTGGGTGTTCTCCGCGGTTGAATATATATTGATACCCGACTATTCTCGCCTGTTTACGAGCCTCATATCGATGATGAATAATATGTTGATTCGTAGATTCCAAATACAAACGCATGTTTATGTCTATATATACTCCGGCTTTAGAGTCTCACCGGCTCCGCGTCAAGCGGAACCAACACATGTCCCTCCGTAACCAAGGAGTTCTTGCACGAGCGAGCTGCAGCCAAGTCCGATAGATTGCCGAGTGTAACCTCAGCGATCTCCTCGAGGGCCTCACGCGTGAAGAACCCCTGGTGACCACAGATCAAGACATTAGGGAATGTCATCAGACGCATCAACACATCGTCGTCGATGATCTCCCCAGAGTGATCATTATAGAACAGCTCGCCTTCCGCTTCGTACACATCCAACGCCAACCCGCCCAGCTGCCTCGTCTTCAGCGCCTGGATGACAGCCGTGGAATCGATGAGTCCACCGCGCGAGGTATTAACCAGCAAAGACCCGGGTCTAATGCGCGCCAACGTCTCCTCATTGATAAGATGCTTCGTCTCCTCCGTGAGCGGGCAGTGCAGACTAACGATATGGCTCTCCTGCAGCAGGGTATCGAGATCCACTAGCGTCCCATACGGACGGAACTCTTCACCGGCAAACGGGTCGTGCGCAAGCAGTCGGCACCCGAAGCCGTGAAAGATGCGGGCGGCTGCAAGCCCAATGCGCCCCACGCCGACGATCCCCACGGTCTTGCCATGCAGGGTATTCCCGAGCAGACCTTCAATATTGAAATTGCCCTCGCGCACGCGGTTGTAGGCGCGGTGCGTCTTGCGATTTAAGGTTTGGATCAGGGCGACGGCGAACTCCGCCACGGCTTCGGGCGAATAGGCCGGGACATTCGCCACGAAGAGGCCGAGCTCTTCGGCGGTTGCGAGGTGGACGTGGTTGAATCCCGCGCAGCGGAGCAGGATCGCCCGAATCCCGTAGGCGTAGAGAGATCGCAGCACGCGCTCGTCGAGGGTGTCGTTGACGAAGACGCACACTGCGTCGCAGCCTTGGGCTAGGGGCACGGTCTCTTCGGACAGCGCGAAGGCATGGTATTGGATGGTGCACAGGTCGGGGAAGTGCTGCTCGCGCACCTGGTCGAGATAGGTGCGGTCGTAAGATTTGGCGCTAAAGACGGCGAGCTTCATGATGGCGTATGTGTTGTGATCTTGCCCCGCGGGGTTTGGATGTTGGACTACCATTGCCAAGTCATGACGCCATATCGTATGACACCTGCAAGCGGCCGTTTTGGTCAGTCGTAGGTTGTATATCTAGGTTCTTCCCCAGATTTTCCGATTGCAACCCGCATTTGCAGATCTATATTCTGTATTCAACTGGAGATCGGGATCGGGATTTGATCTGAATACTACCTACCCACGTGGTAGTGTTCCTGTATGCATCAGCCATGGGGCGGAATAGTCATGCACTACTCTGTACAGAGTAGTTAGTTACTGAAAGCAGTTCACAACTTCTCTAATTGAAGTATGTAATAACACCTCGGCAAGCTACCAATGTCCCACTTCCCGAGGTCTTCTGGACGATTACTTTTTTCAGACATGCAGGCAATTCCTAATTTCCATTGCGCACGAGTTGATTGGACCCGTCGGTCTCACGACTTCCGCGGCTCCGGTAGCCGCTGGCGGGCAAGGCCAATAGGAAGATGGAGGCGATAACAGCCAATCAGCAGTCGATGATAAGAAGAGACGCCCCGGGCATTCTGGTTGGCTGTGTCGTTAGCCCGACGCTAGCGAACCTAAGGAATCCCGACGTTTTCCCTTTTCCTGTTTTCTTCATTTCCTAATTTTCAGTTTTGGATAGATGAGGGCAGTGAAGCTACATGGTACATGAATGTTAGATATTGAATCTGTTTAAAGATCATTCCAAGACTGTAGGGAGAACAGAGCACGAGTAGAGACCAACACAGTCTTACACACAATATAATTATGCGAACCTTGGAACCTCAGGTAGATCGGAAATGAACCCATCGGACTTAAGTGGAGAGACCGCAAAAGGAAACCCGTCACTGGGGCTTCATCCAGCGGTCTGAATTCGATTAATCACAAATAGCGGTCAAAAGGAGGGCGGATGTGTAGGTTGTAGTGAGGATGCTGATTTCAAGGAAGAACAAAGTACAACATACATAGTTCGTGACAAGAAGGAATAGAGTCCCAGTACGCGGAAAAGACACACGGGCTACGAGTACTTGCCGCTACCTGGCCCCTGCGCGTGAGTAGTACCCGCCCCGAAGTACCGCAAAGTACCTAGTATAGAGTGCTAAGTACCTTCATGTATGTCGTACCTCAAGTAACAGTATCATTGTCCTCGTGTACTTCATGGAGGAGCATATCGCAGAGGAGGATGCTTCTCACTCGACTTCACCTCCTCCCTCACCTCCTTTCGCCCTATTTATTGGCCTCTCGTCTGCCACTGTCACTGTTCACCCGTTCCCTCTCCATCTTCTCCACTGAACCCACTCTGTGCGTAAGAAATACGGAGTAGCCTCGGCCACTTACAGTCAACCTTTTCTTCTTGCCTCCCCGGCTGAACGGCTCTGTCTATTGTCCTTCGATTAATCCCAACTCCTTTTTGCCCCTCGGTATCTGCACTTTTCGCCGCTGCGCTGGAGATTACCCTTTAACTCTACTTTAAACATTCCGCCTCCCACCTTTCAATTCGTCACCTAACATTCATCCTCTTCCCATATCTCAACTTCAACTTCTACCTCAACTCAACTCAACTCAACCTCCACTTACATCCTTTCATTATGGCGACTCGTGTTATGACCACCAGCCCGGCTACCAACCAAATCTCGGTCTATGGTCAGCCCTCGCCAACCAACTCCGTCACCAACACTCCCTCCAACAATTCTCCCACCTCCCCTCGCATGTCCACTGCGTCTCTGCACCAACTGCCTCTGCAGTCGCGCCAGCTGCGTCCTCTCAAGGGTCCCCTCTATGTCCCTGCAGCTCTGCGACCTACCGAGCGACCCCAGAAATCGTCTCCTATCACCCCACCTCGCAGCGTGCATGGCTCTCTCGACAGTTTAAACGAGGACTCAGAGCCGATCACTCGCCGTTCCACCATGGAGAGCCAGTCCAGCGAAATTAGCGAGAGCGCCCAGCACGAGTGGATGAAGAATGAGCACCTGGGTGAGGTGACCGGTCTTCCGACCCGTACACACTGGAAAGTGAGTATCTGAGAAAAATATTTCCATCTTTCCTTCCTTGGGCGTCTTTATAGGGATTGGGTTCGGTGTGGATTGCGCAGTTCTTGAGCAAATGTCGTGTGCGATCGTCATTCCTCGGAAATGGCGTGCTTAGTCCACCGCCTCATCCCTTGTCGCATTCCACATATATCCTTTGATCGCATTGGTCATTGGTCACTTTCTTACAGGTCAACTTACTAACTTTATCCAGGCTGACTCTGCCTCTTCCAACTGTGATTCTCCTACTTGCCGCTCTTCCTTTGGCATCTTCCTGCGTCGCCACCACTGTCGTCACTGCGGTCACGTCTTCTGTGCTTCCCACACACCTCACCTCGTTCCTCTTGACCAGGATGCCCGCTTCCACCCCGATGGTGTCCCATCGCGCGCCTGCGACCTGTGCTGGAGCGCCCACCAGCGCTGGGAAGAGAACCGCTCCGACCGTCTGAACAAGATCCAGCACACCATGGATGCTCAGCAGACTGGCATTTCCGTCCCCGATTCTATGGACATGAATCGCGAGCCCAACGTGGCCGACGCCGCCGCCTCCGTTCCTCGTGACTGGAACTGGAGCACTTTCTAAGCGCATTGCCTGTCTCCTTTGGTCTTCGGTCACTGTGACTAGACCTGCAACTCGGCGTTTCACTTGATCTTTTTATCATCTTTTCACTTTATCGAGTCGTGCTCAGCGTGACCTGTTTTTCTTATTGGCGACCATGGCTCGGCGTTTCTCACAAGCCCTGGACCCTGGGCTTTGTTTCTGTTTTCTGCAGTCATTTTATGACTATGCATCATGCCTAGAGGTTCTCATCGGTCCTTAGCGACCCGTTTATGTTTCTGCTTTCTTTTTTTTCCGCCTTGCGTTGATCAGACACTCATCGGTCTCTAGCGGTCCGATTGATCTTTACTTCTGATTCTGTTTTTTGCTTCGCGTTGATCTGGATACCCCGTCGGTTTTTTATTGCGGCGCGATCTCATTTGATGTTTCTTCTTTCCTAGACCCTGATCCGATGCCTGAGGGAATGCGCTTGCAATTTCCCAGTTGATATCTAGTTCGATTTAGTTCGATCTAGTTGAATCCAATCCAATCCATTGATATTGATATTGAACCTTGACCTCTCTCAACTCGTAGACAATGTCTACCCTCTATACTTTATCATCCTGTAGATCTATTTATCCAAAACCAACCGCCGGAACATCCCAACATGCTCAATCCCCTCCTCCACCCACCTTCCCATCGACTCATCCGTCACAAACCCAAGCCCAGCGTACATCCCCTCGACATCAACCTGCGCATGCACAAGCACCAATCCCCGCCACGGACCCAGATCGGCACCCGCCCCCCTTCTACCCCTCGCAATCCCCGCCACAGCCTCATCAATCTCCCCCGCATGCCCAGCCGCCCACCCCAACGCAACCTCCACCAACCGCCGCCCAAGTCCTAGACCCCGAAACCCCGGCATAACCGCCACCCGCGTCAGCTTAACACAGGGCTCGTGCGTCCAATCGTATTCCCCTCCCGCTGAAGATTCAGGATCCGTGGTCTGCGCGTGCGATACCTGCGGCGGGGGCACTAGTCGGATTGTTCCCACTGGCGTGCTGGTCGAGTCGTTGTATAGGACCCAGTGCCAGCTGCGGGGATCGTCACTGTCAATTTCTGTGGATGCGGTGCAGTGTTGCTCGTCTATGAAGACGGTTTTGCGGATTTTTATTGCGTCGTTGAACACTTTTGGGTTTGTGGTGTCGGTGCCGGTGTCGAGGACTAGTTTGGCGTTTGGGCCTGGGGGTGGTTGTATTGATGTACTGAATTTTGGGATTTGTGCCATTGTGTTGGTATGGATATTGGGTCTTGACTCTTCAATGGTAAGTAATGATGGTGGAGATTTGGGGGGTGGAGGAGTTAGTTAGGTCGTAGTAGAGGGCCGATCCTGATATAGATCTAGGCGAGATCAGCCGACATTGAACGCTACCTACGCTTGATTGGAATATAATTGAATATGAAGAAACTATACTCTTATCGTAGTGAAACTATCACATCTTAAGCCAATATAATAAGCCATGACAGCCGTGTAGTTATCTAGTCCCAAGGGCTGTATACATCCAATGCAAACAGAACAAACAACATCAAATATCAAACCGATCGTAAAAATCCTCAATTCCCCGACCAACATTCCACAATCCAAATGTCCCTCTACTTCGATGCAGTCGCAATCCTGACCGCGCCCTCCTCAGGCGGCTCCTTCAAGTCGCGAGTCTACAGCGCCCGCAACCTACGCGCCTCTCCAGCCCAGATCTACGCACTGATCACCGAGGCCGCAAAATGGGACACTGTGCTAGCAGATGTGATAGACAAATCCGGTATTCTCGCACTAGAGCGCAAGGTGAGCTGACCCCAAGAAAACCACCAGATATACCTACCTACTGACTGACCAAGTGATTTCCCTCTAGCTCACTCCCCTCCTCGCTCTCCTCCTCGTCCATGACCACCTCCTCGCGAAGAAGGGCATTGCCGCGCCGGCAACGCACACACTCCGCCAGACGGTGGAGCGCCACAAGGCCAGGCTGAAGGCCGAGTTCACGAAAGCGCGCGTGCGTCGTGGATGCGCTTCCGTCGAGCAATTCAAGGCTGTTGTCGTGCGCGAGAAACGGCTCGCTGATGGGACGAGCCATTTCGTCTACCCGCGCTGGGTGCGCGTTAATAATATCCGCACGACGCTTGAAGAGCAGCTGGATACTACGTTCAAGGCTTATCGTCGCGTAGAGAGTCTTGCGGAATTGGCGCCGGAAGACGAGATGGAAAGTAGGAAGCCGGAGCCGAGGTTGTTTGTTGATCCTAATATTCCGGACTTGGTGGCTGTGCCGTTCGGTGCGGATTTTACTGCTTCGTCGGCTTACAAGAATGGGGAGATTATTCTTCAGGACAAGGCTTCTTGCTTCCCGGCGTATTTATTGTTAGGTGACCGCGGGCCTGGGGACCCGTGGGAGGGTGACTTGGTTGATGGATGTGCTGCGCCGGGGAACAAGACTACGCATTTGGCGTCGCTTCTGGCGAAGCAGCAAAAGGGGAATAAGAACAGCAGACAGAGAATCTTTTCTATGGATGCATCTATCACCCGTTCTAGGACGCTGCAGAAAATGGTTGGCTTGGCTGGGGCTGACTCGGTCACTGTGCTGCAGGGTCAGGATTTCCTCGCCCTGGACCCAGAAGATGAACAGTTTGAGAAAGTTACTGGGTTGCTGTTGGATCCCAGTTGTTCTGGTAGCGGCATCATCGGGCGTGACGAGGTCCCTCAGTTCACACTCCCTGCTGCGGCACCATACAAGGCGCCCAAGTCACATGGAAAGAAAAGAAAGCGTGCGGACAACGAGGAAGAAGCAGATGGCCAGTCGAAAGTTACCATTGGAACGCCGCAGGTAGCGCCCACCGATGAAAATGATATCCCAGATGGCACGGTCGACCCAGAGCGACTGACCAAACTATCAAGCATCCAAGCGCGGATCGTTGAACACGCTTTGCGTTTCCCGAATGCTACCCATGTGACGTACAGCACTTGTTCTATTCACCTGATTGAGAACGAGGGCGTTGTGGCTCGCATTCTGAATTCCCAGGTCGCCAAAGAGCGCGGCTGGCGTCTCCTGCGACGTGATGAGCAGCCTGAGGGCTTGCGTCGGTGGAAGAAACGAGGCGTGCGAGAGGAGCGGCCGGCGGAGGGAGAGACGGGGCCATCGGGCTCGGTAGATCTCTCCGACGAGGCACTCGAAGCGTGCATCCGATCCTGGCAAGGCGACGCAGAAGGTCTTGGAGGATTTTTCGTCGCTGGATTCATTCGGGACCCTGCTCATGTCACGGCCGTTCCAGCGAAGGAAAGTAGACATGATGAGAGTGAAGGTGAAAAAGATGAAAAGGACGAAGACGACGAAGAATGGGGAGGATTCTCCGATTAGACAAAAGTAAATAAATGCAAGTTTGCCCAGCCTGAAACATTCCCAAGGCATCTTTTACCATACATCCAAGTCCTCGGCGTATTATGCAGTTTAAGACTTGAACAGATGTACAGACGACTAAAGGAATTTCCGTGACCGGTTTCGGACCTGCGAGCTGGTATAGATGTCCAACTTGACAGCAACCAAGACAACCTCGTATATCCCGGTAGGCCCGGTCTGCACTTGCAAGCGCCATTGTCCAGTCCGAACAACCCAGGGCTTATCGTCCGTATTATCGACCCGTGGACGTTTGGCTGGAGGCACACTATCAGCGCCAGCGCCAGCTTCAGCCTTAGCTCTCGATATCATCAAATGATGAGGGTCTTGTTCTCCATCCACGGTGAGATCAGTTTCACTGTCGACACGGACCTTGAGTGGAACTTGGCCCAATGGCGGATGTGAATCAGGCAGGTTTAATTTCTTGCCAACCGTCTGTAGCAAACTGACAATTCTTTGTTTCGAAAGGCCTAGGAAGTCAACACGCATGGTCCCACGATGAATCAGACTAGACTCGTCGCCGATCTCAACCACCAGATCGGCGGCGTTGTCGTCTATAAACGGACGCGCGTATGTGACCATTCGACCCGACCCAGAAACCGTATTCAAGATACACTGAACCCCAGACGGCCGTACATCCTCGAGCCGGATGACGATTTCCAAACGATGGCTGAAGGGATTCGTCGTTATCTGATGCGGTATCAACTTTTGTTCCAGGCCGTGCAGATGGAAATAACGACAGTCGCGCAGGAGCGCAGCCCGATGATCTTCGTTTCTAATATGTAGCGGATACCCGCGCAGCAGATGCAGGAGCTCGTCGAAGACATCCGCGGATCGATTCGGCACGCTTGGGGGAACAATGGCCGGGGGTCGCAATAGACCCTGACGGTCCAGGCCCGGGAACACTTCAGACGGGGAAGCGAAGAAGGCGGCGAATCCGAGGGTGAAGAAATTCGGGGTATCGCCTGGACCTGAAAATATATCGCGGGGGATCTGGAAGTGTCGGTCGCCGATTTGAATAAAGCATTCGGACTCGAACAGCTGGGACATCAATCGGGGCACTGCTGGTCAGCATACTTCTAGGGTACGGGTACCTGGACAGAAAATGCTCACATGTGTAGAATTGCGCATCTGCGAATAGCTTCACGAACTGCGCGCCATCTTGCGGCCGGACATGGTAGCCTGGATGCACCCATCAGCCTCTGTCACGTTGTGTTTGTCCATGGACCCTACCCTGCAGATGTCTAGCGATCTCGTGGAATGTCGTGGGATCGCGATCGATATAAAGGGTCCTGGTGTTGGCTACATCTGGATTCTGAAGCAATTGAAGCTCGAAGAAGCGTGAAAAGTAGGATGGAGCTGTTGGAAGGGTCAGTGTGAGTTAAGACAGTTAGACGGGAGAACAAGCGCGTTTACCATCAGAGGCAATTGAAGCACCCGACAGACGAAAGGTCTCGGAACCAATTTGGATAGAGAATACTTTCTCTCTCGGCAGACTACATTTAGAGCGAGTGGGAGTGGGCTTGTCCATCTTTTGATGCGAAGGTCGAGGTCGGAGCGGAGAAATTACATTTTGCCTGACGACTACCGGCTACCTACGACATAGGTACACTACACACACACTACGCATACACTTCACACATACTACACACTACAATTATACCACTGAGCCAACTTGAAGTTACCTGAAATTGAAACTAGTTTAATTGGACCTGAATTTTCTATCCACGCTGGCTCCAGTCTCAGCTCACCTTGAGTCTCACATGGCGCTGAAACTCGGCAATTCTCCCCACAGACGTGCCAGTCAGCCCCTGGCTTCCGAGAAAGAGGGGCGGATCTGCCTCTCCAGGAAACTTAGGCCGTGAAACGGTCAGGTAAAATGGAGACTTGCACGGTCTTGACTGGTCGAGATACTCAATTACTCCACCGCCACAAGAGTCAAAAGCTTCACTACGGAGTCCTTCTCCACTCGACCGAGGCTGCTATCTTTGGGTCGCGAGGCTGGCTGACCGTCGCCTAAAGTTACTGGAAGAGCAGTCCATACAGAGTACTTTGTCTATGACTATCCACGCTAAAGATGAACCAGGTTGGACTCTGCATACGTACCTGTTGTCATAGTGGGACCTTGTCGAGCTAGTACTAGGTATTATAAACATCTGTACCGTGCTCAGGTGCTTCTGTCTCCTTGCTCCCAAATCTCTTTCTTATTCTCATCCTACCATTCATCCTATACTACTGGGGCTTGATCTACGACAGCTTTGTCTGCTCTAGTCCTTGCAACATGCCAACCCTCGCTGTTTCCACATACACCCCGAGGGATGTCCCTCTTCCGCCAGCGCCGTCGGCCACTTACTTCTCGGAGTTGCAGTGGAAAACCTTCTATGCGCTGGCCGACGCAGTTGTGCCCTCTATCCACACTGCAGCAACTACCAAGTCATCGAACGACCGGGTGATTTCAAATGCAGAGTGGAATTCCGCCGTGTCGAGCTTGTCAACGGCTATCTCTGGACCTGACGCCGTAAACCTTGCCACCCAGTACCTGCAAGAAAATGTCTCTTCGAACCCGCAATTCCGGGCCGCAGTGGAGCGACTCCTGGGCGACTATGTGAATGACGAGGGAAGAAATGGGTTTGGTTTCATCATGTCAGCGCTCAACACCCGTGCTGGTTCTCTGGTCATGACGGGCTCCACCACTCCGATCCAGGACCAACCGATTGAATTCCGAGAAAAGATCTTGCGCGGATGGGACACCTCTCGATTGGCTCCTCTCCGCGCCATCTACCGAGGACTCACGGCCATTGTTAAGAAGTGTTGGGTTATCAGCAGTCCAACCATAAGCCCGGTTCTGGGGTTCCCAAGCATCCCTATTCATGGCGAGCAGGTCGACGGTTTCCAGTTTGAGTTTTTGCAGTTCCCTTCTGGGGATCAGCCAGAAACGATTGAAACCGACGTCGTTATCGTGGGAAGTGGCTGCGGCGGTAGCGTGGCTGCAAAGAACCTCGCCGAAGCGGGCTATCGAGTGCTGGTGGTGGAAAAGTCCTATTCATACCCGACCAACACGTTCCCCATGGGCGCGAATGAGGGATATACCAACATGTTCGAGAACGGGGGCGCTGTCTCCAGTGACGATGGCTCGATGGCGGTCCTAGCGGGCTCAACGTGGGGTGGTGGTGGTACCGTGAATTGGTCGGCCGCTTTACAGACCCAGGGGTATGTCCGACAGCAATGGGCGGATACTGGTCTCCCTTTCTTCACCTCCCTCGACTTCCAGAAAAGCTTGGACCGCGTCTGTGATCGCATGGGTGTTAACGACGATCATGTTGAGCATAACTACCAGAATAAGGTGGTTATTGAAGGCGCAAGGAAACTGGGATATGCCGTGAAAACAGTTCCCCAGAATACAGGTCACGGCGAACACTACTGTGGGTATTGCACGTTAGGATGCGCGTCGGGTGGGAAGAAAGGCCCAACGGAGTCGTTCCTTGTGGATGCTGCTCAGGCCGGCGCAAAATTCATCGAAGGATTCCGTGCCGACAAAGTGCTATTCACCACCGTCAAAGGCAAAAAGGTTGCTTCTGGCGTACAAGGAACTTGGAAGTCACGGGATTCATACTTGGGCCTCGCTGGTATTGGGGCTGTGGAACGTCGGCTGATTATCAAGGCTAAGAAAGTAGTTGTATCAGCTGGCACATTGCAAAGTCCTCTTCTGCTGTTGCGTAGTGGTTTGAAGAATCCTCAGATTGGCCGAAACCTTCATCTTCACCCTGGTAAGAACTTTCTTTCACAGCACATTTTACAGGCACTTATTTTCTTCTACAGTGCTTGCGGCTAGTGCTGTCTTTGATGAGGATACTCACCCCTGGGAAGGCTCTGCGTTGACAACGGTTGTCACCGAGTTTGAGGACCTTGATGGAAATGGACATGGTGCGAAGATTGAGACTGCCGCAATGTTGCCTTCCGTGGTCATTCCTATCTTCCCCTGGCGAGACTCATTGGAGTATAAGATGTGGGCGGCCAAGATGCGTCACAGCACGAGCTTCATCGTCTTAACCAAAGAACGCGATACTGGTCGTGTCTACCCAGATCCGGTCGATGGACGCTGCCGGATTGATTACACGGTATCTGCCTTTGACCGGAAACACATGGTGGAGACCCTGATTGGCATCGCCAAGATTGCGTATATCTCAGGAGCCAAAGAGTTCCATACTGTTTACCGCGACCTTCCCCCCTTCATCCGGCCAGAGACTTCAGACCCCGAGGCCCCTGAAGGCATTAACAATACGGCTCTGCAGAGTTGGATTGCCGAGCTTCGTGCGAAGTCCCCTTTGAACCCGGAGCGTGGTTTGTTTGCCAGTGCACACCAGATGGGTACCTGCCGCATGAGCAAGTCACCTAAATTAGGTGTGGTGGACCCGAATTGTCAAGTCTGGGGCACTGACGGGTTGTATGTCGTGGATGCGTCCGTGTTCCCTAGCGCCAGCGGTGTGAATCCGATGGTCACTAATATGGGTATCGCCGATTGGGCCAGCCGAAACCTCGCGCGGGCGATGGGAACGGTACCAGGCGAGGGCAACGTGATGGCTCGTCTGTGATGTCATGGTAGATTGACCGCTACTAGTTCTAGATTATATGATATGCCTAGCATGATTTTTTAGTTTCGTCATAAGACTCGTTATAAGATTGAGGTGCTTGATGAAGCCGAATATCATGTCTAATTCTTTCCCTGATCGGGCGCTAATGCTATTTCTCATTTATCATTTTGAATCTAAGCCTTGGGATCCTGACGCTTCTCAATAAATTGCTTCTCACCAAAGGCCTCCTTGACGCCCTCGGTCTCGAGAGTGCGCTCATACCAAGCGACCACGGAGGGGTACTTTGCGCGCATTTCAGCATCGATAGCCATGGAGAAACCCCAGACCAGGGCAGCGGCAACGGTGATATCAGCCAAGCTAAGCTTTTCCTTGCTCGCGAACCAAGTGCGGCCCTTGAGGTGAGTCTCGAGACATTCCAACGAGCGTTCCAGACGCGCGAGGTTGGTCTCCTCGACTTTCTCATCGAAGGGCCGGATACCGAGACGCGGCAGCGCCAACTGCGTCACAGGGTCCAAAATCTCACCCTGCGCAAAGCAGATCCACTGGCGGATAGTAGCGCGCTCGGCGGAGGTAGCACCAGTAAGCTGAGCGGCAGCGGGGCCGCTCTCGGCAATGTATTGGGTGATGGCGTCTGACTCGAATAGGGTTGTTCCGTCGGCACCCTCGAAGGCGGGCACTTTACCCAAAGGGAACTTGGACAGGAAATCCGGGGTCCGGTTGGTCTTGCCCATGGCGAATTCCGGAACCGCCACTTCTAGGCCGTTCAGGTTGGCCGCGGCCAGGGCCTAGCAGGGGTTGTTAGCGCGTGATTGCATGCTGACAGGGGGTCGAGATTGGTACCTTCATGACCCGGGGACTGGGCTGATAAGAGTAGATAGTGCCGAATGGTGCCATTTCGATCGTGATGAGGTGAGATACAGGTACATTGTAGAATTGAGGGGTATGTTTTATATGAAGCTAAAGAGCGGGGCGGAATCAGGTGGAACCGGATTTCTAAGCTGGTGAGCTGATTTGAAGCACAAAACAGGAATTGCGCGGTTTGACATATATCTTTGTCGTTTTATATAAACTCAGGAGATCCATGTGAAATTACTAGCAACTGGTTATCAATTCAGTATGAAGGAGCTTAACTCGCGCCAAATCCGACTCAAGTGGCCCACCTTCGTGAGCACAGTCAGAACTTAATGTCGACAAGTCTCCCTCGGCTGTTACGGCGAGTCACCTGCACAACTGGCCCGTATGGCTCGACGTACTCGCTGAGTAAGCGCCAGGGGTATTCACACACCGCGGACATGGGATTAGAACCTTAGCGATTAGTCTACTCAATTGCATGAGCCATCTTGGGAACCTCCACTCTAGTTCGAAACCTCCATTTCAGGATACGCTAGTAGCTAGTCCTAACATCAGCTTTTTGTCTCTTCGGACCGAAACAGTTAAATATACAAGAAATTAGGGTCAAAATCAAAATACAAGGAATCGCAGCACATCCCAGATCTACTAGGTCACGCCTTGCATGCCTCACCGAGGCGCATATAGTTCCAACAAACTGCAAGTTGGGTCAGCTTTTCACTTCACAATTTCGGGGTAATAAAGACGCACTCGTATGTCCCATGTCCTTGCCAAACAAGCTCTTCATCAGATCTTCGCCATCGCGTGTGCCCTCGCTCGGGATATAACTGACGGCCGTTTTGCCGAGAGCGAGGCCCATTACAGACGGGAACGGCTCCAAGGTCTGATACTCTGGCTTTCCACCGGTGCACTCTGCCAGCATATGCTGGTGGATATTCATCGCCGCGTAATGGCCCATATGCATTGCACCACCACAGCGCTTAATGCCTTCCCACTCAGTGAGGTCTCCTACTGCCCAATGATGCTCTGCGTTAGGGACGGCACCGGAGAATTGTAGTCTGCAGAGGTATTAGAAATGTTTGTGCGCAACTTGGTGGAGGAATAGTCTTACGAGCGGTGCACTTTGATGTATCCCTCCTCATTCAACACCTCTTTCGGCAGATATGTCGATGTTGGAACGCTTCGGGAGACGGCGTTTAGAACATGGCCCGTTCTGAGCTTTTGGCCATCGCTGAGTGTGAGATCCCAGGTCCGTGTCCCATTTTTACCGTCCACAGCGGTCGTTTCGATAACGCGTTGTCCTAGGATAACCTCGACGCCTGTATCGCGCAATATAGTACCTACGCGCTCGGCAAATTCATCGGGCAACGGCTCCGAAGATAACAAGCGCTTTCGAGAGTGGATCAGAGTGATCTTCTGGTCTGGGTTAAGGATTTTCAATTCGGCAGCCATCTCCACGCCCACGGCGCCTATCCAGAAAGACATGTTAGCGGGTGGAAGTATCAAAGAGGGAGGGAGCACACGTACCTCCACCAACAATAACCACACCCTCACGGGCTTCCTTCACATCCGTCATATGTTGTCTAGCCTCTTTGAGGAACTCATCTCGCCACAGGGACTGGGGAACAGTGGGGAAAGACCGACGCAGCCCGGAGCCTGCAATCAAGTAGTCATAGGGCTCCGTGCGGTTACTGTTGGTCTCCGCATCGACAATATTGGCAACTTTAGCATTGAAATCCACCGAGCTGACGCTTCCCTGGATGAATTTGAGTTCTGGGCACTTGAGCCCGGGAATATCTTGGAAACGAGTCCATGCCTCGGGCGCGAACTTTTCACAGGCTAGGGCCTTTGGGGATCCGATCAGGTGAACTACATATGTGAGCGGGGGTGTAATTGCGGGGGAATTGTCGATCCTTGGGGAGCTTACAGTAGCCATCTCGCTTATCGACTACAGTTATCTGTATCGGAATACGATGTGTAGGAGCTTTGGCATCGGGATTACAGTTGAAACGCGGGAGACGACCTTGCGAGAGATCAATGAGGGTTAATGCAGCAGATAGACCGCCATAAGAGCCACCGATCACAAGCACTCGGAAGTTGCGTGATACAGTTCGGACAAAGTCATTGGATGGCATGGTGAGCTGAGAAGGAGAGGTGTGACGAGCAATAACCGAAGAAAGAGGCCGAGAGGAAAGCGGAAAAGGAGAAGGAAAGTAAAGGAGAGAAACCGAGAAAAAAAGCCAAGGAACTGAGCTATGTACTCGAACAAAAATAAAGAAAATAGTTATATCGTCATATCGTCGGATTATGCGAGTCCGGATCTTATCAGATTGAAAGCGACATCGGATACAGCGCATCCATGGTTGTTCCTTGGCTTTCTCTTGGCTCGGATTATCAGATCCGAGGGCAGCCGTGGAAGGTGAAACATCCCTCGGTTGTATTGAATTCCTCCGACAGCACAGACCCTAGTAAGCCAAGTTTTTTTTTGGCAGGACCGACATGGTGGCTGATACACGCAAAAGCATATATTAAGTTTCCTTCCGTCAATTGATCTTCGTGTGTAATATTAGGATAGAAGAGAGCTCTATCACGGCATAATTACATGCACAACGTTGAATATTGTATGAACCAGAAGTTTGTTTACGGTTGGACCCGGTGGCTGTAATGCTTGTAAAGTAAAATACACTTAATTCCGTGGTTCGATACAGCCACGAAACCCAAAAGAGCAATGATCGTCGATCAGACAAGATGAGCATCTAATCTGATTCTGGAAGTGCTCGACCCGACGTAACAAACGAAGAAAATGCGTAACAAAATAGCGCATTTGCTGCAAGATCCGCTTTTCGTCATTCTCTATGTACTTGGCGTTACAAGCGTTGAGCTCGGGCGAATCACAATAGAATCTGATAACATACGCCCCTCATTTAATTACATTTTTTGTTTCAAACAGATTTTCGGAGTTGCAATTTTATTGTGCACGAGGTTCGTTTGTCAATGAGATCGGGGTATTACTGCAAAAAATCTAGTCTCTATACTGGGTGAACACGAGGGCTGTACAATCTGTGCTCCTTCCTTTTTTTTTTAATTCGTCTTCTGACGCTGGGCCAGCACCGCCATCGCCATATCCCGTAGCTCCACCTTGCGAACTTTGCCGCTCCCCGTCACAGGAACCGTGCTGGAAGCCCCCTCTTCTCCAAATACAAACACATGCTGCGGGGCTTTGTGTCGACCCAAAGTTTCACGTGTCCATGCGCGCAGTTCGTCATCGGTCGGACGACCGGCGCCCGAAGCGATTGCGATAAATGCTCCGACGACTTCGCCATATTTGGGATCAGCAATGCCAACCACAGAGGCCAATTCAATTGAGGGATGCGCGGCCAATCGTTCTTCGATCTCGAGGGGATATATGTTTTCGCCGCCTATTCGATAATTAGAAATCGCGATCAATGTCTACGGTGGGGTGCAAGCTTACCGCGAATGATGATGTCCTTGAAGCGACCAGTAATTGTGCAGTACCCTTCGGCATTGAAGGAAGCTTCGTCGCCAGTCTTGAGCCATTTGACACCCTCCGCATCGGTTATAAATGTCTCTGCCGTCTTCTCCGGGTTGTGCCAGTATCCTTTGGTAAGCTGGTAGCCGGCCATGCAAAGCTCACCACGCTGACCAACGGGAACGATGTTTCCCTGGGCATCGATAATCTTGGCGCGAGCGTGGGGCAAAACCTTTCCGACGGTGGTTAATCTTGTGTGGATGCTGTCGGTGGTGAAAGCATTGAAGCAGGTAGGCGAGGCCTCGGTGAGACCTAGACTTGGTTAGCACTTGATCATCAAGCCAATGAGAGGGATGGTACCATAGCTACTAGTGTATTCAGTCATATTCAATTCCGCGAAGAGCCGCTTCATGAGTGGCCGCGGGACTGGGGCCCCAGCAATGATGCCTGTGCGGAGGTTTGAGCTGTCAAAGTTGGGGGGCTTGGGAACGGCAAGGATCGCCTCAAACATGGTGGGGACACCATGCAGAGCAGTGCATTTCTCGTCGGAGATGGCATGCAGAACCGCCTTAGGGTCGAAGGTTTCGCTGGGGAAGACAATTTTGGCGCCATGGGTGACCACCGCGAGCATGCCCAGGACCAGCCCGAAGCAGTGGAACAAGGGCGGGGGGCAGCACAGAACATCAAAAGAGGTGAAGTCCATGCGATCACCGATGAAACGCGAGTTATTAACCAAGTTACTGCGCGGGGATTAGCTATATTTAACAACGAATCGTCGTACGTGGTCCACATACTGATGAGTTAACATGGCAGCTTTAGGACTGCCCGTCGAACCGCTTGTGAATTGCAGATTGCAGACATCGTCCGGCCGCAATTCGGCCTCGCGGTCCTGAAGCACATGTGCAGCCTGCGACAGACCACGTTCCATGACATCGTGATAGGTGGTGAAATTGTTGTAACTTTCGCGGAGAATAACGATTTCCTCCAATGATTCCGAGGTCGCAGACTTTTTAGGATTAGGGCCCAGTTTGAGAAGGACTTCCTCGAGATTATGACGGCCAATGCGTGGTGTCATGAAAAGCATTCGGCATTCTGAATAAAAGCAGAACAAACAGCCGAGATTAGTATGGAGTCAATAATACGGAAGTGGATATCACCCACCACTGTGATTCAAAGCGTAATACAGCTCGGAGGGGGTGTATGTGTTGTTCAAAACGACCAAGATAGCCCCAACTCGTGCGGCCGCAAAGAACACCGAGATGTACTGCTCACAATTGCCCGCCATAATTCCGATGCGGTCACCTTTTTGAATACCGGAAGCCAACATTCCCCGAGCGAGACGATCGGTCTCGTCTTTCAGCTGGCCGTACGTCCATCGGGCACCGGTCCAGGGGAAGACCAAGCACTCAATTCGCCCATACTGCAGTGCTTGCAGCGTCAGCAGCTCACCCAAGGTAATGTCCAGCAGCGCTGGCTCCGTCGGGCCTGCGACCAGAGACAGCTGCGGAGTAGTCGGAGGCTGCACATGCGACAGCGTCTGCTGCAAGCGCTGTACACTTCTCGGGGCCGCCATGATAGGTAGATTGAAAGGTAAGGAAAAAGGAAATCAGGAAAAAAAACCTAGGACATAGCGGGTTTATAGATGTAGCCGACAATACCGCGACAAATTTCGCACAAGATAAATTTGATTAATTCGATTAATTCCATTCCATCAGATAGCCCGGGCTCCACATCGGAGCTGTTGTATTGGTAATTTCACGGGTTTGGCTTTTATGCTTGGTTGACTCGACGCCTTGGCGTCTGACAAGACTCCACTCGGTCTTCAAGCGAACCTTGGAACCTTGGCAGGATACGCAAGCTCCGAGGGTCCTTGTAGGTCGATGTATACATCGAAGATGGTCCCTGCATATAACGAAAGTACTTACTGCGTATGTGTTTGCATTCTATAGGGCATCTGCAAGGTACTGGGAATGTTTCCCATGTACATAATCCGATATTGATCGATCGAAAAGGCTGCAAACTCTAGCCTACCCTTGTGAGGAGCTAGTTCATGACATGAATTTTGCTGCTTACGGTGGACTGACACCGGAAATTTGACTGTCTGCAAAATATAAGATATTTGAATCTTTTCGTAAGACATCTACATCGGTACAAGTAGAATCCTCTCCTCGGTCATCTCCCCGGGGATCGTCTGGTAAATTTCCTGTCACGGTAGTATGGCCCAGGCTTGGATGTCAGGATCTAACCGGCATTGAATAACAGAAAAAAAACTCCCTCGTGGCACTGGACCCCACTCAGGATCAGATAAATTGTCTGCAGAATTCCATCCCGGGTTATCAATCAGTGTGAAGATGTCCAAGTGGAGCCCGTTGTCGACGAGCCCGGGACACACGTGTGAGTTGGTGGGAATACATAATTGGAGGCACTGACTCTTGGCACATCCTGGCATTCTGAAACTAGTTTTCGCTTTTCGTCTGTTGGAACTTGTAAGACAAGGAACAGGCAGTGGGTCACAGCCTAGACCATCTTTGTCGGATATTGTAGGCTTAGAAGACCCGGTATATAATATATAATTCACCAGCTTCATCAAAATCTACCTCGCCATATATAACAACACAGCTACCATTTACCATTGTACGAGTTATGCAACTCTGGTCTATACCTAGGGCTTGGGAATCTAATCAATCGGGCTGATCTAATCAATCATTCCCGACATCGGCGCCTTCGTGTGGGACCCACCTAAAAATACCATAAATACCGCTCGAAAGATTCAATGAATGTTACAGAGAATTAGTAGGGAATTGGCAGGCAAAAATAGTACTCCGTAGTCTATACTAGGTATGAAGTACTGTATGTACTCCGTACCAGGTACATATATGCATTGGGTATAAAAAAGCTAATTATTGCGTAATATGCACGGAGTATGTCAAGGGGCTTTGTCGTATGTCAAGATCCAATCCACTAGGGCTGAATGCCGGCGTCCTAGTTGGGCTTCTATATTTGTTCTAGACTTGATGTTAATATAATTGATGGAGTGCTTAGAGGCCTTCTTAATTTACATTGGACTAACCCTCACTACTAGTTACGTCATGGTTGCTTTATTAATTATTGTAACTTCATTTCTCGTTGGGCTGTCTGTCTAGCTGTTGAGAGTGGACTACTCTATCATTGCTTGTCAACCGAACAACAAAGATTCCCCATACGATCAGATTAAATCAGATTGATAGAAAGCAGGTGCAAAAAGCCTATCATTGGCATACTCTGAATGCAAATAGCAAACACAAGACATGGATACATCTCAGGTAGACGGCAAATTAGTACATAGGATTCTACACGCCGAACTTATGGCCCTTTGGTACAGAAAGATCGGGACAACCTTTCCAGTCGCAGGTGTTCTGCTAATAGTTAGTATAAGTAATTGAACGTCAGAGGGGGTAAACACACCTTGTAAACCTCTGTTCCCCACCATTTGAAATGGTTGCTGGCTCCAGTAAAGAAAATTGTCAAGAAAATCAAGACACCAGCAATTCCCACTGACGAGTCCATGGCAGAACTCAGCACAAAGTTATACTTACTCCACCAGCTATGCAGACGCTTCCGAATGAGCCAGCCAAAGGTGAGTCCAACAACTGCCCAGCTTCCGTAATTCATTCCGGTCGCAGGGGGCAAGTAATTGAGCCCACCGAGGAACAGGGGAATATGAACCCTTCTCCACAGTGACTTGGGGTATCGGCGGGTCATATAATAGACGGGAATGGGTAGAATGGCACCGACGATGAAGAAATAAAGCAAAGCGGAATAGCCAATTTGGTTTGAGAAGTAACGACGAGGACCCACTGCACCCCAGATCAAGGAAGTATTGAAGTGGGTTCTGCTGTAAGGACAAGTGAAACCGTTAACAGCAGCGCTAGTGCAGACGCCGGTGATATGATTCAGGGCCCAATTGAGGACACCGAGCGAGGAGAGCGTGCCGATAACCATTCCCACGCATTGAACCAAGAACAGTTTTCGTTGCGGGATCTTCCGGGTATTAGCATGATTCAACTATAGTAGGAAGGAAAGGGCTTGCATGGCAATAGTAAGCGAGTTTCATATCCTGGGCAAAGTAAAGACCCTTGATGGTTGTGATGTATCCGATGTCAAAGAACCAGATATTGGCCAGGACTTTGCCCTCAAAGACGAAACCGGCCACGATACGGCAGAAGATGTCGATATTGATCTTGAGGTTAGAAGTGGCATAGACCAGGGCCAACTAAGATTGGTCAGAGAGGTGTCCAATGTGTAAATCGGAACTTCAGGTAGACTCACCGCAGGATAAAATATCAGTGCCACAGTACACGCCAGCAGAACACCGTACCATCTCAGTTCAACGTTCCACCACTCAACGGCGAACATCGACATGAATAAGGCTAAGACGCATGCAACCAGGTACCACCACAAAGGCACATCTGGGTCTCCCCGCTCGTCCTCGCTGTACTCTCTAGAGCGACCGGGAAAAGACTCCAGGACTAGCCGAGGCACCCTTTTGGCAGCATCGGCCATGACATGACGCTTTTCAAGGACAACCCAAACAAGAAGAGCGCTCAGGGTCGCAAATGAGAGCCCAAACATGTTCAACGCGTAGGTCACTGGCATATAGACCTAAACGTTCCACAAGTTAGCAGAATGTCAAGTTTTTTGAGTTTATAGAACGTGTAAACATACCGGGGAATAAGCAAGGTACTTCTTAACATCGAGCTTGTAGCCTGAGGCTGCATTGACAATCTTTTTGACTTTATAAATATTCCCGGTATTGTCGAATACTGTTTGCACAAGTTAGATTTGGTCGGGAGCTTGAAAGGATGGGTTGTACCTTGAGAGCTTTGGAAAGGCAGGTAGCCTGTGTTCCACACATTGGAATAGTATAGAGCAACAGCCACAATCCAAATCCAGAACACCAGGGAAACGAAGACGTTGAAAACTGCCCACGATGGGATGAGCAAGGGTGATCCGACGTAAGATATTTGGCTCCCTATTGGGGTCAGCACGGTAATTGACCTGAAAGGTTGTGATACTCACAATCAAATGTAAGCGGCAACAGCCCCATTCCAGAATTCATTCCGAAGATCTGATTGACTACTTTGCTCTCAGGCTTGATCCAACACGGGAAGCTGAAATAGCTAAGCGCCGGGAAGATGAAGTCTGGGAACCAATACCAGCAGAACGAGATGGAAAATGCCATACCGAAGAAGGCATAGCGGGACATTTTCCAAGTATTGTAACTACCATCTATCAGTTCCATTCACCGAGACAACAAATAAATACAGGGAACTTACGTCACTTGCACTTTTTGCTGGTTGACATGATGCAGCGTTGTGGTCAACGCAGTAACACCCAGCACCCCAGGCCAGATCAGCTCTTGGGGAACGACCACAATCGCCCGGAATAGACCAGCAAGACAGAACCCGATGAGGAATGTGGAGAAAGTAATGAGAATTTGGAATCCCCATCCTGCTTTGTAACCGTAGAACATTTGCTGCTCTGTCAGGACATCGGCGCCAAGACGAACGTAGATACTGAGGTTGGACATAATAAAGATCAAGACATGTTCCTAGAATAACCTTTGTTAAACTGATTACTGTGACGTTGCCAGGGAACATACCTTTGTATTAAAAGGACCCGGGTTGAGCTCAAATGCCAGTCGTCCTAGAGGAACGGTCCAGTTCGGGACGATTTTCTCCCAAAGCTTTCCCAGGGGATAAGCCAACAAGAGGACAACCGAGCCGGAAATTGTCAAGGAAGGTGCACGGAGCGTGTAGAGTGTGTTCAACCCGCTAACGATGACACAAAAGGCAATTCCTATCACCCACATACGTAGAGTGAGGACGGGCTCAGTAGGATCATCTTTAGCTATACCTATACCAGCAGCCCGCAAGATTTCGGTCTGTGAATCTATGTCTGCAGTGGTGTGAGAATCTCGCAAAAAAAGAAGGAAAAAAACCCCAAGCCACAGCAACAGGCAGCAGCAGACTTACCGGAATCGGTATTATTTTCATCCTGAACTTCTTCCTTTTCCCGAATGTTTCTCTCCAGCAGGTTAATATCTGTGTCCTTGTTGGCTTCCATGATGGGCATGAAGGAAAATGAGATAGAAAGAAGGATCAGATAAAAGGATCAGATAAATAGACAACATCAGATAAGATGCAGAAAGAACGTGTAATCCGGATGCAACCTCGGACTCGATCCGTAGAAATACACGAAGTCCGTATTCCCACGGTTCTCAGCCCTATAGGGCTGGCTCTCAGGGGAGACAAGCTTCATTCTCTGTCTGGTCCAGCGTGTTATTGGACAGGTTCCAGTTCAAGCGGGGCTGTAATACTAAGCCAGAGTATGTTGTTGCCTAGTTAGGAAATACCCACACTCAACGACACCTGGTTTAGCTTTAGTCAGTGTCTAGATCTTACAGGTCAGATCATTTTGGTTATTTTCCGATTAGGGCATGATTTTCTCGCCTCTAACAGAGACTTTGGGCTTTCCTTACTTTGTAGACTACCAACAAGTAGTTAGTTTGTAGGAGTACTGCATATAGTAGTTAATTGAGCCACTAGTATACAACATATTTCCAAACTCTCCCAGTGATGGACCATTATAGAACCACCGAGAAAGAACAAAAAGCTTCCACTGTGGGAACCTTAAGTGTCCACTCAAACTCTTTACAAGCCTTCTCGTGTCATTTTACAGGCATGGTTTTATCGGCCGAGGCACGTTCCCTTGGCCCATAAAACCAAGGTTTACGGTCTCCACGGTAAGCATTTGGATCCTTTCTCAGTGGACAAGTTCGGGTTAGGAGTGATAGGACCCCTCTTGTGGACAAAGTCAAACAAGACACTAATACGGAGTACTAAAATAGCAGCCTCCAGGCGTGGCTCTTCTGGGAACCGTACGGATGTACTCGTAAAGAATGGATGTATGACGCTCAAGCCATAGAGGTGTCATAGGGCCGCCATATAGACTCGCATAATTCGATAAATGCAGCGATGCAAATCAACATCATCCCGGTATGTAGAATATAATGGGCCAACTCCACGGCCTATGTTTCTCCAGTCACCAGTAAATCCTCTTCTACCACTGAGACACGCACTTTGATGCCCCAGCCATCTCGCCCACCAATCCAATTCTTCCGCTTTCCGACCTTCTGGATTTTCTGCACGTCATTTTCGAGCTCTTCTCTCAGGTGAGACGGGTCATCAGCCACTTTCTGGATGGCAATTGTCAAGTCCAGGCCTTCTTTCTTGCCCTTCTTCCCCATGCCCTTCTTCCATCGGGCCGAGGGAACAATGCGAGGCTTAGAGGTGTCGACACGCCCGGTTGGGTACAGCTGGGCTAGGACGAGGCCGAGTTTTCCAAGGTAACGTGTCCACCAAACTTCCTCCGGTGTCAAGGTTCCTTGTAGCTGGGTCTTCAAATCCATGTCTCTGGGTGGCAGTTCTCCGCCATAACGTTCCTGGAGCATCAGTGCCAGGAGGGCACGGTGGTCATGTGGAATACCATGCGTGGAGGCTAGGATCCCAGTGCTAGTGCTGTACAGTGCGGCACTTGAGGAAAGTTCTTTGGCCATTGTGGCATGATAATAGAGGGAATTAGCAAAGGCCTGGATAAGGTGAAGACTGATGGAAGGCGGGAATGATCGGCTGGCAGATGGTCGAGGAAGGGCCGCCAACAATAAAGCGGCCAGTGCCTGGGCCGACGAAGGCGCGTGACGGGCCGTGGCGACCTCCAAGGGGTCCTGCCGACGGACAACCGGGAGCATCTCACGGAATAACACTCCTTCCCGAACTCCACCTTGGCAAAAATGGGCCTCTTTGATTCCATACGGTAATGACTGCGCCAGGGTATTGACTAAGAATGCCACCGAGGGGACTTGCCTGCGTCGCCGGTCCGAGACCCGGAAGATTTCATGTGCTGTCCGAGCCACCTCTTTGAGAGCTTTGGTGTTCTCAAAGTCTTTCTTGGGTGCGGAATACCCATTAATAATCGAGATGGGGTAACTTTGGCCTTTTGTCTGGTGCAGGTATAACAGAAGATAGCCCCATCCCCGAAATCCTCCCCCGGACAGGTAGAGAGGAAAGCCCCCTTGCTTTCGGGCCTTGTGAACAAGCTGCTCAGGGACGTCGAGGGTATCAAAAGCGGCGCGGAAGTTGTTTGCCATTTCCTCGCGGAACTCCTCTCGAGCTTTGTGCGCATCCTCTTTACTTTTTCCGCGTGCGAGGTCGGCCAGTTTCTGGGTCAATGCAGCTGCTCCATAGGGAAAGCTGACTGATCCTTGGGAGCTCATATGCACGTTGCCCGCATGCGATATGATCCAAGTCATCTGCATGCTGCCACCCCCCAAATCAAGTGCGAGTCCCTCCACGTCTGAGAAGCTGCTGGCAATTCCCCATGCTCCGATTACTCCCTCCTGCTCCTTTCGTAATGCTTCCACCGCAATCCCGGTTTTGTGGAGGATGGCGTCCATGAACTCAGAAGCATTGAAAGCAGTTCGAGTTGCTTCCGTGGCGATAATCCGAATGTTCTGAGCAGGAACTCCAATCTCCACGCAAACAATCTGGAAACGGACTATTGCACTAACGATTCGGTCGATGACATTTTGTGGAATGGGGATTCGATTGCCTGAATCGGGATCCAGTTGGGCCTCGTAGAGCGAAACATTGACCCGATGAAAATGTACAGTAGGGATGACACGGGTCGTAGGAGGGGAGAGATCTGAGATGGAACAACGGATGCCATTACTGTAGTATTTGAAGTCAGTGAACAGTCCTCACACGCACATTCAAAGGGAACGAAGAGGGGATTTGATCTGCCTACCTGCCCAAATCTACCACCGCATGAAGGTACGCATTCTGCCCTGGATCCGCGGGCGGCTTTTGGCCATTCAATACTGGAATTTGGCTTCCTCCTCCCATTTAGGCAATTGGTTGAAGTTGCTCAGGTGTACTTTGTGCGTTGAATCTCGAAATTCAGCTGCAGAGGACCTCTGGGGAAAAACTGCGTGACATCATCATTTTCGACCGCCCGCTGTTCTGCCGGACAATTGTAGATGTGCTGTAGCTCCCAAGTACATTTTGTTTGTTTAAAAAGAATCTTAATGTTAAATATTTGTAAGACATAAAGAATTCCAACTCTTAACGAGTCTGTGGTCATTTAAGTTCATTGTGGTCGGATACATTGAGTACATCGTAGATACGCGTTATTCTCGGCAACTGGCAAGGCATCAACCCTTGCCTTAGGCTTAGGTAAGGTTATAGATCACATGACTAGATTTCACATATTTGTCAATAAAAGCTTCCATTAACTGACTGGAATCTTGCATGGAACCTTGTCTGTAAATACCTGAGTAGGTAGTTCAACTACAAAAGCTTTAGCGGAGAAAATTCCGCTGGTGTTGCAAATTCTGACTCTGTATGTATGTAGCCCTAGAGGTACCCATGTACCCCTCATATATATCACAAGCATTAATCATAAGATCTATTCCGTACAAATCCATACAATGACCACAAGCCGCAAGTAGAGTAAATATGTATTCAAGTAACCGAAAGCAAATCAGATACCAATAGAGTAGTAAATATCTACCTGGCTCGTTCACTTCAATTTCGACCCTGAAATGGGCTGATCCAATCATGATGTCACGTGGCGTTGTCTAATCAATCAGATCAGATAAGGCGTCTGTTTTAACTAGGGGGATTCCGAGTCCACAACTCAACCCCATTCCTTTTTTTTCCTTTCGAGTTCTCTTGAGAAACTCCGTGTCAGAATCCGAGCCAATTCTTATTCAGACCTCTTCCGAAGTTTGGTCCTACCTACGAGATCCAACGGTCCAACGACTCAGAGACTTCGCCGATCCACATGGGTCCACCTGATTAGTGCGATTATCGGCTTACTGCCGGTGCTCCGCCTTTCGTCTTGAGCCGTTCCTTCACTCACCCTCAGACCGGCCGACTATCTGAGGACTCATTATGTTGCTCTGTTGGCTGGTAATCGCACTCGCCCAAGGTGGCTGGGCTAATCCAGAGGATGAGCGGTGTGTGACGGCGGTCTACACGGCATACAACTACATATCATTTGCTGGCATTCTCTCACAAGGCAAGCACAGCTGGGAATCGCAATGCCGGAATCCGCTCAAGGTCGCATCGATATACGCCGCATCCGATATATATTGCAATGAGCAGGAACGGACGATAGGCATGGCGCAGCTGGCTAACCAGTGCCAAGAATATGGGAACCTAGAGCTGCTGTCGAGGGAAGCGGTCGCCGAAAACCTGACAGACGATGCTATAAGGAATATGAGAATTGTCGACTATCAAGAGCTGTCCCGAGGCGAACCAGTGAATGCGCCTGTCCTTCTTTCTGCGTCTTACTTCAACCTAATGTTCAAAACGATTGTGAGACCTTCTGGACCTTGAATATGCTAGTCCTAAAGCTTATTGATGTCCTAGGAATCTTGGGAACTTGTGACTTGGTCACATCATGCATTTGGGTAAGTCTGCTCAAGCTGGCAAGCAAGACATATATTGACTAATCAGTTATATTGGCTACGCCTATTGGGGTGGTATACTATCTTTGGGGATGGCCTATCGCTTGAGTGATTGGCTATTCCATCGCCGACAACGCCGTGTAGAGCGTGTACTCGAATCCAATGTATATCCCCTCATGAGGTCCTTGGACGATATGCCGTTGGTGGGCACCGGTCTTCACTGGATCCAGACTCATCTGATGATCCCACCGCCTTTGGCAGCATCACATGGTCGATACCTGCTAGGCTTCACATTCTCCACCAGAGTCGAGGCGCTTATAGTCGTGGGATTCTGGACGCTCAGCATCGTATTGAGTGTCGTGGGCTATCACACCTTTCCCGGAAATATTTAGTAGGTACCAGCCTGTGGAAGCGAGATGTGCAATGTTGACAGGTAGTCTAGCTGGCCCGATGTCACAAGCCAGGTTCTTCGTTATTCTGCAGACCGCACTGGGATCATGTCATTTGCGAATTTGCCCCTTCTATGGCTCTTTGCCGGACGAAATAATATTTTTCTTTGGGCCACCGGGTGGAGCTTTGCATCGTTCAATATATTCCATCGCCATGTGGCCCGGGTGGCTACTATACAGGCAGTAGTGCACTCTGTCCTTTACATTGTCATGTTCCATCAAAGTAAGTATTGCTCGTTTGGCTTTCAATGCGCGCTAGGATACTTACAGTCATTCCGACAGCGGGCAAAGCTGCGAGGGGTATGTCGAAGACCTATGTTTTGTGGGGTATTTTGGTAGGCCCCCCAATTTAATTGATCCCAAGTTGGTCGATCTCTAATTCATGTTGTATTAGGGCACATTCGTGATGATTCTGCTGTTGATCACCTCATTGGATCGGATCCGAATTGCGACATATGAGCTCTTCTTGATTGCTCATGTCGTACTTTCGATTCTCACCCTTGTCGCGTGCTTTTAGTAAGTACATCCCCGCGATGAAATTTCTGCATCTATTTCTAACAATTGGCAGCCATACCATTATATTTGAAGGAAACGAATACTGGAAGTACCTGTGGCCCACGGTAGCTTTATGGGTCGTTGATCGATTCCTTCGAATTGTGAGGTTGTGTTACTGTAACCTTCACGTGAGTCTCTCAAACAGACTTGTGAAAGTTTCTGAGAGCCATATGGTTTACGACGAAACGGCCGACGTGGTGCGATTGGAGGTCATACTAGGAACGCCTTCACTGCAGCCTTCACCAGGGCAGTACTACTTCCTATACCAGCCATTTAGGCTTACCGGCTGGGAGAGCCATCCTTTTACCGTTGGAGCATGGTCTTACGAAATAGGGGACCAGACATCATTGGCGCCAAAAAACGAGGGAAAATCAACTAGATCGCTTGATGTTTCGCATGTGCCGCTTCTTGCAGGCGGTCCCTCCGATCAAGATTATCCAGAAAGCTCAGAAAACATGTCGAAGCAGGAGAAATTGTCGAAGTTGAACTTGACTTTCTGGGTCCGCCCGTATGACGGTTGGACCAGACACTTGCGCCAGCAATGTCTGAGCTCACCAGCCAAGACTAGCAAAACGACCATTCTTCTTGAAGGCCCATACGGAGAAACCTTTCCCCTGTGGAGGTATGAATCAGTCTTGATTATCGTCGGTGGGACAGGAATAGCGTCGGCTGTGCCTTATATTCAAGATCATCTCCGCCGGTCTGTTGAAGACTGGGACGAAAGCCCCGAAATGGAGAAGACACGAGTGCGAGACATGGAGCTTGTTTGGACCACCAAACAAGCGGCGTTCATAAGAGATGTCTCTCGCCGGGAACTGAAACGTGCCCTCAAACGAGAGGACTTCAGCGCCTCTTTTTATGCTACGCGTGATTCCACCGCATCCTCTGAAGATCCTACCGATTTTGGATTCGATATCCAGTCAGGTCGACCCCACCTTCAATCCCTGATCATGAGCAGGGCCTGCGATGCATCCTCGGCTGGAAGTAGCCTTGCGATCCTCGTATGTGGCCCACCCAGAATGGCGGATGAAGCGCGCGCCGCGACACATCTTGCGATGCGACAGGGCCACCGCTCGATCAAATTTGTGGAGGAGTCTTTTACGTGGTAGCAAAGGGGCTACATGAGAACTTTTGTGATGAGTATACGACACCATGCATATATACTGATGAACTGTGTAGAGGTTTTCGAGGCTAGAACTTGACCTTTTCTTTGTTAGATAGACATACATAGAATATCTTGCCCGTACGTTGTATGTGGCGAGTTCCGGGCTTCACGGTTTTCGCGTTTTCCGCAGTGGGAATTTTCAGACTAGAAAGGGTCACTGAATTCGACATACGGAGTACTCCGTACCGACGTGGGAATGGAGATGGGGTTGTTGTGGCTGACAGCGGGGCGTGATGCACGACGCAGGAGCCTCCTACGCCACGCATACGACTATCGATTTCAAGTCGAGAATCACCAATTCTAAATTGACCTGTTCAACTGTTAAGCACAGAAACATGAGAAATGGGGCATCAATGCGATAATTCACGAAAGAAGAGAGAAGATCGATGTGGTGAGAAGTGATAGATCGGATTTATCAACTATCCACTACGGAGGAACCGAGACGTCACACGCAACAGAACAAATAGCGCTACCCCATGGCCGAAGATCACAACGAGTAACCCTGAATTTTGGGTTCTCGTGACTTTCATATGCACCTATGCATCTCTTCCCGTCGGAGAAACATACCGGCAGGGTCCGTCGATCGACAGGGGAAAACTTGAACACGGTTATGGATCGCTTGAAAGTCAATAACTCATGTTGGCCAAGCCTTTTTCCGCTCAATAATTCACGGGGGCATCCACTCCGCTGCAGCTTCGATGCTCGGAGACCATCGGGTCTTTCTTCCCCCATCAGCTTGAATGAGAAGATGAGAGAACGGATGAAGAACTAGGAAAGTTATAAAAGGAAAGACCTTTCCAGTGATAGTTCTTTTTATCCATCATTCAACTCTCTCATCGTCAAAACCTTTCAAGCCCTCCAAATCTACCTACCTTCTTCAATCACTTTCCACATTCTCCAAAAACCGTCAAAATGAAGTTCTTCGTCCCTGCCTTCCTTTTTGCTGCTACCGCCATGGCCCTGCCTGGCTCGGGCCATACTGCTTCCCATTCCGACAACGAGGTCGAGAACGCAGTGAATCAGTGTGGTAACGGTGCCCAGATGTCTTGCTGCAACACCTTCCACCAGAACAAGAATATCACCCAGCATAACGTTGGTGTCCTCTCCAATGTCCTCGGTGCCGTTGGCGGCGAGGGTCTCGGCCTAGGCCAGGGCTGCTCTCAGTTTAACATCCCCGTCTCTGGTAAGTGATATATCTATGCCAGTGAACTAAAGCATGAGACTGACCCTATTGTAGTCCTTGGTGCCGCTGGCCTGACCGACTTCCTCAAGAAGAACTGCCAGCAGAACGTTGCCTGCTGCCAGAACTCCAGCTCCCAGGCTGTATGTACTCCCCCAAGACGAAGAAGCGGAACAGAGTCACTAATCCCAATAGAACAACAACCTCATCGGTATCGCCGCCCCTTGTGTCAGCTTCGGCAGCCTTCTGTAAATTGCATTCCATCGAGTGCATGCAGCCTTTTCCGCCCTGGACATATCAACGAGAACCATCAAACTTGTTAATTGTGACGGTCTCTGCGGGAAGGGCTAGTGGATACTAGTACGGAGTATATATGTACACTTGCAACGCCTATCAGGGGCCTGTTTTATCCGATCTTGTCAGGCCAGCTTTCTCAAATTTGTGGGACCGCTGTTCGTGAGCGTGGATCCTGCCATTCATTTCTCTTTCGTTTGTCACCAGTCTCGGGGCTTTTAATTATATATATTTATTTTTTATTGAGAATAGAATGTTTTTAATTTGATATATTTCGGGTATAGTGTCTTCCTTCTGAATGGATCTTGAAGGGGGGACTCGATTTCGAAAGCGCAACACATTTCATGACAGCTATTCTACTGTATCTCTAACCGGATAGCATCGTATTGCACATAAACAGTGGCAGGTAGAACGGCAGTCTCTATATCCGTTGCATTGAAAGGTAAATGCAATCGCAGCACATTGTCACCGACATGTAACCAATCCGCCGGGAACTCCAATTTCGATCCGACCTGGTAGCAGCTGACAGCAGACCGCACAATACAGCTGCTTGATTGATTGAACCCAACGACAAGAGTCAGAGGATCTGCCTGATTGTTGATATAGCTTTCCAGTGACAGATTGTTGTATGACTCGAGGGGATTCCACACATCCGTGTTACCGGCTGCGGTCTTTGCGGCCGCTAATTGCAAAGTTAATGTGGCTGTTTTGCGCTTGTTCAATTGCTTCGAGTCAAGCTTGAAATGTATGTTCCAGTCGTACGTCGTGTCATACTCGACGTGGGAATCCTTTGCCGTTGGCCCGAAGACCGACCAATGGGCAGAGTTGAGATCAGTCGCAGGGTCGCTAGTTCCAATGGTGTAATTAACACCATCAGGGAAATCAGAGCGCCAGTCATAGGCTCCCCAATATATAAGATACTCGGGGGGATGAAGCGGATGGGTTGGATCTCTCGCATTTCCACGTCGGAACTCCCCTGACGACTTGTCGGGAATCCCAATTCGCCAGAGCTCAGTTCCTGCCGACTCTTGGGTCCAAGTATCATGCAGTGCAGTCTGCCTTCCTGCATGAATGATGATTCCGTCGCGTACAAAGTCGCCGAAAATGCCCTCTGCGTAAATAGTGAGTCGGTATTTCCCTTCTTTAACACGATCAATGCTGAAGCTTCCATCTTGATTGATATCAGTCCAGTACTGATAGGAGCTTGGAACGGCGCTATTATCTTGGAAGTATTGGCCGTCGACAGTGAGAATGGCAATTGGGCGAACGGCTCCCTTGGGAAGCTTCACGGTTCCTCTGACACTGCCTCGCTGGCTAGAGGGAGCATACCCGATGACATGCTTTGCAATAGAATCATAGAACTCAGCGTTCCAATGAGGATCTGCTAATTCTTCTGCCTCGGATCTCAGTTCCTCGAGAGATGCCGAGCCCTTGCCGCCATTGAAAAGGTAAAATTGGGGACCGAAAGTTCGATCGAATCCGTTTGTGATGTTTGGCGTGCCCTCTCCATGATGATTTGATACGATATAGTTGTACACTATACCGTCCACTGTTAAGTCGGAATGGAGTGGTCCCTAATAGATGTCAGCCGCTGCATTCCACCGTGCTCGATATCGCTTACCCCATAATATGTATCCTAGAATAAATTTGTTAGATGGGATTCGACCTGGTGAGTATTGGAGTAATATGACCAACCTTGGTATTCATGACTAGCCAAGCTCCATATGTTACCCCATTTGAGGTGCTGCCGTCAGCATATAGACCATGAACAGTATTGTTTCTCCATTCTAAGAAAACACCATCATTTAGTCAATCAGTAACCGTAGAAGATAGGGGATCGACCATACGATTTGAGAATGTATATTTAGTAAAATATTCAGAAAATTGGGTGTAGTACGCGTCGCTTGGCGTGTTGTTAAATGTCCAGGTTGCATCTTGAACAACAATCTCCTTGGAAATCGCGTCCTTGCCTGGCAGGGGTGCGGTCTGGACCTCGCTAGACGTCAGATGCGTCCAAAGATCGGTATTTGGACGAAACAAGGTCCGGAACTCCTGCAAGTTGCGAAGAAAGGGCGTGGTCTCATTATGGTAGGCCAATCGGCTGAACATATGCAAACCAGTCTCGCCATCGCGCAGGAACCAGTACTGTTGGAATTGCTGTCCCGTCGGAGTATATGTGTCACTCAGAATCATGCCTCCGTATTTGGTTCCAGTTGAATCTGTGCCCTGCACTACCTCCGTGCTCGGGGATGTGGCACCGGCTGTGTAGAAGCCCGAAGGGATACAGTAACAGTCGAGATAGGGCCCTATTCCAGTGGATCCCGACTGAGTGCCCAACAAGTCCTGGCCATCCAAAGTTAGATCGACTATCTGGCCGACACTCTTCTGGAGGACAGCCGTGAGGCGAGCATTGGCGAGAGTGATGTGAGTCTGGTTTTCTGCGATGTGTAGCGCCGTGGCAGCAGTAGCCCCTGCCGTGAAGGCCGTCAATAAGGAAGCCCACATGTGGGGCATCGGGGTCGTTGGTTTTCTTTTGACAGAGTCATCGTCATGAATTGTCTTTATAAATGACTCTAATATGCCGGGAAATCAATAGCCCGAATCAAGGATTGCTTGCGGTTCCAGTTCGGTTCCATTCCTCTTTGAACACGGATTTTGAGATCCACGAATGAATTGGGAATCCATGAATCATACCAGGAACTCACGGCTTAGTCTAGAGAGAACGCACTCCACATCAACCCCACCGGGGGAGAGATTATGGGGAACTCTGGGGATGCGGGGCTTTGACGGAGAAATTGCTCGGTCATTGCTCACCCGAGTTCGTCGCTAAAGGGGATATTTTCATTTCTGAGATGTACGGTGGTCGTATTTTCGATGAAATCGTATAGTTATCTCATGAACATTTCATTGTACAGGTTAGACATGTTCATGTAAAATTGACCCATCCTAGCCAAGAGTCGGACATGTGTTGCATATTCCCATCAAGCCAACCGAGAAATAAGTCAGGATCGTCGATATCCACACTGCCAAGCAAGCTAGCATCATCAATCAACTTGTCACTAGTTTCAGTGTCTTCTACGGCAGAGGAGAGACCTTCGACGGAGAGAACTTGGTCCAAGACATGACGGATTGCCTTTTGGCCCTGCTGTGCGACACGGTACATATAGTTAGAATCATTGGGTTGAATGATGGTGTCCAGATATGCCGCGAAAAGAGTCAAATTTTGAATGACTTCTGAACGAGGAAACTCCGGAGAAGAGCTTGTTACAGGCGATCGGGATCGACGGAGTAATTCTGCACAGAGAACACCAGCAGAAGGAAGACCCGGTAAGCATACCTAGTGAGATTTCAGCGTTCCGGCTTTCTGCCACAATCAAAGCTAAGGTCAACTTACATTCAGTCCGATATCTTTGATGGGTTGTCTAGAGCGAGTCTTCTGGGAAATCATAATAACCAATGTTTTCAGTATCTCTCGAGCGATGCCAAGAACTTCCTCGGGTTGCGTCTGGGTGCGTTTGCCGAGGGTCCGGTAGAGCAGGAAATCGTTGTAGAGAAACTCTATGTGAACCTCGAAAAGGAGATCATATTCTACTTTGGAAATGAGTGCCCCGTCAATATTAGGTTTCCAATGAAGAAATTCGGGTAGTCCCTGTCGTAATTGGCGAGATTCGCGTGAAAGCTCCCTGAGAATGTCAGCAATGCCCTGGCTGTGAAATTAAACTGTCAGCGTACTCGACCCTTTGGCTGAGATTGTCGAGTTGCCGACTCAGTGAAAGTTCCAAGACCTTCTCACGGAAAACGCTAGTGATCAAGGAAATTCGAGGCCACGTTCCCTTCATCAAGCTTGACTCCAAATTCCATCCAGTCTCCTCATCCAGTCGAGCAATAGCCGCATTACGAACAGCGGAATCGGCAAATACTTCCTCAACGCTCAAGTCAAGTGGCATTTGAATATCACAGTAGCGCCAGCTGATGAGCGGCGGGCGGCCTAGAAAAGTGGCAAGTCCTTTGTCCATAAAATACGCCGCGACCATGGTTCTTTTTCGCATCTCAGAAAGAAAGAATGGAGCATTTTTGCTAGAATCCTGATGCAGCCCGAGCGCAAACAGCGTTGTCGATAACTCTCCTAATTTTCTCCACGGTCGAAAGTCTAAATCCCGTTAGACAATGCGAGCAGGCAAAAGAATGGGATAACGAACCACTTTCACCATAGACTATTGCCAAAAGCGTGACCTGATGCAATAGAAGCCAGGCCACAATGTCATTCACAATTCCAGTGCTATCACAGAACTGAAGACATATGTCTCCCACAGCAGTCGCAGTTACAGCGAGACTCTTCGGATCCATCATATTCGGACGCATGAAGACGCGGTCACTATGAGGGACCCAGTCTGTGGCTAGACCTGTTAGAGTAAAGAGCAGCCCAATCAACTCCCATCTCCCGGCCGCAGCAGACTGGAAATTTTCCCATGTCATTGAAGGGTACACATCAAGCGCCCGGCTATGCGTTTCAAACAGTTTCTTGGACAAAAAGAAAGCTCGCTGGTTGGTGTTCATACCCTCGGTTTCTGGAGAGTTCCACATATTCTCAACGAGAGTAAAAACCATGTTCGTGACTGGCCAACCGAGACTCCATCCACTCCATATCTTGAATCGAGCGGAGACGACATCCCTATAAAACGGAAGATTCTCTAGAAGCGCTAAGACCCGGGCACCGAGATTGATCCGCTTTTGGTCAACTGGAAAGTTCTCATGGCCTGTGAGGTATGGAATTCTGTCATGAAATCCGTTTCTCGTATCCGTGAACGCATCGCAGTAACTAGTTTGCCCTAGAAATCCAGGGGCCGAGACTGACGCTTTTTTCCGAGTCCAGAAATCGGTCTCATTGGGCAGTCGATTGATATTACTAGGAGTATCTGATTCGCACACAACGCGGCGTTTTTTAGAAGGGCGTGTTCCAGTGAGTGGCTGCGTTAATGGTGCTGGGTGATAGGTACAGTGGAGACCGCGGCGCTCACAGCGTCCACAGATGGGACTTGTATGATCGCATCGCAACTTTGAGGTACGACACGGCTCGCATGATGATAATTGACCATTACGGCGGGGAGTCGCCATTATAAGACACCTGGTTGATTAGAGGATTGGCAGTAAAAAAAGAGACTGGGAAGTAGTCGAGCGTGTTAGCTATACAACATAGTATGTACTTGTCGGGGCTCGGCCCTCGGAGCTCGGAGTTAGATGACTAATGATCGGGTCCTATCCGGGGGCCGGTCGGGGGCCGTACATTCCGTACTCCGTATGGCGGCTCGTTATTATCCGTCTATGTGGGATACCTCAGCCTAAGTCGGGATAATGAGTTATGTACTCTACAGTACGGAATAAATTCAAATGGTATTGGATAAAGTATCCGGTGTTCAACCATATATTCCACCATGGTGTTCAAGGTGTTCGACACTACTTTACCCACGAGATTTACCAATGCAACCATGTATGTCATGTGAATAGTGTAATATAGGGGGAAAAGCCAAATTCGGAATCGGTGAAAGAGCGTTAGATCATCGGCAATGAACCGGCGGAAGAGGCGGATCTTAATTATTAGGCGACAAAAGCTAAAAATAATGACAACCTTGGAAAGGCGACGATGGTGGCCGGATCCTGGTGTCGAATCATGTGCCCATTCACATTGAACGTAAATGAAAGCGTCAAATAGCTGAGATATCAGTCGGCCGTCGGCAAATAAGATCATCGCATATTCCCGGGGTGGAGCTCGGAGACCCCATGGGACAGCGCCACCCCCGCACAACGGGGGAGTGCACGGACTAGGCCCCGTGTTCTGAGAGACAGGAGTTTTCCTGAGAGGCAGGCCCTTGCCTTTGACATCCTGCTCCCTCCAACTCGGCTCGGTATATCTCACTTGTCGCCCGCGATCATCGCAAATAATCGCCCTATTACTGCAACTAATTCCTTGACCCCCCACCCTACCTGTCCATCCATGGCGAAGAGACGTCAAAATCACTCCTGCGAACAATGCAGGAAAGCAAAGAAAGCCTGTGATGGCTATATTTTAAATAGCGGCAAAGCCGTATTCATTGAAGCTGAGAGTGCGTTCAAGCCCCTCGACAACCCCCTCTTCCCCACACATCCATCCCTTCGGTGCTCCCACAAATATGAACAGCTAGCTAAAATGAATCCACCGCAAAGATTCTGGCATGCCCTCTCCATGCTCGTACTGCATTAGGACAAGCAAAACCTGCAGTCTGAACCCTCACTGGGGCCAAGATGATCGGCAAACAGAAGAGGGCTTGTCGCGCTCAGAAAATATCGGACTAGATGATGAACAACGCCGGGACAAAAGGCAGCGAATTCAGCCACCAGAGAATGAGATCGAGGCGTCAGTAACACCCATTTGTACGGTTCCTTGCCAAACTTCACCCACAGAACCTTTACATGCGCCTCTGCCAGAAAATAACGTGGTTGATTGGGACGCGCTGTCTGCGCCTGTTGCCCCTCATCCCATTAGTCAGTCAGCCCTCGCGGGGGCTCTTGCGGGATACGATAATTGTTCACACCCAGGGGACCCGGGGCAAGTGAGCTCCATAGCTGTACCCGACAACAAGCACGCAGACCAGGTCGAATATAATGGTTTGGATAGCCTCATGGATTCAGCACTGGCCAATTCCACCACCCACGATTCTCACTACTCGGACTTTAATTCACAAACCTTCATCCCTGATACACCCCAAACGCTTTTCTACAACCCCAATCCCGCTTTCTCCATATCTTCAGTGTTGGAGGAGAGAGGCCAAAACGAATTGTGGAGGGGGCACAAAAAACGGAAAGATATCTGCGACTCGCAAGACTATTTTGCCATGACACTGTCTCTATTTGGTGCGGGCCATCTCGCTATGGAAAATTCGAACCGAGTTCTCATATCCGAGAGCCTTCTGCGGATTTATCATGATGTTCTAGAGAACAACCTCGGGTGCTGGTTGGCAGAAGATACATGCCCATACAAGATGCGGCAGAGGCGGCACGAGCCACTTTCCATCAACCAGAGCCCGAGTTCAGGACAAATACCGTCCGAATGGGGCGTATCATGGACAAACCGCATGTACTGTCGTATTAAACAGCTCGATCGATCCGCCCGGTCGGCAAAGCTGATTCATCTCTCTGCATCGGAAAATCGAGCGGCTTCCAAAGCCCTCGAGCTGTCTATCATGGCATTTGCCACGCAGTGGGCCCAGGGAGGACGGCGATGGGATGGTCATTGGCTGGTAAATAGGTGCGAGGATGAAGGAATGCGCGACGAATTTGGGCAGACACTGCATCGATCTGTTTGGGAATGTGCAAACCAGGCGCTCCAAGATGTCACCCACGTGGAGTGTTTTAGGGTGGTCTTCGCTGAGTTGGTTTTCGGTCTTATACAGAAGCCGTCGTCAAACTATTTCGATGCACGCGCAAAGGATAGGCATAACACCGATCAGAACAAAAGCTTGAAGCCTTCAACGCTGGCACAGGTCATGAGCATCATTGATCAGGGGGAACCGCCGGTATTCATTGAGCGAGGGGCTCGCAAAATCCACGTGCTCAAATACCGATTCAAAGCGCGCCAGGCAGGCTTTCACAATCTCGGCACTAAACTAGACGAGCAAGTCCCGGTAGAGTTCAGTACGGAAGAGACCCAGACGGTCGGCGTCTTGTACTGGCTCGCAATCATGTTTGACACGGTCTCCTCATCCATGAATGAGCGGCCAGTCGTCGTTCCCGATGACGAATGCCAACACGAAGCTGCACAGGAGACAGTACGAAATCCCACTCAACCCCCGACCTCTAGCCGCCGGTGGGAACTCGACCTCTACGCCCAGGAGGATCCCGAGAAGGCACTAGCCATGCGTTGGCCTTGCCCGTACGAGTTCGTGATCAGGGCCCTCCCCAGATCAGCAGCTGTGAAAGTGCTGCTCTTCCGCTACATCTCATACCTTCAGAACGCCTTGAAAAATGCCGAATGCAACAAAGTCGTGGAAGACATTATCCAACGCACGATATGCGTGTACCGCTACTGGATGAAGACGCACGGGGCTTTATTCCGCGACCTGACCAGACACTACGACTCAGTCCCTCCGCGGATCAAGAGCTGGTTCCCGTGTATTAGCATCCCCTGGCATCTGGGCTCCCTCATGCTGGCCGACCTGATCGAGTTCGTGGATATGAACAGTCTCGGCTGCGATGACTACATGGCAGAGCGTGAAGATGTCTGTCTGGTAACCAAAATTCGGAAAGAAAGCTCAATCGACATGGCAGACCTTGCAGCTGTCCTGACCCCTGGACCTTTGGGGGGAATAGGTCTAAACCAACTGCCGGGCTTTCACTTCGCCGTCAATGAGAGCCCGCTTTTGACTGAGCCCTGGACGGTGCTTCTCGTTCGGGCGTTTTCCAAAGCTTCAATATTCCACCTGAAGGAAATAGAAAAGCTGCAGAAGTACCAGCGTTTCGTCTTTGATCATGAGAGCAAGGCCCTGCAGACGAGTGTCGCACGCCTCGAGAACTGTGTTACGGCTCTCCGATTCCTGGGTATCAAGTCAGCGATGGCCGAGGCTATTTCTATAGTACTATCTGAATCGCTGAGTAAATGCCGAACTCTGGGCTGATTTTTTGACAAGCCAATATCCCCTTTTTTGAATCTCGTCATATGTGCCGTTTGCTATGGGCTTACATGTTTGGTGTTTTGAATTTTGATATCCATTTCGTGCATCACGTTTATTTCAAGGCTATGTTAGAGTTCAAGCTTATCTCCATTGAACAAGTACAACCTGACAGATATGACCTTTTTTTCGGCTGAAAAGACCTTACTTGATACTAAGTGAGTGCGATTGTTTTTGTGCGCCAATAATTGCTCTATCCATCCTGTAATAGTTAGCCAGTCTACGCTTCTTTCTGCCAGGACTCAGCAAGACATCATCATCAATAAATCCTCAAGTCAACATGCAGATTCCTCCCTCCTTCGACAAATGGCGGCATATATATGGCATCCTGCTGGACCCCCAGTAACCTTCGGTATACAAATGCCGCGTGGATATCGCATCAGCCGATCATCGCACCTACCTATAAGGTGCCAGTCAAAGAAAACCGGTATCCAACCTGAGCGGTCACGTCGACCTGAAGGATTCTCACCCTAATTATTACCCTGTCTATTGTCCACTCGCTCTTCAATTTACAATTCAGGGATATTACCAACCCTACAAAATCAGACATTTGACCTTTCGCAGAGTGCGAGTGATTGGTCTGATTTAATTCCGAAGCAAACACAAAAAAAAAAAAAAACCATACAACAGTGAGGATTCGCTGGTAGTCACCCACCCAACTACTAACTCACCGGCGTGTTGCTTATAGTTATGCGGTCAATAGTTCGGTGGGTGCCGCCCGGGTGATAAGGTACGCTATAGACAGGGTGAGAAGCCAGGTGAGAAATCACCTAAGTCGCGCGACTAATGCATTGACCCCTTCAGCTGAACAGAATTTCATTGGACCGTGTCGTTCCCCTTGATGGCATCTTGGCATCTACACATACCTACAACTAGAAGCATTATACACCCCAGGCACTAAGCAGGTTGACCGTGCAATTTGTTGGGATCATAGCACATGACCTTGTTTGTCAGGACTGTCACATGCCAACTACTAAATAGTCTCCTCTCTCTTCTCTTCTTCTTTTCCCCTTCTCATCATCATTAACGGTGATCATCAGCAGTTAGCACGAATACATCTTTGCATTGCTGATCTCTATTCTCCTGACTCGCTGTCACAATTCCAATTGGTTGGTCTGCTTATAAAGCTTTCTTGAAATCGGCCGGGCGTGCGCCGCCTCCGTCGTCCGGTATGGATTGTGGCTTCCTTTGTTCTTTGGCCGGAAGAAAGGATCGGATATTAGACCATCCCAATTCCCTTTTACCCGGCCACTGCGGGCTTTGTCCCCTAGTTACTTCGTAGCCTAAGGGTACGATGGGAAGACCACGACTTTTGTGATATCTCATCCCGTGATTTCTTGCTGTCTGAAAATTATTGGCTCTTGGTGGCTCATCGGTGGTTGTGTTCCCCACGATTGATTGGTTACTAGCATGTCCGTACATATTGGAGTATAGGGAGGATCGAAATCAGTTTTACCACCTACATACGGAGAATCTTTCTTGAACCCTCCTTCTAAACATGCTAATATCAATCTTGTGACCTCTATCTTTATTTATATATATATATACATTTCGTTTCTAATTTTGGGTTTTTCTTTCTTTCTGGATTTCAGCTTGACCTATTTCATGTAGATACTGTATAGTTTTAACTTCAACTTTAATATGAATTTTCAAAGTCACTGAGAGACTACTATATCCTTTTCAGAGTTGATACGACTTACCTCGATCAGATTACATTGATAGTTCTTTCAGTTATATCGATAGGCGATAATTACTTCTTTCAAGACAGAAACCAATTAAACTGAATGCATTTTTTTAGATCCAGTCAAGAATCTAGTGACCAACTAGAAGGTATTGGATTATAACTCTTCAATCAAGTAAGACTAATTGAATAAGCATACCATAGAGTCATTGTCCAGTCTAACAGACTATAACGTTCTAGAGTCCGTTACAACCACATATACCGGACAATTCGCGTTACTTACATTCTCGCAATAATAATAAACGAAACCTTTAACCAGGTCAGCCAATAAGCAGTACAGCATAAGAAATAGCACAATATACCCACTATATATCCTAGTCCTTCCGTAACTCCTTTATCGAGCTACCTAATCCTCTTTCTCTATGCCATAATAACACTTCAAACGGCTTCATCTTCCTCTCTATACGAAAGAGCATAAAAGCATTATCCTAGTGACTGAAAAGCCTATCCCTTGAGTCAAATAGGTCTAAAGAACTATCTAGGCTCACAGTATATCTCCAACAGCCTTCTCTCTTCAGAACACTATTCAACTTCTATATTTATTCTATTCCTCAAAGAACTATCCGTTACCTCTTACTTACTCAATGACTCAGGCAGAAAGACAGTAAGAAAAGGATTCAATAGCTACCTGATCGTTCTTAACTGGCTCAAGGTACAATATCTATTCAACTTAAGAAATTGGCCGTGCAGAAAATGTGGCTTAAGTACGGCTGTTTTCCACACCCTATGGTCGTAAGTGCTTGAAATAGCATCAAAAGGATTTATATAGACATCATTACCTGTAGAATGTAGATGTGGTGGGTGAGAGTCGGGTGAGAGTCGGGAATCCTGCGGGCCGGCGTGCGTCTACGAGGCGGGCTTGGCGTTTTGCTGTTAAATTTCAAACGCAAAGGCGCTTTGATCGGACTTGATGTGAGCCAGGGAGCTTTACGAATAGTAGGTCTTGGCAGATAAACAACAAGGCAGATGGCTGCCTTCGACCTAATCCAATATCCATTACGACAATTGAGCTGGTCGTAAGTTGTAACGAATGGGAAAGGAAATGATGAAATAACGGAATTTATAAGCAAGCGGAGCGGGCCGCCCGGTCAGCCCGGTCACCCCATAACATAAGTAAATGCAACAAACCGAATCAAATTTCCACTATGGAGTACTATAGCTTAGTTTCAATTATAAATTTGATGTAGTTCAATATAGGATTCTACAGCATTACCTTAAAATCCATGAGTGTCTGCTAAGATCAATTGACGGTCGTTGTTTACCCCTAAACAGGACGGCGGTGAGGATCTTGGGCCCTGTAAGCACATACCTGCCTTTAATTAACTACGGAGTCATTATCCCTACAACATATGAGGTTTACGGATCGGCGATGGTGTAATCGGGGCTAGACTCAGAGCAAACACCAGTGGCCACATCGATTCCCGCATGCAGTAGGGCGCCCCGCCCTCCACGCCCTTTGACATTTGTTATATAAAATTATACTCCGTACAAAATACTTAAAGAGATGCCACAGTCTTGATAACCTGTAATTGCCAGACTTCCGTGGTCTCTTTACTGGAGCGTTTAGCAGCCAACACCAATATCTCAGCCCGAGTGAATGGGTCGCCCGAACTCGGCGGAGGAATATGGTCGTGATGCCCCTCCAGACAGCCCAATTACCCTTGATGAGAAGGAAGATCCTAAGAGATGGCCGAAAAGCAGAAAATGTGAGAGACCTCTTCGATTTTGAATCTCTACCAAAGTAATAATATATGGGTTAACTGACGATTATGGCTATATGATTAGGGCTCTATACGGTGATTGTGGCGCTGATGGCTGGAGTAATTGCCTTTTGTTCGAGTATCTATACAGCAGGAACCAACCTTATTACTGTCACCTATGGATGTTCGCAGACAGTGGCTACTCTAGGAGTGACCACCTTTCTACTAGGGTTTGCATCGGGGCCTCTCATCTTTGCTCCCCTGTCGGAATTATAGTCAGTCTATGTTGAGATACTCCTGCCTTCAGCCGCTTATACCAGTATTAATCTAGCGGTCGCAACCCCATATTCCGGCTGACGCTGGGATTGTTTGTCCTCTTCCAAATTGGTTGCGCATTAGCCCCAAACATAGCCGCGCTGATAATCTTTCGATTCTTAGCCGGCTTTTTCGGTTCTCCGACGGTCACAAACTCGGGCGCGTCTATCACAGACCTCTGGCCGCAAAGCGAACGATCAGTACCTTTAGCTCTGTTCTCCGCCGGTAGCTTCCTTGGGCCTGTTTTTGCCCCGGTAGCTGGCGGGTTCGTCTCGGAATACCTTTCCTGGAGATGGAACATCTGGTTGGTGCTTATTCTAAGCGGAGTTGTCTACGCCACATGCGTGCTCTTCCTTCCAGAGACGTACGCAGCCAAGCTTTTGCGGGATAAGGCCCGGCGCCTGGGAGTCGTCCAGTCCGGGCCCTCCCTCCAAGAGCAGCTCGGGACCTGCCTTATCCGTCCCTGGCTGATGCTTTTCGCGGAGCCGATCTTATTCCTCCTCTCTCTCTACATGGCCTTCATTTACGGCATTCTCTACCTCGACTTCACGGCGTATCCGATTGTATATAAACAGTCCCGCGGCTGGTCTCCTGGTATTGCAGGCCTATCCTTTCTCGGAATGGGTACCGGCATGGCCATTGCCACGATTGCCTCTCCCTATGTAAACACGATTCACGGAAAATACGTATCCAAACTTGGTCCTGTCCCAGAAGCCAGACTACCCCACCTTGTGATCTTGTCTTGGCTGATCCCTGTCAGCCTGTTCTGGTTCGGCTGGACCGCCCTGCCTCCGGCGCATTGGATTGTAGCAATCATTTCGGGGGTTCCGTTTGGGTTCAGCCTGATATTACTTTTCCTTAGCATCACATCTTACCTCACGGACTGCTATGGTCCGTATGGCGCGAGTGCGCTTGCGGCAAATGCAGTCTTCCGCTCAGTCTTTGGAGCGGTATTTCCTCTCTTTGGAACGTATCTGTACGACGGACTTGGCGTGCCGTGGGGATCGAGCCTGCTAGGTTTCTTTGCACTAGCATTTGCTCCCCTCCCGTGGGTGTTTTATCATTTTGGGCCCCGGATTCGAATGAAGAGCAAGTATCATAGAATGATGATTGGTGATGGGGCATAGGGTTTCAATCCACTTCTTTCTGATTTCCTCTCTGATTATATTGCAAATTCATATTAGCCAACAGCGGGGTTTCTGAATGTACAGGGGAAGAAGAAGAAGAAGAAGTCTATAAACATACTTCTTTATGTATGAAGATATTAGAAATTTTTACAATTTACTTTTGACACTTTCAAATATTTATTTTGCAAGAGATATTGATGAGAATTCACTACAGTGGAGATCCCAAATGGAGAATCAATGTTCACTGTAACTAGATCTCGATCGTTTGTAGGAATCAAACCTTCTACATATCTCTCTCACCGCTTCAAGATATATTCCATCTGATAGAATTAGGTAGCAATCTTTAAAATTACCAACCACTACTTTTCTTAAAGAGATTGAAAATCTACAATGTCACTATTACATACTATGATTAATTATAAAACTCAATTTCTTAAAATTTCTTAATATTAATAAAAAAATAGATGATAAAAGTAGTATTCAAACCTAAACAGTGCTAAATAACAGTAATTTATTAAGATGACTTAGCAGTTTTATACGTCTAAATTGAGAAAGGTCAACTTTTTTAATGCAAATGAGGGCCCTCAGAGTGCCCGCTCTCAAAATGTTTTTAATGAGGTCTACGTCTCCGTGGCCTACCTAAGGTCACCTGACCATCCAACATATTGACGGCCACACTCCATCGTCACTTCCATTCATCATCAATTCTATTGATTTTCTTTCGTTCTCAGAGTTCTTAACTCTTCCCCTCTCACACGAAAATGGATAAACAAACCCAGACCAGGCGTTGCGATGAAGTTAAGCGACTCTACAAGCTACTTAAGAGTTGTGAATCTTGGTTTCTTTCCCCCGGTGATCTCCAAGGCCTCGGAATCTATAGCCAGCAAGTTGGCATGACAGGTGACGGCTCTGTACAATTTGGTCCATGTTTCTTTCGGCCTTATCCGGAAAAGGTGCTTCAAAAATATCCACTCGATACGGTTTCGATGGCTGCGGACCATCCTCCACAGACTCTTCAACGGCTTAATAACCCCCGGGACTTCCAGACTCTGTTACGAGAAGTCCAGAATGACCCTAAGGTCGAACATCCCCTGGAATTCGCTAAATCAAGATGGGATACATTGACACTTTTATATGGGCCGGATGCCTGGGAAGATCATGCCAGACAGACACGTTGGCATATTCAATCCCAGCAGATGCTTCCTCGGAGAGGGCTTTCCCGGGACTCTACTCTCAGCGATCTAAGATCTATCTACGAACGGAGGTTAGTGCACTTTGCTTTTTCTCTTTTACTCTACTGTTTTTAGGGACTCAATATACTAGGACGAAATGGAAGCATAGCGCTCCTGAACTATGTGGACTTAATAGAAGGAACTATTGGCGTATACTAAGTCTCCGAGAAGTTTTTCAGCCAAGCTTTAACCCACATGCAATTATGGAACTTTTATCCGATGTTCCCGCAAATCATGCAGAGAATTGCCTTACTCTCCAAGAAGTAAGCGCCGTCCTAACCGTGATGGTTGCTCGAACATCCGATCGGCCGTTCCGGGACCACCCGATCCATCCAGTTAGTATCTTACATACACTTCCTAGCTACTAGAGATTTCCTAAGTACTCACTTATTTTTTATAGTTATTGGTTCTTTCATACACTGGACAGAAACATGGAAGAATAATTCAAGCTTCATTACATGGAGAAAGCTTGCTTTTGCAATATTCTCAGCTATGGAGTTTTGCGGATGACGAAACGGCACCAGTTGAACTTTTCGTTCGTTATGATATGAGCCAGCCAGTTCCGATAGCCTTAGAAGAGCCGAATCCTATTATTGGCTCTCTTGTCGGCCCTGTTACGTCTATGAGCTTGAATTAGCTATTTAATACAGACCCTACCACAAAGTATTTTACCCACCCGCATTTTTACCCCACCATCACAAAATATATGTGAAGGAACGAAGCCAAATTGATTCAATACTGACTAAGTCGACATGCTGTTTACAAAAAAAGCTTGGAGAAGGGAAGGAATGAAGCAAGCGAGACAATAATAAGGATGACGGGCAAGGCGGTGGCAGAACGGAAGCGTGCGGAGACTAGAAAGTGCCTTTTGAAATTTGACGCCCATCGCCCACCATTATGCAAAATTAATGCAAAAATTACCCTATTAGGCTATTTTATGTACATAACCAGATCTTGGCAGTACCAATTTTGCCAAGAGTGTCCGCATATGTCTTGGCGACGCTAAAAGTGTCTCCACTTTAACGGGCGTTGTCACAGTCTAACCACTGCAACAAGTCAGTTCTCATGAACTGACTTTGTTATGACCTTTTGGTCTAATGGGTAAACGTTGGAGCAGTGGCCGACGGATCTCATAAGTGCACCTAAAATCAATAGCTAGCTTTAACTACGAAACACCGGCTTGATAGGTATAGATAATAGATAAGCGTTGCTTATATAAAAGCTCACCTTTTACTCTACGTAAAGAGCTATTTTCTGTGCCTAAGAGAGATATAGGGGTGGTGTAGGAAGAAGAAAAAAAGTGAGTGGTGGTTAGCGTGATTTCAAAGTGGGGCCAATCTTAAGTCTCTCCCTCTACCTTCTTCGCTGCCTTCTTCTGTTCTTCTTCTGTTCTTCTTCCTTAACAGCATCAGCCCATCTATAACCGTTGTTCTCGAGGTACCCGGTGGAGAATACATATTTAACACCCATCGAAGACGGAAGGGAGGCGTCAACGTGGCCGCTAGCGACCCTCCTATCTCCGAGGCAGCATCATCACCATGATTAGACGTAGGGGACACTATTATGAGATTAGCATATTGCAATTATGATCTAGACTTTGAGTTCTGATTTCATGTATTCAGACTGGTTCAATGAAGATCGAAGACCTTTCAGTGACAACGCAAACCGAGTCTGAGTTTAGGTCTACGCTACATCGCCCCTGCCATTAGTCGATGAGCAAAGCTTAAATAGAAGCTTGCCTTGACCAAAGCTAGGTATTATGTACGCATTTTTGTTGCCAAGTTATATTCAATCAATCTACTGGGGAAGAGTGATTTGTATGAACATCAAGCAAGAGGACTCACTGTTGGGATCTTCTTCGACGACAGTCTTTGTTGGCTATTGGGTTGGTGTCAGTGTCCTTGTCATCGTCGTTCTTGGTAGATTGCCCTTTAGTAGTATTAGTACAATCTTTGACGACTGAAGAACCTAGATTAAGAGAACTCACCTGTGGGCCTTTTATGTCACCACTTCTTGCGAACTCGTTTCAGCCCCTTTTTCGCACTGGTTTGCTTTTTACGATCATGCTTCCGCTTGATCCTGGCAGTTTGCTACATGAATAAGGGTGTGTCAGTAATTACCTGGTCACTTGCTATGAGACACGAGTAGCGTGCGGCAGCGGCACGGAGGCGGGTGTCACGGTCGGAGCAGTAACGGCACTGCTAGGCTGAGAACTCAACGCCTGGATACCACCGGTATTCGCTACATCGAGTGCCACAATAGTGGGGCACTGTATTCCAGCAGGCTGTGTTTTGTCACAGAGCGGGCAACACTACGGGATGTTAGAGACTGATTTGCTGTACTTTCCACTGGATTTGATGCACTTACGCCGGGAACATTCCTTCTGTCGCTGTTCTTCATCGTGAAGCATGAGAGTTGAGAGGGGAAAGTGGGTGCGCCTCAGAATAACGTTCCCATTTCGAAGGCTTGTTCAAGTATAGATATCTCATTCAGAATTGGTCAAACGCCTCCCCAATACAATTCTGCAATTGCCCATTGATTCAATAGCATTCAACAGCCCGGGCCTACGCATATATATAGTAGCAACAGAACAATGTTTGTGGCAGTCTCATTCAATGAATTTTCAATTAAACTATCGTCTATTGGTCCTAAGGTTGCAGGATGATTTCTGTATAGATCAATATGACTTCATCTGGTGCCTCAATAAGATCTGTTTCTCTACCTAGGTAGGTAGGTACCTAGGCAGGGAACTTTGGATTCGTTATTGGAAAGGCAACTGATTTCTCATCTTTCCCCCACAAACACTCATCGGAAAAAGCAGATTTCAAGTAACCTTGGAACCCCCTCCAACACCCCGCCCTCCAGCACCGAAGGTGCCCTCGACCGTCAGTCAATGGAGAGCCAGCGCGCGCGATTGCCACGTCCTGACCAAAAATCCAAGCAAGCTCGAGTGTCTGCACCCAGGTTCAAAGCTCACGTTCAAGGAATATCTCAGCATGAGGATTATTCGGAGGGTCTCCAATATCACCGAGTTCCCCGACCGAGAAACTGAAGGTAGAGCCAAGGAGATGGTCAAGGGGGACTAAGCAATACAGACGTGGCTCTCATATATCGAAACGGACCAGTACCCAACCGACCGAAAGCTTGGCATGTTCGCCCTAGTGAGACCAGGTCAGCTTGCGATAGTAGCTTCGGATTCCCAGGAACCTTCCCAGACAGTTGAACTTCGGCGTCGAGATCGACCTCAAGCTGTGGAACTATCAGCAGATACCGCGGGACGCAGTCCTAGTGCTGCCGCTTCAACTGCGCCAACTGAACCGTCTACTGCCGCTTCAAGTGTGCCAACGGAACTGTCTACTGCAGCCTCGAGGAAGTGGGTCAAGTACGCCAGAGCGGATGGAGAACCGCAGGTGAACCAATTCGTGATAACGCTTTGACACTCAGCGTAGGCCAGAGCGTGAACTGCCAATGGTCCCCTAATGGTAATCTGTTCGGTAGCGTGTCTTTTGGAGAAGTCCAATTAACCGCATATGTCGACGGATACCTTATGGGAGTCAAGAAAAGCGATATTTTTGCTATTGTGGAGGTAAAGGCAGGAATCCGGGACCCCGAGCAATATCCGTTGGTCGAGTGGCAAGAAGGCGCAGAAATGGTCAGCTGGATCATGAATGATGAGGAGAATCTGCGACATCATCCATTCGAAACGTGGGTGGAGTGTGAATATTCGCATATTTTCGTGCTAAGTGCTGTAGGCGCCTCTTGATCTCTTTGAATCGACATGAGATGTATTTGACACTCGCCCGCTACCACGAGGACTACGTAAAGTTCCTAAAGGGAGAATTTCAAGGGTTGAAGAGCTACCCCGAGAATAGATTCCTCCACTTGCACGAGTACGGCCCATGGGATATCGGCAAGAAATCTCACATGAGGGACCTGGCCGAAATCATCGTAGGTTTCTCTCTCCGTGTCAAAGATGAACAGGCTAGATCGGCTGTGCCATCAGGGAGTGGTCCTGACGGGGCGTGAGCACAATGTGAGCGATAGACATGTCTCTAGCGTGTCCGGTGCAGTATCATTCCATTACAACGGTTTCTCGAAATCTTTTCTCTCTCTTTCTTCCTTTCTTCCCCTATACCTGTTGTCTCACATAGAGGCACTCTAAATCTTTGATCAAAAGTGGGTTTCCACATCGGGCCAATACCACCTGTCCTTTTGTCTCCTTTCATCACCATTCTTACCTCCACAGCTCTCACTGATACACGTCAAGACTCGCCCCGAACCGAACCGGCTTGCTGGCCCTACGCCCTCGACCCCACCTGCCGCTCCGCTCGCCTGGCTGAGAGAGATCCGATCTACAATAGATCCGAGCCCTACGATCATGGTAAAAACCATCACATCTTAGTCGCCTATAACGCTAACTACTAGGAACTTAATCTTAACCCGCTCTATCTGATCTCGGTAACCCTATAGGTAGGCTGCGCCAAAACCCACGAAACCCAAAACCCAAGCCAATCTATGGGCGCCTATTAGACCTATTAAATCGTAAAAACGTGACGTTCAGATGATGATTTTATTTCATATATACATTGAACTTCTTTTCAATGATAGGCCCAGTCACTATCATCCTATCTTGTTCGCTTACGAGCTCTCACTGACGTGCGTAAGCCGGTGCTTCTAGGATCGGATTCCGGAAGTGGGGCATCAGCCTCAGCATTAGAAATCCCAGTTTGTTCGTGACTCCGGGCCCAAAGTTGGGCTTTACGGAAGCCTAGGCCGGCCCGTAGGCGGGCACTGTCGTAGTCTACCTACCCATTGAGACCCATTGAAATTAGACCTAGATAAAGCCTATAGGCGACGGTTCTGACCGCGCTCAGAAATTGTAGTGCTTACAGAAAGGTATAAGCTATATAATTTCACACCTCATCATTTTCTTAGAGGCCATACGAGTGAATAACTTCCCTGAGGACAGGGGCTATCAACAAAAAAGGCTGATCAATGTTAGGTGGATTCTTAGTTGTTGAGGTTAGTATCACAGAATAGATGGCTAACAAATGATGCACATGTCACGTTGTTAAATTGTTCCATCTCTGCCTTTATTTTCAGGCCGTAGAGTGAGCAAGTCTTTGCGCTCATTAAGCGCTGTCGCATACCCTTGAGTACACTGAGTAATCACCCTGTGCTGTGAAATACTCAGTGAACAGGACCCTGAGCCCCCTCATAAGGCGGCGGCACCCCGATCGGGAAATTCGCATCCGCGGCCTAAAATCCGGTACATACAGCTACATATGTAGGTGTCCCGCAGATCCATAAACCCCGGTGAGTAGATTCGATCAGTCTTAGATATGATTCTGTTGGGCCATGATGCGTGCGACACCTGGGCAGTCGGGTCCGCTTTGGTTAGGGTTTGGGTTCGACCCCGCCCCGATCGGCTCCGCACGATCGGGTCGGGTCCGCTGGAGGTACGGAGAAGATCGGTGGGGTATAAAGGGGGTTGTGCCCAATGAGGTCTGAGGTAAAGTAAACTTTCATATTTTTGGGAACGAAGGGATGATCAACGCCAGGTTCGGCGTTTGAGACATTAGGTGTCTCAACTCCACAAAATCACCATGTGACGCGACAAAGATCAGCAAGGTTTTCAAACTGGGTCCGGGGTCCGGGGTACTACCGTTGCTGCACAGTATCTGGGGTAGGTAATTACTTTGGGGTAACTACTTTGCTGCAGGGCTTGAAAATATATTGCGTCTATATATGTGAAAAGAGCTTATTTTTGATTGAAAGGAGTTTGAGTAAACTAAATATCCAGGGTACATCTGTATTGTTTCCCATTGGCCTTTCACTAAATATCCGTCCCTCGCGTCCCATTTTACTTGGCTGATGAACCCGCCTTTCAAAACGCCTGTACGCACGCGCAATTCTGCAAACTAGGTCTACCAGGTAGAGCTGTGATCAATCCGACTTCTTCTGAAGTTGCGATAGTCCCGGGACATGGCTAGAGAGATCACCCACGGGAAGCCGCAGAGGGAAATCGACGGATTCAAGCAACAAAGAAAAGAGTAAATACCATCCACCGAGGCATGCTGCGAATAGCACAGCTCCTCCGCCCTGAAATGAGATCGATTGCGTCAGTAACGAGAAAATTAAAGATACCGCTAGGGGACTCACTATTTGGAACTTCCCAGCAAGTACTGTCTCCTGCATAGCCAAGTACCAGTAGGCAGCATTGATGAGGCCAACTCCAATAACCACGGTGAAAAGGATATAGACAAGGACAAAATTGGTCCGGAAGGAGCAGATCAAGTAAAAGAAGCATAGAAGATTGAAACAAACTATGAAAAATCCTGTATACCATTTGATCGTTAGAATCTTGTTCACGCTTTGCTCAAAAAGCAAGGTCGGAAGAATGCGGTGGTTGACTAACCAAAGCTGGCATTGAAACCCTCCGATGTGAGTCCTGCAGTGGGATCATCAGGGTTTGGTGAATAGGCTGCGTAGGCATTGTAGAAGGGCTGTAGGGTCGTGGCGAGGGTGAGGTAGAAGCATGCTGCATCATTGATGTCATTAGTATTTGACATATATTTGGATAGGCCACGAGCACAGTATCACTTACCAAAGGACATGAACACCACGGATGAGAAGGTGTTACCGATTATACACTCTAGCAATCCACCAACAAGCAAGAGAATGCCTCCGAAGAAGATGTATGCTCCACTGAAAGAATAGCGAGTTAGCATGCGCCCCTGAATATGGAATCAGACTGATTCCAACTACTCACATATGAGCAATTCCATTGTTGCCAGCTCCTCTCCAGCCCATGAGGGAAAAAGAGAGAGGAGTCAAGGCCATGACGAATCCTGTGATGGCTCTACGCTGGTGTCAGTTATTTCCTAGGAGGGGTGATCGGAACACAGCTGCCATACATAGGGGTTGGATTGCCAATGATACTCCGAAGGTTTCCAGCAACTTGAGGTTTCGGATTCAAGTAAAGCTTCTCAAAGAGTTCCGGAGATAGCATGATGCTTCCTCTAGACCTGGTCCTCTCAAAGGCACTAGAGTCTCCATTTTCCGCATGCTGAACGTCGTTGGCAAAGTTCACGCCCTCGGAAGTGCTCGAATCAGATGTTTTAGCCATGTTTGGTAAGATATAATGGTGAAAATAGGGGTGTTGGCAAAGATAGAATTAAAAGCAGCTTCAAACACATGGACACTTCCTAAGCAATATATACCGTGGTAATTACTAGCTACATACCAGGATCTAATGGGACCAAACTTTCCTTGCCTGTTTGGATTCTGGGGTACCGGAAACGTCCTGCGAGCAGCTCACAGCAGAAAAAGCTTCCACTAGTGAGTCTAGACGGGATTCCAAATGTTGTAGATCTACATCGCCCCCGCGTTGAAGCAGAGCGGCAGCAGATAGTTTGTGGGGGTGGGCGTAAGCTATCGATTCGGATATACGGAGAAGGAGAAGCAGCTCCTGCGAATCAACATGCGAATAGCTTCCGCCATCGCGAACCCCGCATTCCAGCCCCTATTCATGGTCGGAGGAGCGGATGCGCTCTGCAAGACCCCTAGAACCTGGAGTAGTGGAGTGCGGTGGAGCCGATGATGCGGGGCCCCGTAAAAAGGCGAAGCTGGGGTTACAGCCACCTTGCCGCCTTGGAATTTGACTGGTCATTCCTCCCATCCTACATTCCCAACCCAAGTCGGAACCGCTCCCCACGTCGAGAAACTCCCACCTTCGCGAAACGATCAAGATGTGTGCCTCAGCGGTTCCAAACAAGTTCACCGAATACCAAGATAGCACGCTCACCTGAGCAAGTGGATTGGATTAATTAGGTGCCCCCGAAAAAGTTATAAATCCCCTCAACTATCCTTCTTTCTCGATACTCATACCATCCGAAGAGAACAATACATCCTCTTCAAAACTTCTTGCCTTTATTATAAATTTTCCCTTATCGGTCTTTCCACAATGGCCAGCGCAGACATCCAGCAGAATATCCCCTCGCACATCCGTGGAGTGCCCGGCTCAGTCAACATACCAGTAGCAAGCTTCCCAGTTCCCTCCAAGTGTGCCACATGTGAACCAGAACACGTTGCATCGACACTTGTTGAGGCTTTCAACCTTGCCTTGGCCAAACGTGACTTCAACGGCATCGCCAACTTATTCGGAGACAATGGCTTCTGGCGCGACCATCTAGCTCTGACCTGGCAGCTTCGAACAGTGCAAGGCCACGAAGCGATCGTGAAATTCCTTGAGAGATCTTCCGAGTCCAGGGACGGCCTGCGACTCAAGAAAATCTCTATTGACAGAAGCACCCCCGTTCGCGCCCCGAAAGTGTGGTCACTTGATGGAGCTGGCGAAGTTCAAGGTATCCAATTTTTCTTCAAGGCAGAGACATCCCATGGCTCTGCGACCGGAATCGCCCGCCTCGCGCTGCAGAACCACACGTGGAAAATATTCACCTTGTTCACTGGTCTTCAAGAGCTCAAGGGCCATGAGGAGCTTCTTGGACGTCGGAGGCCCAAGGGCGCAGAGCACGGTGGTAACCCGGATCGCAAGAATTGGGCCGAAAAAAGAGCCGACTCTGCTGCTTACACTGACGGTCGCGAGCCAAGTGTGCTGATTATCGGTAAGTTTCTATCTTTTCATCATTTTGAAGAACCCAGCTAATCCTTATTTCAAAGGCGGCGGACAGGGCGGTTTGACCGCAGCTGCGAGATTAAAGATGCTCGGAGTGGACTCCCTCATCATCGATAAAAACGAGTCCGTCGGGGATAACTGGCGACTCCGATACCGTCAGCTTGTCCTGCACGATCCCGTGTGGTACGATCACATGCCCTACATGGAGTTCCCAGCGACTTGGCCTATCTTCACCCCGAAGGATAAGCTGGCTGAATTCTTCGAGTGCTACGTCAAAATGCTCGAACTCAATGTTTGGACCACAACCACTATCACCAATTGCGAATGGAATGAGAAGACTGCCAACTGGACCGTGACCCTTTCTCGCAAACAGAAGGACGGTACCACTGAAGAGAGAGTGTTCCACCCGCGCCATATCATCCAAGCGACCGGTCATTCCGGAAAGATGAAGATGCCTGAAGTCCCCGGCGTGGACGGCTTCCAGGGTGACCTTCTTTGTCACTCCTCGCAATTCCCAGGTGCCAAGAGAAACAGCCAAGGCAAAAAGGCTATCGTTGTGGGCTCATGCAATTCCGCCCACGATATTGCACAAGATTATCAAGAGAGAGGCTACGATATCACTATGGTCCAGAGATCCACAACCTGCATTATCTCCTCAACTGCCATCACAAAGATCGGTCTGAAGGGCCTTTACGAAGAGGATGGTCCCGCATTGGCAGATGCCGATCTCCTTCTCCATGGCACTCCCACACCAGTTATGAAAGCGCTTCAGATCCATATCACTTCCCAAGAAGCAGAGCATGATAAGGAGCTTCTCGAGGGGCTTGAAAAGGCAGGATTCAAGGTTGATCGTGGTCCAAATGGCGGCGGACTCTTCGTCAAATATTTCCAGCGCGGTGGCGGCTACTATATCGACGTCGGAGCCTCCCAAATGATCGTGGATGGCAAGATCAAGGTGAAGCAAGGCCAGGAGATTGCTGAAATTCTGCCTCGAGGCCTCAAATTTGCCGATGGCACTGAGCTCGAAGCCGATGAGATTATCTTCGCTACTGGATACGACAATATGCGCTCGCAAACAAGGACGATGCTGGGCGACAAGGTCGCTGATAAGGTGTCTGATGTTTGGGGCTACAATAACGAAGGAGAAATTAGGACCATGTGGCAGAATAGTGGGCACCCAGGATTCTACTTCCATGGAGGCAATCTGGCGACTGCAAGATACTATTCTAAGATTCTGGCACTCCAGATCAAGGCTCTTGAGGAAGGTATCTATAACCATGGTGAATTCTAAGCGGACGGGTACGGATATATTGTTTCAACATCATCTACAATTTGTTTTTCCTCCAATGCTTGTTCTCTAACTATATCAAATTCATTTATCAACTCCAAGATTGACTTTTCCAATATTTGAATGTATCAGTACTCCGTACAGCAGGGTGTAATACCTTGGGCAGCGGGGCAGCGAAACCGAATCGCCGGTGCATCTCGGTTCTCGTACTAGGTGGGTCAGGACAATGAGATGAATCCACACCCGTGCAAAGGCATACGTATGTTTTTGCCTAACATGGAACGAAGCATTGCCCATAAGAAATGATCAACGAGCAAATAACCACTTCTGGCCCTGAAGACTTCCATGATCTGCATAGTTTGTTGGGATATCCGATTAACCAGCCACAATATTGGGAAAATAGAACCCAACAACCATACGAGATCCTGAAGGATCCACTTGTATGGGTCTTCCTGGGCAAATATTTTCCCCATATTGGTTGTCTGTCTACTGTATCATGTGAGATTGGTTTGCTGAATTTCTAGCAGACTGCTATATCCATGCATACTACGAGCTACAAACCCAATTCAGGTCTACTACCCATATCACTCAAATGAAGACCATGAAAGTATCGAACGACGCCAGGAACAGGTCTCTGCATCTGTGGTTGGACGGGGAACAGACGGACCCCATTGCTTTGCAGGAGAACAGTGGATCTATTAGACCTGTATCCTCCGATCTGCTCGGAGTTGCCGCCTGAAGGGTCCACGAGTATGTATGAAGTTTCAATATCCGTATCGTTTTGTTTCCTGAATCTCCTTATAATGGACATCTGCTCTCGCAGCAAAAGTCGCTCGCAATTGAACACCCTGGAGGACGCGGCCAGCTACGCACACGCTACGTAACCATCTAAACCTGTCTGTTCGCTCACATTCACTCCCCTAATATTCGGCATACTAACTAAAAGTCTTCGTTGAAGTTCAATTGAACGCTAGCTATGCCTTTCGAAACTCAGGAGCCCTGGAAAAGACAGTTCTACAGTGGTACCGAATGTCCCGAGCATGTAGTCATTCCATTGAAGGACTACAATGCGTACCGCCTCAATCCGGTGCACCGATGGGTGTACAATAAGCTGGAAATCGCAGAGAAGCAGGGACTGGCGTGTGCACCACATGGAATAGCTCCTGAGAAATTCCCTGTCTTCAGCAAGCCGATTTACAACATCAGGAATCTTGGAGCGGGAACCAGAATTCTTGAAGACATGGAAGACTACCGTGAGCACTGCTCGTCGGGACATATGTGGTCAGAGCTTCTTGAAGGTGACCACATCAGCACTGACGTGGCGGTTCTCAATGGCAAAGTAGTCTGGCTATCCCACACGCTGGGCATTCCCTCTGGCGGCGGCACCTTCGACAGATGGGAAGTCAATATCGCTGTACCACAGCAGGACGAGCGAACACTCGTGGATTTTATAGAGCTACACTTGCCAGACTACACAGGCATGCTCAACGCCGAGATGATTGGTGGAAAGATTATCGAGATGCACCTGCGCTTCACCAACCAATGGCCCGACCTCTATCCGCGCGGGTTTTTGGATGCCGTGGTTGGGTTGTATCAAGGGAAATGGTGTCCAACTGCCGAGATGGCGGTCAATGACACTCGAGGATTCAGCGTTGTCTTGTTTGGTACCCCGAAATCAGAGTCGTGGGTGAAGCCCGAGATGTCGCTAGTTGAGGCCCTCCGCTCTCGCCACTCTTTGTACAGCGTGCAGATGCCCTTCACTGAGGGCATTCCGGCTCGTCACCACTCTCACCCTCCAGGGGGTTATCAGCTTGCAACTTTCAATGGGCCCGATCTAATTCAGTGCCTGAAGGCGCGGGAGGACTTCAAGAAGTTATTTAGTGCTGTTAACAGTTGGTCTAGCATCACAGCAAGCCACGTCTAGGTCTATTCCATAGAGTACCACTTGGATGCATCAGCACATAGCGTCTGAGAAAATATGTTGTCGCAATACGTCACATCTCTACGATTAAGCCTCTGTAATCTGAATCCCGCTGTCCATTTCTAGCCAATGGATTTCAATAATCAATTTTGACCAACCCAATGGCCACGATGCGTTCCTCTCACGCCGTTGATTCTTGGAGTCAGAATTTTCATGATCTACTATAGATCGCTATCACATGCTTCATGTTTGCTTGCTTGCTCATTTGCAGAAACTCCAGCGATAAAAGCAAGCCATCTCCTACTTCTGTACTTGCTTATTCTTTCCGTCTCTATCTTACTCCCATCTTACTCTCATCTTACTCTTTCTCCACATCAACATCCACGTCATCAACCTACAGCGTCCACCCGGCACCATCGAACCGGCACCGTCCATCTCCCATTTTCGACATCGACACCGATTCCCCACCATCCATCTCCGCATCCAATCCTACGTACTTGCTTATGGACTATGGGTTCCCTCTCTGATATGTCGTCAGGCAGTCTGGGTCCTCCCGTATCGGAAGCGCAATTTGATGCCTACACAGCTGCCCGGCAGAAGATGTTCGCTAGGCTGCATAACTATCAATCGCTGAATGACGATGACGATACGGTCCACTTCCTGGGGTCATCTTACTCTCATTCTGAATTGAATTCACTCTTTCTTCAAGGGATAAACCTGGCATGTCACAAGAATAATACCAGTGTCACCTCCGACCTCGCCGAGTTTGTACAGTCTTTTGAATGGGAAAAAGTACTCTTCTTCCTGGCCTTACAGAATCAAGTGTCGAGGCAGCAACAATTCCCTAATAATAATGTAGCTTCTAGTTAGTTAGTGACTGTTCATTACTAACTATTACTAACTATGACTCATAATGCGAATTGACATGTAGTTAGTTAAAGGTCAATCGATTTATCACCAAACACTACGTGAAGAAGAATCATGTCGAGAGCAACCATGTCCACAATCACTCTGCACAGCTTCGCTGCCTCCCCGTTTGGCGAAAAGGTGCGCCTTATCCTAGGCTTGAAAGGTTTGGTATGGCAGTCAGTGGATGCGGAACTCATTCTACCAAAGCCTGGCCTCACAGCCTTGACAGGAGGATATCGAAAAACTCCAGTCCTGCAGATCGGCGCCGACATTTACTGCGATTCTCGGCTCATCGCGGAAGAGTTGGAAACGCGATATCCCATTCCCACCATCTTTCCTGGCAACTCCAAAGGACTGTGCTTGGCGTTGTCTAGTTGGAGTGACAGAGACTTGCATATTGCTAGCTCTGGACTTGTCATCGGAGTCAACAAATCAAAATTCCCACCTGATTTAATGGCCGATCGAGAGAAGTTTTTCGAAGGTTTCATGGACTTGCACCGTCTTGAAGAGGATGTGCCTCACCTCAAGACTCAATTACGCGCACATGCAAGTTTGATTGAGGAACAGCTTAGTGACAGCCGTTCGTTCTGGCTGGGTGAAGCGCCGAGTCTTGCTGATTTCCATGCTTACGTTGACATTTGGACGGCACGCGTTTACTTGGATTTTGCACAAGAACTGTTCAAAAATTTCCACAAGATGTCTCTATGGGAAGAGAGAGTACGGAAGATTGGCCACGGAAGCAACCGGGTCATTGATATTGCGGAAGCACACGAGTCGGCTCGTTGCAGCACACCTCTTCCCGGTCACGGCGTAGATTCCGAGGATGCACTTGGACTTTCGCGTGGGGATGATGTGATAGTTACGCCAGACGACTACGGACAGGGACATACCACTGGGCGCCTAGTGACTTTGACAACGCGAGAGGTTGCCCTTGTGCGTGATGATCCTCTTGTAGGACAGGTGGTCGTACACTTCCCTCGTATTGGGTTTCGCATCTCCCGTTCTTCGAAACCCTAGCTAGGGAGCCCTTCATTTATATTAGATCTGTACTTCTCCACACATAAGCACGATGGAAAGAGGCAAAGGGAGGTCTGTCAACCTGCATTCAGGCAGCCAAAGTCTTAATGCATCACTATTGTTTACATATCTCCAGTCTTTTATGTTGTGCTATTTGGAGGCTTTGGAAAAATCCCGGAACGATATTCATATGAGAGATGTCAAAGAAAAGGCAACTCAAAAGACAGCTAGACAGATGTCGTATCTTTCATACTAGTACAGATCTAGATCTAGATTCATGTCATACAACTCATTTCATATAGCTCATGCCATCTCAATCTGCTCATCTTCGGCACCCTTCTTCGTGACTGTCACATCATCAGAGGGAATAACATATGTCGCCCACTGACGAGCAGGAACCTTGTCCTGAAAGAGTCTCTCGATTTCCGCATTGCTGCGACCTGCAGTCTCACCAACACAGAACCACGAATATGCTAGCAAAGACGTGGTTGTTGCTCCGTAGACAAAACCGATCATCGGACCTAAATGACCCGTGTAGTACATATAGGGGCTGGTGAAGACCATAACCCAGAGCGTGAGGAAGAAGACGCCCATGGCGCACGCGGTGATCTTGTTTCTGTTGCGGCCAACGGACATTTCCGATGCAATAGTGTACGAGAGGGTCCCGATGGAGAAGTTGTAGAAGATGATGTTGATGTAGGCGAGAACAACGATGCCGATGCCGATGCCACGGCTGAAGGTTCCATCGGATGCTTTGGTGGTGCCGAGGCCGCCGACGGCAATTAGGGAGATGAACATACCCCCTGAGCAGACGAGGAGGTTCGTGCGGCGGTTGATCTTGTTTCCGAGAACGACTGCTAGGCCGACGGTAATGATTTGTAGGACATAGATGATGGTGTTGATGGTGAAAGGATCTGAAACACCGATGGACTGGGCGAACACAACGCCATAGGTGTACCAGAATTGAATACCATTAATCTGCTGCACGAACATGACGCCACAGGCGTAGAAGAGCTTGCGGCGCTCAATGGGATCCATGATGAGTGAGACCCAGGTAGCGTCCTTGGCCATTTCACGCTCCATCTGAACTTGGTCTTCGATAGCTTGTATGTCCGCTGAGGGATCATAGTCGCGGCAGCTGTGGTTGATTCGGCGGAGAGCTTTGATGGCTTTCTCACGCTTGCCTTTGTACATGTACCACACTGGACTCTCAGGTGTGAAAGGAAGGCACAGAAGCAAGATACCGGGAAGAACAACCAGCAGGCACATGGGAATGCGATAAGATTGAGAACTGGAAATGCTCTGGGTGCCTTGGTTGACACAGGCTCCGACTAACTGCGAGATAGACTGCATGAACTGGAAGCACATGAGGGCCGGACCTCTGATGGCAGACGGCGCCACCTCTCCAATGTACATCAGGCAAGTAGCGGTGAACTGTCCAATACCTAGACCAATCAACACACGACTGACATAGAAGACTGAGTCAGAGCCAAATGAGCACACTTGCACGATGGCTCCAACAATGATACAAAGAGAAGCCGACAGGAATACAGCACGCCTGCCGAAGAAGTCATTGATGGGAGCGGCGCCAATAGCTCCAACTAACTCTCCGACATAGATGATGCTAGCAGACACCGAGAGGAACGATGTCCCAAGAGAGTATGACCCATCTGCATTTCTCTCCCCGTAGTCCTTGGCAAACCATGTCATACCCTGAATCCCAGTATAGTAGATCGTATCGTAACCGTAGCAGAGAGCACCGATGGCAGCCACCATACAGTAAGCGATGGCCCGCCGATTCGACTTCCAGTCGATCTTGAGATCAAGACCTGCCATGTTCGAAGATGTACGTTTTTGAGGTAAAAAACAGTAAACTCAATAGACTTAGAAGCCCACAGAGGAAAAAGAGAATTTCAGAAGAATCGAACCAACCGGTTTGCAGGGGAACGATCGTATATATACCTTTTTTTATAGAGGAAAAGTTCAATTATTGCCAGACCAAACCAAGAACCCGGAGGCCCGCATGTCGGGGTAAACTCCATGGGGTATGCGGGCCATAGCCGAGTATTTTCGAAGTCTCCATCTAATAGGACCCCTGGGGCCCCCCTTCCCCCCGGCTGATATGTAGACCAAGACATATTTTATAGTGTGGGTCTCCGCGTTATTCACGCACTCACAGGAGCTTTTTACATGAAGAGTTTTACCCCAGACACTTTGAAGAAAGAGGCAGCTTCACTATTTGTAGATGTCTTCGAGCAAAGATCTCATGTTGGAAGAGGGCAGATCGGGCTATAAGCCGACAAGATAGCAGCAGAATTTCGGCAAGTGGTCGCCGCCAAGCGGAATCCCGAAACGGGGATGTCGCCGAAATTTGACGATAATTTCGCCATGCGGCCAGTCAAAGTTTCAAGATTTCAAAAAACTACCGCGGCACAAGCCTTTGTCGAGGAAACTGGAGTAATCGGGGTAATCGGTAACCTTGAAAGAGAAGGGCTACCGACAATCTTTATCTAGCGATATAATCCGCTAGACTAATTTAGGTAAGTCTGCCGCTGGCCGCAATTCTAGAGGAGCTTATGAAGATTAATATGGTACTCTTGATACATATCACATGACCTGGAGCCAGTTGAAAATTGCGGCCAGCGGCAGGTGTACCTAAATTAGTTTAGCGGGGACTGTGAAGATTGTCGGTAGCTCTTCCCTTTCGGGATTTCTAGGCGGGTCTTTCCATACTCCAACATCCGGGGTGGACTATAGATTCGCTTGCAATAGCCATAAAACCATTTCTATCGGATTATACCGGGTCAGAGAAACTGTGATTTTATCTTTATATTGGCTCTATCGGCAACACTCCGGTATTTCTTTGGCCAAGGTTTCGTGAGTCAAGATTTTAGCACGAGAGGACTACCGAAACTTGGCCAAACGACAAATCGGGAATAACACGGCTCAGCTAGAATCCCGTGAATCCAATAGTGCAAATTCGGGAAAGAGAGGCATTCAATGTAGCCGATAACTAACAAGGATGTACTGCTACTCTCATAATTAGCCTCTAAATAAAACATGATAGCAAGCCCATCATGCAAAGAATTTCGAAGTCAGAGGAAGCACACAATAGAAACTAGAAGGGGCCCTTTTCACATGCATCTCAGCTACCTCCGTTAACGTATCACGTAGGGCTTGTCACGATTGGCACTTGCGAAACTCGTACTTTCCCGTTCGGGATTGTACCGTTGGTCGTTCCTTCCTGTTCGAGGGAACTCGTTTGCGCAGACAGTCGTACCTTCCTTCTGGGATAAACGAGGATAGGGCTTTGCCCCCGAAGGGGTATAAAGACCCCATTGTTGTTTAACGTTTGTTTTCTTTTCTTTCCTTCTCCATACTTGATATTCGATGAGCAATGCACTTCTTTTGTTAGAAATAACCTGGCACGTAACAGGGCTTGGCCAATTGTATTCAGATGCATGGTATCCAACCCCAACTCCAAGTATGAAAAGATAATAAGGGGATATATCCACATCAGGAATGGATGGAATAAGTCAATGAATGTCTAGACCGAAAGATCTGCGTAAGGGAGCCAACTTCATCTACAGTCAATTTGTGCGGCGGTGTTTATTTGTCAGTGAGAATCTACTTCATACCCCATATGACGTGACATATTCCAACGTATGAACCTATAGCCATTGCCGTTAAGGCCAACGCATCAAGAGTGTCGAGTGAATACCAAGCCCTCAAAGGTTTCAGCGGGAATATCAAACTCCTTCCGTTCTAAGTCCGACTAAGTGCCTGCGCGTGGCACCCCAGAAGACCTCCACTTGCCAAGAATAAAACCTGGTTAGTCTGGACGTGTAGCTTCTTCTGCGAGTTACATTAACTAGCGAGAAAATCGGTGTCGGCATAGGAATTACTCGATTCGGAACCTATACGGGGTTTGATATGGAGTGGAGCCTTGCCCTCACAACGACTCTACATGTATATCTTCCAATGGACAGGGGTTAATGCTCAGCATTTACTATTGTCGAATAAAATTGTAAGAAAGACCTGTACTCAAAGCTGCCATGCCTGTTGCAGACCTAGGTTATGTGGGCCGAATACAGCAGATGACTCCGAGTGCCAGTGTACTTAGAAACCCAATGATTGTTGGCATTCTGCAAAACAATTAGTAGGTTTACAATCTAGACATAGCCATATCCTAAGCATGGTGTTTGAGAAGGAAAAGGCTTAAAGAATGAGAGTTGTTAGACAAAAGAGCCTGTGTCCTTCTCTTTAGGCCGTTCTTAAAAACCGAAGTTCGACGGTTGATAGATCTAACTGAATTAGCAGAAGCCCTAGGGGTCCACTACTGCTAACTGTTCAAGAATTGCTGCGAAGGAAAATATGATGCTGGAGACAAAAATGGAAAAAAGGGGTATTTTACTCAGCCACCCTCCGTATTCAAAATGAGCCGAATGACTCCAAAAAGTTTAGAGGAGACATCCATATTCCCGAATCAAGAGAAAATGCGGTTGGGACATTAGACTATGAACAATTCCCATAATTCAAGCAGCACCAGAGGACACTGAGAATCATTAGTGTTGCTCGACACCAATATTCCTTTCTATATACACGTCTCAGTCAATGACACTTTTCTCGTCAGCCCAGCTAGGCTGAATAGACCGGCAAACAGCCTCATAATCCTGGAAGCGCTGGGTATCCTCCACCAGCCCAGGCGTTGTCCAGAACATAGCCCAGTTACTATCAGCCAGCTTCCAAGTACCCGAAGACCGCTCGAAGTACCATTTATTAACCGGGTTGTCCATGCGACTACGCCAGCAGACTCCATTGGGGAAACATGTGCGCACCATCGCGTTGAACACAATGTCGGCGACACCCCCCGCGCCTTGGCTGCGCTTGAGCACGGCGAATTTATCCAAATAGGGCACCATGCGCGCGGCACTGGCTTCGCTTCCGTCGTCTGGTACGCCCGGCGGCGTTTCCCAGGTCAGGATTGCGCCGCCTTCGTACTCACCGGCGACGATGATACCGGCGATACGGCTGTTCACTCGGTCGAGGTAGTTTTGGACGTTGAGTTTGCGGTCAAAGGAGTCTTCGATTAGGGTGACTAGACGGGGGAGATCAATAGAAGGGTCGTTCAATCCCAGTCGCGGTTGGATCTGGGCTGTCCAGGGGTGTGTGTAGGGGTTTGGGAGGATTGTGAGAGGCATTCCACGTTTCACAAAGGTCGTGTGGGAGCTAACTGGGTTAAATGGGCTGGATCCGCCATTGGAAGCACCGCGTCGACCTGGGGGTAGGGAGGATGATAGTAGAGGCTTGTCGGTGAGGAGGTGGTGGATTAATGGGTTGCGCTGTCGACGGGTTCCAACCGCTGACGGGTCTGAAGCGGCCTCTTTTGGTGAACGCGCTGAGTAAGAAACTTCTTGTGGGGAGGTAATGATGCCTGAAGAGGCGGACGGTAGCATGGCTAATGCTTGTTGGGTTAATCTGAGATTCTCCAAATGGCCATCTAGCACCTCCTCCATCGCCTCGGCAGCTGGTGATTGAGCGGGTGCGGTAGGTGGCATAGGCGAGACAACCTCGCGATTGACGAATTTTGAGAACGGGTTACTCTCCAAGACTGGGTAAGTGGCTTCCGTAGTTACCTGTTTCGAGGGATCTTTGTGGCCAGAAATAGAGTTTCGTGCCTGGGAAAGCTCATCTTCAATTTGATCAAACTCTTGCTCCATGTTGATGAAGACGTGCGATGATTGAGGGCCCTTGAAAGCTGGGATGCCCCCAAGCGCATCGAGAACAATGACACGGTCCAGAGAGACCTCCCTTTGTAGAGTATTGATTCTCTCGGCAGTTACTGCTGGATCTTCGTCCGGGTCTGGATTTGTTGACAGTCCCGCAAATTCTTTCGTCAGTGCAAGGGTAGCATCATCAGCTGAAACTGTCACGGCTCGTGGGTTTTCCTCCGTATAGGCAATGGGCGGAACAAGTACGACATGGCCATCCCGAAGGACGCTCAAGAGCATTTTTCGCGACAACACCGTGGGTTGACCAGATCCCCGCTCGGATATAGATAACGCCGAGTCTAGTCTGAAAGATTTTGAGTCCGGCTGCTCATCGATTGCCCCCGATATCCGATTTGCCTGTTCAATGGATATTTGTCGCCCGGCAGGGCCGCCCATCTTCCCGGGGTCGACAACTACACAGCATGCCATGCCCAGGCGGACGAGCTGCGAGAGGGTCTTCGCCACTCCCTTAATGACAGAATCATCGAGCAATTGTGGAGTGGTGATTTTGATCAGGGCCAAGTGCAGCCTTTCAGGTATAACCTGCGCGCGCGGAGTAGGAGTTGTATCTTGCCGGAAGACAGGGCTATCGTACACCGCCCTAGAAGCACCGTAGAATGAGCCCAAATTGACACCGGAGGGCAGAGATCCTGGTATCGGCTCCTTCGGAGGCTCGGTAGATTCTTGGCTCGATTTGGCGGGGCTGGCCTTTAGCCGAGCTAAGTACGACCTAGCTTCACGCTTAGTCGATGCGGAGCTCAGGAGGCTAAGAAAGAATTCCTAAGCCGAACATGCCGCTGTTAGCATATGAACAGAAAGAAAAGAAGAATAGTAATATGCCACCTACCCGATCAAGCAATTTCTCCTTTGCGCGGTGGCCGAGGCGATCTTGGCTTTCGCTGCTACCCGAGAACTCGGCGAATTGCTGGGCTCGGACATTCAGCGCCTGTGCCGGTCGCGCCGTAATGGGGTCACTAGGACGAACGAGATGTTGCTGCAGACTTCTAGTCAATAAATGCTTAGCATTGGCGGGGTATACCGGTTTTAATTACCTTCACCAGTGAGGACTTGGCCGTTCGAGACCAGTTGAACGTTCGGGAGGTCATTGTTGGGTGTATATAGTTGACGCCAATGCAAGAGCATCGGAGAAACAACCTCACCACAAATCAACAGTAAACATATAATATAGGGGAACGAGTCAAGATCAAACAAATCTTTCTGAGGGAAAAGAAAATAATATGACGCATCCTCGGCTAGGTATAGCTCACCGCCTGTGGATACCGAGATTGATAAGAAAGGCTGTCCACTTCTGTCCACTTCAGGGCTATAAATTGTACATGTCTGTTCTGTACACTCCATACAAGGATATTAGTGGACTAGGACTTAACGGAATTAGACTGCGTTTTAAATGCAGCTACCTATCCTGGTACAGAGTGTATAAGAAAATCTACCCACTTTCGAGAAATATATAATCAACCATAACAGCTGGTGGTTATAAATAGCAAAATGATGTTACATGTTGTACATACAGTCCAACCCTTCTTAGGTTTAGGTCTCTTCAAGCATAAAATAAACACAAAGATCAAAGAAAGGAATTGAACTTTTTTATACTGCCTAACAATAAATTTAGAAAGAAATACAACCTATTCGAATCACCCACGTCATTTTCGGGACCAAAATGCTCGCTGATTTCGTATAGTACTTTTGATATAGCTAGCACTAGAGTCCACCGGTGTACTATCCACTCCTCTATGACCTACATATACCCTAAAGGGAACCTTGGAAGTATAGTCAGGGTCAAGGGTTCTAGAAGCCAGTAGCCCGTTTTATACGTGTAGACCGCTTTGGGCAAAATGTAACAGTACGAGGGGGATACATCGTAATCTATGGCGAATCCGGCCTGGAACGGGGTACTGAAAGGTTCCTATACTTTAGCGGTTGAACCTCCCCCGCCACTGCAAAAGTTGCTCATCCTCGTCATCTAAAAAAAAGAATACCTGCTTGAAACACGCCTCTGAACCACCGAAGACTCATCAAATATTGTCAAATATCAAATCCAAGTAAGTGCGCCCGCTCCTCTCTCCTCCCCCTCTTCAAATCCAACCCCGGTCGCAACACCCCTCCTTGCAATACAGCGCAAATCCCTATGAATTGCCCAACATCCCCTAAGGATTGCTCGGAATCACTAGGAACAATAGCTGTCAATTTACTGTGGTAATTGGCACTGTCTGTTTCGACTATTGGTCCTATTTACCTGCTTGAGATTGATCCCCACCATTTTAGATTTACAGCCCTCGTACGCCACCACGCCGCTTACCCTTCCTGCAATCCAATTGATCGTGGCACCCTAGCCTGGTCTCACCGTCGGAAATTTTGATCCCAACCGCCTCGACCCTCGATACCCCAGTCAAGTTCTTTATCCTCACTATGTCCGATCAGAGCGAATACCTCTCCGACTCCATGTCCGGCCAGGACAACGGGCTCAGGCCGTTGTCTAATGCGGACGACTTGTCTCTCGGAAACCCTAACAGCGATTTGGCTCGTATCATGAGCCGTGCTGGCATTCAATTAGCCAATGGATTTCCAGTCGATGACGACGAGGACGACGACGAGGACGAGCTGGATGAGGACTATTCTGCCGTTGATCAGGATGACGACGCAAACGATTTCCCATACTGGTTCCGCCGCCCACCCTCCCACAACCGCACAAAGCTGGATGAGCTGCATCCTTTTGTTCAATTGCTCTCCATATCTAATGTGGAAGATTGTGTGAAAGTGGAGGAAGCTTTCCCCGAGCAGGAGCGTTGCTCTCCCGATAAGGTATGGCTACCCGGATTCAATTACACCATAGAGCATCAATTCAACATTCAAATCATCTCACTTGATATGAATTGATGCGACTTCAGACGGATGGAGACTTCATTGCTAATAATTTCATAGTTCCGCTACCGTCTCAGCAGATGCCCCGAGCTCAGCCTGGGCCTCTTCACTCTTCCTTTGCTCGCAGAAGGAGAAACAAAACCTCGCCCAACGCTCGTCGGACACATCATTGCCACTCGCACTTCAGAGCCCATTGTGACAGATCGGTCGATGCAACTTCCGACCAACTGGAAAAACGAGCGTTGGTCCATTGAGGACGGACAAGCTGTTGGTCACGAAGAAGGCGGTCGCACTATTGCCATTCATTCGCTTGCTGTGGACCCAAAGCATCAGGGCAAGCAGGTCGGAAGCACATTGATGAAGTCATATATCCACCGTATTAGAGAGGCCCAGATTGCTGATCGCATCGCGATCATTGTACACGATCACCTGATCCCCTTCTACGAGTCATTTGGCTTCGAGTCCCATGGCCCTAGCAAGTGCCAGTTCGGTGGGGGTAATTGGGTCGATATGGTATGTTCTCTTTTTAACTGTCAGCAAATATATACTGACCCTAAATAGATCTTGGAGTTTGGCCCCGAGCCTCTTGAGGAGTAGGAAGTTTTTCGTGTCGTTTTTTTTAACCCTCTTTATTTACCCTCTTCTTTTTCTATCTTTTCGGCTTGGGGCATGTTAACCACTGACGGGTTCAACCCGTTCTTATTACACACATCCATGTTTTTGTCTCATCTCAAGGGTTTATCCTAGACGGGCTTTCACAAGAAAAGCAACGGAGTTTCTTTGGGCGGGATTACTTTTATGAATCTGGGCAGAAACGGCTTGGGCTTCCCGAATCGGTCACAAGGGCATGTGTACCATAGTTGACGACAATGCTATTATGAGGATGATTGTTTGATTCCGGCCAGAGATAGTTATCAACTTCCAAATATCCTATATATAAATCCTCGAGGCATGAAATCGAGCCCTCGATCATTTTGTTCCATATTGTATCACGTGACTCGGCTATATCCCGGTTCGTCCAATCCTGGTCCCCGCATTTGCCTTCCGCCCGGCAGAAAAAAAGGACTGCCAACAATTTTTTCATGGAGAAAAACCCACTCTATCAACACCCATTCACTCACGGCATTACTTCAAGAGTCATTATTTAATTTGACTCCTGACTTGTGCCCATTATGAAGACGACGTGGAAGGATGTGAGTCAATTTCCCGACTGCCCTTTTGCGCTAGATTTGACTGAGCAGAGTGCTAATGTATTTTTCACCGCTTGGTAGATTGCGCCTGTGCCGACACACCAGGAATTCTTGGATATTGTCTTGAGTCGCACTCAGAGACAGCTTCCCACACAGATTCGTGCTGGTTTCAAGATCAGCCGTATCAGAGGTATGATCACATTCTTTTCATCTGATCCAACATCGGCAAAAAAAAGTTATCGCGGTTATCGATAAAGCACAATTTCTGATCGAATTTTCTTTCCATCAGGGTTCTACACCAGAAAGGTCAAATATACACAGGAGACTTTCGGTGAAAAGTTCCAGCACATCCTCGATGGATTTCCTCGTCTGCAGGATATCCATCCTTTCCGTAAGTTTTACTCCTATGGCGATTATGGTTGCTCGGGTGGGGTCTAATATCCACCAGACAAGGATTTGATGAACACTCTTTATGATGCCGACCACTTCCGTATCGCCCTTGGTCAAGTCTCGACCGCCAAGCACCTGATTGAAACCGTTTCTCGCGATTACGTCCGTCTCATCAAGTATGCACAGTCTTTGTTCCAGTGCAAGCAGCTCAAGCGCGCTGCACTCGGTCGCATGGCAACCATCACCCGCCGTCTGAAGGACCCTCTCGTCTACCTGGAGCAGGTCCGCCAGCACTTGGGTCGTCTGCCCTCGATCGACCCCAACACTCGTACTCTTTTGATCTGTGGATACCCCAACGTCGGAAAGTCAAGCTTCCTGCGCAATATTACCCGCGCAGACGTTGATGTTCAGCCCTACGCTTTCACTACTAAGAGTTTGTTCGTTGGCCATTTCGATTACAAATACCTCCGTTTCCAGGCCATTGATACCCCCGGAATTCTGGACCACCCTCTGGAGGAGATGAACACCATTGAAATGCAATCGATCACCGCTGTTGCTCACTTGCGGTCCGCTATCCTCTACTTCATGGATCTTTCCGAGCAGTGTGGATATTCCGTCGGCGATCAGATCAAGCTTTTCCACAGCATCAAGCCCTTGTTTGCCAACAAAATTGTGTTTATTGTCGTTAACAAGATTGATGTGCGTCGTCCCGAGGACCTGGAGCCTGAGTACCAGGAGCAGCTGCAAGAGATCCTCAAGGCAGAGGATGTCGAGATGCTGCAGGTTTCCTGCACCACCACCGAAGGTGTCACCGCCGTCAAGAACGCTGCCTGCGACAAGCTCCTTGCTGAGCGAGTCTCCCAGAAGCTCAAGTCCGGCTCCACCGCTGCCACCCCCGGCAGCCGTCTCGGCGACGTTTTGTCCCGTATCCACGTGGCTCAGCCCATGGGTGGTCTGCGTGAGACCTTCATTCCCGAGGCCGTCAAGGACCTCAAGAAGTACGACAAGAACGACCCCAACCGCCGGAGACTGGAACGCGATATCGAAGAGGAGAACGGCGGTGCCGGTGTCTACAACTTCGACATGCAGCGCGACTACACTCTTGGCAACGATGAGTGGAACCACGATAAGATTCCCGAGGTGTGGAAGGGCAAGAACATCTACGACTTTGTGGATCCGGATATCGAGAGCAAGCTCGCCGCCCTCGAGGAGGAAGAGGAGAAGCTCGAGGCCGATGGCTATTACGAGTCCGACGAGAGCGTGGAAGACGTCGAAGACGCCGACAACCGCTTGAAGGCCGATCTCATCCGCGAGAAGCGCGTGCTGATGCGCAACGAAGCCAAGATGCGCAAGTCGCTGAAGAACCGCGCCGCCATCCCCCGCAGCGCAAAGTCCAAGAAGCTGTCCGAGATGACCAGGGGGCTGGACTCCGCTGGCTACGACAATGCCGCAGCTGGGTCTCGTGCCCGTGCCGCCAACCAGCCTCGCGGCCGTGCGTCTGTCCGTGAGCCTACTGCGGACCCCGATGCCATGGACGTCGACGACAACCCACACAAGGCCCTTGCTCGCGCTAAGAGCCGTGCCCGCAGCACACCTGCAACTGATCGTCGTCTCGACGGTGTCACCACCTTCACCAACCGTGATAAGGCTGAGCGTATGGCCAAGTTGGGCCAGAAGAAGATGAACCGTATGGCTCGTGCTGGTGAGGCTGATCGTCACACAACCGCCTCTCTTGACAAGCACTTGGTATGTTTTTCTATACTATCCTTTTTTTCGGGTTTATTTGCTAACTATTCTCTCTTCAGTACGCCGGAAAGCGTGGTATGGGCAAGACAGATCGTCGTTAGAAGCCCCGCTGATGCCGATGCGGCTTCAACGAGACCCATTCTTAATCATTGTCCATTGGTTTCGATGCCGGGTGCAAAATGGTGTTGGGCGTTTAATATTTCAAATTTTTTTTCCCCTCCGAGTTTCGTCCAAATGTTCATTTGACGCGCATTTTTGGTTTCCACGACTGTTTACTGTGGATGATTTATGTTTATTTGACACAGTAATGATTTGTGGGAGTTCGTTCTCCTGGTCAATAGGACGAAAAAGTTCTATAACTTGATGATCTTGCATATACCGCCAATACAGATGATCTTTGGTTTCATGTGGTACAACACTTAGACTCCAATCCTAGTGTCTACATTTTTAATCAGCCTTTCTCGTACGGACTTATACCCCAATGTGTAACTAAGATCACCCTTGGGTAGAGACAGTTCGCCGGTGCTTAGCTAGTTACATAGAGCAGCTGGTTACGTCCTCAGAAGCATTGGTCCCTAGGTGCATTAACCGGTGGGCTGAAAGGCTGAAAGGCTGAAAGGTTATTAATAGCAATGTTCACCAATCATACGATTCTTCCTATGGTTGTGATCATTTGATAAGGTAGCCTAGCATTTATGTAGCACAACTTAGAAAGAAAAATAATGTTAAGGAAAGCCCGAAAGTAGTGAAGGCACAGTTGAATCAAACTTTAAGCATGCAACAAGCATAATGCTTATTAGAGGGTTAATATCCATTGACATATGGGGCCCCCACTCTTCTAGGTCTAGATACATAGCATGATAGCTCGGGTGACTTTTGCAAGTTGCAAGTTCTCTGACAATATCATGGTAGAACAGAACAGAGCAGATCCTATGTAGTATATGGCGAGGTTAACAGCCCACCCTTGGATGTCCGCAACTAACCGAGCACCGGGTTATAAACAATGACGGCATCGGACATGTGCTAAACTGAACAAGATGCCTTCCTGTCATAAAGGATCGGAGATAAGCATTGTCGCCTGTGCAATGGGGTAGTTGCTTTTCATGGGGAGAGGCGGGGGTGGCTTATTTGGGTTGTATGGCATGCTATACAGAAGTACAACATATACGGAATACTCCGTTATAGTTATATTGTATATAGTGTAGACGTCATTATGGTTGTGTCTCAGAAGATTAGACAAGGCTGACCAATATTTGTTCATTGAACTTGATTTATCCAAATGTTCCTAATATGGCATGGGGTAAAGATCTACTGTCAGGCAAACTCTAAATCCTTGCCCTAGGTTGTTAAATCAAACAGCATTAGGTATAATATACTCAGTAAGATGATTTGTTGTGTTTAGATAAAGACCCCAGAATACTTCAACTCACTATATGTTCATTATGCCACGTATAACATACACAAAGCCTGCGGGGCTGGTCAGGTTTGCCCCGGAAATCGGTCCAATCTAGGGTTACATGCGAAAAAGTCAGCTCACACAGACATAAGGCTGGATTGAGTTTATTTCCTAGTCGGAGACTAACTAAAGGAGGTTTAGGGTGTCCACAAAGTTTTTTTCTGTTTTCACAATGGCCTGATACCGGTCAGAGTTTTTTTCTAGGGGATTTTCATTTTAGGTCTAGGCCGAACAAGGGATGCCGCGAAAGACGATGACGAACATACCGAAAGGCGAATATCATAGGGAAAACGGAATCATGCTACGGACTACGGAGTACTCCGTAGGGCTTTAAGTATTGTATTCATGAAGATCCATGAAGTATCTATAATGTTCCAATCCATATATATGGTACATATCTTTTGGTACACGGTACATGTGTGTTTTCGGCTATGCCGACTCGGGATTCCACTCGGCTCGGCAGAGAAAGGACATTCGGTGTGCCGATTGAGAAGAAGTGGATACAAGATCAACACAGCGGAAACATCTCATAGGAGTCGGCTCGGCCGAAGCCTTAACGGTAGTGGTTTTATAGGTAGTCTTTTCCGTGCCCAGCTTGGATTTCGTCTTATTAGCATGTTTCGATTCACTAGGATTTGTTCAGGGATACATAAGTAATGGGACTATCTATCTTTGTGTGTAGAGCATCTTTGTTTTTCGTTTGACTTTCCTAATTGAGCTATCAAATGCAATCAGATATTCTAGAGCTCTCAATTTTAACTATGATCAGCGCCCCTATGCCCGGCTAGGGAGCAGAGTCTACGTATTATGACCCACTCGTACCTTGGTATTACTATTTCTTTCTTGTTTGTTTTTTTTGGTTTTCGCCTTCTCTTTTAGGGAATCTATCCGGTTTCAGTCGCCTTTGTTTCCGTCTATCTATCATGCCAGCACAGTTTCTAATCTATCCATACCCCGGTCGTAGACCCTGTGAACACGGCACTAGAACCCGAGGTGAAGGCGACCACCTGGACATATACGTCACTCTAATAGAAGTGAGTTATTATTTTTACATTGTCGCCAGGAACTAGAACCAGAACCAGAAGTATCATGGTCACTCTTACGTATCGATATCTGGCACTCGGCCTAGGCACCGCATTCTCATTCGCGCATTTGCACCGAGGACCCAGTATACCTGACTGAATCCCGTATGTTTCTAGAAGGTGGTGAGAAGGTCGGGTGATCTTTTAGTTTTTATGCTCACACGTTACTGTTTATTGTTTGATGTAAGTGTTTACATTGTATGGCCTGTCTGTTCCAAGGTTGCATAGCCTCTGACTATATCATGAATGCAATCAATTTTTAGAACAAAGTCATACAACATCTACATGAATACGTTTTCAGCTCACGTGCATTCCAGGTACCCTAACATTCCCCCGTCCTCCACCTTCTCCACCATAAGAAAAAAGAGGAACCTAAACCCGGAGTATATGGCGCTAGACATTGAAAAGGCCAAGACCTTTTAGACCCATGGAGTAAAATTCATAACCTTATAAACCCCATTTCACCCATCTCATGTTCAAAAAACTCATTGGACAGTACAAACTAAGATCCGCGCGCCCCCGTCTTTTGCCGGTCATAGTACTCTACACATACGGAGTACCCACGGTAACCCCAAGGGAAAGGGCCACCCCCAAGACTTCCCCCAGAAACTATTTAGTGCCTCCTCTTCCTTTCTCTTCGCCTTTTTCCTCTTCAGCTTCTTTCTATCATCCCCGTCTGTCTGTTCATCATGGGTGTCTCTACCTTCATGGATAAGATCAAGCATGGGAAGGCCGAATCCCAGGTCTCCTCCCAGGCCAGTCCTGCTCGTGCCGACTCGACCACTGCTGAGAAGGACAACCTCACCCTCGATGATAGCCCCGTCAAGTACCTGACCTGGCGGTCTTTCATCCTCGGTCTGTGTGTCTCCATGGGTGGTTTCATTTTCGGATATTCTACTGGTAAGTGTCACACAGCCCTCACCACTGTGGATGCAACGTTAATAATAGCCGAACCTCAGGTCAAATCTCGGGTTTCACGACCATGATCGATTTCAAACAGCGCTTCGCCGAGTACAATGCCGCCACTGGAGAATATGCTTTCAGTAACGTTCGCAACGGTCTGATCGTCGGCCTGGTACGTTCGAGATGTCAATGGATTCCCGCATGCAAGTCTTACTCATACTAACTCTATACTAGCTCTCTATCGGAACTATGATTGGTGCCCTGGTAGCTGCTCCCATTGCAGACCGCATTGGCCGCAAGTACTCCATCTCCTTCTGGGCCCTCGTCCACATCGTCGGTATCATTGTGCAGATTGCCACCATTGATAAATGGTACCAAATCGCTCTTGGCCGTTGGGTTGCTGGTCTAGGTGTCGGTGCGCTTTCCAGTGTCGTCCCCATGTACCAGTCTGAGTCTGCCCCTCGCCAGGTCCGTGGTGCGATGGTCAGTGCTTTCCAGCTGTTCGTTGCCTTCGGTATCTTCATCTCCTACATTGTCAACTTCGGCACCGAGACCCTCAAGAGCGACGCCTCATGGCGCATCACCATGGGCATTGGCTTCGCCTGGCCCTTGATTCTTGCCATCGGTACCCTCTTCTTGCCTGAGTCTCCTCGTTACGCCTATGGCCACGGTCGTGTCGAAGAGGCCCGCGATGTTATGTGCAAGCTCTACGGTGTCCCCCACAACCACCGTGTCGTTGCCCAGGAGATGGCCGATATGAAGCTAAAGCATGAGGAGGAGCTTGCCCACGGCAAGGCTCACTGGCAAGAGGTCTTCACTGGTCCCCGCATGATGCACCGTATCTTGCTCGGTGTTGGTCTGCAGTCTCTGCAACAGTTGACCGGTGCCAACTTCATCTTCTACTATGGAACCAGTATCTTCCAGGGTATTGGTCTGAGCAACTCTTACGTCACCTCCATCATTCTCGGTGCCGTCAACTTCGGTATGACCCTGCCCGGTCTGTACATCGTCGAACACTATGGTCGCCGCAAGTGTCTGATGTACGGTGCGGCTTGGATGTTTGTCTGTTTCATGATCTGGGCCTCCGTCGGCCACGAGATCCTGGTCCAAACCCCCTCCTCCCACCCCGCCGGTGTTGCCATGATTGTCTTCACCTGCTTCTTCATTGTGGGCTTCGCCACCACCTGGGGTCCTATCGTTTGGGCTATCTGTGGTGAAATGTACCCCTTCAAGTACCGCGCCGTCTGCATGGGTATTGCTACCGCTGCCAACTGGACCTGGAATTTCTTGATCTCCTTCTTCACCCCGTTCATCTCCAACACTATCGACTTCCGCTATGGCTACGTCTTCGCCGCCTGCTGCTTCTTAGCGGTTATCGTTGTCTTCCTTTTCGTCAATGAGACCCAGGGCCGGACTCTCGAAGAGGTCGACACCATGTACATCCTCCACGTCAAGCCCTGGAAGTCCGCTGGCTGGGTTCCCCCCGAGGGCATCGTTGCCGACCTGCACGGACCTTCTACCGAGGCCCCCAAGGACGGTGAGGCCGGTACTAGTGAGCACCAGCATCACGACGGCGAGCCTCAGGAGGTTGCTGAGAAATAATGCGATAATGGCTGAAATGATAGCGTGTATCGCGCGGCGCTTGCGTGGATGCTTTTTCACAAAATTCTGTGTTCATACTTAACTCTACTCCGGGATCATTTGAGTCTCCACCATATTCCTAGGGAGACCATGATTTAATAGCTACAAGCCAGGCTTGTTTTAGCAATCTCATTTTCTTATCAAATTAATTCAAATCAGCTGTAAGACACGCAACTAGATCTAATTCTCACATTAACTTCATTGATTCCCGAATTCCATCCCAGCTCCCTTTCTAGCCGCCCCGTAAACAGCAGCAACATCTCCCTTGTCCCCCCTAACCTCCTTAACGACCTCTAGAAGCCCATCCATAACCTCGACGTTTTTCATCCTCAGTCCTCCCTCCTTCGCAATCCCATAAGCATGTCTCAGATCCTTCCTAGCAAGATCAACTGCAAAGAGCGGCTCGTCCCGGGTACAATAATCCCCGCCCACCATCCTCTGCGCATAATTAGCAAACGGGCCCGGCGCAAAAAGCCCAAGCCATTCTTGCAGCGGCTCAACTCCCAGCCCAGACGCCTCAGCGGCAACAAGGGCCTCAGCAAGAACACCAACCGTATTGAGAATGAACGTGTTACCGAGTAATTTCAGCGTCGACGCCCGTCCAACATCTATATCACCTCCCCTCCCAGACGAAAGATCAATCGTCTTCTTAGACACGACACCGTCGAAAAACGGTCGCACTTTCTCAATTGCCGCACGCTTCCCAGCCGGAACGACGATAAGCTGTCCCGCATCTGCCATATTCGGTGCCCCGAAGACCGGACACGCGACGAACCCCGCTCCCCGCTCATTGAAGGCGGCCTCGGTTTGTCGCGATGTATCCGGGTGCACGGTCGAGCAATCGATGAAGATCTTGTCGGACAGGTCTTGCGGGATTGTAGGGTCCGATAGGATTGCCGTGACGATTGAGTCCAGGGCGGCGTCGTCGCCGACGCAGGTGAAGATCAGGTCGGATTGGTTTACTGCTTCCGGGAGGGTAGTTACGGCTTTGGCGTTTGGGAGTTTCGAGGCGTGGGCGGTTGCTCGTGCGGTTGTGCGGTTGTAGAGGAGGAGGGGGCCGGTTTGGGGTCCTTTTTCGGCGATGTTTTGGCTCATGCCCTGCGATTGCGGATTAGATGAGGTTGCTTTTTGGTTGCGGTGCGGATTGGCTTACTCGGCCGATGTTGCCGAGACCTATCCATGCGACTCGAGGCCCTGCCATTATTGCGTAGTAGGTATAGATGGATGTGTATAGAAAGACTGTAAGTGTAAGAGTGTTCGGGGTGTTCGGGGAAGTATCGGGGCCTTATACGGGTGGGATGTGGGGTGTGGGGTAAAGTGGCTCATGGCTCAGTTCTTAGCCGATTGTCGGGCGACAATATATACGAAGTATCCAGTAGGCTAAAGGGTTGATTGCATGGTAATTCGCCATGGCTTGCCTGTACTTATTCCTCCATGTTCGAATACTGCATTCGCTTTTCAAGGGTTCAGTTGTGACATACAAAAACGTGTAATGTGGCCAAGAGCTGCCCTAGAAAAACAGATTGAGAAAAGCATATAGAATTAGAGAAAAATCGATACGACTCGATATTCGCAAAACATAATATCCAACCTAAAGCCTCGACTTCTCAGCAATCGCAATATCCTGAAACGGCAACCCGAGATACATCCACATGAAGGCAAACCTATATCAATCAGCATCCCATACATCGCATAAAGACCATATAAAACCTACCGATCACTACCAAAAAACGGCTCCCCTTTTCCTTCGGAATTTCGCACCCAAAACCACGGGGCGCCATAAGCCCCCTTATCAAGAGCAATCTGCGTATTAGCCGTCAAAGCCTGCTTGATCTCCGGGCTTGATGCCGCAGCCAGAATCTCCCTGACTTCCGAATCAGAGTACCCATTGCTCTGGAGTAGCTCGGTTAGGTTTTCTGGCTTGCTGATGTCGATACCCTTGTAGTACATCCACTCCCACAGCGACAGGAAGGTTGTTTCGTACTTCTCGCGTGGGAAGTGGTTTTTTATGTAGATCATGCATCGTTGGGGCTGGCTGGTTAGTGGCTGAGAACATTTCGAAGATATAGAGAGGATTATATACCAGGATTGACAGGATTGGGAAGAACTCTGGTGTTTGGATCTGCGGAACTCCAAAGTATTTACATGCTCGCTCCGAGTCGAATTTGGAATACGTTGCTTTGGCGGGGAGTGACCAGGGGGGTTTATTCCCTATTCAAAGTGTCAGTAACCCTGGTCTGAATATTAATCACGAATGAAATTCTCGATCTATACTGCGTACCTGAGCCAACATTGATCCCGCCTAGAAAGACCGGGTGGAATCTGTTCCATCAACACACATACATCCAATGTATTAACTAGGGATTTGCATACTCAACCTCAACCCCATGTGACTCTAGAACCTTACGGTTCCTTCGTAGATAAAGCGTCGCATAGTATGAGTATGGCGATACTGTCCAAGCGGCAATAAACAATTAGGAATGAAATCTCAGGGGGTGGAGCTGAAGGCGTACCGCAGTCAATGTAGGCATCAATCTTGCCAGACATGAGTAATTATAGTCGATATGTTTCTATTCAATCTCAGTATAATCAATCAGGCTACCAACGAAGAGGAGTTGATTATAGCGTGGAGGTCGGGGCCGAGGTGGAGATGGACCGAGGCTGCCCGACGATGATGAGGTGATCATCTTATTTCCCAAATTGTCATGAATCGTCAAGTTCTATATTGAATTAAATCCAAGATATATAATTGCCATATAGATTTTATTCTTTTCTCAAGATACTGAGATTGGGGCCGCCCCAATCACCATTGCGTTGGTTTGGTGGATTTTCAGCTCTTCCTTTGACTGCTCGACAGCCAAAAGCAAACGCGTGGAGCGAATGTGAAGTTCTATCAAGTCAATACAGGATCCTCTCAATTGGACCATGAACTGACCTTGCAAAATAACCTCATATCCATCCCAAGAGTGATCATCCCGATCATCTTCATGTATGAGCACTGGAAAAGATGGATCCCACGCCTTTGGCCGCACGCGCATTTTCAACCCAACGGTCTTGCTCATATCCACCCACAGTATATCGTCAGAAGACATTCGCTCTTTTTCAAAGCCACCTTCCCCGTCGGTCTCGGTAGTTTTCTTCGTTCTCCTACTTTGGCCACGCAACCACTCTCTCCATAACCGAATAATACCATCCTCAATAGTCGATGCACTCAACAGCAACGACGTTCCTGGCTTGACTTGCACTAGATTGACCACCACACATAACTGTGAGAAATTCTCATATCCACCTAAAGTGATCTCACGTATCACTGCATCCTCTGCCTTGTCTTCTCGACCTCCATATCAGCCCATGTAAACCCCACCATATCCAACAGCAGAAGCACCTACCTGTGGAAAAACCGGACTTCGAACCATTTATGCTTCGTTCTTTTTCTTCTTTATCGCTGCTTACCTCTGGGCGAAAGCGCGAGTATAGCCCCGTCACTCTGCCTGGCTGGTGGGTGGCATCATGACCCTCGCTCAGTCCATTCGTACCAAGGTATTGACAGAAGACGTGGGGCTCGGTGAGTTTTGAGCTAGGATGGAAGCATTCCAGCAGCAGTTTGAATTCCTTGAGTGGTATGCTAAGGAGCAGGCGGTAGTGCAGGATTCTTGAAACCAGCGCATAGAATCGGTGGTTGACTGATATGAGTGGGAGAAGTGCCCGTGTTGAGAAGTCGGATAGGATTTGGATGAATACCTAGATATCTCTTTAGGACCGTATCTCAGAGTATGTTCTGTGTACATACTTCGTTGGGCAGCGAGTCCAAGGTCATCACGGGTTTAGCGGGGTTCATAGTGGTTGATTATTGTGTCAATTGAGATGCAACCTGGGAAGATAGACCAATTTATGCTAGTTGTATACTCCAAGGTGTAATACAACAGAACAGAGACAACAAGTGTATGTGAGTTGCACTATTGCTGTTGGTCTTGCTGTACATCGACATAGAGACGATAAGGGATAAGGGATAAGTGACGTCATATCACGGGAGGCGGGCATGAATTTCCTTTTCCGGCTTTTTAGTGTGCCAGTCCACTACAGTCCACTACCGTCCACTGCTAACCCACTGCTAACCCACATACAAGCATCCTATGTGGGACACGACCCGGGGATTGTGATCTTCACGGTTAGTTGCGGTACCAAATTGCCTCTTTCGGCTCAATTTGGGTCAAACAGTCCCCCCGAACGTGCCTGGTTCCCCGAAAACTGGGGGGATCCCGATTTCTGTACGGGTCACCGAGGAAAAATGATGCCAAGGCGTTGTATGCTAGTATATATTGTTTCTAAAACTTCGCGATACCATTAGCACATTAGGCGAGATCCACGTGTGGCCTCCTATACACAATACTTGGCCTAACACATTCATTCCTACTCCGGACACCCCGCCTCCTCATTAGAAGTCCAACCCCGACCCTTTCAACTGTTTTCGGGCATTTCTCTTTCCTTTTAGTTTCTTCTTCTCTCCCCTCCAATATTCTTGTTTTCAACCTACAACCATGGACAACGTACTCAACGACATCTCCCACCGGAGATATAACCCCCTCCGTGGCTCCTCTATCCTGGTCTCCCCACACCGAACCAAGCGTCCCTGGCAGTGAGTATTGTTTTCAGAAAGCGACATTTCCCAACAAATCAGCTAATCGTACAACAATCCAGAGGAGCACAGGAGAGCCCCTCCAAGACTACCCTACCTAGTTACGACCCCAAATGCTACCTCTGTCCCGGGAATGAGCGCGCCCAGGGCGATACCAACCCCAATTATGAGAGCACTTTCGTATTCGTGAACGACTACAGCGCAGTGAAGGAAGAACAAGCGGCCTATAATCCCTCAAACCAGGATGGTACGCCCAACCGCCCAGCGCATCCGTACCACACGTATCAAGCTCACAAACCACAGAACTCGAATCGCGATTTCTCAAAGCCGAGCCCGTAACCGGCAAGTGCTACGTGCTCACTTTCTCATCCGCGCACAACCTCACCCTCGCCGACCTGGCGCCTCGAGAGATCATGCCTGTGATCAACGCCTGGACAGAGATCTACGCAGCACACCTGTCCCCGGCCTCGCCGTTAGCGAAGAACGCACCCGTAACAACGCTACCACCCACATCCACCTTAACAAGCGCGACGAAGCCAAAGGAGCAGTACCGGTACATGCAAATCTTCGAAAATAAGGGCGAGGCGATGGGGTGCTCGAACCCGCACCCACATGGGCAAGTCTGGACAACCAGCTCAATGCCGGAAGAGCCCGCCGCCGAAATGAATCAGATGATTAAGTACCGCCAGCAACACGGCGGTAGCCACCTGCTGGAGGACTATGCGGCGCTGGAGAGCCGCAAACAGGAGCGCGTTGTGTTTGAGAACGAGGCATTTATAGTTGTCTGTCCATGGTGGGCGACGTGGCCGTTTGAGACGATGATTATCAGTCGCACGCACAAACGCGCACTAGTGGATTTGTCCGAGGCCGATAAGATGCTGCTTGCTGAGGCGATCGCCGAGACTACCCGTCGCTATGATAATCTCTTCGAGACGCACTTCCCTTACAGTATGGGTATTCACCAGGCTCCGCTTGATGGTACCGAGGAGGAGATTGAGACATCCTACCTGCACTTGCATTTCTATCCGCCCCTGCTACGAAGCGCTACCGTGCGCAAGTTCTTGGTTGGCTATGAGCTTATGGCGGAGCCTCAACGTGATATTACTCCTGAGCAAGCTGCTGATAAGCTGCGGGCTTGCAGCGGTGAGTTGTACAGGAAGAAGATCGATTCGTGAATGTCTCTGAATTGAAAAAGAAAAAAAAATGATGAATTCTGGACGGGTCATACCAGAGTTAAACCTATTTCATCCTATATCTATATGCAAATTATATTATTTTACCCGCCAAGGCTTTTGTGCCGGATGTAAGTTATGTTATACATAGTTGTGGTCCAACTTGCAATGCTCGTTCCTGTATAGCTATCGGTTCCGTGTTGCATTGCATTGAACCATCCCCTGAAGCCGGATCATCCCCTCTTCCAAATCAGGCACTTAACCCAGGTACGCTCCGCGCTGGGTGAACATCCAAGCCAGCGAACCCGACGCAACAATCAAAGGATTCAAGAACCGGCCCTTGAGCGAGGCATTGCCGAGGACGAGCTCGCCAACAAAGTGAGACAGCGCAATGCCGTACGTCCACATGCCAAGGTTGTACGCGACAGGGTTCGTGATGTTGTAAGCAGCAGTCATACGAATGACTGCAGAGAGGAAGGTCCAGGTTCCGAAGATGCGGCCGGAGAGCGGAGTTGCGGGAACCGTGCCATTGCTGTAGAGTAGAGAGGTGTAATTCGGTGCAATGTAGGCTTGCAGGCTGTTAAGAGCGGAAACGACCGAGACCTGTATAGAGAGTGGTGGTTAGATTGGGGGAATAGAGGCATCGGTAGCTAGGGGTTCGGAGTGGCAGTGGTAATGGGGACTGGGGTGGACACGGGTAGAACTTACGAAAAAGAGCCATTTGGGCAGGAGGCCCTCGGACTGAGGCAGATAGGCTAAGTATTGGTCCATTTCTGAGCGTGAGTTTGTCTTTTTGTTTGGTTTGAAGGGAGTTGGTTGTTTTTCTTGTGACTCGAGGAGACGCCGAGGATGTTCCGGGAGTCTTGGCGTGGATATTCCCAACAAGCCTCGCATTAGTTTGCTCAACTTTTTCTTTTTCTTCTGTCAACTTTTTGCTATTCACATATCTTCGCTCATTATGGATATCTCGAAGCATATTGAATGCCTGTCTCAATGGCCAGCCCATATTGCCCCGGGCTTACCTACTTATGGAGCGCTGTTTCTCCTAGCGACTGGTGGACTGGTCATTGCCTGCAAGGTCTGGACGTTCGTGCGGGTGCTTCTCAGCCTATTCGTGCTTCCGGGTAAACCGGTATGAAATTTGATATTCAGATCCTGAAATTAACGGGATGAAGCTGACTAGGATGATCAAATAGCTTCGTTCGTTCGGTCCCCCCGGTAGCTGGGCCGTGGTGACAGGCGCCTCAGACGGCCTGGGCAAGGAATTCGCGCTGCAATTGGCCAAGTCGAAATTCAACGTTGTGCTCGTATCCCGAACAGCCTCGAAGCTGGCAACCCTGTCAGAGGATATCAGCAAGCAGTTCCCGCAGGTGCAGACCAAGACACTCGCCATGGATTTCTCACGCAACGCCGATGCCGACTACCAGGCGCTGGGCGAACTTGTCTCCGATCTGGATGTGTCCGTGCTAGTCAACAACGTCGGCTTGAGCCATTCTATCCCCGTTCCGTTCGCCCAGACCCCCGCCGCAGAGATGGCCGATATCGTGACCATCAACTGCACCGGCACGCTGCGCGTCACTCAACTTGTCGTTCCGGGCATGATACAGCGCCGCCGCGGTCTTATTCTGACTATGGGCTCTTTCGGTGGTCTCCTACCTACTCCGTTCCTCGCCACTTACTCCGGTAGCAAGGCTTTCCTTCAGCACTGGTCTACTGCTCTTGGCGGCGAGTTGGCCCCCTACGGAATTGATGTGGAGCTTGTCCAGGCCTACCTGATTACCTCTGCCATGTCCAAGATCCGTCGTGCTTCAGCTTCTATCCCTACCCCTCGTGCTTTCGTTCGCTCCGTTCTGTCGAAGATTGGTCGTAGTGGTGGTTCGCCTACCTACGCTTATAGCTCGTCACCATACTGGAGCCATGGTATTATGGCCTGGTTCCTGACTTGTGTTTCTGGGACTATGGGCAAGCTTGTTCTCGGGCAGAACAAGTCTATGCACGAGAGCATTCGCAAGCGCGCTCTCCGCAAGGCTGAGCGTGAGAATGCTAAGAAGAGCACTTGAGTTGCTTGGCTTGGTTTGCTCGATTTGCTGTTGTTGTGGAGTATAAGGAGCATACTACGAGTGATGCTTCCCTTCTCGGGCGTGATTAATTTATTATTCGAAATGCATGATGGGTTCGACGAAGTGTATAAACAGAAAAATGATAATCAGCGCTCATGTGAAATTTATTGATACCTAACGGTCATCGTATCCTATACCAAGAAAATGAAAGCTAAACTCCGTCCCCGATGATATCGTAGAATTCTTATCGATAAGCTCTTATCACCCCGTGGACAATCATCCATGACGACCAGCTAGAAACTGCGCATGTTACAATCAAACTAACCTGACGCATATAAGTTTATATCCAGACTCATCATGTCTCAATCAACCCACTTCATTAGTGGCATCGAAGACGCCTCATACAAAAATCCCACGGAATTAAAAACACCGATCTGTGACAATCGCATTCATCTCCTCCTTGCCGCAACCGGCTCAGTCGCGACTATCAAAATAGCCAATATCATCAGCGCCCTTTCCCCGCATATCCACAAGCTCTCAATAAGAGTAATCCTCACCACCAAAGCCAAGCAATTCCTCGCCGGCCAGTCCGCCGAGCAGCCCACCGCCTCGTCCCTCATTTTTCTCCCTGGCGTGGAAGCCGTGTACGATGATGACGCTGAGTGGGGACCAGAGCCCTGGCGCCGAGGCGTTGATATCTTGCACATATCTCTCCGACGCTGGGCAGATATCCTTGTCATTGCTCCTCTTTCCGCAAACACACTAGCTAAGCTCGCCAACGGACTAAGCGATAACCTGTTGACATCGGTATGTCGGGCGTGGGATACCGATGGCCAGGTTGACGGGAAACGAAAGCGAATAGTAGTTGCGCCGGCCATGAATACGGCTATGTGGCGGCACCCAGTGACGGCCCAGCATATCGGGGTGCTAGAGGAGGAGTGGGGGGTTAATAAAGACGAGGGCAGGGGAGAGGAAACAGGTTGGTTCGAGGTTCTTCACCCGCAGTCGTCGAAGGTCTTAGCTTGTGGGGATGTGGGGAGTGGTGCGATGTTGGAATGGACTGAGATAGTGAAGGTTATTGAAGATAGGTTAGGGTTGGGGGATCAGAACTCATCTCAGAGTAGTTAGGATATGTCTTTGCCATTCCTCTATATTCGCATTTATCCTCCAGGTAGCATACTTCCGGCGTAGCGGACATTCCCAAGTCATCTTCTTGGATTATTTATGGCATCTATTAGAATTTTTCCACACCAAGAAACCTATATCAGTAACTTTCTCTGACATCCTCGATAATCTATCGTGGGTTTACTCCAATGATGTTGGGCATCAGTTCTTATGCTTGGATGTATTTTTCTAGCTCCCGATGTTCACTGTTTGCCCCCTATGCTCGTTTAGAATCTTGCACAAGACTTCTTGATCACTTTCCCCTTTCAAATCCAATTGAACCCACTGTGTAAATTTCACTTGTGTCGGCTTTACAATATCGTGAAAAGAGTGGGGTCCCATCTCACAACCAGGTGAGTGAACCAATTCTGAGAGCTGGACCATATATTGACCCCAAATAGGCGATTGATTGGCGAGTTGTAAGAGAACATGCAAATTGGACTGTATAAGGCGGTTAAAGTCGGGTATCAGAAGGTTTGATTGAGATTCGTGGGAGCCCAATAGATAATGAGGAAGAGAGCTGATTAAAACATAATCACGATGGTGTTTTCCGTCTTGGTGTCCTGCTTCCTCTCGATGTTTTTGGTCCCTTGGTTGGCTTGTGATCTCGCCCTTGCTGTCTGTATAGGCCTTGATCGCCGATGGTGGCGGAACTGCTGGCAACCCCACTAGTTCTGCGGTATACACGATGATAAACGGAAGAAAAAAGTCACTGAATGCATCTCCGGTTTTAGGGAGCTCATATATAGGTGTGCAGATACGTAAGCGCCGTCGATAGTGATACTGGTAATGCAAAGCAAGTCCACGCCATTCATCAAAGTCATTTAGACAAGGCGCAGGGTTATCCGATAGGAGCTGCGATGGCCGACACCCATTGGAGCATAATGACTCGAATGTTCTTGCTTGATTGACTTCATTAATGACAATCTCGATATTCTGGCTGTCTGTTAGATAGACCTTTGCTAACATTCTTAGAGCTCTGGATAACATACCAATGGACGAAATCCCCCCCCCCCAATAACAGCTAGCAGCGTTTACTCCCCAGAGCGCCGAAGAGATTCCGGCGTCTCCTAATAGTTCCACAAGCCTTGCAATGTCATCTATGCCCGGGCCTTGCACGGATGTAAGGAAATCATTCTCGAGAGTCATGATCGGGCCTTTCAAACGTGGCAACGTGGCAAGGGGGCGCCAGATTGTACGGGTGCGAAGGTGCAGAGGTCGGATTATTGAATGAGAATGTAATATATTGTCGTTGAATATTTCAGACTGCTTTCGACACCGCTCTATGATAATGTACCCTAAATGATACTAGTTACATGGTTACAGTCGGACCGCAAAAGTCTCCACTAGGATAGAAGGATGATTACGGAGTACTACGGTCTGTATTGTCCCTATGGTTGTTGGCTGACCCCCCTGAGTGGTTATACTGTATGCTCAATGGTAACTCTATAGTTTTTGAACCAGAATTTTTTTCAAGTATGAAAGCCACATAATAGTAGTATCAAAATCCTTCAAAAATGTAGTATAAAAGACACCGAAAAAGACATACATAATAGTAATGAAAGAGAATAAACATTGATTCAGTCAGTAACAACACGTTCTATAAACCCTGCAGTTCCTTCGGTTGCAAACAGATCTAAAGCAATACATCCACTATCAATCATGGGCCATGACCAGGTCCTTTTGTCCTATTACATTACCATTTGCAAATGCACTGAAATGTATCACCCGATCGGTCATTGACACAGATACCTGGATCAAAAGCTCCAAGTAATAGACGGTATGTCCGGCGATGGTTCGGTGAGGAAACGAGGCAAGGTCAAGGTGATCGAAGTGACATTGAATATAATCGATGCAATGAGCATCTATAATGAACTTCTCTCAGCATTCCCAATCACTGCTTATAAAGATATGCATATGTTTTGTGGTTGAAAACATTGGACTTACCGGAGTTTTCAAACCGCTCTGGTGCATCTGAGAGATTGGACTCATAAATCTCCACGGGTTTGGTAAGAAGATCATGCTCCCAATGAAGTACCTGGATGCTATGGGTGGACTGAAATCCCTTTGGGTAGTTCTGGTCCTTTTTTTTGGAAACGATCTGTCAGATCGTACAGGGTGGTTGCGGACACTTGGATAATACACACCTTGCGTAACACCCAACAGGGGAGCAAATTCACCGATAGTGCGCTAGGCCCATATCCCAGGAATTGCGGTTCATTGGGGTGGGAGAAACTTTGAAACGATGCGAGGCCGTAATTTCGCCAGCACTTGTAGGTCGGAAGAGAGTAGCCCCGAAGGCCTTGGACTGCTGCCCCACGAGCGATAGCCTCCTCCCTTTGATATACATGTTAGACTTCTCGCTAACTTTGTAGCATCCAAAAGATATTTTCGCTCACGGGTTCTCAGGAATAAGCACGGAAATGCCGATGCGATTGAGGGCAGATCCTAGGCTTTCCTGCAGATAGGATGAGGCGCTGAATCCGCCAACCAAGACAACTTTCTATAGAAGATGATAATGTTAGTTTCATAAGTACCCCACAAAGCAAGGATAAAAGAGACGCTCACTTTGATGACATGCCGTCCACACTTCTCATTTGCAGCAGTGATCTGGGACAGAATCAAGTCGAAAATATTTCTCAGAACAGGCTCGTATAGGTCTCGGACATCTTCGGCTTGAAGAACAACACGTCCTCGTCTTTGGCTGGGAGACTGGGAATTCAAGTTGAAATCAAAGTGCCAAGACTGACTCGTTGCACTATTGAAATGAGTCTTGATCCTTTCAAACTTTTTCATGGCGCGGCTCCCTGGTCGGATCTCGCTCAGGGATAGGGAATCGAATCCCCCTTCAACTCTAGTGGACAGTAGTTCATAGAATCGACTGTCAATAGCAGTCCCACCACAGTTAGCCCCTGTTGCGTATTAGTGCTCAGTCCGTGTTAATTAAATCTTGTGTATAACTTACCCATAACGGTGGTGATCTGCTCAAGGGAGATTGTCGGATCAACGTCTGTGACATAGTATGTTGTGATATCCTAATCACAGTGTAAGATTATGAAGTTTCAACGGTATAATCGGGTATCTCACCACTGTACCACCTCCACAGTCACAGATCAGAATTCCATCACGAGGCTAAGGGTTGAATGGATAAGATGTTTAGCTAAACGAACCGAAGACACCGAGTTGAGAATTTTTACTTACCTTGAAACTGACCCTTTTGTCACTGAAAACAGCAAGAGCTGCAGCCTCTGGTTCCGGTATGGTCCACACTCGATGTTGAGGCCTTTTTCCAAAGCCGGCTCCTTGGATTGCTTGACGCATGAGGTTCTGCGTGTCTTCGGACCAGCTGGCCGGCGTCGTGAACCAGAAATCGATCGGCACTCCACTTAGATCCAGTTCGGCGGAGATATAGCTCTGGATGTGTGTGTAGATCTGAGAAAGATAATCTTGCACAGTGTCCACGGCTTCCTTCTGGTCAGGCAGCTCCAGAATCTTTGAAGCAGTGGCGATCTTCAGGAATGTATCGTCGAACTTGCTGCTACTTGGAAAGTTTGCGTCCAATAGCAGCTTCGTCCAGGCATATGATCGTACATCTTGCGTGACCTCAAAGCCCCAGAGAGGGGCTCCTCCGTCCTGCATATATGAAATTAGGGATGGGGTTTTGGCCTGACCAATAATATCTGGAGGCCACTGCTTGATAAAATCGATACTGTCAATATCTGCTTGACCGCCTGCATGAGTTGTAAGGACATATGCGATTTCTATTTCCCAAGAGAATTCGTTAGTGAAAGAAATGAATGGTTTGTTGAAGGAAAATGTATTTGCTTACCTGTGAAGGTGGTACCGTAGTCCACACCCACAACAAGCTTGTACCCATGCTTAGCTTCCATACTGCCTTGGAATCAAGATGGATTCTATCTGTGTTGCAAGTGAGCTTGGAAGGACAGGTTGGATTGAAAACTCGACCTAGAAGACCCTTGGTGTTATAGATTTGATCTTCCGTGGCTCATTCCCGATGGGCTAGTTCCAACGATTTCCAACGATTTCCAAGGTGATGTTTCTGTTTCAGTCGTCTTTTCAACATGACCATATGTTTCATTGCATGCAAGCACTGAAGTTGATGTTAAACAGAACCACCTAATTACAAGATTGAAGGACATATTAGTTCTCTTGGTCATGTCATTGGGCCGCAGTTTATTCTACCTCAAAGCATCTGGATTAGTTCCAGAGAAGAATAAAGAAATGTGTTGTGCTAATCTCCCATGGAGGCACTCTGTAGTCTAGTTTCTTCTCATTATTCGCCCCTAATTTCATCTGACCTCAGAAACTGAGGTTTCTTTCTCTAATGCAGAATCCCGTAAATATTCTACTTCTAGAGGAAAAGGTTTCAGAGAAAAATAAAGAAAAGGTGTGTGGTTAGCCTTACATAGAGGTATTTTGGTCTTTTTTGATTCGTTGCCCCTAATTCCATCTAACCTCAACACATAGAGTTTCTTTATCTCTCATGTGGGTTTAGTGGATCTGGACGGAGTGCCGTTTCCAATAATTTCCAAAGAAGAATAAAGAAATATGTGTGGCGAGTCGCTTATGTCGGTATTCGTGAAATTCGAAAACTCCCGGTTCCAGGAAGTAACAAAGAAATGTGTGCGTGGCCATGTTTCTCCCAACCAGAAATAAAATGGAACATTACCATGCTGTCTCTGAAAATTATTCCTCTTCCTTTCTTGTATTCCTCGCCTCTCTCTGATTACATTACTTCTTCTGCCATGGGCGCCACTAAGTCGAAACAGAAGAAACAGAAATCCCAGGTAAAGATGTGCCCCTTTTGTTGCTATATGTTTGGCCTAACACACTCTCAAAGGAAGATACTCTATCTGTGGAACACCAGCAAAAGAAAGCAAAGATGTCTACCTGCAGAGATCCCAAGTATGACTATCCCCGTTATACACATAAGGAATACCTGCGCGAAATTCGTGAGATGAAATACCTGATCGAGGCAGGTATGTTGGGCTGGCCCGGGCCAGGAAACAAAGATGACATGTTTCATACGCTCACATTCACCGTGGATGTCCAATCATTTGTCATTGAACACGCGAAAGTCAAGCCTGAGGATGTGGACCATCTCTCCGACACCCAGAAACAGACCATCATCAGCCATCTCGCGGGATACTGCGTGCAAGAGAAGTGGGAGGTCCTTATGGGGCTCCTTCCAGATCTGGTTCGAGAGAAAGTCCTCGAGGTATTTCTCGAAACTCTGATTTACAAAGACATCTTTGAGAGGTTTTTCGTGAACTTTTTCTGGTACTTCGACGGGAAAATGTCTCCGACAGACGAAGGAGATGAAACGTTCACTGCACGTCTGAAGCATCTGTATGACCAATTCTATGCCAGTATGTATACAACTTCCCTTCCGAAAGAGAGATATGTTTCGTTGACCATGATCTTTCATTGCTACAGCCAACCCACTTATGGCGGCACTATGGAGATCCGAAACGAACCGCCTTGCAAACTCGACGGATATACGCAAGGCATCGGACACACTACTTGGAACTTACCATCTAGATCGCCGCCAGTCATTCATCGGTCAATTTGTGGATAATGCTCTCTCCAGTGAGCCTATCCGGTGGCTACTTAAAGAGACATCAAGCACGGAGGAGGCAGACCGTCGGCACAAGGACCTTTGCCGAATTTACCATATGGCAATGGAAAGCGCAGCAGAATTGGGAAATATACGAGGCCACATTGACTTGGAAATGCTGGCGACGTTGCCTAGGACCTTCACCTCCGGTGAGAGGATGCAGTCGCATGAATACAATTTACTACAGGAGGATAGCAACCTTCTAGATGGTCAACGGATCTTGATGGTTGTTTACCCAGGGATAGTTCGCAGATACATTTGTGCTCTTGAGAAGTATGTCACTGAGTACAGCACCGCAGCATACGTTGTGGTTGAGGAGCAAGCTCAGTAATGATCTCGATGGAATTGGCTTGTCTGTCAGTTTGCTTTTTTTGTATTGTTTCTTGTTCAATATACTCCGCACCCTCCTCATTATCACAGTATGCGAGTTGATAAAAATATTTCAAAATAAAAAAGAATGGCGCCACCCGGAATCGAACCGGGGCTAACACAGATCATTGTTGTACCACAATGTGTCGTCATACCACTAGACCATGGCACCTATTAGATGGAGAAATGGTTCTCTTTACTATATATGATCTTTACTATAATTACCCACAGGGGTAGTTGACGACTTAAGAGATAAACACTATAGTTGTGCGTGGTGTTTCCGTAGCAATTGGCAATCTCACGATACCGATACTAGCTTGCCAGGCTAGGTTAGCAGGTTGACTTGCGTAATGTAAGTAGGTTCATGGATATATTCATGGTGTAGAAAGTAATGTATGCAACACTTCTGACAGAGAAATATATATCTCCACCCCTTGGGAATATACTCTGCTTTGCTACTACGATGTATATTCAATTATTTCTACATGCTCTCATAGCTGGTAGAACAAACAATGTTATGGATCATATTGTTAGGCCAGGTATAGTTAGTACTGGCAGCATAGTTGTAAGTCAGCGAGTGACATCTGTCGTATTTCACGTTCTTGCCGAAGCACAAGTGAATCGTGATCCGCGTGGCGTAACACGACAACAACCTTTAATTATTCCATGTAAGCACAATAATTTGATCACCAAAAAAGTACTACGGCTGAGTAAAGGCCAATCAATAAATAGGTTTAACCAAAAAAAAAAAAAAAAACCAAAAGCCAGACGGGGGGCTCGAACCCCCAACCCCCAGATTAGAAGTCTGATGCGCTGCCAATTGCGCCAGCCCGGCTTGGAATGTGGAAAGCTCTCAATAATGTGATCGACTTTGCCTCGCGTTTCGAGCCTAGTTAGCCTACTACATTATCGAAGAGGGGGCCACTGCAACGGAGGCAGTAGGGGTACCAACAAGTCCTGCCTGCGAAACGGGGTGAAAGCAAAGTCATTCATTGGGAGTAGTAGGATGTTAGAGAGCAGAACACCATGGAGTAACTACTAGAATGGAAGGTTGAAGCCAACCTGAAGGTGTCTTCGTTGCTATCTTTGCCTTAGGGGTAGTTATCCATGGATCACATGGCCGCTTAGTCATCCTGCTCTGGAATCCCCCACTAATCGTGCCAGGCGCCCAAAACACATACGGTATACGCCCACGCACAGTAATAACTGGTTGACAGCCAAGGACTCCTTTCTAGTATCGAAATCCTGTCTGAATGTCATGAAAGACGGTCCAAATGCGACCCTCTCGGTAGCCATTAAGGTCCTATTCGGTTTAAACTCGGAAAACACTCTATATCGCGAAGCGATATACTAAGCTAAGCTGCTCTTACCAGTTCTTATGTCTCCTATAATAAGAATAATCTTCCAGCGCCTAGGCTGAGGTGTAACGAGATTATCAATCTCCTACTCCACAATAATTTGCGGGACCCGGAACTTCTCGACTTGAACATAAGTCGGCATCTCAAATGCTGAATAAAAATCTTCATTCTGGTGCTCGTACTCGATAGCACTCTTCGCGCGATTTGTAAAGTGCCTTACGATGACATGTTTTGTGCTTTCTTTGTCTACTCCGGGCGCGAAAGACTCCCTTCTTTCAACTGATCTCCCACTTTCTGCTTCCTCTTGTGCTGCCGATTTAAGTCGAGATGCCCAGCAGGAGCCCATCGAGAGGGTAAGTTTGGCGCAATCTAGTCCCGACTCCTTAAGAAGTGAAATTGTTAACAGGATCGGGATTGTTCCCAGAGGCTGGAGGCATAGCCCACGGATTCAGACTACAAGCAGCAACAATCCATCTGACTCGGATATTCAACATGTTCTGGTCAGGGATTAAGAGACTGTGGCTTGTCATGGGAGCTGGAATGACCGAACGTGCTGCCTACTATACCAGCGTCGAACTCCAGTTGAAAGAACATCGGACTTGATTATTCATAGAAAACTATGTGCAAAATTCAGTTTTTGACAAGTTCAAAGGGGATGTTGATATATCAATCCCCTATGATTATTGATTTATATATGACCCAAAAGGGTAATTTTCCCATTGGACTGGCTATCACGGTCTACGTCTAACCCCTCTTCACGGCCTCTTTGCGACCCCAATCACACAACATGGTTGCGCCCCACGCCGACGGAAATCGGGGTGTGTGATAAGCCACCCAAGGTGAAGTTGCCTATTTCCATACTTCGCGAAATAGGTCTCGAAAGCGTAGGTTATCGTCCTAGAATAGGCCCTCATATGGGCACGTTCGGGAGATTGCTGACGAGGTAGATTGTGGTGACGCTCCATCCGAGACAAGGTCGTATGTGGTGACCGTAGTACCTACAAGACCGCAGAGCAATCGAGTATCAAAGCAGGTCGTTCTGGTATTAGATGCCATGGCGAGGACTGCAAAAAGCAGGATTTTGGAAAGTAAGATGGCTTGATAACGATGGGTGTTCAGCTTAGGGGAAGAAATGAACACAACTATGAGTGATAACATGGATGGTCATGTGATCATGTGATCATGTGGCAGCTATCACTCGCTGACTTTGCCCAATCTTTTTTTGCCATCTCTAGGCATCCTGCTTCTTCCTCCCTTAATAGCTCTAAACTATTCTTGTTCTGGCTCTCTCTTTTGCTCCCCGTGTATCGTATTCCACCGACATCCATATACTCCACATTAGGGCGTGCCAAGCTACAACATGGCTACCGTAGTGGGTCACTCGAATGACGCTGATCCTGGTATGTACCTCTTTTCTCCGCCGGCGGGGGCTCGATTATTTCTAGACTAGCAAGACGTATCAAATAAATCTAAAGCTAAAGAAGGAACAAGAACCAAAGCAAAGAAAAATAAAACTCCGCTCAAAACAAACCGGTAAGGGTAATGTTTTGATTGGTGTCAGCCAGGTCATTCTTCGGCTGTCAGATTGTTGTCCGCCATCCACAGGATTCCGCCCCACCCCCATACCCACCCCCATACTGTACCCTGCTAAGTTTCTTCTACTCCACTCCTTCGGACCGATCTCATGCCCGGCACCATGGTCCGTCACATGTTTTCTCTGCAATAGTTAGTTGATCCGCTATACTAATCCGCTACCAGAGTGCTTCCGCCCAGACCCCATCACCTCTACCCGCACCTGAGCCCGCCCGGTTCAACAATAACCCTGTCTGCTTCGCCACAATCCGGTCGGTAGAACGCAAACTGAACATTGATGAACCGGGCCTTCGGGCTAAAGTTGCCTTCATGACCAGCATCCAAACTCTCGAGGAAGAGACAATGGTTCGGTCGCTGCACCCTGCTCTGAAGCATTGCGATTGTGTTTCAGTAGTTGAGGGTGGTCCGGTGAGGAAACCTCTGTGGCTAGTCCATGCCCGCGGCGCCCGGAATATTTACAACACACACGCCGCTGGCAGGGAAATACATGTCCTGCCGGCACAAACTCTTCCACCCGTTACACCCTTGGGTCTGTTGATGCGTCCTGTCAATATCAAGCGTATCAACCCCCGGTCTTTTCTCGAACCCCAGAAAGTCAACTTAATTCGCGAAGCCTTTCCAGGTTCCATCGGAGCACAAATACTCCTCACTGGTTGGCTATTGATTTTGTTTCCGGAGAAGAAGTCGCTAGAGGCATGCTGGGATAAGGGTGTCCCGGACGAGGTCGGTGGTTTACGGGTCGGATACATCATAGCATCATTCCATGCGACAGCTAACATCGTCGAGTCCGGTCGAGCGGTTAGCAGTGCGCCAGGAACCCTTGCTCAGCAGGCGGCACTCGGCCTACGATTACGGCTCCCAGGTGGCCAGGAGGCAATCACGACAGTGACGCATGCGTTTGTCCGTCTTGCCGATTCCAGAATGTCAAAAATAAGGAAACGTTTCACGGAGTATATCTTGACAGCGAAAGATTACCTCAAGCGGATGACACCACCGCCGCGGCAGACACCACAGGCTGCCATTGTCCACCCGAAACAGGTTGCGAACTCGCCAGTTGGTAAACAAGTATGGTTGAGCGGAACAGACACCTGTGTATCTATAATCTTTCCTTTGGTGTGCCAGGGTACATAATGTGAACATAACTAACCTCACTAGATTGGCACTATTACAGTAACTTACGACCGATGTACGCGCCACCGTATGATTCCATATCCCTATGGATTTCAACACGATTTGAGTTTGGTCACTGGGCCGAACCTCCCCCAGCTCACGAATCCCCCCAACACCCCCCGGGTGACAGAATGGGGTCCATATGAAGCGGCGCTTCAAGGCCGGCCAGTTTTTGTGCACCGCTACAATATTGCAACCGGAAGCTTATTTACTTACCAAGGCCATGGAGTAACAACACAAGCCCAGCAGTGTATTATCCATGGGACCCAGTACAGCTGGGATGCACGGGCGTTTGGTACAGCTTTGCTATGGAGGACTCCTCGAGACACAGATAGCGTTCAAGGGACATCAAGCAGTGTCCTATGCTTAGGCGAACCACAGCACAAGACAGCTAGAGCTCTTCTCTTCCAGAACTTCGAGGCACCCCTAACGGCGAGTGAAAGTGTGCATATCGATGAGAACGAGGAGGGCCCTGTCTTTAAAGGGGGGTTTCTTTTGCCCGAAGAGATCCGTCGCTCACATATCATTACCGTGGGAGAAATATATCCAGAAGACTTCCGTACCCCGCAGAAAAGTTCTAGCTCGGAGGTCCCTACGCAGGAATATGGTATGACTGTGTAGGCATGTTTGAGAGGAGAGCTGTTCCGGTAGATAGGGAAAGGTTTGCTAGCGGAGAGTACGAATATGGGCGGAAGGATAGAGATTGACTTGCTTGAGAACATCATTATCATTATCATCATCTTTTACTTTTCCATCGGATTCAATGGTATATTCCAAAGGGTATTTAAAGCTATATATGTATTACTGTCGATTTTGCGCAAATCTAAACCTTGCATGTTGATATATCTAGTGTCCGAGGTGCCCAGAAAGAGAACTTCGATGCATTAATGGAATAAATTTCGTTTAGTCTCCTGGGTTGAATATTGTACCTGGTCTCCCCCGAATCCATAGGCAAGGCATCGAGTACAAGTAGTGCTTAGCTCAGCTCGATCTTCACTTTCTCCTGCCACGTTAATTGTGTGGCTGGCTGTGATAAGAAAGATTCGTATTCTGGGTCTTGCTTTGATAGGCCCGATCTCTAAGTTGTTTCGTTCTGTGCGTAGCTACAGGTAAAAATCTACTTGCGGTGAATGGCGCATGTTGAGCATCCTAGGTTGGTTATCCCTTGAGCATCGCTTGGTCTTGTGTAAAACGTCCACACCGCAATTTTTGAGCAGCTTGGTATAGATGTTACGTTATGGCTTCCTGAAGCATACTGAAGTAAGAGGTGCTCTTGAACCACAGTCGTAAACTAATGTAGATCACAGATGATCTGGGTTAGACTATGATATTTGAGGGCTTTCGGCGCCTTTATACCTTACATTCCTCATCCATACAAGTCAAGTGGGCGCCAATAATATATTTAATTAGATTAAGAAACTCGAGCTACCTACTGTATATAGAATATATGTCCCTGGGCTCACACCCAAAAATTTGCGGCTGGATCCTTTATGTAACAGCATACATGCAACAAGAATTCAGGCCACGTAATTCGAATAATGCGCATGATCTGTTTTTTTTTTTTTTTCGTAACCGAATGCGGATCTAGAAACAAGCTTCCACCCAATAAAATTCCCTCCAACCGAACCCCCACGCAGATGATATCCTTCACACTGCTAGATCTGATACAAGCGGGATGCCAGGTGGGCCGATCATTGAGATCTATTGAGTAGTAGTGCATATCTAATCTATTTAGAAACCAAACTACTTGGCTTCCATGTCTCTCTTAGGAGCTGTCCCTCGATGAAAGTAGTTCTAGTTTTCCCGCAGCTTGCTCAGCCAGCCACGGTGTTCATATAATTGCATAGCAGCCACTGGTATCCAACTCACTCTAGTGCCTCACTTTGACCTTTATAGGCAGAGAGCCTTCGCACAAAGACGAACATAATATATAGTTAATCAGATTACATGAACTAATCGGGCAATGAATCAAACTCCTTAACTAATGATCTTCATCGTACTTACCAACCGCGGTAGCCAATACCAGACATGGCTAGTCAGATAGCACAGGGTGGCAAGTTGGATCACAAAATATTAGTCACACTTCACCGATCTCTCATGCGAGTCTGGACCAGCCCAACCTCCGTTTTGTTTTTCAGCATCGACTTTTCGTTCTGAAACTAGATTCGGATCCAGGCCGACATCTCTTGAGATTGGTGAATTGCCACAGGCCTCTAACATTGCGGTGAGTTTCTGTCTGACTCTGTATTATGTTTTGAAAGCCGGCTGTAGACAAGGTGGCAGGTGATGGGCAATGCCAGCCGTGCATGCTCTAGGACATGAGATATTGTTCGCATAGTCCGCATGCATTCAGCATGTAGTGGTACATCCTATCTTACTGTGCTCTTTTAATGATTTATTGGTAGCATTTAACACATCATATAAACAAATGACTAAGCGAGCCTTTTGGCTAATATAAAAGTCACATCGGTCCCTCAGCAAAAGCATCATTGAAACAATAATTGTCCCAGCCTCCGAACCCCTTGAATTACTTTCATTGCAGTGTGCCTCCTCGTTTGCCAGGATTCCAACAAAGACTCGGAAATTAAAATGTACAAGCAGTGGATCACGATTCATCTTATCAATAGCATGCATTCGGGCCACGTGTATGTCAAGCATGCCATCCTGGAATAGTGAGTAAATAGTCGCTTTACAGCGCTTGTCAAATTATATTATCATCTTCTCTGACAGAATATAAGTGGCCGATTCCACCGGAATGGAGACAGGAATGATGAGATTTCGACTGAAATGATCGACCAAACCCAAGTGGCTCCAGGTAGTTCCGTCAATATAAACTCATGCGGTAACCCGGCCGAAGCTTCGGGAACGGAGGGAAGCATTGAGTTGTATGACGGCTATACCAGGATTGCCAAAGTCCATTGGCTCTGCCACCTGGGTAACCATTCCAGTGAATTTGGCATCTCAGAGCTGAACGACCATTACTGGATCAAGTCTGGAGCATGGGACGCGGACTCGGCAATTGGCTTCCTTGATGTTCAAGTTGGAAGGAAGGACTGAAGCAATCCGCTTACTCGGTCAGACAAAAGGAAAGGTATATTCTCTTTTTCAGTGCCATCTCAGCTGGTATATTTTGTGTTAGGGCTAGCCACTAGCGTATCCTGAAATGGAGGTTTCGAACTAGAGTGGAGATTCCCAAGATGGCTCATGTAATTGAGTAGACTAATCGCTAAGGTTCTAATCCCATGTGCGCGGTGTATGTATAACCTGGCGCTTACTTAGCGAGTACGTCGAGCCATACAGGCCAGGCCAGTTGTGCGGGTGACCCTCGGGGCCGTAACACTCTCCCAAGTCCCCGAAGCTGTCCTGTTTGCAAACTGTCGCTTTCTTCGTGGGTCGATTTTTGGAAATGCGTTGGTGTTCATGCTGAGAGTTCTTCGCCATCATCTCAACTGGACCAAAGCCCTAGCTCTGTTGAACGCAACATGAAAGGGTCTTCACGTATCGACCTAAGATATAGTGACGGAAAAACGGTGGTAAGGCGAGTGTATATGTGGCAGAAAAATCTCAATAAATTCTCTAACTCTCTAAAACTGACAATAGTCCTAAAACATGACAATCAGGTGGACAACTTAGTAACCAAAACAAACAAAACAAAAGAAAGGGTGTTTTTCGGGCGAAAAACCAGCCTGTTCCTAACGTAAAGGAATTCCAAAAAGATGCAGCAGATGTAATCTGATCATCCAAGGTGTGATCAGGGTCGCCACATTCTCACTCTCAGTCGATTAGATGCGTCCCTGCTCTCTGAGGATCCAGACTGGGACGACGTGCTGCACTTTCCAATCATCGACTGAATTGAGGCCATCATGAGCGAGGCCATGTGAGCTGCCATTAAAGAAGATGGATCCTCCGTGGTAGAGTTCTTCGGTTCGATGGCTTTTCGGGGGACCGCTATAATTTTCGAAACCGGATGCGTTTCATCCAAGCAAGATGCACCATTTCGGAGACAGAAATTGCAGACATCATAGTCCCCACCCTGGCAAAGCTCACAGTGGTAAAACTCGTCCCCACTGCAGATGTTTACCCGGCAAATGTCACAGAATTTGGGCGAGGCCATTTGATGGACAGTCTCTGGTACCGGCAAGTCATGATCCACCTCATCCGGGTCTAATAGACCACAGATGTGTGGTTGGCTTCGCTCGGAAGCTTCCGAGAAGGCAGTGCGCCCAAAGCGATCTTGGAGGTGTTTATTCACATTGGTGATTTTCAACAAAATCTGAGTGGCCTCTAATGCCCCTGATGCTGCCACTGTCATCAGTGGAGTACGACCATACACGGTGGCTAGGTTCGGATTGGCACCGTTGCAAGCCAGGATATCGATCATATCTGTCTTTCTTTTCATTTGGGCTGGGGAGGGTGACGAGCCACCTCTTCTAAGAGAGGCTAGGAAGAGGGGTGTCTCGCCGAGATCGTTTTGTGTGTCCGGGTTTGCGCCGTGGCGTAAAAATATTCTCGCGTAATCCTCATTTGGGGCAAAGGCGGCTCTGGCCAGACATGTCCTTCCATTTTCATCTTTGAGATCAATGTTTTGACCATGAGAGATGAGCAGTCTCAGCATAGCCTCCATATCATTCCCAACTGTCTCATCACCGTCAAAGTCAGACTTCCCGTCAACCTGGACTGTGGACACCACAGAAAAGATGTCATTCTTGTTGAATGCCTTTTGCTTGAGATTATATGAGGATCGCCTGACTGTTAAACTGCTTTTGACCCTCTTAGTGAGGAAAGGTCTGATCAACCAAAAGAGAGGGGATTGGTTCAAATTGTTCTCGTTGATCAGCCTGGCTTCTCGCTTCAGGAGCATGTTTGCAATTGCCTCGTAATTCTGAGCTACGGCCCAGGAAAGAGCACTTTCACCGGCCTTATTCGCGAAATTTGGATTTGCCCCATACTTCAGCAGTAGCTCAACCATGAAATCGTCACCGTTGAGAGTGGAGAACAACAAAGGTGTTCGGCTGTTCTGTTCAAGGCAGTTGGGATTTGCGCCTGCTCGCAGCAACAATTCAACGGCTGGTGTATTCCCAAGTTGCACAGCCCACAAGAGCGGAGTCCGGCCTGTATTGTCTTCAGCTTCCGTTTGACACCCTTTCTGTAGAAGGAGTTCCACAAGGTCATTGTGCCCTTCAATGGACGCCAAAGTCAAGCTGGTTTTTCCCGTTTCATCGCGATGATGGAGGTCAAAGCCTGCATCGATGAGATGATGACACAGGTTAATTCGCCCACATCTTGAAGACACAAGCAGAGCAAAATCCCCAACACGAGTTGTTGACGTGAGGTAAGACAGCGAATGGCGTTGAAGAACTGAGATAATAGCCAGGTTTCCCATCTCCACTGCCGACAAAAACGCTAGCTTTCCAACGGTTCCGCGTTCTCCAGGCTTGATATTCTGAACATATACCTGGAGGTCTGACTTATAAATGAGGTCAGCTACCTTGTTGTGTTTGAAATCAGCTGCCTTGTACAACAGAGGCTCCGAAGAAGGAGCGTCCATATCATCAAGCCCTAGATCAACCAACCGCCGGGAAAGATCAGTGCAGCCCGCACGTACAGACCAGACCAGTGGAGTCACTAGACCATCTTTCCAAGAACGTCTCGCCGACCAAGAATTTTTCCACTTTGAATATCCCTCCCCATTTCTCCCCGAAATATGCTCACAAAACAAAGCAAAGAGATCTTTTGAAAGTCTCTTGGACTTGGACCAAGATTCTTGGACTTGTTGGAACTTTTCTGGGTCCGATTCCGACCATTGACTCACCAAGTCCCCGTCTCCAACTGCGTCAAATAAGATATGAGGGTATCCTAAATCGGGAGTTGGATTGGGATCAGCCCCATTTGCTATAAGCAATTCAATGATGGCGGCATATTCCATGCAAGACTCTTTGTCAGCACAAAGGAATGTAGCTGCCTGAAGTAATGGCGTCTCTCTTAATTTGTTCCTCGGGTCCGCGTGAGCCCCACCGTTCAGTAAAAGGTGGACCGACGACAGAGATCCTGCTCTGGCTGCGAAGAAAAGCGGAGTCTCTTCCAACTCATTCCTTTGATTCGGATCACTTCCTCTTGTGATTAGATCGGCTGCAAGTGAGTTGGATGGGCATTGGACGGCATAAAAGAGAGCTGTGTTTCCAACAATGTTTTGGCTGTCGAGCTTAGCACCTTCGCTCAACAAAAGTCTTGATATCTGGATGCGCCTCGCTTTTATGGCAAAGAACAACGGTGTTTCGTTTACTTTGTTTGACAAATTGACGTCGGCACCACGCTCAAGAAGATATCTCACAACCTCTTCATGATCGTTCCCTGCGGCACTGCACAGAGGGGGATCCTCCAGGGAGCCGCTTGGTTGGTTGGGGTCTGCCCCTTTGAGTATGAGAGCTTGAACAATTTTCAGATATCCCTTTGACACTGCCCGGTCCAATGGAGTCTCAAGGTCCCACGTGATTGCCCTCAGATTTGGGTCAGCGCCTTTCATCAACAGCGCATTTACCAACTCTTCATCACCACTGCGAACGGAATATATCAAAGGGTTGCCACCAGTCTGATCCTGAGCATTGACATCAATGTCTTTGCTCAGAAGCAGTCTCGCTGTGCTTTTTTCACCCTTGAAAACTGCTTTGATGAAAGGCGTTCGTCCGCTCGTATTTGGCAAGTCAGGATCAGCTCCATGATTGAGCAACAGTTGAACCATCTCGTAGTTCGCATCAGACACTGCTCTAAAAACCAGCTCCATGTTCTTGTTAGCGTATTCGCTGATAGTGCCATCCTTTGGCAGAAGTAAGCGAACTGCTTCTAGGTTTCCCGAAGATATAGCCAGCTCTAGCGGACTATCCTCTCTGAACCAACCACCCCTGATATGATTGTATTCAGGATTGGTCCCCTGGTCAAGGAGGAGCTTCATGATTGAGACATGACCCTTTCCAGCAGCTTCCTTAAGTGCCCGCTGCTTCTGTTCTTGTCCAACTTCGGTACCGGCGGAACCGGATAGCAAATACCTAACATCGGCTTCATGCCCTTCACCAGCAGCTTCCTCCAGTGCATCATCTTTTGAAATCACACCATGGCTCATTTCAGGCCCGATGAGCTTGACGGTGCTCTCGTGACCTGCCCGTGCAGCGTAGGTCAAAGGGGTGTCCCCCTTCGAGTCTTTCGCATTGACTTCAGCCCCGTTTTGAAGTAGGATTTGAAGCCATTCAGTGAGACCAAAGTATGCGCAAACATGGGCTGCCGTTATCCTGCATGTACTGTACTTCAAGATGTTTGATGAATCCAGGGGTTTGCCCCGCTTGATTGGAGGCCCCTTCATGCTTTGACAAGCAGCAGAAAAGCATCCGATGCTGGCTAAAAACTGAAGCGCAACATTCTTTGCATCATCGCTATTTGAATTTCGCGCATGGTCTCCCCAGTGTTTCGTGCAATACATGTACAAGGGATATCGCTCATGCCGATCCATGTATGATTCTGGGTTACTGCAGCGGCCGAAGGAAAAGGGCTCAAATGACATGTAAGTGAGACAGTTTAGCGCTACTTGACTCTCGGGGTCCTTCAAAATACCTTCTGTCTGAAGAAACTCATGTGTGGTGTAATGAATGAGGCGCACAACATCGGTTGCTCGATCCCAGACTATTAGTCCCGCACACAGATTATGAAGAATATCAATATCCAGCAGAAGCTCTTCATCTAGGTCAGACTGCCCGCTTTCAGTCACTAATGCATGCTGCAATTCGACGGAGCTGAGTGCTTGTTTGCTGTGGGCGAGCCAAGACAGAGCCTTCCTTGCCAAATCGCGAATTTCATTTGCCTGTCGATCAATGTCCGACATCGCTCGTACATAAGTCGGGGTTAAACCGTCCTGACCTCTGGGTAGAGCCTCGAGGGAACGCTTGAGATGGCGGATCGTTGGCATCTTCATCAGGTACTCTGTATGAAGCTGAGCAAGCAGAAACATTCCGTCTGCAGCTTGAAGCACCATGGATTGGATATGTTCTTCGAGATATACTTTTCCGGCGACACTGACCACAAAAATTGGCAACTTCCGATTCAAGTATAGGAGGATATCGGCTTCGTGCGCCCGAATTTCCTTCTGTATTGAGCCAGGAAATTTTGACGAAACATTCGTGTTGTTGAACCGTGAAGTCATCAGCAAATTGATTGGAATGTCCCTTTGGATATCAGATAGCTCAGAAAGCAGTGTTTGGTGGCTCTCGTAATCCGAGACATAATATTCGTCCACTGCATCAAGGACAATGAACACACGGTTGTACTGCCTCAGACATTGGCAAAGCACCACCAACAGCTGTTTGATTGATGGACGAGAGCCCGCGGTGGCATGTTCTTTGTGGAGGCGTTTGATGTTGTCTGGGATGCTTCTCTGCTTGGCAGTGACCTGCCGTAGCAGCACCTGTAGCATATTCTGAACAGCCTGTTCAGATTTTGGCTGATAGCTGCAGTAGATATATGCAACAACAGACTTTGGATCTTGCTTCGTCAGAGATTGAAGATGCTCAATGATGGTGGCAGCCATGACCGTCTTCCCAGCGCCCGGGATACCAGGGCAGAACAAAGTTTGACCAGCGCTTTGAAGCCAATTCTTCATTTCAGCGGTCTCAAGAAACCACAGGCATGTTCCGTCTATTCTTTGGGCCAGTCTATCATTCTGCACATCGTTGAAGTTGTGTGGGGATAGCCAGTCAAGGATGGCCATTTGATGCTCTTCGAGAACAGCCGTATTGAGGACAGAAACACTTTCTTTGATTGATGATACGTCCTCACTAACTACACATGTCGGAGGGTAGATCAGCCACTTGAACTACCTTGGCATCACGACCAGACAACGGACAGGCTTCGATACTGACCAGAATTCAAGATTTTTTGCGCAGTATCCTCTGCTTCAACCTCTTTAGGCGTCACAAATTGCAGCAGCTCTTTGGCACAAGCCGATGCAGCTACTGCAGCGTAGTTGTGCCAGGTGTCGTTCTTGTGGGAATCTGCATAGTCGGATATTCCGCGAATAACAAGGCAGGGAAAGGCGTTCATCAACCCAGCCGCTTCCATTTCCAAGCAAATGGCCTGATGTGTTTTTCCAATTTCGGTCCGTGTTGGTGCGTGCTTGACAACCGCATTGCCTGTAGCAATGGTTCCATAATGAATCACCGGGCTGGTATCATGTCTTTCCCATTCCTGGCGATCTATCTCATAGTCTTTGTCGCATTCCGCACATGTTCTTCCACCAACGTGAGGGTATTCGGCGTGAAACAGCCTATCAGAATCTTGATTCGGCCTGACCCAACCACCTTTTTTTCTCAACTTCGGGTATTTGGTGAGTGCTTTCTCAATGAAAGATGCAACCTGACTTTCGTTCAACATATGCTCAGTCTCCAGCCGGGTTAAGGCTGTCCTCAGAGACCTCGGCGGCTGATTCAACGGGTACCTGGCCTGGATTGAGCCGTCTCCGAGCCTCCTGCCAAAGTCATAGACAACGACTCCACCATTTTCTTTACTGGAACTGACAACAACATCTCCAAGCCGCACATCTTGGACCTCATCGAGCTCGTAGTCAGGAATTCCTGCTCCAATGCCTACCATCAAGCCAAAACGAATGCCAGGAAAGGTAAAAAGCATGTCCTTGGCAACCGCGGCGGCGGAGCTGGAGCCAATCTCGTTCTTTGGCAAACATGTGATGACAACATTAAATTTTCCCACGGCTCCCAGCAAATAAATGTTGTCATCTGCCTGCTTCGGTGGTGTCTGTGGGCCTTCGTGCTCCTCGTCCAACATAGCCTTGGCTGCACTCAGCTCGATTGGGAGCGCACACACCCATCCGACTGTGTATCTTTCATTCGGCAAGCTAGTCGACATGATCGTTTCAATTGTCTTGATGAGATGTAAATGATTTTAAGATCTCAGTTCTAATAACAAGTACGACTCGAGAATATGAAATGAGGTGCCAGATACCCGGGATCCAGGGGCACATAAAAGAGCAAAGGTTTACGGCCCAAGGCATGCAACTCAGCCGCATCTTTCCCGTACAAAGTACGGAGTATCCCTATGTAAACCTGTTTTTTGCCCAAGTTGCGACACCCGGGCAAAGATCAGCACACGCTAAGAACTTGGCTGCATCAGATCTGCAAACCCGGGCGCTCGTGCCAATCGTGCTAGGGAGTACGGAGTAGTAGGGACCACCTTCTCAGTTTCATATTTACGCATCTGCCGCCGAGTAGCAATATGACACAGAATAGAGGATAACCCGTCTAGCAGTAAGACTTCTGAGTTGGGAGAATATATGATCACATCGGCTTCTGGTCACCGGCCATCGAGCGACAATCAGTTTTATATCAGCAACAGTTATGTGGGCAAGGTTGATTATGTACTCAAAAGCCCATAGTCCCATATCCATCCGATATGCAGTAACTCGCGACACAAGCAAGCCCTGGACGCGGCTGGTCCTCGGATGGGGACTGTCCCAGGAATAGGAACCGCCTCAGGACAACCGGGGTCGCAAGAACACTCGACGGAACTCACATGACCAAACATATCCCATGATAGGGTTCCCCAGACGCGCCCAGGGCCAGTGCATGGTATAAAGTTTTCAGGAGGTAACCGGTACCTTGTAACAAACATTGGACCGGTCACGCTTCAGAGCATTGCTCCAGACCAACAGGACGGGAGCCAACATTGTTTGCAAATTCTCTTCGTCAGAGAGCAGTGGATATGCTATGGAGAAATGCCTTTCTTTCGACTACCGTCGGACTTCGAGTCATTATCTGTTGATGTGCAAGGCGATCATGTTGCTATTGGATTCCAAAATGGTCAAGTTTTGTGCTTTGACATTGATCGACGTATCCTGCAGTCAGTATTAGGGTACGCTCTATGGACAATCGAGCAGGCCACGTAGATACATAGAAATCCGGTGAAGATAAGGGTCCAGGCACGACAGTCAGGCAGATTCGCTGCTAAGAGTCCTGTACTGTCAGATGCCATTTTTCAGCACCCACAGACCTTTTGTATATCCTTTCAAGTCCTAGTCAGGATCTCGTCCGTCGTCTTTATTGTTTCTCTTTCCAACGTTCCTACCATCGCCAAATGTGACTGCACATTAGAGTATGATACAACATATGTATTGCTATATTTTATATCATGACTAACAATGCCGAAAAGAGCTAAAGAATCGCACCTAACGCCAACACGCTTTGCTAGACCAGTTCTAGAATGGGAATCACTTCCTTCCCATTTTCAGCCTAGTCACGAATGTTTTCTACGAATAATTCCGGGTTCCGATCCTTGTAGATGTGGTCAAGGTCAAACCCATCTGACAGCGTTACGTCACAGGGATCAGTGGCTCTAGATGGCCTATCAATAAGTTGCCGCCCCTCAAAAAGTTGGCGGCCATAAACACCGTGCTAGTCATATACTAAGCGAGATCCTATTAATGTCGTGCCACAATCCTGCTAGTTGTGAATCGCCCAGCAAGCATGTTGATACTTTGGTCTGGTTTAATCATCCCCTCTACAGCCATCTATTGGAATGCCGCAGTTTTCGAGTTGAGAGATGATGACGTGGGTGCTGCGGGGCTCTGCGAGTAAATCGCAACTCGCTGAATGGATGGTGAGTTGAGGGGTAATGTTAAATGAAATTATATAAAAGGGTAGTTAGGCGCAGTTATTTCTTATGTGCTAAGAATTGTCATTTCGCTACTTCCTTGTTTTCAAAATTTATAAACCATCTATTTGTGAATTTGCTGAAGAAAACCTATTGATCAGAATGCCTGTTATAGCCATCAACTCGTACGTGATGTTACAAACAGTTTCCCCCCTCAGACCATATTGCTCAGTGCTAATATTTCCAATATTGTAGGTACGACGAATTCAATCAAATCATCAACAGCGGGAAGCCCGTTGTAATCGACTTCTGGGCAACATGGTGTGGGCCTTGCCGAACTATATCGCCTATTTTCGAGAAAATGTCGGAGTTGGCGGAGTTCAACAATCTCGAATTTTACAAAGTTGATGCCGATGAACAAGAACGAATTGCTCAGGAGGTCGGCGTACGTTCAATGCCAACCTTCTATTTATTTAAAGACGGGTTTAAGATTAAAGAACATGTTGGGGCCAACCCGAATGGTTTGGAAGGGCTTCTTCAGGTAGCCGCTTCTGGAGCATGAAAAATGGAAGGCAGGATTGCCCCCATTGCTGGAAGGCGGGGAAGTAGTGAAAGATACCTATCTTTAGAGAATTAACTCTTTGTTTTCCGCCCATAACATTTTCCCATCCCATAATAATAATAATAATGACTTATATCTAGGTGACGGAATTGTGGATTCAGTGTGGCCGCCCTCTTGCTGCCTATAGCTCTTTAGCTAACAAAAGCGAGCTAGTTCCGATGATTGTTTCGGTACAATAGTTCTTAGACTTTAGCACTCAAAACGACCGCCCTCATCTACATAATATCTTAGATTTTCGAGCAGAGGGGCCTAGTTCGATCTGACTTACTGTACCACAGTATGAATTTTAGCTATAGTATCGCGCAAAAATGAACATAAAAAATAATTCAGGTGTTAGTACAGCTGCACCACACGCTAAAAGTGGTGCAGTGGTTCATTAACCATAAAAACAGTCTTAGCAAAGCCTACAAAATGTTAACTCGTTCTTGGCCTAGATCTTGTCAATATTTGACTATTTTGGTTCACTCTGTGGAGGTTCAGATTGTCTACCTATTTTAGGTGGCATTCCATTGTAGCGATACTGTAATAGAACTCGTCCGTCCCTTAAGGGTCTATGTCCACTTGGCTGGAAAATAAATCACCACATATCACACAGTGTATCGACTATGGGCCCACGCCGGAATTCACATAGTTGAGATGTCGATGGTGAGGAGGTGGATTACTGGGAACGTCGAAAATAATATCTCGCGTGGTTGACAGGCGAGGGGGTAGTTCGCTAATCCAAGGAGTTCAAAGAGATGACCTCGAGATTTTAAAGGGATCTACCCATAGAAATCATTATTCACGACTTACACATATACAGAGTAGTGCGCGCTTCCCGGACAAGATCCGAAAAGCAATGCGTCTGCATTCTAGCTATGATGGCTACTCCTTACAGTTACGATATATGAAGTCTTATATCCTTGAGAGTATGTTAGTTAAAATACTGTAACTTATAACTTAGGTAATTGAACAGGCATAACTAACTAGTTAATTATTATGTCTCCGAGTCTACCCCTAATATGTTATATTATTTCTTGGCATTACGGTTTAAGGAACAATCGAAGAGTGTAGGTGGTAACACTAGTTTCGAGACGTACTGTACTTGATATTCTGTTATGCCATTCTGAAGCAGTCTAGGAGTTTGCGGTAGCTGTTGTAATAGGACTTCTAGGTCATTCTCGGAGTGATATAGTAGTCGGGGATAAGGCTAAGTCCACAATCCAGAGCTTAACGCAGACGTGCCAACGTACGTTCCTGGAGCGGGGGCACCTTTAACATTCGTCTGTTTGGCCTGTTTGCATGACTAAGGTTCTAGAAACCCTGGTGTTCAGTATAAATCCCCCTGCCAATCGGTTGGCTATCGCAAAGCCAATCCTCCATGTAGTCCAATGGCTATGTCGTGCTATTGTTGGAGCTTGTATCTCTGCGTATCGCTCATGGCCGCTACTGTTATCGTCGGGTTGGTTGTGCTGCGCCTGCCAATTATTTCGTGGCCTAAGCTAAAATATGGAACACTTAGGACGCTGCTGCTGCAGAACATCCCGTTTCTTATATGGCGATCTCATTCTGTAAGTGGGTCAAATTTAGGAATTCCTGCAAGTCGTGTTGATAGTGGGTCTCGTAGATATGGAAGGATAACTGAGCGATGGTGTATGACATATATTGAATCCCAACGTGAAGGCCATCCTGATCTCGACTAACCTGTCATAGGAAAAGGGGTGTTTGGCATCGCGAGCGAAACCGGTCGTCTATTCGAGTAGTCAGACTAGGTATAAATGAAGTCGCGCATTGTTTGCTGATCTAACCTCGAGGCAGATTTTGAGACTCGCCGGGCATTATTCTAGATACGACAATTTGATGAGTGAAAGCCACCTGAGTAGTTACAGGTCGGCGCAGCAAGCTAACGGCAAAATTGTCTCAGATTAGTCGTAATGATAGGGGAAACAGAAGACGGGCTGGAGTGAGTAAAAGCAACGTAAATTGATTGAGAGGTACGACTAGTCGCACAGAAGATAACGCAGGGGGCGGAGCTCGGTGATCCGAATGAATAGTAAAAATGCCCCACCAAATCGAGAATCAATGAGACTAAGAGGTGAGGGTAAGAAACAAGGGGATTACAAGGGATTGAGGAGGGTTTTATAGATCCACGCACGGGAACGTATAACGACAAAGAGCGCTAAGCCGAAAGGGTTCGTAGAGCCAATAATATGTCCTTTCTTCACCCAATGTCCGATATGGTGCAATAGGGTGTCCCGGTGAAAAGACCATGGTTCTGCGTGGCATCTTGTGGGGGAAACCGTGGTATTTTCGCGCAGGCAAGAATAAAGGATATATATAGTTCTTGAGAGATGATTGACCTAAGACTAGCCAAAACACGACACTTGCATATCCCAGCGGCTCCATCATGAGTCCATCATTGTAGCCCAGAATAGTGATATAACCGGCTTATGTCCGATTCGGTCCAGCCTGGTAAGCCTGGCGCGTGCAAATCCCGGCGGCTTGTTCATGAGTTCTGAGTAGCTCTGGTATAAAAGCCAAGATTGTCACCCTTCAAATTTCTTATAAATCATCATTCAATCATCATTTCCTTCTGAGCCTATTATAATTGAGATGCCATCAAAAGGTCCTCGAAGCCGATCACGGACTATAATGCCTTTATCCGGCTGCCAGACCTATCTATCAAACGTAAGAGAGCCAAAGTAATAAAATAACGTCTACGGGGAATTCATAGAAGGCTTTATTCGCTAGTATTTAGATAAATATAACGAAGAATACCACTCTAGTCTTAACAGTGGTGAGGCTTTTTTAGAATATATTAGAGCGAAGAAACAGGCCGTAACCTTCCTCGTGAATTAGGACAGGATGTGGCTGCAGTATTCTTTAAACAGTCAATTTGCTAATCCTTTGCTGACCAGAGAAGCTTTCTAATGATCTTAGTAAAGAGTATAGGCTTAACTTACGCGCTAAGCAATAGCCGCCATTTAGTATCAACGAGCTCTTACTTATTACCTATCATTTGCTAGATACCTGCGATATAGCTTTTTGTACTTTCCGATGCCTTTTACAATTAAACACGTTGCGAAAAATGATAACTTCAATATCAGCCCAACTCTGTCTACCGGGTACATAAGGGGCAATGATGCCCTTAAATAGAAGGATATCAAGCTATTCATGGTGAAAACCCCTTAATATGTATATGCCGAATTGGGCACAAAGTGCGGGCGGGGTTTGGGGGTACTTTTGTCTTTGCTGGCTGTCAGATCAAGAACATTCTTTTCACCTTACTCTTACCTCATCGCAATGGACTCTATTGAATTTTCAAATCGTTCAGCTTATGCAACTGAATTGGGCATTGAGTTCCTTGGCCCTAACGAATTCGATCGCTGGCCAGAGACCCATCGAAGATTGTTTGAAGATGTACAAAAGCTCGGCAATCAAAAATATAATTCGTTCGTTGTTCGCATCACCAGAGAATCTATTCAAAAACCATGGATGCGCGCAACAAAGGCGCGCGCCGAGCGTCTCTCAATGTTGGCCGAACGATCCTATCGCGAACACAAAAACGAGTCGGGATGGAGGTACGCAGTTGAGAACGAGATCATGTACCGCTTCACAGTGGAAGTTTCCTGGTAAGAAAATTCGAACAGTTTGTTGAATGCAGACTTAACGTACGGCACAGCCCGACTTGTCGCAATAGGCTATGGCAATCTGAAATACCTGCTGCAACGGGTAGCATCGAGCAGCAAGCCCGCTCACTAGAGGATCGACGACGGAAACGCAAGCCATGCCAGTGTTCAAGCGCTCGAGGTGACAATAGGTCTGTTTTGTGTTCTATCATCGAGGAAATTACTAGTTATTCCTTCTAACCAGTCCATAGGTATGATGGCGGAGTCAATATGCTCTTTTCGGACAGAGCGGAGGCGATGATCAAACACAATCCCCCAATTGTGATATCCACGCATCCGCGTAAATTGAAGAATTCCGAATTCCCAGATCGCATCTTTGGACTACGACAGACCGACAACCTACGATGTTCGCTAGACTCGCTTGATAAGAGGCATATGGAATCGTCCAACATAACTCTGCGTAATTCCATAGAGCTGAGTCCATTTGGTGCCGAGCCTGAGCCTCTACTTTTCCCGTTCTTCATGATAGAAGCCAAATCAAGCCAGGGGGCTGACCGAGCAAAAAATCTAATGCAGTCTGCATTTTGCCTCCGCCGTTTGTTGAAAATTCAGCATGACCTTGTCATCGCAACAGATGAGGAAACGCAGTGGGCAACAGGGCCGCTCATATGGTTTCTTACTACACGTGGAGAACAGTGGGACGTATACGCAGGATTTGTGGAAGAAGACGATAGTGAAGTTGTCAAATACGTAGGTGAAAATTATTCCCTACAGAAATCATTCGAGGTGCTTACTAGCGTCAGCCTTTTGTTCATCTGTGGAATGGAGACATTCGCTGGCGGGACGGCGCCTTGCAGCTTCTGCTGGTTATTGACTACATCTTTGATTGGGCTCGTGATGTCTACCGAGATGCCATTATCAAAGAACTCAGCACAATAGCGACTGGTGAAGTAAACGACCGAGATCCAGATATTTTTTCGACAATTTCTCGACAGATGTCGCAAATTACTAGCTGGATGGACCCCGACGAAGCGCAAACCGAGCTCTCATTCATTTCTGAATCAAATGATCCCGGCTTTTTGAACATAAGTCTACCAGAGGGCGTGATCCGTGATGCTTCTATCTTTGAGTCTCGTTTCCTTTTGCTCCAAATTACTGAGGATGACGTCGATAATTTTCTTCTCTCTTTCTCATCTGAAGAGGATGCTAAATTATGGCTTCAAAGTGTACTAAATCATCTTGCAAACGCCTGGAAAGTCAGCTCTAATACCATCTGCGCCATGGAAAGCATTTGGACTGGGGGGCTCAGGCTAACACGTGGGAACCACCAGCGGCATGAATTGTTCTATATCAGTATCACAATACTGATGTTTATTACCAATAACTGGGAGCCTACAAGGCAGCTCACGTGCCTTGCAATTTCTGAAGGTGCTTTAAACACTCTTTTAGAAAAGTTTGCGTGCGAGAGAACTTCTAGCTTTGACCGTTGTCCGGAAGTAGGGGAATCAAGTATGCAAACTTTTCTGGAGCGCATCTTGAAACAGTCAATTATGGATAATCTTACAGCAGCGATATCTATGCTGTGTCTCTCGAGTTTCTCTTCTGAGCATGAACAGACGATACCATACTATTTCCAGGTGAAGAGGTCAAGAGAAGTTACTGCTGGACTTCGAGTTGATAAATCTCCTCACCTGACACAAATGGTGCAAAGCGTTTACTTGAACCACAAAATCGGACAAAGACAACCAATGGATACATATGTCTCCTTCTCACGCCATCAAAGCAAGCAAAACATCGAGTATAGAGGGGATACGATTGAGATGTGGCCTCATTTACCACGACTTGTGAAAAGCGGAAATGATGGCGTATTGGTGGATGGGATGTTCCACTCGGGGGATTTCCCAAGACGAGGGCTCTTTGTTTTCCGTGATTTGGATAACTATGAAAGCCTATCCAGTCTATTAACTAGGGTATCAAGGGATGGTATCTACTTCAAAACTTTCCAGTTTTGTCCGGACCAACCCTTTGTGGATGGATTTCGGCACCTCAACAGCCCGGTCCGATTTACTCAAGATTGGCTAAAACGGTCAAAGTCAAAGTCAATACTGTGTTGGAGGGAAAAGCTGGAAGCCTTGGACCGCCTACGCGGCTGCCAATTGGGTGGAAGGCCATCTTCTCCAATGATCATTTCGTCAGATGAAGAATAAGACAAGGTAAATTTGACTAAACTATCAATGGTAATAAGCGAAATACCGTTAAGATACAAATTGTTAGTTTCAAGGAGAATATATTCATACCGTGGAAGCCTGGGACTCAGGATCGTTCTTGGTCAATATTGGATTTGGAATCTAAGGTGGAAAAGATACGTATAAAGAGTTCACAGCACATTATGGCGTCACGGATGATGATATGCACAGTAAAGAGAGAAAAGATCTTCTACTTGAACAAAGGTCTCGCTAGGCAGAATAAGGCTCAAGTCGGTCCTAACATACATTTCATAAACCAGAAAACTTTGTTTTCACTCAGTCCCAGGGGTAAATGATGCCGCAATGCAAATCTCGAGAGAACTTCGCATCTCTTTGCCGGGGGGATAAACGAGAGAGACTTTGAGATTCCGACCATGTAGTTCCATCCTTACATCATACCAGATCTCATAATACTTGTTACCCTGTGATCCTTTCAATGGGACAGGATATTCCTCTTTCCACTTGGTCAGGTCCACACTGATCATCCCAGCGCTCTCACACCCTGAATATATGTCAGTCTCCACGTTAATCGTTAATCCGGCGAATACACTGCAATTATATAACAAGATATTACTCACCTAGATTGTAAGGATGAGTAATTTGGTAATGGTCTTGAGCATTCTCAATGTCTGAGTAGTACAGGCGCTGCGAAAAGTCCCAATCTTCGTTTTCCCCAAATTGTTGATACAGCGTTTCGCTAAAGCAATCGTCGAAAGCAACTATTTGACCCTACGCACGGTGTTATGTGTTAACCAGAATCATTCAAACCCAAATGAACAACTGCATGATGAGCAAAAGGGGTGACATTTTACCCTTTTAATGACCCAATTGACACAGCGATGAACATAAAGTTTTTTGTCCTTTGGGTGTCTCGTTCCGCCGGGGGTATCTCTATGGCCAGGGTACTTGTTGTCATATTCCTCATTCTGGAGAATCCCGATGTTTGCCATAATCTGACGAGAGGGTCCGTTGCTTTTGTCGATTGCACGGTATACTGCTCCCCGCGAAACCAGAGTCTCCGCCTCCCTGCCACAGACAAGTAAGATGACGTTTTTTAATCGTTTCGAGGGGTGAAAGTACCAATCTGATTGATATAAAGGCTGGAGCTCCTGGAATTCTTTTTTCAAGAATTGTCTCAAAGTGGGTGACTGTGAATACCCTCCAACTAGCATAATTTTCTTGGTTCATTAGGCAGGGTTGCCCCATGATTCTCAAAAATTGGCAGCCTTACCTGCACAAATCTTTTCTTCTCTTTGGATGCAACTATTTGTTCTTGAATGAGCTTCGCGATACCATTAAGACTGTCCTGGAACCAGCCAAACACTTCACTCCTGAAAATAAGCAGAAGTTAGAACATAGCCTCAGATAGATTGAAAAGCCGGAAGCCATGTGGGGAGGACGTCTTACCACGGTACTTTAACCCTGTTTTTATAGAAGCCTTTAGTGTCATCTGCCTCTAGACCATGAACTATGAAGTATTCAAACCCGTCGAGGCCTTGCGAATTGTCAAACACTCGTTTCAGAGTGCCTTCGAAATGCGGAAGAATGTTATGCTGAAGCTGCTCTTCGGCTGATATGTTTTTTTGTTCCAAAGATTCATTGTTTCTCAGCAGGTCTCTGAAATGACGCTCCATAGCATGATTCACATACACCGAGCCAAAGTTCCCACCTGTTTCAAATGTAAGGGCTTGATATTCAACGCGAAATTCAGACATACCGGTAGGAGTGGCAGCTTCACTGAATCGAAAAGGGCTTCGAGAATCGATTGTGTAGGTGGTGACATCCTGTGTAGTGTTGTAAGCCTTGTAATATTTTGTCAAGAGAAAGCAGCAACTAACTACTGTCCCTCCTCCGGCATCACACACGATAAATGTTTCTCCTGTCTATAATTAATGAGTTTAAGCTTCCAAATACATTATTGCGCTCTTATGGTCCAATACATACCATAAGGGATTTCGCATCAACGAGCTGGTCAAGAGCAAATGCCGACGCCGCCTCGGGTTCGTTTACCAAGAACAAATCAAACCCTTGACCAAAACCCACAGCTTCCACTGATTGTTTCAAGATCTCTTGTAGGCTCCAAGAAGCTTTGAGTGGCCAACCGGCCGGAACAGACAGAGCTAGCTCAACCTTGCTTGTGTCTTTAAAGCTTTCAAACTGACCTAGATGCTTCTTGGTGTGTCTGAAAACTTCGACCAGATAATCTCGAATCACATCGTTCACATCTTTGCCTAATGCCTTCAAAGTTTCTTCGAGATCTTCATATGGTGGGGCCGCCTTGTTGGTTTGAGAATCGGTATATGAGCCATTTGTAGAAGAGCCACGGTTCCCTTGATGATTGTGACCAGACAGCAAGTCAGCTAGAAGAAGCTTTGAAAACTTAATTGGCTTGTTAGATGCATCCAACGCTTCATTGGGCAGAACCTCTTGGGCTTTCAGTTGAGCTCCGTAGCCCCAGTAAAAATCATCGCCGAGGTACAAGCTTTCGCTGGGGACCTCGCCCCTATTGTGACTAGAAGCAGCGTTGGGCCATGCAATAACTGATTTTATTGCATTCTTGCTTATACCTGTTGTTGGTCGTTTACCAAGCTTGAATTTATAGTATGAAACTGAGGTCATGGTAGTTCCAAAGTCAATCCCGACGAGAAATGTGGGATTTGGCGTTCGGGGGTTGCCATTTGATCGCTTCGAACCAGGCGAATCCACTGGTTGTTCTCCGACCGTCTTGTTGGAGCTTGAAGAGGTGATACGTTCATTATCGTCAGATAGAATGTCTTCGTATCGCCGCTTTCGGTAGGGCATGGACCGCTTTGACGTGGGAGGCATATTTGATCGAGTTTCGACGAATTTCCAAAATAACCCCTGGAGGTAGAAATTAAGGGGCCTGTCCGTACGGAAAATTCTGTGCGGGCTAATTCATAGCCACAGTTGGCGCTTGCGCTAGCAGGGATCTCGTTGTGCTGAGGTTAGCATGGCGCAGCTAACATAGCACAGCCTATGAAACCGCCCTCACCGACTATTCTCGCACATTCCAGTCCAACCCCTGGAAACTCTCCTTATCTTCGTCAGCTGCATCATCAATCTGGTTTTGTTGTACATGGTGGTCACCTGACCATCAGCCCGGTGCGGCAGGCACCAACCCCCACAACTAGATAGTTGGGCATTCTGCCCCTTTAGGAATAGAGAACTCTCTCCCTCTCTCATTCCATCACTACACTGTAGTTGCATCGGGTTTGAATTCTCAAACATATCAAGATGAGTCTGGAAGTCCAGATGCCGGGGGTTGGATCATCGCGTGCAGGATCCACGAGCTCTGGTCTCAGACTCGCAGAACGGTGGTATTATGACTCCACTCCACCCATACCGGACCAGAGTGATCATTTTCCATATCTCATGCTAGACACAAGGCTCCGTCCTAGGCGAGATAAACGCAGGGAGGAATCAAATCCGGCGCCTAGGCTTAAGAGAGAGCTGTCAGACGACTCTTCTACAAGTTCAGCGGCGGTTAAGAACCGAAGAATACTCAAAGTTTCAACCCAAGTAGGCATTAAAATCGATTGAGTGGCAACCATTGTTAAGGAACACTGACCAACAGTACTTTAGCGGCTCAGGGGAGCCGATCAGGCTTGCGTCAATTCGACCAGAATCTGTGAGACAAATACGAGTGCATCAATCCCCGCCAATGTTGAAACCCCGCATGGAAACACCAGAAACACGGATATACAGGACAATCCAGTTTCCATCAGAGAGACTAAATCAGACATGGGTCTTCTGAAGCGGCAGAATGACCTGCTGAAGCGGGAGATCGACCTCATAAGCATCCGCCGCGACAGGAAAATTGTTTCTTTACAGGAAAATGTGACCTGTCTCCAAGAATTCAACAAAGAACTCAATACAATGCTGGGCCAATACAGAGAAATGAAGGAAGTTGAGACCCATGCGTCTGGGGTACTGGCAGATGAAGTCATGGAACTGAGAGCAAAACTCAGACAAAGAGACGAGCAATTAGAAGGAAAAATCCACCAGATTTCTACACTTGACGAGCAGCTTAGCGCTCATGAGGGGATGATACAAATCAAGGAAGATTGGCGTCTCGATTTTACTTGTTCCTCAAGCTTCTCAAAGGCTTTGGCTGAACTGGAAGGAAGGACCCGGCGCTTAGCAGACATGCTTGCGCAATGTTTATCGAGGCAGAAGATCTCAAAAATGCGTAAAAAGCCACGCAAGGAAAAGTTACTTCATAGCTTCGTTAAACGCCTACTTGGAACAGTGGGCGTTCTGGATACCAATCCAATTGAGGCGATGCGCGCCTTAATCTTTGGTTTTGTGCGAGATCGGATATTTTTCTCTGAATGCTGGACAGCTCTACACTCTGAGGGCTATATACTGCGAGAATTACAACAGTTGATACGAAAGACCTGTATGTGACCAGCATGCCTCAGAACAAGCTTTGGCTAACCTCACTGTTTCACCCAACATAGCCCCTCCTGGTACCTTGGAATCACTGCACAGAGCTTCTGTTGAATCAATGCTCAACGATGATCATCAGTTTAAGCATTGTTGGATCCAAAAGGAAGTGGAAGATACCCAAACTCAGTTCCTGAGGCTATTCTGCCCGTTGTTCGATACTCAGGTGTTTGAAGAAGTCAAGCATCAGATCACCAGAGACTTGGGAATCGCTTTTGAAGGTGCTTTTGAAGCCCGTGCTCGGTTCATACCGCCTGAGGGGTCTCGGTATAGACTGTTACACTTCAAGGCTGGGGAAAAATTCGATCCTGCTTATATGAAGATCGAAGAAACCAATTCAAAAGCAACTTCTGCAATTTCCCATCGAGGTATTCATCGGATTAAGGTATGTGTCCACGGTTGCCTTATTGAGCACCCCATCAACAAAGATTCTTCTTCCGGAGATATTCCTCAATCACTGGATCAGCCTTTGATTCCTGAAGACGGGGGGCTCTGTGGCAGAGAAACAGGGATCTTGAAGAGCGATAAGGCAATTGTCATATTGGAGAATTAAATTTATCTTTGAAAATAATGCATATAAAACAGCCTTTTCATATCCTTGTCCTCGCCTTGGTATCTGTATAAAACAGTCTGTGCAAGCTTCACCAAAAGCTCGCATCATTTGCGGACTATAGAGAACCACGCACTGCAATGCATAGGGACGGAGAGCGCTCAGACGGGGATGCAAAAGTGGAAACAATTAGCATCCACCAAGAGGCGTGGTCTGAGATCGAAGAATCGTGGCGTTGTAATCTAGCTATTGTTCTAATTTGGAAAGCCAAAAGTCATCTAGTGGATACTGGCTCGAACTTCAGGAAGACATGGATGGCTTAATTAGCTCACTGTCAAGGTTGATGGTTGGTGTCTATATAGGCTTGTTTTTCATTGTGGCAATCTTGCTAATATTTTGTTTCCCCACTTAGAAGGGTTCGGTCGCTGATTATTTTTGCTCAATTTTTGAAGAGATGAAAGATGCGAACGTAATGAAAACCCTGGGTAAGTGGACTCTCTGGACATTTAAGCTTGTCGTGAGCAAGTATATATTGGTACGAAGAGAATCTGCGCCAATTTGCTAATAAACTTTATAATCTATAAATCTATAAAGATAACCAACCTACTCTTCGGTCTCGAAAATTGAAGATAATATCTAGGTATTGCAGTGGGGGTTTCCACAGCATGATGACTAAGGGGCTATGTGATAATAAAGCACCCCCGAGGCATAGATAGCAACGAAGACACCTTTCCACCTTCACTTCTCAGGAGTCACCCCATGGTGTTCTCCTCTCTAGCACCCTACTACTCCAAGTGACGATTCTGCTCTCACACCTGTTTCGCAGGCAGGCATGTCGTTGACCCTGTCCCAGGGTCCCCTCTTCAGTAGCTACTAAAAGCTTGGTGTTAAGAAAAGAAAGAGGCCTACCTAATTATTAAGGCATGAATAACTTGTATAACCAATTTTCTAGGTGAGCTCTAGAACTGTTCAAAGGTGAGCTCATTATGATCAGCTTTATAGAAATGAGCTCGTTATGAGCAATCCTCTAATCTCTCCATATTAAGGAAGAAGAAGAATCTCTGTTTCAGATGCTTAAGGATTAGTCTTGCAATCAAGATGAATCATACTGCCTTAGAGCCTCATTTCTATCCTAGTTGATGTAATTTCATATTCAATTCATACGTCTTTCACTATCTTCTTACCTGGACTTTAATCCTAACAAAAGCAAGATAGTAGGTTAGAATCACTAATGAAAGCTTTATATTAGCCAAATTCATAAACAGATTAGAAACAGAGCTAAAAATAGGTGGTTAAGGCTCAGGTAGTTTCCAGCTAGAGTGGGTCAGCCAAGAAACTAGTCAGCTAGCAATATTCAAGAGACAATCAAATCCAAGGAGACTCGTACGAAAATAGAAAATAAAGAAAAAGAAAAATTAGCAGCAGTTTCGTAATAGGCGTCTCGCCGTGAAATGCAACCTACGCACAAAAATTTGATTTATACACCAATCAGTGTCAAACGTGCATTTTGGCGAACAGTACCTTCTATGCACGTCGACACATACAATACCAACTTGGCATATTGAGAGAATGGTCTGAGCCATGATGAAGTCCTTGATGTTTCTGCTCAACATATAAAGACACTTGTACGAGCGTAACAGCCCTCACTCATCAGACCTCAATAGCTTTTTCAGTTACCGTAACATTTCAAAACTCTTTAAATATGTCTTTCAGTATTTACACGGCCGAATATCTTGGTGCACCTAACCATAAAGCCATTTACATTGAAACCAATCCCACCGCCCCCCGAATGTCTGAAAGAGGACGTCTCTACCATGTCACTGGAAATTTACTCTAGGGTATGAGATACAACCCAAGAGGTTCCTTTGACCCTAAGCTCTCGGCGTCTTATGTTCCAGGCACAAAGAAAATTATTGGATCGATTGTACACACAGATTTGTCCAGATTCGAGACAGAGTATTGCAGAGCAGTCGAGGCGCCTCGAGCCCAGTTGACGCTTGGGGGTAAACAGTTGTATCCTGGTACACCACTTTATCGTTATGGAGACTGGTTACAAGATGTTCAGAAATTGGCATTTGAAAAGGGCATCTTAAAGCGGTAGAATGAGGTAAGTCAATCAAGTCCATTTATCAAGGTACAACCTCTGACGGACTGGATCCGAAAGCAAGCGCACAGGTACTTCAGAGCCCTTGTAAAAGATGTTCTTTCTACAGCTGGACGTATTTCCCAACATATCACGACACTGGGTCACCAGCGCAATTTTATTCTTTCCTCGTATTCTCCCATCGAATATATGATTCTCACTATATAAGCGGGAGATTCACAGTGAGATTAGTTTGAACGATCTCTTCTCTCCGATTAGGGTGTTGAAAAGAGCCGAGAGGTTGGCTTCGCGTACAAGAAACGTAAAATGCAGAGTCTATGGCTTTCCTTTTAACGACTAAGACCAATGTTTTATATTTCCCCAATATACCATCAGTAGAAGACCGACGAGTAGACAACTTGCATCATTAGGTATTCAACCGGGTACTGATCAAATATATCCGGGATAAGCTCAAGCCAGTCCGGTTTCATTTGACAATACAAGGTTAAATTGCAAAAATCCCAAAATTCGGGGTACCAGCCTGACAAATTCCAGTCGATCAGAGTAACTTTAAAGTCTGCATCTCCATTATCGCAGACCCCTCTTCGCTCCACAATTATGTTCTTTGGTTACAGATCTCCATGAGTAAAGACAATTCGATGGTTCTTGAGAGTGCAGTTGACCATTTCTTTCAACAATCGAATGTAGTGTGGAGACTGCATTTGGCCCAGTCTCTCCAGTATTCCTTGATTCATCTGCTTCTGGTCCTTGAATGGCCCGGAAATGGCTGGGTTGTTATCAGGGGTTAAAAGAACACCGTCGGTATAAGGCGTGCCATTCAAATTCCCAAAGTAGCCAGGTGATGGTATTGTTCGCAATTCATTGACCGCCTGTCTGATCCTCTGGCTGATCGTCGTCTTCTCGGTTGGGGTAAGCGATGGCAGTAATTTTTGCAAGTCTGTACCAGGGACGAAATCCATAACCACATATCTTTTCTGGGTCTCTGGGTCGATGAAGTTGGCGTAAACCTTTGGCACAGAAACCTTGCTGTTAGCTGCAACAAATTTCATGTTCTCAGCTTCCAAAGGCGGGATCGAATACCCGATTTTGACCGCGAAGCGTTCCTTCACTCGAACCACTTTGATGGCATTTGTTCGTATACTAAGGACATCGGTCGATGCCTCAATGTCGGCAATAGTTGGTAGTTCAATGATCGAATGAAGCTCGTTATTCATCTCGGTGAACATAGTGGATCGTGTTAATAAAGTCAAAAGGGATGCCGCCGAAGTACAGCAAAGGATTTCCTGGGCTTTATATATTGTTTGACAAGAGCAAACAGTGCAAACATAACACCGTCATAACACCGTCATAACACGTGATGAATTCCAGTCGGCCATTAGTTTATCACGGGAAAAGAAAGGGCTTGCCGCGAGTATAACAAGCACGACCAGCGTTAGGCCCAATTTGCAAGCATCAGCTGATACTGTTATGGACTTTGACTAACGTGTTGTACCCTACATAGGCCCAGCGAGTTGGACTTATTTCAGGTCACGTGACGTATATAGATCTGTTGGAGTGGAGTGAACAATGTATAAGTCGGGCAACAGAACTATTGTGGATCCTCACGAAAGGATCATATAACTTGAATGGACAGAGTGATCTGAGAAGACTAGGCAGTCTGCGTGGACAGAGTAGTCTAGTGTTACTCCCCCATTTTTGTTTTAAGCGGTACTTCGTGCGTGATTCCCCACCTCGCTCCCAACCACTCCTTGAAAAGTAATTGTATTGATTTGATGATATCCCTCAACTACCCCCTTGGCCGTCACAAAAATATGGTAGAAGTGTACCTGTCAGTAGGCGATGACTACAACTACCGAGTACTTTGTTAACCAGTTAGTTAATGTAAAGGAGGCCTGGCAACAACGCGACCTTAGTATCTGAGAAGGTCTATCAGAGGGTATGCCACGTAGGGTGCTGGCTATTACTGAATCTTATTGACGGTACATTGAATATTAGTCATTTGAATAATTACTATAATTTTTGTGCGGTAGAATAATGGCGGGAAATGGCGGTGACTGAGAGGGTTAAGAGACATGGTGCTGCCTACTTTGGTCTAGTGGCACCCTCAGCGAGAGTAAGAGATACGCTAACCGCATTTTGACCATCTCCAAAACACATTGGAATACCAGGTGCGGATCAGTGGGACTAGGTGGAGATTCGGGACTGCCAATAAAATAAACCATATGCCCCATCTTATGCGGAATCAAGGATCGTTCTCGTGGAGGTTGGGCAGTGGAGAACTTCAAAGAATGAGGCACCCAATGCGGCTGGTATAATCCATGTGTCTCTACCACTCAAGCTTCAATTGACCATCAGACTACCGGGAAGCTATATTCCTTAGCAAATTGCGCTCTTTCTCATCTTCAACATTCGCTTCTTGTACCTAACAACCCTCTCTGTTCGGTCGGCTTCCGCGGATAACACCATTGGTAGGTGAGTTCTACCGTCCAAGAGGGACGACAAAACAGCTAGACATACATGCTCTCAACATGACTCTCCTCACTGAATTCCTTAGAGAACTCTTCACTCAATTCCGCAGCCATTTCCAGGTATTTGTAGCTTACTGGTTCTTCACCCACTGTGGCAAGAGCATGCGCAATTGACGTGAGGTTTTTGATCTGATTATGGTCAGGGGGTTCATAAACTAGTGCCACCAAGGACTAACCTCTCGCCCATTCAAAGAAAGATTGTCCAGAAATTGCAACTCGTTGGGCCCAACTATTGCAGGTCCTTGAACCGTGTTGGCTTTGGACAAATAAGTCCTCCAAATCTCTCTGCGGAACTCCGTTGTCAGATCCTCATATTTGATGGTCAGATGGATGCGGCTTATGATTGACTCATTAAGCTGGATCTTCCTACTTGTTGTGAGGAACATGAGGCCCTGGTAGTATTCTATTCTCCGGAGGAAAACGGCCACGAGGCGATTGTGGGTATCGTGGTAGGAGGTACGCTGCTCCATGAATGCATCTGCCTCGTCCAAGAGGAGCACGGCTTCGAAGTGTGGCAATCTTGAAAATGGTTTCAAGTCGTTGCTCAAGCGCATTGGAGTCACCGTGGTCGACAACAAGCTCACCGGCCGATATCTGAACAAGTCAGCGAGCCCACAGCAACCGCAGTGTAGTGTAGAATGCTTACGGAATAAAGAGGAAGATTGAACCGCTCTGCAGTTGCTTCGACAGTAAAGGTCTTTCTAACACCAGGCGGGCCACTAGGAAAAAGTCAGACGGAAAGTAACAGAACGGCCTTGCTAACGTGCTGCAAAAGGACGGTAAGTCCGCGACCCTTTCCATCGATCACGTCGTCAAATGGCACAGCTGGCACTAGTCTAAGACAAGCTTTGGCCAATGATGAGAGAATAGTCTTGGTCTTTGGCGGAATTTTCAGATAGTCAAATGATTCAGGAGACCATTGTACATCTTTCAAAGCACTGACCGCACATTCTACTGCCTTTATTAGCCAGGAATTATTTCTCGTCATGCATTACTTACTAAACATTTTCTCCTTAAAGCTGAAGCAGCAGACTGTTAGACACACAATCAAGAAATCTACCTCCCTCAATTCTTATATATCCAGGCCGCTATTCTGTATTTTCTCTTTCTTTCGATCGCGGTCTTCACTGAACAGTGAATCTATGTTAACGATAGAAATACCGCTTTTCTCCTTTACCCAAATATTGCAGATCGTGGGTTGGGAGTAGTTTGGCTATATCTTATAAAAGAAGGCAGCGTCTACTGCCACTCGACTGTTAACCTTTATTTTAAAAAGCTTCCCTTTATTCACAAAAAATGCGCTGCTGTTACAGTGCTGAATATATAAGCCGGTTAAATCCCGAAATCTCTGACCTCTCCTCACTAGGTCTTTCCTAACTCGTTCGTAGCTTGGATGGTAGAGGAGTGGAAATGCCTTAAGAGTCTCGATTGGTTTTGAACCCTAGAACCTTATAATATATAAAAAGATACCAGCTTCTCCGAACTTAACTCTGTTATAGTCAAGGAAACGATACTCGAGCTTAAAAAATTTAAGATTATCTTAGGTCGTGTCTTCGCCTATATCGAATAAGACACATCGCGACTCTCCTAGTGCTACTGCTACTACATCGGCAGTACCGACACAGACTGGATATATTGATGGATGCCAGGAGTTCTATACCGTAGAGTCTGGTGACGATTGTTCGACCATGGAGGCTGAATTTGGAGTTACCCTTGCGCAACTTTATGCTTGGAATCCTAGCAGTAAGACCCCATCCCATATTGACCTCTCCTGATGTCCAGGAACCTAAGGCTAACTTAAACTACAGTTGGAAGCACATGTACAGGCCTCTGGCTTGGATATGCCTACTGTGTAAAGGGTCCCGCGGCCACAGCAAGTACCACAGCTAGTGCACCCACACAGACTGGCATTGTGTCCAACTGCAACGAATATCACACTGTTGTTTCTGGGGACTCGTGTGCGGCGGTTGAAAGTGAGTACGGGGTCACCTTTGCGCAGCTGTATGAGTGGAACCCGGCCATCGGGTCAGACTGTGAATATTTGAATGTTGGCTATGCTATTTGTGTTGGCGTTTCATAAACACAAAGAAAGCCGTTGGAGGGGAAAAGAACATGTAAGTAGATGTAAAGAACAGAATACTATTGCCTACGTACATTCTTCTCTCGTAAATAGTAGTCTACCGGTTAGGATGACTACATCTTTTCCCGCTTCTTCCTCTCTCCTCAAGAATTAAAACCAATAGCCGGTGGCCGTTGATACTCGAGGTCCCAATCCGACTCATTGCGCATAGTCGTAGAGGCTACAATCTGGGCTCGATCATAGTGAACCTTCATCCAGCCCACATCTTCCCGCGTACAGCCGTACAATGGCTCATACTCATCATCTTCTTCCTCCCCCTCAGGAATTTCTGGGGCCCACCGCCCATTTATCATCACCACAAACCCAGTAGTATTCAACTCGTCCAATTCATCCTCCGGAATATCCAACACGGAGCGCACTGCATCCTCATCAACCAAGATACAAAGCCGGTATCGGGCTCCATACGCCCACTCCGCACGGTCATAGGTTACCCCTTGCTCCGTCTCACAGGCCGTCCTCGCCCACTCATTAAAAGCGTCTCGTATCTGAGCGGGTGTCGCTTCATCAAACTGAATCTTATCCTCGATCACAGTAGGCCGGAACGAGTCCCACATATCGAGACCTTCATAGTATTCTAGTGTCCGGCGGACCTGGCCCAGGAATCGGCGGAGGAACTCTTCCCAGTCCGAGTCGCTTTTATAAGTGGTTCGGTATATTGCGATACCCCAGGACTTGAATCCGTCATCTTGCATGTTTATCTCGATGAGGTCGGCTTCATTGAAGGTAACTGGGTACCCTGGGGTTCTTTTGGAATCTTTGATCACCGTAGTTGGTGATGTGGACGAAAATGGTCGAGTGGGCAATTGAAATTGGAGTGCAAGATTTTGATGGGGCCCCCTTTTTTTGCCGGATCGTGCTGCTGTGTTGTGCCTTGGCACGAGGATGGGTTGTCCAGTAGTGGATAGAGATAAAGAGACGATGCTTGAGAGAGTCCTGCGGGCACTAGATTGAAATGCGGGTCTTTTCAGAAGACTTCTAGCCCTGATAGAGATCATTGAGGACATTGCATGATTTTTGATTTAGTAGGAAGTGATTCAGATATAAGAGTCGGGAGAATCGCGGTTTGAAATTCAAAGTAAACAGCGAATGGTCCTGATGTTTAGAGTCTAGACCAAACTTGGATGGCCATCCTTCGGATTAAGGTATTTCCTGATACGCCGACAGTATCCACATGTTTGATTTGTTTGACTGCAAGTGGGGAAGATAAATAACACGTGATATACCCCTCAATGTGGGACTGGCCAGTTGGCAGAGATCCACGTAATGAACAAGCCACTCAACTCATCTGTTCAAATATGCAACCTTTCCTAATTTTTGAGTGGAATCGACAACCTCATCGCAGAATTGTGCGAGATTGAAGCATCTGAGCTCACAGAGGAATCTTTTCATCACATCCGACAGGATTAACAAGCAGTCCCGCAGTGTGGCCAGACTAATCTCTCATTCATCTCCATACACCACTCATCCTACGCCACTGCTTTGCCACTAAGGCGTCAAAGCGCTACAAATTGGCTATCTGCCCCCAAAATCTCGATGTCTTTGGGGTTCAATGCCAATGTCTCGGCACAGCAGCTGGTCGACATTTTGCCAGTTGGAATTGCCATACTCGATCACCACTACAAGGCAATCTCCGCGAGCAGCCGTTTCCAGGAGCTGATTCCATGCCCTGAATCTGATTCCGCAAATGCTGGCTACAATCAGTTAATCCAGATGATCATGAACGTGCGATTGCCGCGTTGCGAGATGCTTCGGAAGATGGGGAAATGCTACGCATTGAATATCGCACCTCCGACCCGGCATCCGTTTGGTGCGCCATGACTCTAGAGAAGCCACAGCACACAGATGTCCAGTCCTTTAGGCTGAATGAACACGGTGGATTCGTCTGTACAGTCACCGACATAACATCCGCTAAACGGGCTGAGATCGTAGTAATCTACGTCACCGCCATCTGCGGCTTCTTTTCCACGGCGCATCACAACCGGACGAGGTCGAGGGCAATTTTTATTTAACGGGAGTCATTGCGCTTTTTGAAGTAAGCAGTTACCTGATTGTTTCTTTCAATTAACGTCAGGCAGGCTGTCATAAGACAGAGATGGACACAAGACAAAGATAGACACAAGACAAAGATAGACACAAGACAAAGATAGACACAAGACAAAGTGTCATCTACTAAAGCCAATCGATACAGTTGATAGCGAAAATGGATTTAGGTCTAGACAAATCGAAATATGGCATAGAGATTCACCGTGCTACGTATCGGTTGGCGGCAAATGATTGGCGAGTAGGTACCCCTTGTACTCGGTCGAATCCATTGTCGATGATATTAGCCCCTGCTATGCGTGAACGATATTATTCTGGTATGGCGAGAGCTTTGAAGTGACAAGTTGAGTTTCCCTTGACTAAATTTGTTCTGTCAAGAAAAATCTTCTTAACATTTTAACAGAAGACTTGCTTTTCCATTAAGGGTGTGATTTATAAAACTGATCAATTGTTCAAAGATGATGTACCATTGATTCGATGAGCGGTACTCCAAAGTGGAGCAAAGAGTAGCAGCGTGGAGCCAATCAGATGTACAACTTTATGCAAAAACGGGTTACCCCTCAGATTGAGATCCCGCATGGCTTGATTCATTTTGACGACGACCTAATATTCCTAAGCTCTGCATGAGTGGGCATCTGTTATGTACCTGCGCTCTTGCAACCGCTGGTTCAGAGTCATATCGACGACGAAGCAAATTCGCTTGGGTGAACCCTCCCCCCCTCCCCTTCGTCCCCCATAAAGCAGCATCGTTTGAATTTATACCTCTTGGTTCTTTGATGGTTTCTTTACTGGGGATATCAGCGCAAGCTGGGGTGTGAACGAGTGGTTTGTATACTCGACCGTAGTAAATCCAGTGGAATTGGAGCTAGTCAACCTCATCTTGAAGCTTTTTGATCTCCAAGACCCTTCCAGTCGCAGCCAAGCCGTCATGTATCGATTGAACAGGCGCCTAGAGTATGAGTGTATCATGCCCAGAATCCTCGCATTCATCAGGATCATATGATGATCGAACAGTATCCTCAGGGCTTCGCCAGTGCCGTCGATAATAGTTACCAATGATTCATTGCCGGGTATCTTTCTTCTCAGTCTCATAAAAGCGATGGCAGTCGAGAGGCACTGACCCTCGTGCCAATTATAACAGTTTGGGCAAGTGAGTATTTCTATATGGTCCTCAGTAACCATACCAATTCCATTTTTGATCTCATTATAATTAATCTTTCTATCTTGGGTGTCCATACACCTACAAGATACACGCGGCCTTTGAACAAAATTCACTCGAGATCTGCTACAAGTCAGCCCTTGGTATAAACATTGACCGAAGATAAACATTGTTAGACCAAAGCCATTTTTGAGGGTGGTACGTCTTGCACTCGAGATTTCAGGTCAATTTTCCTGAAGAACTTAACCCAAGATACTTAAACACCCAAGGTTCGTCTGGGAAACGAAAGTAGAACCAAACTTTTCAATTGAAATTCTAATGGATTACGCGAATCCGTTCGCAGATTTTCTAGTCGACATCTGTGGAGAACTGGCAGATCTACCTAAATCTTCCACTTCCTCCATGGCTGTATACATTGGCTGGCTAGGCCGGTTGTCGACGAAACCCGTTCTTTTCCCTTTACGTTGAAAATGCGCTTTTGTGTCACATATTGGACGAAACGCAACAAGCTTGGCTAAATACGTCCAGAATCAGACAACTTACAATAGTTTTCTCTTTGTGCGACTACCACAACTTGGTGTAAAAGACGCCCTGCGGGCACTTAACGGCGACTGAATGTCGTGCTTGTGGATCTTGATATTTTGGGCATTTTAAAGTTGCCAGAGGCTTCGCCTATTCAACCATCTTCCAATGCTCCTGGCCATAAAACGATGCTACTTTCACTATTCCCTAAGGTCCAGCGGTAAAGAGAGCAAGTATTGGACGAGAAGTGCTGTTGTTGAAACTACTCTAACCTTGTGATTGTGGATACAGCGGGCCAGCGCTTATATTATCCCGTCCAGCGCTAGAAGCTTTGATTGGTCTGGCTAGGTCCCCCACTTCTTCACCTCGCTGCCTGGCATGTCCGGCGGCAACATGTTTCTTCTCTGGACCTTACTGTCGTTTCAAGAACTCCCTTTTACTAGAAATCGATAGGCTCTCAGTCTGCTTCGATTCCGCTACTCTCGAAGACTGAGTCTTCCTATCACCGCCAAGACCCTGCTTCACCTGTTTATCTCGATGACGCCCGAGGGGTTTGAAGGCGAGGCCGGCCTTCACAATTCAAGCCACAACACAGCGAGGATCATTTCCGACTCTAGCTTTTTCAGGGAACACCAGGCGTCTACGCTCCCTACTCCGGTATAGAGGAGCCTATAAAGCCGAGGAATGTATACTGGCCTGCGAGTCTTTTAATTCTCAATTTTATGCTGGACCTTCGCGAATTGATGCTCAACCGACCGGGTAAAACTGCGAAGTACAACGAGTAAATCATTGTTTGAAGCATGGAGGCTACTCTTAAGTAGCCAATGCGCACTTTCTGTACGAGAAGTAGCGAGTTCGTTGAGGTGAAGATATTGTGAAGTGTAGCAATGAAGGAAATGTTCTTGGCAGTCGTCGATCCATTCTTTTTGGATGTGTTCGAGAAGAGGGAGGAAGAGGGGAGGTGTATATCGCTCTTTGAAATCGCTCCATTGTCGGTCCTTCTCTTCAAACGTAACGGCATATACAACTCGGTTTCACCGCTGAAGCATCTTCTTCCACCCCTCTTCGGCTTTCTCACGGTCTTCCTGGGCTTCAGCGGGGGTAAGGCGGTACGAAGAGTTATCTCCACGGGCTTCTCGGCGGGCTTGTGCTACTTGATCGGCGAGAAGGGGGCGGGGTTTCTTCAAAATGTTCATATTAATGTGCCAGGTGCATGTTATATGCTTTGTATCTGGGAAAATGAACTCAATTGCAGTTAGCAAAGCTGCCTCTTTATCCGTGAGGATTGAACGTGGGGCTGCAAGACCAAGGGCCTCGTAGGCTTCCAGAAGACAGCCAAGCATTGCCTTGTACGTATGGTCTTTCTCATCTCGCATAAATGCAAAAGCAAGGTGGAACGTAGAGCCAGTAGCCGCAAAGCCAACAACATCAAGCAGGGGGAGGCCATATCGGTTGGTCTTACATGTACAGTCCATGGAGATAACCATGGGTTCTTTTGAAGCATTGAGATACTCTCATACTTGAATATCAACTTATTATTTTTGGGAAGTTCTATCAATAACGCTTGGAGAGGAGTACATCCAGCAAGAAAGAGCTGGTGTAGCTTGCGACGCGTATTGTAGATATCCTGGGAATGAGGATAGTGTCGGGATCGGTCTCACGTAGCTCGGTAAGAATCTCTTTGCTTGTACGGCCTTGCTGAATTGCATTGGCTACTACAGCCTTCTTATGGGTAAGATCGAGAGCGCGTTGGATAGGGTGAGGCGATGCTGGTGAGGGCTGACGGTTGTGGGTAGGGATCTCAACGGTAAGATGTCAAAGACAAGTCCCAATGACTAGCCGAACAGCCATCTGAAAGGGGTATCCGAGGCGTAGTGTTGTAATTCTCCGGCATTTTCGGGGTATGGGCTCATTCTCGTCGTCTTCATTGGTATTCTCCTCATGGGAGCACGCAGCTTCTAAGTACTGGGCACCTTTAGCTAATATCGGAATTCAGCACAGCTCGATAACAATTAATATTCGATAATCAATCATCAAGACCCTAGTATCTAGCTACTCTCTACATTCACTGGGACTCCCTGTTGGTTACATTACATGGCATTGAATATGACGACAAATCATCTCACTAAATCGATATTAAATAACGAAAACGGAGGATGTGACTAACTTGGTTAAATCAAATTTATATTACTTAATGTTAGTAATAAATATTTCGCCATCTAGTTGGAATGACCTTGGTGGTGTGTTAGAAAAAATTGGAATTGGTAAAAAGGATAAAAATAATATGGAGACGAGTATTGCTATAAATGCAATAAATTAACGCAAGGCGAATTTATATTTGAGTTACTGGCTATCTGACCCTTTTGATTAATCGTTTAGATCGTCTTGGTTTAGGGTAAACGCTGTTAGTATTTGAAAGTTTGCGTTTAGCTGACTATCTGCTATAAGAGCTATGAGGTGGTTCACTCGTAATATATTTTGTGGTACTATATAGTATTTCCTGCGTCTGAGATTGATCTGTTATCGAGTAGGTATCCGGTATACTATAAACCGGATAGTTATTATCTTTGTATTTCTTTCGATTAGTTTCTAGTAAAGGTTAACGAAAAGTATATTAAGAGCTAAGGGCTATAATATACCCGCTTGGCTAGTTTGACTATAGAGAGTAATGGAGTGATCTTCTATCACCTTAGGCACTCTGTCCTTAGTTACTTTATTATCTAGGTAGGGACAATTCTGTTTAAGGATTTGAGGCTCTTCTAGATCCTTATAGGCTAGCTATAGGGATAGAGTAGAAATAGAATTAATATCTGTATACTTGTCTACTAGGGCTGGAAAGCTTTTATTAATTAATCTCTCCTAGAATTCTAGTATAGCTATGATCTTAGTGTTAGTATTAGAACTAAGCTACTCTGCCTTATTATAGCTATAATCCTTACTAATATAAATCACTATAGGGTTAGAAGCTGAGCCTAAAGGAGTAGGATTATCTCTAATTACTATAGGATTAGCCTTAGTGCTTAACTTAGAAGAATCGATAAGTTTATATATAACTAGTATAGGCCTATCCGAACGCTTATTAGAGTTTGATATTTCGTAATGCCAAGTTAGTAAAATCTATAATACTTTAAGAATATCCCTTATTAAAGGTATCGTGTGTATTGTTTATAAAAGAGCTTATACTGACTGGAGCTAGAAGTAGAGGTAGAAATAAATGCTTAATGATTAATATAGGGTAAGACTAAGGGCTATAATTAAGATTAAAGACCTAATCTAATTCTTAACTGTTACTATCGGAGAAATAGTGTGTAAGATATATAGCTTTATATCTCTCGTCTAGCGGATTATACCTTATTTAGCCTATAGGCTAAAGCGGGTACCTTCATCTAGGTCTTAACTTTAGACCGTAAGGTCTAGTAGGATCGCTTCTAGATAAGGCCTATCTGCTAATCGTCTCTATGTCTAATATATATTATATAGGAATACCGTATGAATAACCAGCTTATTGTCTATTTGATCTAATAATATCATAAAGCGCTGTTACTATTTACGGAGGACTGCACTCTTACTTATCGACTGCGCCCAGTAACGTCGCCACCGTTTCGATTAAGCTCTGTGTGCCAGTCGTTCTATAGCCTAGGATAGAAGACGAAACATGTAAGACAGACGAATATGGAGACTAAGGACCCCCTTATCATCCCCAGTCCGCGCGACGTAGATACTATAGGAGTAAATCCTATTTTCTTATCAGTCCACTTCGCCCTCTATACCACTTAATCATGAAGCTAACGAGGATTTCGGTCACAGAGTGCCTTCGGTGACAGGGGTTAGGACTGCGAAGATCTCCGGAATAAGGACGACCACGACCCCGAGATGATACCATAATAATGCTACTATTCCTGGAGAACTGTAAGTACGCGTATCGTCTGCGCCCAATGTCATTACCACTGGATTGATTGAGCTCTGCTTGCCAGTCGTTCCATAACTCGAGATAAAAGACAAAACGCGGAAGAGCGGACCAACATGGAGACACACGCTACCTCTATCTCTAGTCCGCATGACCTGTTCCTTGTCCTTCTATCTGGTCCTCTGTGCCAATCGATCGTGAAGTTAATGAGTTCGGTCATAAGGCGTCCAGTCAATTGAGCTTTACTTGCCAGTCATTCTGTAACCAATGGCTGTGAATGAGACGCTTATGAGGTACTGACTGAGAAATCAAAGCTGCCTAATCGCCTCCAGTCCCATATGTAGCTTGTGTTAAAGGATTCACCCCCTGTTGTTTTATCCGTCCATCTTAGCATGTCTGCTAATGGATAACCATGTCAAAGGGGTGGTCAAGGACAAGGCGTACTTGGCGAGCTGAGTTCCACTCGACTATTTCTAAAACTAGAACGATGGTACGAAGGATGGAGAGGAACTGGGGCGTGTAAATGGTCTGGGGAGGTCGGCGAGCGATTTCAGAGATTATTGAAGCGCCTTAATATGGCCGCTGTGGAAGCTTCACATTATGAAGAGCAGGGAAAGGAGGGGATCATGTTATCTAGCTTTAGCAGACGCTTGTATCGTTGGCTTACGCGAATTGCTGGGAGGAGCGTCCGGTCGAATATGCAACTGATGCGTTTTAACCGACATTCCCCTCGGTTCGAAATTGATTGGACACCATCAGCCACAAGGCTCTCAGTCTCGTACTGGGCCCTAAGGCAGATTCACGGACCCGCTGCACATAGGCGATTGTCCACAGAGGGCCTAGGGCGACTGAAACCAAAGGGCGCAATGGATCGACGACGGACCGGCCGACTGACATGTGAGGACGGATCTGCCGGTCGGCGTGGCGGACCAAGGGCAAAAATGCCTCATCCCGAGCGTAATGGCGAGGGCTGAGAGGGAACGGGGCAGGGCGAAGGAAGCAGCGCTGATTGCGCTCCAGGGGTCGGAGGACCGCAAAGGACTGGCTAGTTCACGCCGGCGATAGCGGGGAGTGGCGGAGCTCGGTGAACCGGATCAATGGCAAAAATGCCTCATCTGCAAGGCTCGCATGGCGGGCGGGTCGGGGGGCGGGAGAAAGGAGGAGCAGGAGAGCCAAAAAGTTGAAGGGGCGATGGGGGAGGACTTTATAGAACCACGCACGACGACGCACAGGGCGCTATAACGCTAGACCGAAAAGGCCAGCGCTAGGCCTAATAACGTAATTTGCGGAAGGAATTTCAAGCATCCGATATGGTGTAGTGGCTAACATCGCCGTCTCTCACACGGCAGCCGGGGGTTCGATTCCCCCTATCGGAGTTTCTTTTTGCTTTTTGTTCTGTTTCCCTTCGCTCTTGTCTTTTTGATTATTTTCTACAGGAACGTAATGGTAAAGAATCGTTTACATTTCAATTTATGCGTGCCATTGTTATCCCGTAAGGTTCCTCCAATCTTAGGTTCACCGCCCTCGATATCGCGACAGGACCGCAATCTGGACCCTTGAACTTTTTGGAAGATCCATGGATGTGACGCGATGCCTATTTGCATCGAGTGCTCCTATCCAGTCTCTCACCTGTACAGCGCCTACAGTCGTGCTGATGACCGGTCCCAAGGCAAGGGCGTGCGACTGACGCAATGTCCCCGGTGCCAGCGGTTTGCCGATAAATACGTTGAATATGACTTTGTCGTGCTCTTCATTGATTTGGTGCTCATTAAGCCCCAGGTAGGCATTATACATGTTCTCGGTACGACCAGGCTGACTTATCTGGAAACAGGTATACCGACATCTCCTCTTCAATCGGCTCGGGCGAGACGACAACAAATTCAATGTGGGTATACCATCTCAAACAATTGTGAGCTACGTACTGATAATGTGACCTTTCAGCGGTCCATCATTCGCCTCGGAGTTCTTCTGCTTCTCTTCGACGTCTACCTGACCTGGGCACGCATCGAGAAGGACCCATCCCTCGCAACAACCTTCCTGTCACGCGCCCCTATCATCGTCCAGTACCTCTTCTTCCTAAGCTTGAATGCAGCCGCAACCCTAGCTCACCACCTCACCGTGCGCCTTTTGGCCTCAATGCTCGTTCCAAAGTCGCGCCAATACAGCGGACCAGACAGCAGCAATGCCAACACCAATCCTAGCACAAAGTCTACTGGAGATGCCACCCCTTCCGCTCCCCCAACGCCAACAACGCATCCCTCGCCATCCGGAGTCTCAATACACCCGCACGCCCAGAACTCCGCCAACCCCCCCGCAAGCCTGCTAAACCCAAACCCAACCCCAACCCCTAGCTCATATAGCGAGGTCACCTCCCCAACAGACCTATCCCCACTACCGCAAGGTACATCAATGGGACCATCACCTTTACCCGCGCCGCCCCTGCGCCGGGCATCAACAGCCCCGCTGCAGAACATTCAGCCCCTACCCCCTCCAACAGCCGCAAGCCCAGCAGCGATCAGCACCGCTCTGCTCGTCAGCAGCTGCGCAAAGCTCTTCCCAATCCTGCTAGTAATCTGGGGCGCTGACGGTAGCGGCAACCTCTCCGATATCCCAGCGCACAGCCATACAGCAGCACAGATCCGGTCCGCGACGCAGTCGGCTATGGTTTCGAGCGCGGTGCATCAGAGCCTGTTCGCCACAGCCACGGAAACGTCTTCCCTGTGCGCGACAGCGGCTATGTCAAGTCCGCCGTCGGCTGCAGTTAGTTCTTCTTCGTTTCTGGAATCGTGGCTTGGTGTCACGGCTTCTTCGCTTCGGACTTCTACGCCGACTAGTTATCTGACAGGGCTTTTTGACTTGCTTGCTTCATTGCTTTCTCTTGGTGTGGTTGATGCGCACCTGGTGCTGCTGAGTAATATCGAGGCCTTGTATATCTTGCTTGGTTGTGGGTATTTGCGTGCTGTTGCTGTTGCTGTTGCGGGCCAGATCGCCCGGTGGGCGGTGCAGAGGGTGATTCTGGGTGCTGTGGGAGTTGGTTAACGGAGTGATTTTGATGAATACTTAGGTACTTGATATGAAAACTAATTTCACCTAGCTTTCCTAGCGTCCATGTTGCTTAGGGTACTCTACGGCGTAAATCAATCGGTCGACCTCACCGATTAGTACATAGATATAGTCGTAGGCAGTATTGGACTAGTAAAATGACCTAAAAGGGTATGAATGCTTTCCATACAAAAAGAAACCGGCCAACTAAACAAAACTGAATCAAAACAAAAGCATACACATAAAACACTGCCAAGAAAAGGACATATAGGGAAAGCTATACAAAAGCATGAAGCAGCTACGAACTCACACAGGTTCGCAATACAGACCAAGCACACGGACAGAGAACGAGAAGCAGCCTTCATTCCCCTCTAACCCAGGCACCTCGCAGCGCGGGATGGGATATATCTAACATCATCTTATAATATCCCATGACAAGAGGAGACAATATCTCACAACCGACAGTCTCCAAAGTGTCAGTTGACAGCATTGACGAAAAACGCAAGAAACCAAGGGAAATGCCTTTATTGCGGTACGCGATCAGGTCTGATGTCTGACCGCTTTGGTGCGATGAGAGGGTGCCATTGTGAGAGGAAGACGATTGCTATATTGATTATGTTAGTATCTACACAGATCATAGAGATATGTGGTTAGAGAGCATGGGTAAGAAGAAACGTACCCCACATCAAATAACAAGAAACGAAGGTAAGGATGAGCGTGCTGCGGAAGAGGCTAAGGAAAGCAGAGTCAGTATTCTCAATTGCTTGCAATTTTGAAAGGAAGGGCCGCTGGGCTCGCCCAGTATGCAAAGAGGGAAGCATAGACTCACGTCTGATTATCGCCCTTCGGGCTCAGGAACCACGCTGCTGTCGAGAGGGCGACAATGATAACCAGGCCAATTAACAAGCTCCAGCTGTTGAAGTTTGTGTTAGCGACTATAGTCTTTTATCGAGTAGAGTATCCGGGGGTCGGCGCGTGGCGGGATAGATCGAACAATGCGAACACCCTTAAGCAAGTAATCATCGATCCATTGCTCGAGATAGATATGCATTGTTTATCCCATCACTCCGACAGAGGGAAAACATACCCGTTTGCCATTTTGTCGGTATTTGTTATTATCTTCGTTCGTCGGAGTAAAGTACAGCCCAAGTGGAGATCACTCGGTATGTTATGCGATTGTCGGTGTGGGCGAAGAGCGGGCGAGCTAGGGAGGAGACCGCAGAGGAGGCGGATCGTTTACTTGATGGTATAAATTCTGCGCACGAGTGCTCTTGAATGTCCGGATCTTTTGACAGCGCGGGTAGACGGACAAGTAATCGATTGCTCGGTGCAGCGTGGCACGATTAGGATCGACTTGATGGTATTTCGGGGACGTGTTCAAGAAACCAAGTATCCGGGAGTCCTTCTTGGGAAAGACGTAGCTGTTAGGTATGTTGCGAGCTAATAAAAGGCGACCTGGTGAGTTGGAGTATCTCCGTTGATGTCGGAGCTCCTGGAGCTAGCATGCCTGAGGCAGAATTGGCGGGCGGTGGACCATACGACATCTATACAGCAATGAAGACATCTGTTCTACTCCGTACATTTCCCTACAATACGAAATTTATGAGAATACATATAGGAGCTTCTTCTAGGTCCAAAAATACAGACTGAATGATCTGTTGCTTGGGCTCAGCTGAAGCAAAGCGGCTTAGGTACAAAACACAAGGCCATGGCTCGGGATAACAGACAAAATCGAAGCCGGACAGAAGGATAACAAAAGAAACATGGCATTCAAAACAACACTTAAGCACCCTCACGGATCTTGCGGTAGCTGGCCTAAGAAAAAAAAAACGTGGTTAGATGTGATAGACATGTAGAAGGAGCATCACCGAGAACTTACCTCCTGCTCGACCTGCAGTGCATCTACGGTTGGAGCAAGCTCACTGAGAATCTCATATGATTTCTTGTGGAACTCGAGCTGAGCGGCGATCAGATCGGCCAGGTTGCGCAGGGGCTCGGGGGTATCAAGGACCTTGTTACAAGCAATGTGAGTACCACTGGACAGATTTCAGAACACAAACAGAAGATCAACCAGCACTTACATTTTTCATAACGCTCACAGCCTCCTCAGTCTGGCCAACAAACTCATCTTCGGCCTGCTCGATCTCCGCGCGGGCATCCTCGCTCAGGTTATCCAGGTCGCCGTGGGCGCCGGCCTTTTTGCTAGCCTTGATGGAGTCGAGCATCAAGCGGGCATTCTCAACATTCTTGCGCGCCTTAGCAGCGAACATCAAGTTAGTGTTGAGGGTGGTATTCCAGCCGGCTAGGAAGCGAGACTGGATCTGAGCATCCTGGGCTAGACGAGCCTCGCCCACCTGCTCCTCGGCTAGAGCATACTTCTCCAACGCAGTGGCGAGTGGGTCTTCGCCCTCGGTGCTCTGTGCGAGTGTCTGGGAGCCGGCAAGGGAGGCACGGGCGATCGCGTGGTTGAAGGTCTTGGGTTGGGGCTTTGCGGAAGGCGGGGCTGTCAGGGCAGCTTGTGCCTCAGCAGGCGAAGCTGCCTGGGACAGGAGCTGGACTTTCTCGCTGATCGTGCGGCCCAGGTCATTGAAGGATTCGCGGATGTTTGGAGGGTAGTCGTAGGCCTCATTAGAGTATTGGGAGCTGCTCGCGAGAGATGGCACCGGTTAGCACCAGTGCGGAGAGCCATCCACAGCGCAGAAAGCAACAGGAATTACTCACGTCACCTGCAACAGCTTCTGGTGGACAAGCTTGAGCGCATCAACGCGCTTCTCGAGCTCGATGTATTCATCAGGGAGCTGGGTCTTGTCGTCGGCCTGGCCCAGCTGCTCCTTGATCATTTGCTGAGTTCGCTGCGCAAAAGGTGTGAAACTCGCACTGTCCGTCAGAAAACCAAAAGGCAAGAAGATGTTAGCAAAGCGACCAAGCACAAGTCGAGGGGGATGGAATGAGGTCCGCGGGATAGGGGGGCTATGACGGTGTACTCACCTGAAGTTCTTTCCGAATGCCTGCATTCGATCCATCATTGGTATATTTTTAAACGTTTTAGTTAGAAAGAAAAAGGAGGAGAGAATGGCGAGAAACGGATGCGTGTGTTGATGGGATATTACCACATGTGCTACGCGGGCAGGATGAAGCCTCGACCTTGCACCGCCTCATTTACGCCACTTCTCATCAGGCACTATCAGGCACCTTCCTTTTTCCACCTTTATACTAGACATTGAAATCCATGTCAAATCCATGTTTCCTCTAAAAGCAGCCCTCTGTAAGTATCGAGTGTTTGAAATTTCAATATTGTACTTGGAGATGGTCTGCAAATTGCTAAAAGATACATAGAGAACATCCGGAAATCCCCATTCAGAACCCAGAACCACTGAGTCAAATTAAAATCATAACATCGTAACTCGCTGGTTCAAAAGCAAAGCATGAAAGCATGAAAGCATTACGCAAATTAGGTTAGGTCAGAGTGGCCATCATAGCACGCATGATGCGGGAGTTGGGTTCTAGAGAATGTCAGAATCACCGAAGGGGTATGTATAGTAATCTGTGGCGTCGTACCTGAGCGCTCCTGCCTCCGGACCTCAGTAACCTCCTCCTGGTTGCCTCTTTCGTCAATGATATCTGTTTCGCGTTGCCGAGTGATCTCAATCCCACCCTGCCTCTCTATACGAAGAAGTCTTGTCTCCTCTTCCAGATTGCGAATGTACTCATTCACGTCGTCATCGCTGTCCCGTGGACGAACGACAACCATCGAGCTCGTACGAGGACTATCCAATTCCCGCTCTTCGATGTACTCAACGGGAGACAAGATACGGGGTCCGCGGTCATGGACTGATACAGCTCGTCGCCGAGAGATCCCTCGCCTGCGCGGCCTCTCGACAATCTCCTCGTACTCATCTGCATAGTGGCGTGACCGTGACCTGTGTCGGGAGGGTGATGCTTCCACGATGAATGCCTGGCTCGTGCGGGGAGAAGCATCAACACGCAAGTGTTCTGTCGTCACCCGCTCGCGTGTACGTTCCCTTAGCGGAGGAGATGGAGCAAATTCGACATATTCGGCTGTTCGAAAAAAAAGGCCAATTAGTATGATCTTCCTCATACACTTGGGGATCCGGATACGCATGTATATGCCACTCACCTTCCACGGACGGAGGCCGCCTGAACTCGCGGCTCAAGCTAAGAACTTCGTCGATTTGTTCCTTCGACAATGCCTTTTGAATGACGATCACATCATCCTACCTAGGTCAGCAGCCGACAACAGCACTATCGGAAATCAAACACCAACCTCTTCCTTGAACGGGTACCCTAGATCCATGATGGCGTGAATATGAGCAAGGTGACGAGGAACACGGGTCTTCCCTTTGCGTGGGTAAGGTTTCTCCTCATGATGTCTGCGAAGGGTACTGCTAGACCGGCGGCGACGATCAACCATATCTCGCTCACTGATATCTCTAAATTCTTCATCACCATAGTAGTCGGGTTCGGCGATCCTTATATCTTCGTAGACTTCCCGTTCGCGATAACGGCCCGGAGAGGGGAGGTGACGAGGCGGAGCAACGAGAGGTACACGGGGAGCGCGGGGTCCAACATCTCGGGCATCAAAGTGTTCCATATTGCGCCTTGGTATGCGGTCAAAGGTATCCAAAGACGACTGCCGCCTAAGAAGTTGAGGACGACTGAATGAGGGACTATCGTCACCGCGCCGACGCCGGTCATGCGCCACAAGAGACATGGAAGGCGGTTGGTGATCTAGATGGTCATCCTCATAGAGTCTCCCGGGTGCACGAGCAGGGGGTCCATATCGATCTTCCTCGTGGAGGCGTGATTCAAAGCGCTCTTCGACATGGCGGGGTCGTTCGGCCACGGGGGGGCCCCGTGAGTATCGATCATATCGATCGCGAGAGTTCAGTGTCCCCGTTGACGAGCGGTAGTCATCATAGCGAGACATCTGAGAAAACACAGCAAGGATGAACCGTGGATGACGCGAGCGGCTGACTTCCGTGCCGAGGGTGGGGTAATTCGAGTAACCACGGGTGAAGAGAGACCTCGTGAGAATGATAGGAAGAGAGAGAAAGATAGAAATGAGCCGAGAGGCAGCAATGAGGAGAGAGGAACTGAAAACAGAAATCAAGAATCAGCCTTGGGAGAGAAGAAGAAGATAAATAAAACGTCAGGCAGAAGTCGATCAGTGATGACATTGGGTCGGATGTTGATTGCATGTGGGGATACCCGGACACCTATTTGCGCCACATGTTTGGACAAAGTACGGGCACTACTGTATGATGCGACTGTATGTTGCGCTTCATGTATGTACTATGTATGTAGACACGGATGCATTGTGTAGTTGATCCAATCCTAAAGCTCCAAATTCGCAATGTCCTCTTCCAAGATGCCCATAGCCCAATGCGCTCGGTCCGACTTGACTGGCACAAACCGACGATCTTTTACCTCATGCAGCACCGCCTCAGACTGTGGCGCATACATTAGCTTGGATGTTGAGGGCCAAGGATATCCAATAGATGTACTCACCTGACGCTCCTGTTCCCTTTCCCGATCTCGGTCAGTCTTGAATGACTGTTGATAGGGTGGCCCACGGCCTTGCTTGGCAGCGGCTATCCAAGCTTTCTCACAGCCACCGGCGATAGCGTCTGCGCTCTTCCACCCGGTCAGGCGGGAGATGTCACGAAGTGTTGAAATCGTCCAAGCTCGCTGCGTGGGATCACTATATTGCACAGCTGCGAAGAATAGCGGCACCGACATGTCAGTCAACGAAGAGCCCAGATTCGGATTCAAGCTTCCGGCTTCGAGGTTAAAACGTTGCGGGTAGTAGACACCCGCCAGAATCTTCCCAACAATCTGCGAAAATTCAGCTGTCGTGGGAGCAGAGACTCCAGCTGCGACCATGATAGCCGGTGGCATAGAAGGATGAATCCGGTTCAGCAGCAGGCGCATGGCATAATAGAACCCCCAGATCACGGCGATGGTATGGGTACGGTATTGGAGGGCAGGACCGAACGGTGTAGATATTGGGGGCGCGACGTCTGTTGGTAAAGGCTGGAAATCGCGGCCCAGCGCTTGGTATAGTATTTCCATGGCGACGAGGATCTCTTCCCATTCTTGTTCGGCTTCGTTGTAACTCACGTCGTGAGCGGGGTCATCCTCGTCCGGTGACAAACGAGGCTCACGCGGTGTATTTTCGAATCCCCGGGGAAGACGTGCAGGCGGTTGAGGGGGTATCATTCCGTACATGGGGGGACTAGGGGCCGAGGTCGATCCAGGGCTTGAAGAAGGAGACATCTCAGTAGGTGGGCCAGGTGGAGGGCCAGGTGGAGGGCCAGGTGGACGGCCAGGTGGACCCCCTGGACCGAGTCCGCCAGATGAGCCAGGTCTTTGGCCGGGAGGGCCGCCAGCGAACCGACCCATGAATTTAAACATCCCAGGACCTGGCCTCCAGTTCACCCCGCCTGCCTTCAGGGTTCTCAATTTTCGCTTACGGTCACGGAAGCCAAAGTCTGTGACCCGAGCGAGCAGCAGCCACAGATGATCTGCGGAGCCGTATATGGCATCTAAACGGCCAATACCTGCTCGAGGTGGGCATTGGCCCCATTGAGAGTAAGGCATTCTGGTTTACCGATGAGAAAATCGCCTGTCTAGTAGCCAAAGGTGTAGACTTACAATAATTTGTTTCCGCCGATAAAACTCTGGAATGCATCTTGCTTCGCGTACCACCAGTATAGATCGCATTGAATCCGGAAAACCTCAATGTCCTTGCGGGTGAAATGCTTCTTGGAGGGCAGCGTACCCTCTTCATTGATACCTCCAAAATCGTCGTAATTCACTGCTTGTCCCATAATGGCGCCTATGAGATCTTCGTCGATGCTTTCCTCTTTCTCGGAGAAGGGATCGTCTTCAGAGACACCAGACATCCCCCACCACGAGTTCGACCAGCCTGACTGGCGTCGCTGCTCGTGAGATCTACGTCGATAGGCCCGTAGATCTCTCGTGGTCTTGGCGAAATCGATCTCTCGGATCAAATGGGTGGACCCACCCAGGTGGTTATTCCATTTCGAGTGGTCGGCAGATATCACCTCATAGTAGCCCAGTAGAAGAGTGGCAGCCAAGGTACCGACTTGTTTGCGTCGGAGAGGAAGACCAACTGCGGAACTAACTCGTTTCAGGGCGTAGTGATAGTGCTTCAAAGATACTGTCGTGGGAGCTTGCTGTAAATAGGCAATGTGTAAGCTGCTGACAGCCAGTATTGCCTGTAGGAGAGCTGGATGCTCTAAAGCTTTGAGGGCAAGCGTATAGACCCATAGACCCTGCTGTGCAGATGGGACAGCCGCTCCCAGAACAATTGAGGAGTCAGTAGGATGCCGTTCAAATATAGACAAGGATGGACCAGTCGAATGAATGAAGTGAGCAAAGATGCGGGCAGTCTTTGGGTTGTTCAGCGGAGAAGAGCCAAGTGTAGGACGGTATGAGGCAAGCACATTGGGCTCGTTCAGGTGAGTCGTGAAGGATCGAAGTTGTTGCTCGTCGCGGTTAGCAGAGGCCATAATGAGACTCAGCTGGTTGAAGCCTTCGGCCTGCGATTGATCCACCATCTCATCATCCGAGTCCACGTCGTAGTAATCCTCGCTTTCATCCTCCATGTATATCATTTGTTGTTGATGGGGTATTTGATAGGGTATATATTGCTCATGAGATCGTAATTGCTGCGGTAATTGCCCCAGCGGTGGCTGATAATGATATATCGTCGGTAGCGGCTGGGTCATCTAAGAAATCGTACTCAGCATACCAGTTGCTAAAGACAGAGATAATGACAATACATACCTGAGGAACTAGGTTGGTCTCGCTCTCCCTCCTTCCATGCATCGAGCTGGAAGCTAGCATGGGCGAGAGATTGGAGGCGTATTCTTCAGCTGTCTGGCCGATCGGACTGGCGATCTGGGGTACATTTTGTACGCTTGCATGGGAAGTATGTAGAGCGCTTGTCTGGTCTAACTGAACTGATTGCTGTCCTTGCGAGAAGTCAGTCACATTTGGCGGAACTAGCGTGTTTTCCGTTTGAGCTATCGGCTGGATGTGCCACATATGGCTCGGTGGCTGCACATGAGCTGGATAATAGAAGGAGGGTGTATTAATGGGCTGTAGTTGAGCCGACGAATGCATTTGGGACGGAAATGAGGGATATCCCATCACGGCTGGATCAGCAGGTCGAGGGGCTAGCATTGGATGCTGAGCAGCAGCTGCCGCTTGTTGGGGAGGGAGTTCAGAGCCATAGTCGTTGGGCATCGGCCCCCTCATATGTTGTTGGTCTATCTGCAAATCGTGGCTGTGGCCATTATTGAATGATCCGAAGAGGCCTATGGGGTTCTTGAACACGACCCGCTGGGCATATCCCTCGCAGATTCGCTTGGATTTCACGCAGTTGGTACATATTGGCTTCTCTTCGCCGCACTTAATCCGGCGCTTTCGACAAGCTATGCTTCGTCAATGAGGGAACCCTATCACCAGTGTTCTGCAACATACTCAAACAGCCAGTCTTGGTTCGTTTTTTCGGGAGTCTGCGGGGACCTTGTCCGGTTGAGGTTCCCGCAGAACCGCCAACAGTAAGATCTGCTGGAATATCCAGCTGATCCTTCAGGTCGTCAGCCATAACCTTGGAAGGACTCAAGATTGCGGAGTGGACATGTGCGAGGACATTGTGGGGCTAAAAGACACAATAATCAGATAAGTAAGAAACAGAGCTAGGAGGGAAAAGCTGCCGAGCAACGCAGATCACCCGCGATACAATGTGGTTCATCAAGGGGGGATATACATATTTGCAAGGTCGCTCTTAACACGGTCAGACTGCTAAGTGTCCACGGATATTGACATTTATAATTACAACTTACGAGACGCTTAGGGGCGTACAACGTTGTCTTTGTGGCCCAAGAAAGTCACACTATCGGCATACATCAGTGCCTGAGGCACCAATGTGTATGTAATCTGATAGTAAAATTACCGATAACGAAATTTTGAGAGTTTTTTTTTGGAGGTACCGTTTCCCCTACCTTAAAAGGCATTGGACATTTACAACCAATCCTTCGGAACTAACTATGTTCGCTGTTCCAGGATGGTCCGTTGAGAGCTCTGCTCTGAAGTCACAGACTCAAGCCGCACAGCCTAAGAACGACTCTCAGCCGGAGAAGAATGCCTCCAACGATGCGAAGAACAATAAACGCAAGCGTGCCAATGACCGTATCACTGCGGGAAATGTGGATGAGATGTACCGTAGACACATCGAGGGTACCTCCAGGAGTGGAAAGCATGGTGCAGATGATTCTGTGAAGCCAGAGAAGAAGCAGAACAAGGAAAAGAAGCAGAAACAGACACTTGAGACTGCCACCCAGGAGACTACAAGTGAAACTGCCACCACCGCCGATGCCGATGCCGATGCAGATCAAGCCGAGGATAAAGCACCCAAGAAGAAGCAAAGGAGGAACAGGAAGAACAAGGACAACAAGGACAACGCAGAGGACAAGATCGAGGCAGACGGCGCTACCACTACCCCAGCTAAAGAAGCTCCTGCCGCTGCTCCTGCTCCTGCTCCCGCTGCACCCGCACTCCCACCAACATCGAACCTGACTCCTCTCCAGCAGGCGATGCGACAAAAGCTGATCTCCTCTCGGTTCCGCCACCTGAACGAAACTCTCTACACCACCCCCTCCGCGAAAGCACTTGAAATGTTCAGTACCAACCCGGAGCTGTTCGACGAGTATCATGCCGGATTCGCACGACAGGTGAAAGAGTCCTGGCCCTCCAACCCGGTCGATGACTACATCAAGACTATCCGCACCCGCGGTGCAATCCCCCTCCCAAGGCGAGGAAATCCCATTAACCCTGCTAAGGGCTACCCGCTCCCTCGTCGTCCTACTGGACTATGCACATTCGCCGATCTGGGCT